TAAGAGTCCAGGCGTTTCTCATGGGCCACCCCATCCGCATAAGCCAAACCAAGGAAAAAGACCCTCTCCGATTCGAAGAGGCCACAATCGATTTCTGGTTGTTTGCCTGAAAGCGTTTGACGTCGGTGAAGCCTCCCGCCAGACCACAGATGTTACCCTATGCACAGCTGTCTTGATGCATGCCGCGACTGCTCATCCCGCGCCGGTTGAATGCAGATGTGAATGTTTTACCATGATAAGGCCTATTCGACTAAACAATCTCCTCAGCTGTAGCCTGCTTCTTTGGTCTCTTTCCGCTAGGATCTTACCTCTGAGCTATAGAAAATTGATACATGTATGTGGCAGGCTCCGAGTGTCTCCACCATCTCCGAATCACCACCCTCCGTTCGATAGAGATCGCCTCTGGGGCAATATAAATCTGTAAATCTGTTGTGTACTGCTTGTCGACGGCAGTTCAGACCGCCCTTTTGTCATGGTTGCGTAGCCTGCAGCATTTTGCATCATCTTTGGTGTCATCGTTGATGCCAGTGGATTGGATTGAATGGTGTCACAGAGTTCATAGCTTCAACAATGCAACAATATCTGCTGCCAGATTTGTTATCTTCAGCTTTCCCAGTCTTGCATGGTCATCTCGGAAGCCTCGAACTGGAAACCGGCCTATAATAATTCAAATCTACAGAAGCAAGAAATGAGTATGTGTACGAGTACGAGTAAGAGTATGGATGAGTATGATGAGTATGGATGAGCGACGACGAGGCTGTGAAATGATAAAAGGCTGGAGATATTTGGCGGGGTAGTCGTGGACAATGTCTGTACGGTGGCCAATTCACGACACCAATGCAACTCACATGACTTGGATATTTTAGAGCAGGCAGAAATTCTTAGTCATGTGACTTTTCAGGGGACCTGGGGCTCCGTTTCGCTGCCAACGGGGCCTGCCAAGGCTCAGCTATACGAGCAAATAACCTCCATACATACCAAATCTGTACATACACAACGGAACTTTTATACGTCCCAACAACACCACGCTCGTTCATTTGCACTCATCCGCTCATACTGCAGCAGTCGTATGGAGTAGTGGATTTGCCTGTCGTCTCTCTACGTCCACGAACCTACAAATCCCCTGAAGATATCGCCCATAAGAGACACCCTGGACCCTTCTCGCCGCGCCGCAACCCCTCGCTCCAGGCGCAGCATCATCTCTCCCCTCGACATCTATCAGCACCGGTACCCGCTTGCAGGATGGGCTTTGGAGACTTCGATACGATCTGCCGCAATGCGCCCATACCATTGTGCGCCCTCGTGGGCAGCATCAGCAACATCGACCTGGGCGTCGGGATAGAGCCTGACTGTTATGCCCGCAATGTCGAGCTCGCGAACACCATCATCTTCCAGCCCGCCACGTCCTTTGCCCATATTGCCGCCCTCATCATGGCCGTCATAATGGTCCTCCACGTCCGCTCCAAGTTCACCGCAGTTGGTACGTTGTGTTTACCCTACCCCAAACCGTTTCCCGTGTCAGCGCGCTCATGTTCTATAAATAGGTCGCAAAGAAATCACGACGTTTTTCTACATCTACATGCTCCTGACCTTCATATCGCTGTGCATCGACTCCGGCGTCGTCCCTCCAGGATCGGATCCGTATTCCTACTTTGTAGCGGTGCAGGCTGGCCTCGCGTCGGCGTTGTGTGTGTGCCTGCTCATCAACGGTTTCGTGGGGTTCCAGCTGTATGAGGACGGCACCACGCTCTCTGTCTGGCTCCTACGCAGCATCTCCTTCGCCTTCTTCGTCATCACGTTCCTCGTCTCACTGGCGACGTTCAAGAGCTGGGCCGGCCTCGGTCCCACCAAGACCATCGGCCTCTTCGTGGTCCTGTACCTTATCTCGGCCATCTGCCTCGCCGTATACATCGTCATGCAGTTCATCCTCGTCCTCAACACCCTGCAAGACCGCTGGCCACTTGGCGACCTCTCCTTCGGCGCGGGCTTCCTCATCATTGGTCAGGTCATCCTATATGCCGTCTCCAACACCATCTGCCACAAAGTCCAGCACTACCTCGACGGCGTCTTCTTCACCACCATCTGCAATCTTCTCGCCGTTATGATGGTATACAAGGTAATTTTCCCTCCTTCTGTCATATATTCCAATCTAACGCGACTCAGTACTGGGACTCCATCACGCGTGAGGACCTCGAGTTCTCAGTAGGCACAAAAGCCAACAACTGGGAGGTCAAGGGCCTCCTCCCCGACGATGATCCCCGCCGCACAACCATCTACCAGGACGGCGACTACGCCAGCAGCTTTGCCGGTGCACCGCCGCGGAACTCGAATTATGGCGGTTTCAGCTATTAAGCGCGTTGTCCATCCATTTCGCTCTTTGCATCTTTCTTTCGAGTCAGCGAGCATGCCGCGTTTGAAACTCGCCCGTTTTTAAGAATAGCACGCGCCAGCGTCGTCGGATCTTTACTTCTCGCCTTCTCCTTTCTCATACTTGCATAGCGCGGCTCAACGGCGTTTTCGGACTTTCTTTTCTATAAACCGGCCAGTAAACTCGGCTACTTTTAATCATACATGCCCACGATAATCGGCACACTCGAACTCATGATATTTCTTCTGGCTGCTTTTCCTTCTTCTTGGTAACGACTTTTGTAATTCGGCGTGCGTGTATCACGTCTGTGTTTCGCTGGGATGGGCGGTGCATTTTTTGGGACCTGTATGGATTGTTTGGGACTTGCGATTGGGAACCCTCTTGTGTATAGGCATTATAGCCATGGGTGCGTGGATGGTGGCGGCATGGGTGGTGCGAAATACAAAGTAGTGATAGATAGTATAGGATAGGATAGGATAAGAAAAGAATCCATAACGATTGACATCTATAGGTTCTGGCCCCTCCGCATCAGTTGTGTTGACTGCAACATTCTCAGTATGAAGGATGATAATAAAAACGAGGACGAACGCCTTTAGTATTTCACTCCACAAGATCCGTCTGTATGTATGCTACACATGTCCGCCTACCCATTTCCGGAACCGCCAGTATACAAAGGAAAAAATGCATCTACGCCGTGCCTTACCGCCTCTTCAGTCCAGTCTGTCTGGTACTAGTACAAGCGCCTTAATTATACCTTCCTCACAACCCTCTCTCAGTAAACACTCACTCCTTTTGCCCCAAAACATTGACTCCCTCCCCTCCAACAACCAATACCCTCCTCGCCTTTGCTCCCCACCCCACCGCACTGCCCCTGACTGCACTCCTCAGCCCCTCCTCCCACTTCTTCTCCTTCTTCAGCCACGCCTGCACCACAACGCCTTCCTTGCCCACGAATCCCAAGAACTGTCCCGAGTAATCCCACTGCACGCCGCTAATACCACTTCCCTCAAACTCCTTGACGACGGCCTCCGCGCCCTCCTTCCGAAGGTCAAAGACTGTGACGCCGGACGCGGTGGCGGCGGCGACCCAGATGCCGTTTTGGTTGAAAGAGATGGCAGAGATAAGGGCGGGGGAGGAGAGAGGGAAGGAGGCTGCGAAGGTGAGAGTGGTGGTGTGGTACATGCTGAGGGTACCTTGGTGTGCAACGGCAAGGAGGTGGCCGTCTGGGTGGAAGGCGCAGGCTGTGAGTTCTGGGGGGTGTTAGCATTTCTCTCCTTTCCGATTAGTGGAGTGAAAGGGGACTCACCATTCTCAGTATATACCTGCGCGACCGCCTTCGTACTCTCGAGGTCATACACAACGAAACTCTTATCCTTGCCAACCGACGCCACAACGTCGCCCGTCGGGTGCACCGCAACGCCATTCACAGGGCCCGCATGCGCCGCGATGGAACCAACCTCCTTTGCACCCTCAAACACCTTCACCACGCCCCCATTTCCAGCTTTAACAAGCAGCACGGTTTTTTCGCCGGCCCACGCACCAGCCGAGACTGATTCTCCCTTCGCTAGCGTCTCTGTGACCGCCCCGGTCTCAACGTCCACCACAGCTGCTCCATCGCTGCCTCCCACAAGCGCCTGCGCACCTGCGGCATCCACATCCACGAAAGCCGCGTCGCCGGTCTCGGCCTTTGCTACGGCTTCATACGCCGCCACGTCCGCGCGGGTAGCCCATCCGGCTGGGACAGCGCGCTTCCTGCGTCCCTTCGACAGACGACCCTGTGCCTCCTCAACACGCTCGACGATTTCGGACGGGAGTCCCGCGTTATCGATTTGCATCGCCTCGCCTGCGCCAGAGGGCGCAATTCCTACATTCGAGAGAGCCTCGCGGGCCTCGTCGCGCTCGCGGGTGAGGCGTGCGACGACGCGGACGGCGGCGTCGTGGTGGTAGAGCGCTGTTGCGAGTTCCTGGCGGGTCTGCGCGAGTTGCTGGCGGAGAGTGAAGGAGTCGAGAGCGAGGGCGTCCCATTCGGATTGGAAGGTTGAGAGGAGGGCGGGGATGGAGGTATGGGTTGGAGGCCGGGGGGGGGCGATGCGGGAGGTCTTGATGGGGATGAGGTCGTCTACGGTGAGGGGCTCCGAGGTGATTGGGTCGGTGCCGTGGGTGGAGATGTGGGATTCGATGAGGGCGCGGGAGAAGACGTTGCCTGGGGAGGAGTTAGATAGCTGAGCTTTGGGAGAGGTGAACTGGTGGAGGAATCATACCTGATTTCGTGGAGACCACAGGGTCCTGCGGCGCTTCGCCGGAAACTACAGACAGGTGCATTAGACGCGTCCCCATATCTCATCGCCAATTGAATGCCACTTACTTGCGCACAACATATTTGGTCTCGTAGTAAATCAGTGCCTGTTGTTGAAGGTTGTGGTGGAGTTGCGAGTGTGCTTCGTGCTTCGTCACCTAGTCCAGCCAGCTTCAGGCCATAAACAATCTTTCGACGTCGCAGTCGCGGATTTCGGCGCTAGTGCGAATTCAGCTTAGGCGAGTTCCGAGGCGTGCATTGAGTGAAGTGGGGGGGATTTTATCATATAAACCTCCCCGCATGCGCTGTAGATAAGTATTTATTTATTTCATTTATCCTCAATCCAATCCGATCCAAATCTCCTTATCATTTATACAACCGGAATCACCCATATATCTATCAATTCACACACACCACCCAAGAACAATGTCCCCGCTGCCACCCGCAACCACCCTCCCTTCCCTGCCCCCAACCGATCAAACCCACATCCTCGACCTGCTCTTTGAGCCCTCTCCCCCTCTACATTCGCTCTCCCTCCCTCTCTTCACCCGCCCTGTTTCCTCCTACCCTGCCCTCATCGCCGCCATCCGCTCCCAGCTCACTGCACTCTCCACATCCAGCTCCCCAGCAGACGCCAAGCAGCTCGATGCAATCCTAGGCGCCCACCCCCGTCTCGGTGCTAAGAAGGTGGATAGCGCGCAGTCAGCTGCTGAGCAGGCGCAGTTAGGTGGTGGCGAGGAGGAGGCTCGGCAATTGGCGGCGCTGAATGCGGAGTATGAGTCCAAGTTCCCGGGGTTGCGGTATGTGGTGTTTGTTAATGGGCGGGGGAGGGGAGAGATTATGAAGAATATGCGGGAGAGGATTGATAGGGGTGATGGGGGACTGGAGAGGGAAGAGGGAATTAAAGTGTGTATCCTATTCTGTCATTATCTGGCGGCGCCTACTGCATGGGGTGCTGTCAACTGGGGGATGGTGATGGGGTGAAGTGATGTGCTGACAAGAGTAGGCAATGTGCGATATCGCGCTCGACAGGACAGAGAAGCTATTGAATCAGTAGAGGGAAGGAAATAAAGAATATATCAGCCAAGGCCAAGTCTCGAGACAGACGAAGTGTGGGTATCAAAACAGGAATGTCATTTTTATCCTACTCCGTTCATTCATGCAGGGGAGACCCCAACTCCCAGCTTTTCCTCATTTCCATGTCCATGCAATGATCCCCATGCTGCCTGCCGCCTGTCGCCAATCCATGAAGATGTCCACCCACTCAACTACGCCAGTACATATGCCCCCGCTCCGTGAGCTCCCCCCGCAATATAGACATCCATCCCCACCTCCGCCTTCTCATCCAGTTGCCTCGCCTCCGCCTTTGCAATCGATAATGGCGGCAGCTGCGGCAACGGTGGTGGTTCCTCCGCCAGCGATAAGGGTGGAATCCCATCCAGCTCGTCGAGGTAATCGTAGTCCTCCCCTTCCGGGCGCGGGGACCGCCTGACGCTGAAATCGCTATAGTATCCGCGGCCACACCCACTCATATCTGCATCGATGTCCTCTCCCTCCCTATCCATCCCTAGCCCCTCCTCCTCCTCCAGATCGAGCGCGTCATAATTTGACAGCCCAAGCGGCGAAGGCGGAAGGTGGGATGGAACCTCGTATGTCCTCGCCATCGGTGCTACGACGTCGCGCAGTGCAAGTGCAGAGACGAGCTGCGAGTGTGTCCGTTTCTGTGGGACGCTAGCGGGTGGCGGCGGTTTAGCCTGTGCCGCTTTCAAGACACTCAGGCGCTGGCGGACGCGGTTCATGATGGCGGCCTTGCGGAGTTCGTTCTTCTCAGGCCGGCGGGAGACGGGCCATGAAGCAGAGCCGATACGGGCGACGCCGCGGTCGGCGATGTTGCTCGCCGGAGAGGAGTAGGGGCGGGAGAGGCGGGAGGTGACGAGACCTAGGCGCAGGCGGCGCTTCTTCTTTGTGGGGTGTGGGGAGCCATCGACGTCCCAGAGGGGCCGGCGGCGTTTGAATGGAGCGGGGCGGGGTGGTGCGGGGGGTAGTTTGGAAGTAAACGTATATTTGCTAGAGGGTGTGAGGACGAAGGTGAAGGTGAAGGTTGTCGGGGTGAGGGAGGAGGTGAGGGTGTTGACCCAGTGGTAGGTGGTGGTCGTGCTCATGCCGGTGTTTCGGTATGTGGTTATGGTTTTGGTTCTTTTGGGCCGCTATATGCGGGCGAAGTGGTGCTATAGAGGCGTGTTCATCGCCTCAACAAAGACGAGGACACGATCCCGCTCACTCATTGGTGGTCTGCTGCGGAGTGGTTGTGTGGTGAAAGGTGAGGGGTGCCGTCAGAGAATATAACTCGATTCGTTGTCGTCGATGGTATAGATGGATATAGTGCACTGAAGACGAAGCAGATATGAGGCCGTGAGGATGAGGAGAGAGTAGAGGGTGTAGGGTCACAGATAACAGCGTCGTCGGGGTAGTCGTGAGGTGGTCGTGTGCCTGTTGGTGATGGGTAGTGGAGCAGAGTGGTTAGTAGTCTGGTAAAGTAGTCGCATTGGGCAGAACCAGCATCTTAAGGTATGAACCGCGACTAGGAGCATGACAGGCTCACACCAAGGATACTAGCCAGACATCAGCCAGGCCGTATTAGGACGAAGAGGCGAGAAAGATGGAAAGAGGCGAGGAGAGACGAGGGGAACGTCGCATCGCTAGCTGCCGCAAGGGCTGTGAGTGGACGAAAGGGGAGAAGGAGGAGGGAAGAAGGGTGGAGTTGAGAAAAGCCAAGAGAGAGGGATTAGTAGTTAGTACAGTAGCATATGCTGTAGTAGTACTATACATTCAAAAGTATAGTATGGGGATGGGAGGGATGGGAGGGATGAGAGGGATTAGAGAGGGGAGATGCATCGGGGACTGGGGGGAGGACTGGGAACGGGGGACTGGGGCCAACGCGGAGTGCGGGGAAGGGAAGGGAGGAGGGAGTTGATGGTGGAGAACGAACTCGGGAGGGAAGGGACGGGGAGCGGGGCGGTCATTTCCGCTCCTGGGAGTTGACTGGCGGCACTCTGGCTGTCAAGTAGAGTACTTTTGGGATTCCACAGCCAGTCCACAGCCAGTCCGCGAATCAGGGGTCGAACAAAAGAAAGAAAACATCGGAAAAATACGGCCCGTCGTGGGTTCTGGGAGAGTTGCTTGGCCTGGGTCCACCAAGTCCACCATATCCACCATATCCACTCATAGTAGTAAGGTAGTAAGGTCTGGGCGTCGGTTGTTGGATCGATGCGGATCGAGCCTGCGAGTAAGCAGCTGGGCAATTGGGAGTGGTCACGCGCCCATGCTTCTCGCTCTGGCTCTCTTCGTGTGGCTCTGTCGGCGCTGCGGCCAATCACTGTCGACACGGCTGAAGATGATCGCCAGGATGAGAGAGGGGGTGGTGTGGGAAGGGATGGGAGGCGATGTGAAGGGGTGTGGGAAGTTATGGCCTGTGCATACGTACTGTACTTGTGTGCATGCTGTACTGGGTCGTTGTAGTATTGGATACAGTATCACTCTGTTCTGTGGGAAAGAGCGATGTTGTGTCCAATACCAACCACACGAAGAGTATCACCAGTACTGCCTGCCAAGTCATGCTCGAGTTGAGCAGACGCTCATAACCCAGAGTACAGTGAACTCGGCGCACACAAAACACCACCCACGGCCATCCCTCACAACATCCCTTCAATACCGATCCCATCCCAACCGAGACCAGTTTGATGAACCGACCAGCACATCCCAGTCCCTTCCCAGTCCCACTGGCACTCCCTGTCCCACCTCCCTTCTTCCCCGACCCCCGCCGAGGCGTTCTCGCTTGCCCATTCACTGCTGATTCCAGCCTACTCCAGCCAACTCCCATCGATCCCAGTCTGAGCGACTTTCCAATGTGGCGTCTGTGGCTTCCAACAAGATGAACAGGGACATTCACTAACTCGCCCCCTCATCGTCCCAACCCAACCCATCGGCATCGGGGAAAATCCCTCGCTCTTTGGCGTCAGGCTTACGAGACAACACCTGGAAGCCGACGTCTAACTCCAACCACCACCCCCCGCCTCTTCTGAATAGGGACGCCGGCATACGTGAGCCTTGGAGACGGCGGCATGCCTGTAGTGTACTGTACGTACACCGTACACCGCGTTGGGGGTGTCATTCCGGGGAAGAGACGAGTATGAGCACCAGAGTACTCGGTTTACTATGGCATGTAGGGGAGACCCTGTTGTTTCTCACCTGCTTGGTTGGAATCCCAGTGGACAGACGATTGGCATCTTTGGGAGTGTGGATAGACATCCTCTGCGACTACTGTATGAATGGACATCCTCCAAGACTATGGATGGGCAATACTTCAGCGCCGCGGACATAAGTTGGAACGAACAAACGTACGTATGCGCGCTGGGCGCGTCAAATTTCCATTTCTAACACACCACCACTCCGACTCCCCTGCGGCTGGGTCTATTTGTGGAGCAACCGATGAGTTGGACGTTTTTGTTTCAGGTCGCCTCCACCTGCAACAAAACAAAACATAATATAAGAGAGAGAAAAAAAAGATTTGCCTCCGGGGCGAATGCCAGAAGGGGATGACAGGGACGCTGAGTATTGGATTTGATGGCCTGTACAGCTGGCCAGATACGCTGTTGACTGCGAAGTCTTGTGTCTTGAGTTTGTTGGTTGGAGCCCCGTGTCTGGAGTCTGTGGTCTGTGAGGCTGTGATTAGCAAGATCTGCCTTCTATAGGGCTTGCGGTCTCAATATCTTGGCAAACTGTGATCAGCAGAGACTGCGGTCCGTGAGGCTTCATGTCTCAATATCTGGGGCCTGGCTGGGAAGACTGGAGTATGATATGCGAGTAGTCTCCAATCTATGAGGCCTCTCCAATCTGTAGGTCTGTTGTCTCCAAGGTCCCCAATCTGTAATCTCCAGTCCCTAAGATCTATCACTTAGAGGCCAACCCGTTGAAAGCCGTGAATATCGCCACGGCAATTCACTGTGTTGATTCACGCTGATTCACACTCGTTCACGCTCCAATTCAAGCACATGATTCATGATTCGCACAATATATATTCACGTGATTTGATTTACCAATAAAAGCGTGACCAACCTCGACGACTTCAACCGATCACGTGCTGCACGTGCTCCTGGAAGAATTTCTTTCAAAATCATCGCCGCTCTTATCGCCAATCATAAGCGAGCCAGGCTTCACTTCACTCCAACATCCAATCCAAGGTACTTCACACGCCATTTTACAGTACAAAAGTACTTCCTTCTCTCTAATTCCACAATTCCACCGGCGGCAGTGGCCACTGCTGGACCAGAAAGGCGGACCGAAGGCGACCATCTCCGACCACGCCTGGAGAAACAACCACCGCCTACGCCTACGGCGATAAGCGCTACATCCATCCACCACCAACCCTTCACTCCACAACCCACATACCACATACCACTTCCACCTTAACAACGTCGACGACCACCAACGACCACCAACGACCGCCAACGACAGCCAAACGCCACTTCGGATTCTCCGTATATTCACTCTGTCGACAACAACGCCCTACAACGCTCTACGCCACCCAAGTCGCCGACTGTAACTCTCGCGTCTGAGGCACATAAGGGAATGAGATGAGCCGTCTCTACAATGACGGAAAGCCAACGCAGCCACAATAAGGTATGTAGCCCCCAGACCTCCTCCCTGCGGAAACAAGACCACAGGACTAACAAACTCTTCCCAGCGAACATTCGGCGAGATGTCGAGCTCAATATCCATGGCCAGACGCCCCTCGGCCGACCCCTCGCCATCCTTCCCCGGCTCGACCTTCACCTTCCCCACCCCTCCGCCACCACAGACACAAACACACTCCCAAGGCCAGCGCCGCACGCCGCATCCGCACAACCCTCCACGCTCCTCGCCCTTCAGCGTCATGCTCGACCCACGGCATCCCCCTTCTCGCCCGAGCCTTGACCGCCAGCCCACCGTCATCGATCTGACAGACGACCACCATGAGCGCGCGCCCTCACAATCACGGCGCTCGTCACAGCGCTCTACTCTTCCCCCGCAGCTGGAGCGGTCGGATTACACGACACTTGGGGACGTCATCAGCATCGAATCCGACGACGATGACGACGAGGTCGAGATCGTATCCTCGCGAGCCCTCCCGTCACGACGACCCTCGGCCCCTCCTTCACGACTGCGGCTCCCCCGCCCACCTCGATCACCACGCCAACACGCCGGCCACCCGTGGCCTCATCTCCCCAGTATGCTCCCGCCGATGGACGCCCCGGAATCGATACTGGACAATCCAAGCCTCCTTTTCGGCGGGCTCGCGGACATGTTCCCAGGCAGTTGGCGCAATCTGCAGGGAAACATGGAGCGGTACGTGTTGGGGCGGCAATCCGAAATAGGGCCCATCCCGGTGCATATGCGTGGCGCGTCGATGAGGTTCCGTACATTTCCGCTCCATGAGCATGTGAGACAGGAGCCGAGGAAGGCAGAGCATGTGCCGCCGCCGCCGGTGGGTGAAGGATTCACGCGCTCGCCCAAGGAGGATGACGTGATTGTTTGTCCAGCGTGCGACGAGGAGTTGGTGGTTGGACCTGAGGAGCCGGCTGCGGGGACGACGCCTTCGTCGACGGGGAAGACGGCGGCAAAGGCAAAAGCTAGGAGTAGGAAGGATAGGGAGGAGCATCCATTTTGGGTGGTGAGGGAATGCGGTCATGTAAGTGTATTTCCCTTGCTCTCATTAAATCCGTTGAGATAGTGCATGTGCTAACATAGTACCAGGTCTACTGCAACAAATGCTACCAGAGCCGCAAGCCAGACACGAAGTCAACGAGCAAGAACTTATTCCCCGAGGTGCAGAGTGGCGCGAGGAAGGTCCCGCTGTGTGCGGTCGATGACTGCACGAGCGAGGTTGGGGATAAGAAGTTCTGGGTTGGAGTATTTATGTGACGAGTTTACGTTGCCGCGGACAAATGGGTTCGTTTTATGACGACTCGCCGATTTTTCGGCGCGGATTGTGTGGAGTATTCAAGAGGTACAGACAGAAAGGGATGGGTTACCATCTCTACGGCGTGGTATATGGACTGCGTTCCCATTCAGCACTCGACTGCTTTCGATCTCTGTGTTTGGTAAGGGTAACGGCAGTGGCCGTAGAACAGGAAGGGACAGGACAGGAGTCAACATCGGATTATCGACTATTGGCTTCTATAAACCATGCATTGCATACAGCGCGGCGTACTACACTTTTGCTCTTTAGTTACTCTTCTCGGTGTTATTGGTTGTGGTTTTGTTATTTTACGGTATGCTGGGGTGGGAAGGGGGCGGCTTATTTTTGGGAAAGGGGTGCTCACTTGGGCATTGGTAGATGGGAAGGGGGGACACAGCGAGTGATGGTATGGTCTTGAGTGGTGGCTATAGCTAGGGCGAAGAGTATGAAGTTTCTTCAGCTATGTGATAATTTTATGTGTATGATGGTGATCGATACGGCTTCGTTTTAATAGTTACGAGTATGAGATATCTGTTAAACCGCTACTAATGTCCAAGTTCTAGGCTAGAGCTTCTGTTAATGAAGAAGCGGCTTATGCGCACTATCCCTTCAAAGAGGAAGAATGGTCACTTATGTCCAAGCCCTGAAGTAGAATTGCCTTTACTGAAGAAATAGATCCTAGGCACTGTTCTCTTAATTAGACAGGAGAGGTATTGTAATAAAAATATATGACGTATGAATGAATTTATTGTGTATATTGTATCTTTTATTTTTATCATAGTGAGAATGAGAATATATTTTATTTTCCACAACAACACATCAACCACCACCTAAAAACTATATTTTCCTCATCTATATCTCCTGTAGAAGGCATTACAAGAATATAGATAAACTCCCCTCTATTCTCCTTCCAAAGAACCACTTACCACTCACTCAAATGTCTATTGCGCACGTGACCAACGCACCTAATAAGGCGTGAGATGAGGTGAGGCTGAAGTCACAAACCCCAGCACGGACGGGACTGTTAGTGGCAGGTACCTAGTCCAGCCCCGCGACCCCGCCTCATGCCCACTTCTTTTCCAGTACTATTCGGAGTTATACATACAAAGCTACAGCCACCGCAGAGAAGGACAAAGAGTTGAAAGAAAGTGAAGTTGAAGGAAGTGAAGCGAATAGAAGGACGGAAGAGGATAGGGCATTCGACGACCAGGGCGTCTTTCGAGATCGACGTTTTAGACGCGGCTACTACTGTGCACTGCCAGATACCTTCGTGGGCGATCTACTTGTGAAAGCTGCACTGCGAATAGTACGGAACGACTTGGGCTTCTTAAGCAATACCGCACGACAAAGGACGTACAGGAGCGAGTGAGGGCATAGCTGCCGCGACACGACAACAACGAGGAGGACGATTCGAAAACTGACGCCATGCCGAGCAGTACTACGATTAGGAATGCGGTGGCGCAGATGATGGGGATAACGGGGGCGTCGGAGAGGGTGGCCAGCAGTGTGAGTTTTGCCCTCTGAGCTGGAAGTTTTGGAGAGGGTGGAGGTGGGGAAGAGGGTGGTATGGTGTGGATGACGTGAGTCGTGGAGAATGTGTGCTGATGCTGGGGTGTGCAGGTGCTGAAGAAGCATAATTATAAGCTTGATGCTGCATGTGATGCGTAAGTGGATCTGTGTTTCTTTTGTTTATTTGCAATGCTGGAGGATGGGTGGTGGGAGAGATGAGATCGAGGAGGAGGATGAGTGTGTTGCTCGTACTCGGACGATTGAGCATACGGGACCCCGCACATGCGGAAGGAAGGAACAACCCGATCTTCGAACAAAAGGATGGAGGAGAAAAGAGCGACAGGAATGGAACCTAGGTTTGAGAGGGCTGCTCTTTCCATTTGGCTTGGTGGTGGAGCGAAAACAGGCTATGATGCAACAGAAGCTGGGAAGGGAAGCTGCGACGCCGGCACAGGACCCAGGACGGAAGCTACGACGGGAGGTGGCAACCATGATATGAACCGGAGGAAGCTACGATGGTGGCTGCGGCCATACCATAAACAGAGGAAGCGACGATAGTGACTGCGGCCATATCGAGAACCAGAGAAGCTACGACTTGACTACAGAGATATCGACAAATGGGGAAAGTACGATGATTCCCTCACGTCCTGAACTGAGGGAAACCACAACAATGGCACAGGTCAAAATTCGGTGAACTACCCAGGACGCAAAGTGACTCAGGTCTGGACCACATATTTTTATCGACCCATGCTTTGTCAGTTATATGCTGGCTGAAAGAGGGGACAGGACTCGCAAATCGCAGAACTGCACGACGCACGGCGCAATTGATCTTGGAGCGCAGGAGCAGGAGACACATTCGTCGGTACAGGCGTAAGGAATTTGACAAACACCGCGCTCTGGTGAAGACTCAGGGAGCACCCCATGAAGCGTCATGGTTGACCCGAAGGGATTAAAGAGGCTGTTCAGCGATGTACTGCAGGAACAGGAGGAACTCCTTGAGAACAGTGAGGTTATTCTCGATTCGGAGTCACCTTCGGAATTTGCTTCGAGGGTCTATGGCGACCAACCGGAATCACAATCGCGAAAGCGACGGCGTGCTTCCATACCAGAGCAAACCGAGCTCAACGCCAACATCGCCCGCTTTGATCATATCCCTCAGGACGAAACAAGTTTCAATCCCACTGCAGCTTCCTTGCCTCCGAACCAACTTGTACCCCCTTCAAATCTGACCGCCAGGCCGGTTTTTCCACACCGGACTTTACCACTGCCAGTTCCAACTGCCGCGCCGCGACACGACCCATTTACCGCTGCCACGAATGCGCTGTCACGCCCAGCGCCACCTCCAAATTCCTTGGGAATACCCTCTCCACATACGGGGCTGTCTCAACCACCAAGGACCCATCCATATCCTTCAAACATGGTATCAGCAACTCCTGAAAACGAGGGATCGCACAGGACCCCGACTCGTACACCACTGCCAACTATGCCAACTACGCAGGTTGTACCTCCGACTGCTCAAGATACATGGTTAGGAGTTGTATTACAATCGACGGATCTTTCTATACATCAGCCGAGAGCCCGATCTGTTAGTATGCCACACGTTTTGTCTTACGGATCAAGTTCGAGCCTGGAACCTCGAGTAGAGGGTGCTGTTGCGGTTGCGGATGAAGTTGCGGATGCAGTTGCGGATGCAGATGTAGACGCTGTTGCGGATGCGGATGCCCAACCATCGACACTTCAAAATGCTGACCCAACTTTGCCGAGAGCGCAATCATTATCACCATTTCAAAATGCCCGCCTATATCGTCAAAGAGCGCAATCGTCGCCTTTGTCGATGCGGGGCGGGGCATTATGGACAGCTGCCTCGACTCCTTATCAGAATGGTCAGACACCTGTCCAAAATACCCCACTCCCATTTCAGCATGGCCAGTTTTACTATCAGAATGGCTATTCTCAGGATGCTCAGCCTTGCTCTCAGAATGACTACGTCCAGAATGCCCAGAATTACTCACAGAATGGCTACGTTCAGAATTGCTACGCTCAGCCGTACGATCATAATCGTTTGGCTTTGTTCCAGAATTACCCAAGTCACTTTCCGAATTATTCGCTTCCATTTTCACACTCCAGCGGGGTGACGGCTCGGCAAGCCTCCCGTTCTCCAAGCAGTGGGGGTTATAGTTCAAGCAGTGGAGGTCATAGTTCTCCAAGTCGTCGAAGTTATAGTCCTCCACCAGCTCCTCGTCGTCCTTATCGGGAACGGATAGCCCCTAGTTCACCAGTCCCTGTCGTGCCGCCCGTTTTAGGTTGGCTTTCCAAGCAAGAGCAACTGTTTGGTCCCCCTATCGGAATTATGCGTCACTTATACTTGATTTGGAGATCCGCTAACGCCTTGGGTCTACAGATACTATGCCTCAGGCGGCAAGCCGGCCGTTGCTCCTACTCCAGTCGAAGATAAGTCGCTGGCAAGTTTGAGTAACTTATTCGAGAAATACAGAGGTATGTATCAAGGCAACAAACATAGAGGTACCCTATAGCCCTCTCTGACTTCTGATGGTAGGGTCGGATGATGAAAAAGATTCCATCAGCGTTGACGGCACGATGGCATATCTCACAGACCTCGCTGTTAATCTCGAAGATGCTTCGTCCCTCATTCCACTAGAAATTGTCCAGGCTCCGGCAATTGGGGAGATGACGAGAGATGGGTTTGTAAAGGGCTGGCAGAAGGCTGGGTAAGTTCACCTCCTTGTTCCTACAAGAAGTTACTGACCCGATCCAGAGTCGACTCTAGAAGCACGTTAGACACAATACCCAAGCAAAAAGCATACATAGCTAGCCAGACAAAACTCCTCTCCTCCGACACCGCCCTTTTCAAGCGTGTCTACAAACACACCTTTGTCTGCTCCAAAGAGCGTAGTCAGAAAGCGCTACCTCTCGAGAACGCCCTTGTGTACTGGGAGATGCTCTTCTCAAGCCCTGGCATGTGCTGGGCTTCTGGGACGACGGACTGGCTGAAGCTGTGGCTCGAGTTCCTGAACGCCAAGTGGACGAAGACCGTTAATAAGGACATGTGGAACCAGACGCTTGAGTTCTTCACCAAGAGCAGGGAAGACGAGACGATGAGCTTTTGGTCTGAGGAGGGTGCGTGGCCGAGCGTCATTGACGACTTCGTCGTCTGGGTCCGAGAGAAGAGGGGCGGCGGAGCAGTGGCAGATAATATGGAGACGGATTAAGGGGTTCTCGACTCTCGAGTAATAAGGTATTTGAGGCTGGGCTGGTTATGATGCAATGTGGCATATGCTCATGATGAACATATTTCCTTTGCGGTCGAGCGAGCATTCGAGGCGTCTCATGGGTAATGCGCAGGGGGGAGGTCCTATTCTAGATGACAGTATCGGTAAACAGTTGCCAGATCATTAAGACGAAGTACTGCTAAGTGAATGCTGAGTTTATAAATCGAATCCCATTCGCCAATAATGCACATAATATACAGCCAGTCTTACAATATCTTTGCAAGCATTCCCACGCTCTTTGTCTTCCCCAATGGCCTACGACCTGCGCTCCCTCACCGACCACGGAATCGACCCCCCTATCCTCGCCAGCGTATCCAGCTTTCCATCCCCGAGCTTCACGCTCCCGAACTTGATCATTCGCGGGTCGAGACTGAGCGTCTTGCGCACCTGGTCCTGCACGGCGCTGTTGGCGTCGTAGCGCAGGACGAAGTGGTGTCCGTCGTGGTAGACTGCCTGATGCTTGGTGGTGCGTTTCGGGAGCGCGGTGACGCCCCAGTTTGTGATTCCGCGAATCGTGCCGCCGTTTTGGAGGATGAGGGATCCTGCTGTGCGGGCAATACTGGGGAGGGTTAGTGGGCGAAAGAGGCGCGGGTGAATGGGGGCTGAGATGGGGGAGGACGAACTCTTTCACCTCGGCGAGGCTGCCGGGGCGGACCTGGAGGGAAATTAGCAATTGGTTCGTGCGGACATAGACGGATAGCTATAGCTTACCACCGCAATCAATTCGTATAACATGGCTGAGGTGTGAGCGCAACTGATGTCGTCGTCGTGGTAGTCCTGCACGCCTCGAAAAGTATCGAAGGGCGGATTAACCATCATCCGTGCGACGCCGGGGGATGCGGCCGCCTCTTAAAAAAGTTGGGTCCCGCGAACATGGCGATAGTCGATAACGAAAAAGTACAACATCAACCCCGCCAATTCAGATTTTTGCTTTTTTCGTCCAACCACAACTGGGAATACGATGTCAAAAAGAGCTGCGGAGGAATTCGAGAGGGGCAACGCCCCGTTGAAGGGAGGAAAGAGAGTTGAGAAGGCAGATGATGTAGACGGTCTGGAGTTTGAGGACGAGTTCGAGGATGAGTTTGAGAGCGAGGATGAGATTTTAGAAGCTGGAGTGGATGGGAGACCAGATGCCGAGAGGGAAGCAGAAGAAAAAGCTGGTATGTTTATTTTTTGCGCCTCTATGCTGTCTGGCGCAAAGCTAATTATTCCCAGAGGCGATGGAGGTAGACCAACAGACGTTCATAGTCGGGCGAAACAAGCTCGAGCCTGGCCAGACGCTCTCCCCTGATCTCTCAACATACGAAATGCTGCACGCTCTCAGCACTCCCTGGCCCTGCCTGTCCTTCGATATTATCAAAGACAACCTCGGCGATAACCGTACCTCGTTCCCCGCAACCATGTACGCTGTTGCAGGCACGCAGGCCGATGCCAAGCGCGAGAAAGAGAACCAGATCATGGTTATGAAGTTCAGCGGCCTTTCCCGCAACGAACGCGACCAAGACTCTGAGTCTGACTCCGACGAGGATGAAGATTCGGATCCCATCCTCGAATCAGCCTCTATCCCGCTCAACACCACCACAAACCGCATCCGCGCCCACCAAACCCCAGCGTCGGACTCCTCCCGCCCCCCTACGACTCTCACAGCCACAATGACAGAGGCAGGCCAAGTCCTGATCCACGATGTCACGCCACACCTTACCTCCTTTGACACCCCAGGCTTCACTATCACCCCCCAGCACAACAAGCCCCTATCGACTCTGCGCATGCACAAGGCCGAAGGGTACGCCGTGGACTGGTCCCCTCTCATCCCGACGGGCAAGCTCGTAACCGGTGATAACACTGGTTCTATTTATGTCACTACCCGGACCCAAGGCGAGGGCTGGGCCACCGACTCCCGCGCCCTGACTGGCCACACGGGCTCCGTTGAGGAGCTCCAGTGGTCGCCTTCGGAGCGCAACGTCTTCGCCTCTGCGTCTAGCGACGGCACCATCAAAGTCTGGGATGTGCGCTCCAAGTCTCGCTCCGCAGCCATGAGCGTCCAGGTTTCGGAAACAGATGTGAACGTCATGTCCTGGTCGCCGCTTACGACGCATCTCCTCGCGTCTGGCGCCGATGACGGTGTCTGGGCTGTTTGGGATCTGCGCAATTGGAAGCCGGCGCCTACACCAGGAGCAAGCTCGAAGCCTACCCCTGTCGCGAGCTTTGGGTTCCACAAGGAGCAGATTACGAGTGTGGAGTGGCATCCGACCGAGGACTCGATTGTGGCTGTTGCTGCTGGAGACGACACGCTTACACTGTGGGATCTGGCCGTGGAACTTGATGAAGAGGAAGCGAGGGGTGGAGAGGAGGGTGTGCCGCCGCAGCTGCTGTTTGTGCATTATTTGGAGAGAGTAAAGGAGGCGCATTGGCACCCGCAGATCCCAGGCGCGCTGATTGGAACGGGAGAGAGCTTTAATGTCTTCAAGACGATTAGTGTTTAGATTGGTGATCAAGATCAACTACAATTATTCATCAAGAAGTGCTAGCGCTCAAAATAGACTAATTTATGAATTTTTATTGATTTGATACACCGTTGAGCGTGATATGGACTCCCGAGTACAAACGCCTGGTATCTTCCCACCCTACATAAAATCATAACCATGCGCCAGTCCCGTTAACTCCTAAAGAAAGCCAACATCATCAACCAACGCGCAATTATCCTCCAAACTCCAGATAGTACATCCCATTCCCAAGCGCCATCAGATCTTCCCTGCAACCCACCACCACCACTCCCCAACGGTCCACCCTTCGATCCCCGTCCCAGGTGCAACCTCTTTCAACGCATCCACCCCAAATGCCCACTCCAGCGCCAATCTTGCCTCCCATTCTTCCAGCGCCGGACTGAGCAGCCGTGTAACTTCCTTAGCCTCAATACCCGGCCTCTGCATAATCGTCGCCAGCACTGCTCCCATGACCTTGCGCCACAAACCCGGGATAAGCTGATCGTTGATATCATACCACAGAGGCAGCGCCCCGTCGTGCGGTTTCGGCGGTGGGTTGTGCTGGACGGACAACATATTTGAGCGGATCAGAGGGTGTGTGTCATCATAGACGTAGGTATCCGAAGGCGAAATTTGGATATCAAACAGTAACTTGGTCTTATCCATCTTTTTGGTCTGGTAATTCCCCTCCGTCAACCCAAACTTATTCATTGGAATCCTGTGTCCAGTCTGAACGATCCGTTGCGCACTCTGTAAATTTGTCGTAGCAAGAATTTCTCCCTCGCTCGCCGTATATTCCAGCATAACTATCTCGTCCTTCCTGAAAGCCTCATCGAGGCACGCCTTGTAAGCTACCGCCTCATTATAATGAGCTTGTGTCAGAATACGCGATAGAGCCGCCGTAAGGACATCGGTGGCTTCAAAGCCGCGGCCTGGCGCCGGACGGCCTTTGTTTACTGGCATGATGACCTTTGCTTCGACCAGTTGCGAAATCGCGTCGCGCATGATTTCTGGGCCAAGACCCCGTAATTTAGCGGATGCAGTGGTGGCATTAAAGCTATCGACTGGTGTAAGCGTGCTTGCTCTTGCCCATGATCGAGCGATGCGGAGCATGTCGTCTTGAGGACCTTGGGGCGCCTCAGGAGGTTGTGAGGCTGGCAATGTTAAGTTGCTAGCGGATGCGTGAGCAATACGCTTATGCACTGGCAGTGTACTAGAGAAATAAGAATCCCTCCAGTTTTTCTCTTCGACGTCCTGCAACTCATACATCTCATCGAATTTCTCTCGAGTACTTGGCAAGTCCACGGTAGCCGTCCTGACGAGCTGTGTGCGTTTCATAGCCCAGTCGATAAGTGCATCCCAATCGTAATCAAGGAGATGGTCGTAGTCCATTCTAGGAAGTTCCCCAGACTCATAAGCAGCTAAATACGCCGTCTGGAAATCTTCCGTCATTTTGATTAATCGCTTTGCATGTTTATCCGCGAGAACATTGAAGTGCCGACGAACCCAGTTCATGGTACACTGTGGAAAGAGTCTTGATACGAGGACCCAGTCTACACTCTGGTCAAGGCCGCCAGTCAGGGTCCGTATAACGACAACGGCGACGATGAGGCGGTCATCAAGAGCCTCAGAGATAACGGTCCGTTCATTTGTACGTTTACGGTGACCGGATATTCCGTGATAGGAAATAGATACCTCGAAATCGGGATCGTTGAGAGGTATATCGAGGCCTTGGATATCAACAGGCAAAGACGTGTGGCGACGCACGCGGAAGTCTTTCGACTGAGCTGCACGGCGATAAGGCCGTTTGAGGCGGGGCTGGCCGATCAACTGGCTGCCAGGCAACTTTCGCTTGCGTGAGAGATAATCAAAGTCAGATTTCGTGGCCTCCACCATTCCAAAGAATGATGAGGCTTGTTCTGTTCTCTGGCGTTTTTGATAGCCCCGTCTAGGTTTGCTCTTTACAGTCGTCGAAAGGAGTTGTTGTACGGGATCGACAACAAGAAGTTCGTAAGGCAGAGTTTCCAAAGTAAAGGAGTTATCAGCCAGCCAGGATAGGGTAGCTGGTTCGGTGGTTTGAGGTCCCCTTAGCTCTTCAGTAGTGTGGTTGATATAAATATGGTCTGGCGCAATATTTCCCATCCCCAATAAAGTTCTGCCTCCGATGGTTTGTTCCCATTCTTCTGTTGTAATGATTTTGGCCATGAAATCTGTGTATGAGGATCCTTCCCTCGTGTCGAGCTCAAACCCTTTAGCTTTCATCTGAGACATGATGCTTTCAAGGTCCTTGGGCAGCATATCTTTGAACGAGGCAGCAGATCTTGAGAACAGACCTTTGGATGCTGCCCAGGAGCCCACATCTGCTGCTGCGATAGAACTGTCAGGGGTACCGATCCTTTCAACTGGTGATTTACTGGGAAGACTAAAGCCCGGTGCTTGTTGTATAAGAGAATCGAGCCCAGGGTTGTTAGTCCACTCTGGCATGACAGACTTTGTCCTCAATCTGCTGTCAGGGAGTGGTAGTGGCTTGAAGTCGGGCCAGGGCATCTCTTCGCCTGTGACCGTAAGGCCATACGGACGCAGGTCGTCCGACTCATCGTCCCATCTAACAGATTTTGGTTTCTTTGGAGTAAGCCCCCCTGAAAAATTTGACCCTCGCCCATGATTCCAAGAACCTACGGTGTCCTGGCCGAAGTTTTGTCCTGCAAGCTGGTCTCTGGCTCCAATTCTCGTCTTGCGCTTTGATTTGTGAACGATAACTGGGCGGAATATGTTACCAGGTGACTTCAGCTGTTGCTGGACTGCTCCACGCTTTGCTGACATGACATGAATGGCGTTGACGCCGTGACCAAATGGCCGGAAAGTCCAAGCTGGGTTGTCGGCGGTTTGCATATAAGTCACTGGCTCTGGTAAGTCGGATTTGCGAATATGGATCTTTGCCTGCATCTGCTTTGATGGTCCTTTGCCCCATGACCCATCTGTGTTTTGGAGGAACGATGGTGCTGTTTGCCAACCATGGAGCTGAACATAGTCTGCCTGCTTTTGCTCTTCAGCAGTGAGAGGTTGCTTTTCAGGTTCAACATCTGAAGATATGAAGTCAGAACCCGACTCATCTAAAGACTCGCCTACCACATCGCCATTTAAACGTCGGTCTTTTAATGTGACGCCCTGAGCCTTCAGCGACGCCCATAGCGCTTTCATTCGTGATGACTGTCCTTCTCTGAAGCTATCACTACGTCTGTGATACAAGCCATTCTTCCGTCTCCTTCGTCGTCGTCCCATATAATACTCCACGTCAGTCTCGCCCTCAGCATCTGGGTCAGGGATGTAGAATGGCGCATTGAGAAGAACAATCTCATTCTCGTCATCCGAATCTTGTTCTCCGTTGTTTGTCGTTTGCTTTTGTGCTTCCACAATACTTGATATAATACGGGCTTCTTTCAAGGCCTCGGCTTCCTTTGCAGCGCGAATCCTTGGATCCTCTTCCCTTTCTTTCGCAAGCATGCGCCTCTGTCGTTCTTCTTCGGAAGGTCTCGACTCTCTGGCCTCGAGCATTGATAGCACCGCCTCAGGTGGCTCAAAGTCAGGCGGACAGTAATACCTCGGAAACACCTCTTTAATATTTGCTTTGATATCATTTACCAAAGGGCTCAGTGGATTGACCCCCTTTTTTGTGACAACAGTGCGCGTACGCATACGGCCGGTTCGATCTCTGAACGAGAACTTGACCTTTGTTACAAAGCCACCGTCTTCGAGAAGCCCGACAGCCTGATTGCAGTACTTGTAATCTTGGATCAGAGAGTCTGGGTACTTCTGCATCCACGCTGCATGCATTGCAAACCACAGCCCTTGGTCGCCTGGGAACGCACCGCCGTTCGCTTCTAACAGATCTAGTATAACTTCTTTACGCTTCTGAGTGATTACCGGGCCTGTTCTCCTCTCGATGTTGTCCCTGTCATTTGCCGTTGGGTATTTCAGTTTCATCCTGGCGGCGAGCATGGCGCGTTTCTCAGGAGTAGCAAATTTTGAAGGGCTTTCATCAATAGCTGTCACGGCCGCCGTATCGGCTGGGATTGGAGTTCCAATTCGATGCGAAGGCAAGCTCTGAGCCCCAGGTTCTTCGAGGTTAGTGGTTTCTCTGAGCTCTTCGGATTCGACGGTCTGTTTACGACGATATTGTCGGCGCTTTGGGCGACCACCATCGTCATGAAGTGACCAACCACCATCTTGATCCCTTTGAGCACTGACAAGAGCAGCTTCTTCTGGTGTAAGATCACCAAGGGCAAACGATTCCCTGCTTCTCTTTCTTCTCTCTTCGGGTGGAGGAGGTGTCGGAGGCCGAGTCCAATTTGGATTGCAAGTCACCTTGGCCTTGGTCTTGTGGTACTTGACGCCTTCGTAATTCTTCCAGGCGCCTTCACATTGGTCGCACTTGAATGGTTTCGGGCCGCCATCCGGCACTGGGAATGCCCAGGGTGGTAATGGTATTCTCTTGTTCTTTGGTTTTTTCCTTCGCATCGCTGTGCCAATTTTGGCTACGAAAGTTGTGGCAGCCTCAATCGACGTAGGATCGACGAGGAACTTAACTTCTTTTTCCGCGGTCTCGTCAGATTCCTCTTGAGTTTCTTTAACCACAACAACTATCTCGGAAGTTTCTGTGTCTACGGCAGGAAACACCGAGATTTTGGATATTTCGATCATCCATTTAGATGTCAAGTCTTCTGTATCGAGTGGAAGGAATTCAAGTTGTGTCTCGATGTCATTCAGACACAGATTTCCAGCAATACCATCCTTGGAAGCAGAAATATGAATCAGTTCCTCTGCATCATCTCTGCCGGTTGGAATACCGGCCGTGTCCACATCCATTGCCTCTCCTTCATCAGGTAATGCAGTCTCATTACCATTCGCAACAGCTTCGGGGGCAGCGGCTTCGACCTCAGCTACAGGCTGGCTAATTATTTCCCCCTCGGGTAACAAAATATCCCCCTGAGCATTAGCTGAAGACTCAGGAGCTGTAGATTCGATTTCAGCCACAAGTTGGCTGGTCACCAGATCTTGGTGATCAGAGGCAGCTGGGGAAACTTCACGTGGAGGTGAGCTAGGGGAACGAATCGCAGCAGTGTATGGCGACTTGTATAGCTTCGATTGAGCTGGTTGAGAAATGGACGAAGCCTGCAACACTGGAGACACCTGTGCTTCAGGCGAAACTGCTTTAGAAGGTCCAGCTGGGCCGTCAGTAGTGGTGTATGGCGATTTGTACTGGGGCGTAGCGCTTGGGTCGAGGCCAATCTGCAAAGTTTTGGGTGCCGGCGTCCCCATACTTTGCGGCTGGGGCGCTGGCGTTTTGGAAATTTCTGGTGACTTTGCATATGGCGAGTTGTATCCTCTAGCATATGGTGATACGTAGGCGGATGGTTGCGAGGAGTCTGGTACTTGGGGGCCATTGGCTACCGCCGCCTTGGTCTGGCTGCTAAGAGATGCAAGCCTTGGGACGGACGGTGTTATGGGAACGTTTGGATACGGCGATGTATACGTAGACGTTGAGATAGTTTCTTTTCTAGAACTGTCGATCAAGTCTTTCTTTGTAATCTCTTCACTGTATTGGGCATTGGCAACTGGTGTTGCTACGGCTGAAGCAACTTGATCTTCAAGGTTGTCATCGCCTGCGGCCTCTGGGATTTGGGATATGACTTCCTCGGCCTCGACGGAGGCTTTATCTTGTGCCTTCGGAGGCCTTGGAGCTAAATCCAACTCCTTTAATCTCTTAGACTTAATCATCATCATCATCCGCTTTGGTTTTCGCCCCCTTTGGAGCAATCCTGACGGCCCTCGAATCTGTTCCGGAACTGGAAAATCGGGAAGGTCAAAATAAGCACCAGGAATACCAGCCTCTCGTTCAAGCTGGTCATTGGACGTGTACGTGACTGTCTTGGCTTCCGTTTTCCTAGGTCTGCCTCGGGGCCTCTTTGGAGTTTCGGGCTGTGATGGCATAGTAGTTCTAGACGGCGCCATTGTAGAAGGCCCCTTGATAAGAGTGCTGGGTCGTGCTGCCTTAGTTTGCTTTGAACTTCCTTCTCCCTTTCGAGGAACAATATCTGTGGTTGCTGTGCGTTGTTTTGTTTGTGGCGTATCTGTACTTGCAATACCAAGCGACGACGCCAAAGGTTGAGGCGCAACAGTTGGATAATTGGAAACATCGGATATTCGTCCACTCGTTTGTGTAGGTCGGTGCAAAACAGTCGCGCCATCCCAGGATGATTCTCCGTTACTAACACGTCTCTCAAAGCTTGACATCATATAGTACTGGTAAATTTCCCTGCCGGACTTTGTAATAGGCTCCCGCACAATGCGTATCGTCTGTTTATCCGAATTCGACGCCGAGCTAATGTCAAACGGTGAAAACAGCGCAACAAGATCCTCATTTGATACAGTCTCGGCCTCTGCAAGTAAATCCTCTTCCGAAATTCCCTCATCTCCAGGGTTGGTTTCAATAACTTGCTCAATGATGTCCTCCACCGATTCTTTGGTAGTGGTCATGGGTGCTGGCTTTTCAGAAGCGTCATACGCTTCCTCGTCTTCTCCATCAAAGAAGTATCCATCAGACACTTCGCTTTCCTCGGCTTCGACATCATCGAATGCATCTTCACTCAAGTCTTCCACAGCATATTTGCTAGGCTTACCCTTTGTGCGTTTCCTTGCTCTTGGCTTATGCTCGCTCTTTGGCTTCGCTCTCGATGGCCTATTCTTGAAACCTTGGCTCGTGAGTCTCTTTTTGAAATGAGACCACTCATCTTCCGTAGGATCCCGGAGAAATTTTATGCAATCTTTGAAAATCTTTGGATTGTTTGGCAGGAGAGCGCTGACTCGTTTACAGACTTTAAGCTCGAAAAGCTTACGCATAATCCGTTCCAGAGTCTTCCTTAGTCGAAGATCATTGATATTCATCTTTGCTAATATGTGAGTACGTCGGATCACTCCCCATGCACGCATAATGGCCACTGCAGTGCGGGCGACCATCTCAATGTCAACGAATAGGCCGGACCAGTGCTCATGACCAGGGACGGGCTTGAGATCCTGGGTCAGCGTGCTTGCCGGCAGCTCAGATGGGTTGATAATATCTCGTTGCGCAGCATTTGCCTCCAAGAAAATCTTATGCGTGAGAAGGCTAGTCTTTTGGTTGAAAGCTAGTACCTGCTTTTTCTCGATATACCCCTTTTGCGCAAGGAAATCTGTGCGCCGTGGAACAGATCTTTTATCTTGCCCGGTGGTATTGCGAGCCTCTGCTTGGAGTATCCCCTTATTTCCTGCGGCTGCAATGGCGAGCAGTAGCTGCCACTCGGAAAAGGGGAGCTTCGTCTTATCCACATCATGGCCGGTGAGAACAAGCCATAAGCGTCTTTGATTGACATGGACTCGAGGCTGATACTCGATAGTTGGGACCCCTGTTTCTGCTTCCGGTGGAGGCTCGAGAAGAAGAGCAGGGTCGATTGCATTGTTGAGTTCATCTTGGGCTTCCTCTTTTATAGGCAGGGCCTCTGCTTCGTCCAAAGACAGCTCTCTTCCTTCGCCGACAATGATATCATCACGTGCAACCAAAGTATCCCAGACTCTGGCCTGGAAGCTGCGGTCAATGATGGGCCTTTGTGATACTTCAGGTTCCGGTACGGGAGTCAGGAATTGCTCTCCATTTTCATCACCGACATCTTCATGCTTGGCGTCGAGTTTGGTCTTCTCCAGGTTATCATAGAAGGTCTCAATGCGACCGAGCAACTCAGAGACAGAGAGGCCTATGAATCAGGTTAGAAAAGTTCCGCATATCGATTTCCAAGCTTGGCAAAAAATATAATAGCAAAAGCAAAAACGGTCCTGCGAGGGGATTGAACCCCGCACTACGGGGCTATGATAATGTGTCAGGAGCGACAGCTCCCATCAGACCAAGTAGCCACATAATTTGTGCACTGCCCAGAAATCCGCGAGTGTATACTCCACCAATGGAATACCATATAAATTCATGTTTATTCCATCCCTGATGAGGGCTTGTGATAATAGCTAGACCTTCCCCTCCAGCAAGGCTGACGAACGGACTCGCAAGGCTGTGGGCGCATTACCTTTATTCCAATCATTGATGGCAAGCTCCTGGACCAGGAAGTCAATCAGGCCCTCAAAATCATCGGCTTCTGAGTTCTCCATCTTGCAAAGCGGTTTGCGATCATTCTTAGCGTCGTGGAAAAGGTTTCTGTGAAAATGGTTCCGGAGGTCGAACTCGAGCGCTTTTGGTGGTTTGATGTGAATTTGAAGCCGTTATGCCACTTTTTTCTTGTGGCGGATTTTAGGCGAGGCCCAGCCATTGCATTTGCAGTACATTCATAACTATCACGTGACATTCCACTTTTCAGCACCAGCAATCTATCATGAGAATATGAAGAGGATATTAATAATAGATCTTAAAGCTCCAGATAAATGGCCTACATGCTCGATTAGGGACGTCTGGATAATTTCGTGGCACTCGAAGTTAATTCTCGGACCGGCACAGACTCTACGAGGAAAATATTACAGGAACCCCTAAGTTTGAGATCGAATAACTGCAATGATATTTGTCCTGACCCATGAATTTCTATATTTTGAATCTGCCTCTCAGTCCTTCTTACTCCTCAGAGCCGCCGCCTCGCGGTTTTCCTTCATCATTTGCCTGTACCCTTCAACAACGCTCTGTCTCACCTCACCCAACTCCTCTCTCCTCCTCAAACTTCCTGACGCTTTCGGCACATCCTCGACCTCCACTCTTGCCCCTCTGACCTTGAATTTCTCCTTGGGTATCTTTGTAAATGTCGGTGGCGCTTGGTAAACATCGCTAAGTCTGTTCGGGCCTTCATTCCTCGTTTTCTTCAATATTGCCCATGGGTCGTCGTTTCCATCATCAATCTCTCCAATCGCCTTCTTCTTCTTTCCCTTTCCATTCTTTTTCTTCCCAGTCTGGACAGTATCCTCAGGGTCGAGTTTCCACTTCACTCTTCCCTCGTCGTCCAGCTCCTCTTCCTCAGCCAACTCCATGGCCTCCTGCCGTCTATCCTGTATCTTTTGCTCCTGTTCACGCCATTCCGCATACATTCTATGCATTCTCTTCTCTGTCTTGGTTCGCCCCACCTTCAACCCTAATGGATCCTTGCCGTCCTTCCCAGTCTTATTGATCAACCCAGAAATCGGCAGTGCGGCGTCCACCCTAGCGGAGAATTCTGACATCTTCTCTCCCGGCTTAATCCTTGGTATCTCAACCTGTTCAGGATCGACCTTGGGTGCCTGCGGCTTATTCCCCTTCTCTGCTGCCGCCGCAGCCTGCTTTTGCTTTTTCGTCGGCTTTATGCCATCGTCAAGGCCTGAAGGGAGCTTCTTGCCCTGCTGAAACATCATCAGGCGCGCAAATGCCCTCGGAGTATCATCCGCATCATCTCTGCGCTTCCTCTTGTTTGGCTTCCGCGCCGGTGCGCTATCCGAGCTGAATATGCCATTCGATTTTGCGCCTCTGGCAACTGCGAGTGGTTTTGCGACTTCGGATGGAGGGAGATCGGCGCTGCACTCATTAGTATTGTGATAGGTAGAAGAAAATAGAGCAGCTCACGTTAGACCGTCATCCTCAGCTTTACTGCGCTTGTGTTTCGTCGGCATCTTTTAAATTTGTAAATTTGGTAGTTGCGACGGTGAATGGCGAGGCTGAGATTGAATTTTATCAGGGTGGTCGATTAGATCTCTTGGCGCCGTTTTTGGCGTGGCTGGCCGACTTTCCCGTGTGGGCCTCAGCCTTGTGGGACTGGCTATCTCTTGAACTTCGAAGGCGCAACTAAAGTTGACGTTTGCACATCAAGTGCGATTGTTCAACTTTGACCGTTTTAAAATTAGACATATGGTCTGTGTTATTTCAATTGCTGGAATTTGATTGTTACAGCAACTACAACTTAAGGCGGACATCGCCACAAGAGGAATCGCCCCTCGGCGCATTTGAGCGCTTTTATCATGTCTGAAGCCGGGCCTTCATCCACCGGTCGCCGGATCTCGACTGGCGAATTTACCGATGATGATAACTTAGATATCCCGCTGAGAGATATTCGCGAGGCCGAATTTGAGCGCCTCGAGGCCGGGCCAGTGACCAAGGAAGCCGTCGAAGAGGAGAAGAAACAGAGCAGCCGATGGCCTCTATGGCCGTTAAATAAACGGCGGCGCTCCTCAGCTGGGTATGCGAAAGTGAACGATGACGACGACGATGCTGCTACCCCTTTGGCAGCCAAGGGCCTGAAATCGAAGCCGACGAAGAAAGCGAGCGGCGGGGTATGCGGGGGGAAGCTAGTATGGGGAATTTTGTATGGTTGCCCCTGAGACATGTCTGACTAAATTCTAACGCGTACAAAGCACTTTTCTCATCATCTCTAATCTGTGCTTCCTCCTTGCCGCGTCTTTCACAGGTCAGATGCCTAACCCACTCTCACGCTGGGGTGCTCCCGGCACCTCGAGCGAAGGCCTCTCCTGGTACCCGACCGACTTCCTCCGCGACGTGCAGCCAATCCCTTGTCACTCGCACAATGACTACTGGCGCACCGTCCCCCTTTTCTCCGCGCTCCTCGCAGGATGCATCAGTGTCGAAGCAGACGTGTGGCTCTTCCCGTCAGCGGAAACCCTCTTCATAGGACACAACACGGCCTCGTTGACCGACAACCGCACATTTACATCTCTCTACGTTGATCCATTGGTAAAGATCCTAGAAGATAACAACCCGAAGACCGAATTCAACAGCGGCTCAATGAACGGCGTCTTCGATGCTGACTCCAGCCAATCCCTGACCCTCCTCGTTGACGTCAAAACCGATGGCACACAAACCTGGGCAGAAGTGCTGCGCGAGCTACAGCCGCTGCGTGAGCGCGGCTGGTTGACATTTATGGAAAACTCCACCGTCCACCAACGACCCATCACAGTAGTCGGGACGGGAAACACTCCCTTCGATGTCCTCACATTCAACTCCACCTACCGCGACGCCTTCTTCGACGCCCCCCTCCAAAACATGTACGAGGATGCCAATGGTGTCGCTTCGAAAACCACCGCTATCACCACCCCCGGCGGCCAAGGCACAACCGGCACAAGCGCCACTGATTCCTACACGTCTCTAAACTCTTTCTATGCCTCAACCTCGTTTGAAGAAGTTCTCGGTAAAATGTGGTTCTTCAATCTCTCCGATGAGCAGAAAGAGACGATTCGCGGGCAGATCCGCGGCGCGAAGCGTAGGGGGCTGAAGGCGAGGTACTGGGATCAGCCGACGTGGCCGATGCATGTGAGGAATGAGATCTGGAAGTTTTTGTGGGAGGAGGGTGTTGCGGTGTTGAATGTTGATGATATAGAGGGGGTGAAGAAGGTGTGGTAATGGGATGGTGTATCACCTCATTGATTTATGCGCTTCAGTTTCAAGCGTTTATATAGATAGCGGATGGTAACTATCGCATTCGCAAGTAATTCTAAATGGTATCTGCATGTATTTATATCCCAATATACACAAAGTACGCTGTGCTTTCCATCTCCAGCGCAAGGCTCGTTCAATCACCAACACCCGTGGATGCCAGCTCGTCTGTGCCTTCGTCCATATGATATCCCTTAACGCCTAACAATGGTCCTAAAATGAAAATTGCCCGCCTCAACACTTATCGCTACAACTCAAGAACAATTTTCAGCAGCATGACAACCAGCGCAGTTACGACGCCCAGGATCGCGCGGTCGACCCATGGTGGCACGCCCCCGTTCGACCAGTCGGGCTGATTTTGTCGGACCTGCTGCATTTGTTGCATCTGTTGCATTTGTTGCTGAGGCCATGCATGTCCCTGTGCTATAGCGTGGAAATCGGGTTGATGGCGATGGACTGGAGCTGGTCCAGGGGCATAAGCAGGTGCTGCGCTTGTAGGCGTGGGTACTGCTTGTCCTGGTTGTGCGGCGGCGTATTGTGGTTGCCACTGAGGTGGTGGCGTGAAAGTTGGAGCCTCGACTGGTATGAGAGGAGCGGTTTGTACAAATCCTTCTGCTAGTTCCGCCTCTGTGTCTCCCGTTCTTTCATCGGCTGCGGCTGAACTCTTCGGCGCGCTGCTAGCCTCCGCGCTGTCTTGTGGTTTCCCAGGCCCCTTCTCGATATCTTCCCTATATCCCAGCTTCAGTTCATCTGGTACTGTATCCTCCTGCCTCGCCTTTCCCTCTGCTTCTAACGCCTTTGCAGCTTCCTCACTCTCCTGTAATATCTCCTCGTTCGACTTCCCGCATCCCTGACACGCCCACCCTCTCGACTGGTCAGCGAGCTGCCGGCGCGTCGCATCCGTCGTGTCTAAACCGCCAACCTGACCTGCAGCTGGTGTCTCTAAGAATGACCGCAGCGCGACAAGCGCCGTTCTCACACCCCACGCGGGCATCCATGTCTCCTCATGGTGGCCGCTAATGCTAAGACAGATCTCGCGGTTCACCTCGAAGCGGCCGCTGGGGGTGAGGAAACGGAAGGAGGGTGGGCGGAGAGGGTAGGTAGGCGGCAGGACGATGCGGCCATGGTAGATTCCCGAGGAGTAAACGGAGGTGGGTGGTCCGCGAAGTGTGAAGTGCCAGGTGAAGAGGTCTGTTTCTGTGGGGAGGGCGTGGAAGTCGGCGGAGGGTGTTGAGGAGAGTTCAGCGGCTTCGCGCACTGTAGATTAAGCACGGTTAGTAGGGGACTCGTAGATTGAAGGTACCACCGCATCAAGGTACTGCGGCGGCTGCAAGCCGCCTTGGGGGTTGAGTGGGGGGGACAGAGGGCGCTTACGGATACGGCGGATTGTAGGTGACTTGGAGTTGATGCCTTTCGTGGTCATCGCGGCTGTACGGTCAAGATTCTCAGCTTGCTTAAGGTAGGAAATAGCTAGGTGTCATAGGTTATGCACTGGTCTCTGTAGAAAGCGGGTGCTCTTGTGCTGAGCCTGAGCTAAGGTGGCCTTATCGGTTGCATCAGCCACGGCCGGGGGCGATATGGCGATCGCGGCTATTGGGACACGGCACCGTTATAGCTTAAGCGCGGCGATCCACACACGCACAGGAGTGAGCTATGATGTAGTTTTTGGTTGGTTTGGTTGCCGACCGGGTCGCATATGCGGAATTATACGCTCCCTATAAGTGGATCGGTGATATTATTCCTAGCCCTATCAGCCCTGGTGAGGTATTAGAGGTCTGTATATGCTGTATCTTGGACGTCCATGAGAGAATTTCACCACCAGGGCTAAATAAATGCTTTGTATTCCAACGTCAGAAACCACCGGCAGAATACAAAAAGACGCGGGCGGTCAAGTTCCGTACCCAACCAATGACGTGATGCCCCGAATCCACGATGTCCCGCCGTTGGGCACAAGCAAACAATTCTTATGCACGAGGCACAGGGCGCACAAGTACTAACAACCTCCAACAACCACTGGTGGCCAAGGGATGATACATTTCGATAAGACAACACTCAAACACTCATATTATAAATATTAAGCCAGATTTACATTTTGCCTTTTGCCTTTTAAATACCATCATTTCCAGAGAGTTATATGTAACTCTTGCCATGACCTAAGTCTGATTAATTGAATAATTCCTGTCAAAATCTTGAGAGCTGGCTGGGCCGATTTTTAAACAAGGTACCTCTCAGCTGTGTGCGTCACCTCGGCCTGGTCGTATTTTGTGTGCCCGCGCGACCTGCGCGATATCTTGCCCATAAATCAACGTGCCTTATATACCCGTGTCGGAGCTGCGGATAAAGGTAACGACCTGGCAGCAGGTTCTCGCTACTCTTTTCCCGGTTGCTCTTTCCAGTGTTGATATCGTACCAACTTCCCAATCGACAACTCGCGCTGAGCAGCTCTATTACAACAACGAAGCGCCCAAGCAAGCCAAGAACGAGGCTGCAGTCACTTTTCAGCAGCTGAAGTTTCCGCAGGCGGCTGCCAAAGCCGACCAAGCATCATGGGGATACTGCAAATTACTGGGCTGTGCGGTGCCGCAGGAGTATTGTGGTATATATGGCGCCTGAGAAACAACAAGAGCATCGAGGTGCCACAGAGGCGCTCATCTGTAGCTCCTCATCCTCCTCCTCAACCCCGGGAGCTTATTTTAGGTGAGGTACATTGAGAGTTGTATGGCCCCTAACCATGCTAACAGTTACTAGACGCAGAGGAATCGGACCCAGGCTTGCTCAGGAAGCATTCTGAATTCAAGTCTTTCACAACAAGCCGATTTACATATCCCAACGTTCGAGTCTTCCACCGCAAACATACGCAAGCCGAGAAATTACCAAAAGTCCCCGCGCCCCTGCCTCTGCTTGTGTTTATCCATGGGTTAGGAGGCTCAGCTGCGCAATTCCATCCACTGTTAACAAGCATGGTTAATGTCTCATCATGCATCGCCATCGACTTGCCCGGCTGTGGACGGTCATCATTCGAACCAAGGTCATGGGATGCCTATAAGACAGATGCCCTCGCTGAGCTGCTGGAAGTCATAATCGAGGAATACCGCGAGAAGGATACGAAGCAGGGCGTCGTCCTGATCGGACACAGCATGGGATGCTCGTTAGCTGCACTTCTTGCATCAAAGAATTCGCCGTCTTACAATGGCCTATCTGAGCATGTCGTGGGATTCATAGCAATATGCCCAAAGGCAGAACCACCGAACGAGCAGCAAACAAAGTTATTTAAGAGACTTCTATGGGTGCCTGGGACTATCTTCGATCTCTTCCGACGTTGGGACAGGCGTGGAGGGGTCAATAGTGCGAGTGTTACACGATTTGTGGGAGAGGCCGCTGGCACAGAGACCAAGGAGTTGCAGCTACGGTTTAATGCCCAAAGTCGGACACCGGTATGGAGACGAATGGCGTCTGGTAGCCTTCCCAGCTACCGCGATGGCGTAGCGGAGGGCGGGCTGCCAGGCAAAGAAATCTGGGCTGGCCTCGATTGTCCGGTTTTTCTCGTTGCTGGCGAAGCCGACCATGTCACGAAGGCTAAGGAGATCGCAATTATCGAGGGTTTTATGGGAACATCCCACCCTGTCCAAAACGACACGGATGACAGAAGCGAGGCGATCAACGATTCTGCCGCGCCTTTTGACTCTTCTATGAGCCGCGACGATAGGGCTAGTATGGACGCAACATTTGATGACGAATTAGGTACTTTTGCAGATGAGTCGTTCGAGGATACCGGATCTATGACCCCACCGACGCCAGAGAGCCCAGACGACATTGAAGCCATCTATGACGATTCAGACGCACCACAGAAGGAACTAGGTTCCCTCCCACCGCAGCCGCTTAAACCGAAAAAGGTATTGAAGACCACGATACTGCCAGCACCAGCTAACCACGCCCTTCTTTACATGCCCGCCAGCGTTCGCATACTCGCTGGTCTCGTGTCCGATTTCCTTGGATCTCATGTGACACAGCGTCTCTCTCTTGGCTGGCAGCTACAGTTCCTTTCCACTTCTGGCAAGTGGGACGTCAAGAACCTAGCTAAGTGGCAAGCCGTTGCACCAGTATCCGCGCCTATTGCGGGAATTTTCCGGGCAATGAAAACACTAAGGGAAGTGGACGAGAACCACTGCCCTGAAGTGTTTGCGAGGGACTGGAGCAGATGGGTCAAGGATGTTGTCGATATCAGCCACGAAGCACCAGTTTATGACCCGCGTGGCTTGGAGAAGGGGGGCATACGGTATCACAAGCTGCCCACAGTTTCCAAGATCCCCCCCACGAGCCAGGAAGTCACTGAGTTCATCAATTTCGTTGATCGATTGCGAGAGGAGCAGAAAGAGCGAAAGCTGACGAAAGGCTGGGGAGACGAACTTTATATTGCGGTCCATTGCCACTACGGATTCAATAGAACTGGCTTCTTCATCGTGTGCTACCTGATTGAGAGGGAGGGGTACGAAGTGCAGGAAGCGCTTGACGAGTTTGCGAAGAGGAGACCGAAGGGGATCAGACATGCGCATTTTATGGACCAGCTTTTTGTGAGGTATTGTAAGGGTTTGAAGGAGGCGCCTACGTTTTGATTAAGGAAGGACTTGGACAGCATAGACTTGCCGGCGTTAATGGTGTACGATGAGGGAGGACATGCAGCTAGGGATTGTGTTAATAGATGGTTATGAAGATACCCCGAAGCAATTCCTGTATATTAGGGGTCCTGACATAGAGTTATGGAACACGGACGCAGGCATCCAGCAGGATAACGAAGCCAAAGCGTACACAATAATGAATTTTATGACCAAGTTTAACCTTGACAGCATATATGTGACATTTTATTTGGATTAAATTAGCGTTTGTCATTTGTAGGCCTCCAATTCGAAGAGGAAGAAGTAGTTGATATCAATAGCATCATGGAAACTCACGTGATATATAAAATTTATGGTCCAACACGTGATTTGTTAACTGTCACCCCTCTTAGCGTGCCAAGACCTACAAGCGAATTTCGCGCACACAACGTCAAAATTATTACAGGTTCGTCGTTTCCTCAGCCATTCCTCGCGACCACTTCGACAAGAACACGACAACCTCTCCTCCTCAAATATAAACCGCAATCATGACTGGAGGTGTCTCTGTCCGCGATGTTGATGTAGGTACTCTCCGACACTCCACACCCTGAATGGGCCCCCTCGTGGCCTCGACCTCTCGAGACTTCTCACGAAATCCAACGGCACGACTTTCGATCTCGGAGATGCGCGGAAGATCAGGGATCAACTACCATGCGTCGAAGATGAGATTGCGACGACGGCCTGGATAATAGGAACATACATACACATACACAATTGGGAATGAAGAATCGAGCAGGCGCGAGGGAGTCGGAATGACTTCTGTTGACGGAATGATGCTGATTCGAGGTTGTGATGCAGGCGCAAAAGTTCATCAACGCATACTCTGCTTTCTTGAAGAGACAGGGAAAGCTCCCTATCCCAGGTACGTATTTTCTCTTCCCCTCCCCTCCGTCGCGACAGCAGGAGGTGGTAAAGAAGTTATTTTCAATTGAGCACTGGCTAATGCAATATCACAGGTTGGGTTGACACGGTCAAGACCGGCGCTGCCAAGGAGCTCCCACCGCAGTCCATCGACTGGTACTACGTTCGCGCCGCGTCCATCGCCCGCCACGTCTACCTCCGCAAGACCGTCGGTGTTGGCCGTCTTCGCAAGGTCCACGGCTCCACCCGCAACCGTGGCTCGCGCCCATCCCACCACGTCGATGCCTCCGGCTCTGTTGACCGCAAGGTCATGCAGTCCCTTGAGAAGATCGGTGTCCTCGAGCAGGATGAGGACAAGGGAGGCCGCAGGATCACCCAGTCCGGCCAGCGTGATTTGGACCGTAAGTTTTTCTTGCATGCTGCTGTGATAGACATGTGATGTTAATATTATAATAGGTATCGCCCAGACCACCCTCGAGGCTGAGGAGGAGGATGACGAGGAGTAAATTCTCGGCTCGCTCTGAATTGGACTTGGAACTCGGTGTGCTTTTCGGGCATGGGATGAAAAGGAGTTTATAGCATTGTGGACCGCGTATCTGGGTCGCAGGTGTACTTCACATATCATGAAATGGAAAGCTCTGACGACCATGAAAATATGATACCCTTACTGGCTTGTGACCTCTTTTCCTAATTTTCTGATTTTCTATTGTGAGCAGTGACGTGACGTGGGAATGTGGTTTTACTTGGGTACTCTTACATTTCGTTCTAACTCACAATCACATTGTTAGTAGACTTCGCTAGCATTGTGCAGCACATTGGCGTATTTCATTCGCCTACTTCGATCTTCCAATCCACATACCAACTACTGTGGCTTTCCTTCAATACTCTTTACATCTTCCTACAATCACATTGTGAATACTTTTCGCCAGTATTGTGAAGCTCACTGCCATGCTCACTGGCGCACTTCGAAGTTACAACACATACATCAACGATTTGTCCTTCCCGTCTTCGATGTAACACCCAACGAAAGGATTTGCTCAATCTCTTTTCTAGGCCTTCACTTTCCTTCATTCTCCTATTTCATCTTGACGTCCGCGTTTCAATTTTCACTACGCGACGTCATCTACTCGGCTTCGACTTCGTCTGGCACTGCGTCTCTTCTGTTGCTCAGAAATCTCTCTCCGAGGATAGCCTGCCATTTCATAATTTTTGAAGACCCCGGGTTCCAAGCAAAGCTTCAAGCTGGCCTTCATTTTCTATTCCACGTCAAACTCCTACACGTGAATGGTCTCCATTGCTCTCTTACTTTTCACATGGCTTCGTTATAAGCTTCTCTCGTTTTTCATACGTTCTGTCAAGCTTATATGTTGAAGCATCCACTTCAATACGGCTCTTTCTGTAATTCTGGTCGGTTTCAATTTCACTCGGCGCGATTCACCAAGCATCACTCAAAGCAGATTCAGTTTCAATTCTCAGCTGTTATATCATATTTCATTCTGCCGCCTCCACAAAGTTTTCACAAACGGCCGCTCTTCTACATCACCTCGAGCCTCAGTCACCATTACGGAGCCTCACGAACGCCCTGGACAGCTTCAAAATGGAGCCTCCCGTGACGCCCCCGCGAAGGATACAATCCTCACTTCGGCAGACGCATCGACACCATGAAGACGCCACAAGTTACGCCTCTCCGCCTAAGACGCCAATGTGGAGATCAGAACGCCTAACACCGACGGCAAATACATCAAGAAAAAGGGGGAGAGATACCTGGGCTCCGGCGACGCCGACATCACTTCCGAGGCGCAAAAGACGCGAGGCTGTCACGGGAGTATCGGCTGAATGGGCAGTTGGAGATGGAGAGGATATTTTCGAGGATAACGGACCAGTGGGAACGGAGACCGAGGTTTCTATTTCTCACGCAATCGCAGCGGTCGAGCCTCTTGCTACTGGAGATTCCCTCGGAAATGAAAAGCAATATATCGCAATAGCCGTCCACTGGGATGCGGATGTCATCGGGGTAGTGTGCCCCTTTTGCATGGAGACGGAAATTCACCTTATGCCTCGCCCGAGCAACACCTCGGATATCGACCTGCGCGTTCCAGACTGTGACCCAGGAAAAACATTCAGGCTCTTATTTGCGGGTGATGGCCATCCAGCCGTGAAGGGTCGTAAGGCAATTTGGACTGTCGAGAGACGAAGGTGGGAGGCTGTATATATCGAAGACTTGTGCTCTGAGGTTTCTGAAGGAGGAAGCGAAGTTGAAGAACTCGAAGACAGCACAACGGAAGAGCCCATCCGTTCCGGAGACCTGCATCACGGCGACCCTGAAGAAATCCTGGAAGATAGGGAAGAGGACCAGATAAGCACATCGAGCGAAGGAGAGCTTCCCATTACAGCTGATAACGACGTGGACTTGCCCATTGCATTCTCTAGCGATGAGAGCACAACGGAAGAGCCCATTTGCTCCGGAGATCATAACCATGGCGACCCCGAAGAAGTCGTCGATGATATGGAAGTGGACCAGATCATGATTCCGAGCGAAGGAGAGCTCCCCCTTGCGGCCGATGGTGACTGGGACTTGCCTATTGCCGTATCCGATGGTGATGAAGAGGAGGCAATAACGCTGCAGGAAAACCCTGAAATTCTGCGCATTGCATCCAGCCTATTCTTTAAACCGCCCCCCGAGTATTTGACTCTCGGCCACGGGCAAACAGCCATCGTATACCGGCCAGTGGCTGTTATCCCTGTTCCAGGAGCAGTGGAGAAGACAGTGGGCTTCCTGGCTCCGACGGAGTCTTCAACAAATCGAATATTTACTCGAAGTGGCTGGAAGGGTGAGGAGATATCAGGTGCAGACTGCGCGTGGCTGCAAGACGCATTGTGCACAAACAAAGAAGCACCATGGCAAGAGTTAGCTATCATAAATAATAGCAACTATACGGACAAAGTCAGGGAACTCTCTGCGCATCTCGGTCTCGAGCCAAAATATCATAATTATGATAAAGAAAACCCCGTCGGCCAGGTTTGCTTCTCACATGTTGAGAAACAACTGGTTGTTGTGGCGCTCGAGGAGCACCAGTCTTCAAGGCACCTTGCGTCCACGGAGTCTCTCGTCAAGCGCACGATCTACCTGGACCGCGCTCCATGTGCGGGCTGTCTGGAGTTTGCCAAGGCTGTAGAACGAACAGTTCCCCTCAGATTCACATTCATCGTCATGACGCGAGTCATGAGCGATGTGCAGGTACGCAAAAAATTCGGAAAGAGAGATCTGGGAAAGGAGGGGGAGGACAAGGAGACGGATGATAGTGCAGATGACGAGATATCTCCCGACCACCAACAATCGTCTATCTCGGAGACGACGGGAATGAACAAGGAGACGCAGGATTCTGGTGAGGAAAGCGGGGACGTATATGAGGTGTCGGCAATTATTGGCAGGCGAACACTACACGGCGAGTTGGAATACCTTGTGGAATGGAAGGAGATGTGGCTGAACAGCGTCCAGTTTCAGGCGCAGGTTGAAGGATTATATGCCAAGGACTTACACGTTGTCTGCGAGATGACTGGGCGGAAAGGCGAGATGAGACGTCTGGTCAGATGGTCAGAGAGTTGGATGGGTTATAAGGACCTGTACAACTCGAAGAAACTTGTCGAAGAATACGAACGCAAAAGGGGTTTGATGGAGTGAGCAGGGGGGAGGGGTGGGGTGTCAAGTGCGACTGTAGTGACAGCCGATTCAAGATGCATCTTCACAGGCCATATTATGAATATGGTTGAGCAATGATATGGGATTAAAAAGGATTCAAATGAAAGCCTCCTGCAACAGTGTTCCAACCCTCTGATCGGTGACCCAAAGTAATAACAATCAATATGGGAAGGCCGCGACGTGTGCATATATATCTCGATTCCGTAGAAATATCATAAATGACATACTAACATGGCCTTGAGAATCCAAAATGCCAGAAAGTAAAACCGCGCGCGTATAAAATAAATATATTGCTTGAATTAACTTTCAAGGGTTCGAGGTCTTGTTAGCCAGTTCGCTCCGCTATCTTATCAACGTGATGACGATCGCGGACGATCGCTTGGGGTGTTAGCGCGAAGTGCTACATGGGAGGAAGCCAAGCAGCTCGAGAACCAACCTCGTCAACTGGCCCATTGAGCCCAGGACAACTCACGAATCTCAAAACTCAACGGTGGTAGCTGGGCATAGACGGCTCTCAGAATGTCGCTGTTTGGGACCTCCCCAGACGAGTCTGGAGCGGCGTCGACTCCAGCAAAATCCCGACAGACGCTCTTCGACGACCCCAGCCCTGCCAATGGCTCGCAGTCCTCGCTGTTCGCAGACGATGATAGCACACCTGGCGGGTCTCCATGGGGAATGCCGACGCCGAAGAAAGCTTCGAAGGGCGAGGTGATCAGCACGCTGCTGTCGGGGGGTGATGCCCCGGATAGCTATGTCGACGTCTTTGAGTCCGTACAGTCTAAGGAGTTTGGGCAGAGCGGCACCGTGGATGTGGCGGGGATGACGAGAGTCATGAATGCGGCGAAGCTGGGGGCTGATCAGCAGACGAGAGTTATGAATACCATTGCTCCAGCTGGCAACACACTGCGGCGAAACGAGTTCAACGTCTTCCTAGCATTGGTTGGCTTGGCGCAGGAAGGGGACGACATTACACTCGATGGCGTGGATGAGAGGCGCAAGAGTAGGCATTGGCTTCACCAGTCTAACAACGTCCGCTGACATATCCAGAACTTCCGCAACCCGATTTGCACAATCTCTCCACAGCACCCGAGGGTTTACCTGACACTTCCGAGCTGGCGTCTAAGCCGCCTCAGCGCCCCGCAACTCCTCCTACCAAATCCATTCCTACTCCGAAATCACGGGAAACACGACCCCGAAGAGAATCTCTAATTGAGGACGATCCGTGGGGAAGTCCTGCGCTACACAAGGGGCACAATCATGGGGTTCCTCAGCCCGCACCTGCTCCCCGCCATGTCGAGAGCACTGCGACACGGACAAACGGATCATTCGAACCATCTGAGAGAACTACTAGCAATTTTACAACGGAATCTGTAATCGAATCCACCAATGGAAGCAGGGAGTCAGCACGAGAATCACGCCCAGCCCCAAATAGCCTTTGGTATTCATACGACGGCAATTCGCCTAATTCATATGGCAGCGGCCTGCCTACGGGTCTAGAACAAAATGCCTTTGCCGGCGGCTTGGGGGATGATCCTCACCGGCCACCTGTTAACCAACACCGAGCGATTGGTAGCGGTGGTCTCACTGGGAACGGGGTCGAGGAGAATATCCTAGTCACTCTGCTGCCCGAGAAAGAAGGTGTATTCTTGTTCCAGCATCATAACTATCAGGTCCATAGCCCGCGAAGAGGCAGCAAAGTTGTCCGTCGATACAGCGATTTTGTGTGGCTGCTTGACTGCCTACACAAGCGGTATCCATTCAGGCGATTGCCATTGTTACCGCCCAAGAGGGTTGGTGGTGCGTAGTTCTCCCCTCACGCGCCTGCGAAGCTAATTGCAGCAGTTAACGGGAGTTATTTAGCAGCAGATAGTACGTTCATCGAAAAGCGTAGACGGGGGCTGGTGCGGTTTGTAAATGCTCTTGTCAAACATCCCGTACTTAACCAGGAGCAGCTGGTCGTTATGTTCCTGACGGTGCCAACTGTAAGATATTTCTCTTTAATGCCATAATTTTCTTTGGCTGATACTGACTTAGCGCCAGGAGCTCGCGGTTTGGCGGAAGCAGGCCACTATCTCTGTTCAAGAAGAGTTCACAGGCAAAGCATTACTTCCCGGGCTCGAAGATTCCCTGCCACCTACATTGAACGAACTATTCGAAACTACAAGGTCTGGAGTACGCAAGTCTGCAGAGGTTTATATCAATCTCTGCACACTTATGGATCGCCTTGCGAAACGCAACGAGGGGCTTGCCGCTGATCACGGGCGACTTTCGACTTCTCTCATGTCTTTGACTGATGCGTCTCATGCTACGTATGCCATTGACACAAACGACGTCCCGCTTCTTAACGAAGGACTCCTCACAACCGCGAAGCATGTCACAGACAGCCAGTCCCTGCTCCAGGATGAAGCACGGGCCTGGGATGAGGGCGTGCTGGAGGATCTCAAGAAGCAGAGAGATGCGCTTGTTAGCATGCGAGAGATGTTCGATCGTCGCGAACGCTACGACAAGGACAACATCCCGCAGTTGGAGAAGCGGATCAAGAGTAATGAAGAGAAGCTGGCGAACCTACGATCGAGACCAGAAGGAGTGAAGCCAGGAGACGTGGAGAGGACTACGGAGTCCATCCTCAAGGTTTGTGAAGCCCATGCACATACCTAGCACATAATCTAACATATAACAGGACAAGGAGTCGATTGTTGCGCAGCATGCGCGCGGTGTATTTGTCAAGGAGTGCCTGCGTGACGAATTGACGTACTTCCAGGACTCGCAGTACCAGGTCAGCCGGTGGAACCAGGACTGGGCGCAGGAGCGGGTGAAATACTCGGAGCTGCAGGCGGATAATTGGAGGCAGCTCAACGACCAGCTGGAGAGCATGCCGATTGGTGGGTGAGGGTGTTCATAGCTGTGGCGGCAAGGTACACACCGTACCTTTGGCGGGTAATGGGATATCAGTGGTAGGCAGTATATACCTGGGAAGCGCGTGTACTCTTCATTTTTGAGCGGATTGTTTGCATTCATAGCGTCGAGGGTTGTGATGAGCGGGATATATATCCACTGTTTTCAGATGCAAATCCAAATCAATTTCTCAGCCTCGCGCTAACGCCTGTCAACACTCTATATGCCACAGCCAGGGCAAGGACATCCCATGTGCAGATCTTTCAATTCTCGCAGCTCAAGTAGGAGATTAACATAAGTTCTGCCTTCCTGCCATCGTAATAGTTTCTTGAATTTAGTTTCGATGCATAGCGGGGTTCCAAGACTGATAAGTCGGCACAGGTAACAGGTACCTCGGCTCAACAAAGCGAGGCTGAGCAGGAGAAGTTGTCCAGGATTGTCACCATTTCTCTAGACTTTCTCTGCACCTCTATATTCTTATATCCTTGATCCTATTCAGTCTCATCGCGGCCTATATGTGCATATATAACTAATCGTTAGAATTCCACACCGCCGCATCTTTCTTCCAGTCCCTTAACTTACCACAATGGACCACCCTGCGATACCCAACGCCGAGACGTCCTTTGCGGACCTGATGGCGTTAGAGAAGGTCCCAGGGAAGGATCACACATATATGTCTAAGACGCCAGCATGGGCACCCGGCGGCTCCTGGAATTCCTTCGGCGGACACGTCTACGCGCAGGCTTTGTGGGCCGCGGCGCAAGAGGTGCCTGAAGGCTTGGTAGCTCACGTATGTGGTCTCCTGCCCGCATTGATCAAGGAAACACTTATCTAACACGCCTATAGAGCACACACGGCTACTTCACGCTACCAGGCAAAATTGACCGCCCTTACGTCTACACAATCAGTCATTTCAGCGACACGCGCTACACATGCCAGCGTTCTATCTCTGTGAGGCAGCCCCGGCGCCAGTCTAGGAGAGATGAAGAAGCACAATTCGCCATCACTGATGCAGATGGCGAGATGAGCGACGTGTGCTTCCACATGATCTGCTCCTTCAAGATCGCCACGCCCACGCTCTCCACGCACCAAGAGCCGAACTGGGGACAACAGTACACAGCGTCGCTCGGCGGGAAACGCCCCGAGGACTGGGATATCTGTCCTGATATCGATATGCCGTGGTACGAGGCGCATATCCGGAAGTTCCCTGAGCACAAGACGTTTCCTGGATTGGAAATCAGGAAGGCAGATTGCGAGCCGTATAATAAGGGAAAGCCGCCTGGGGACTACAGGCAGTTGCACTATTACCGGAAGGTGGGGGAGATGTCGAGGGCGGAGCCGAATCTTCATGCTGCGGCGCATTTGTACGCCAGCGATCGGAATGGTCTGTTTTTGATAGCTAGGGCTATGGGCTTCGGGGATCGGTTGGCGAAGATTGCGAGTTTGGGGCATAGCGTAATTTTCCATACTGACGCTGATGAGATGCTGCTGGAGGGGGATGGGTGGTGGACACAGGAGGCGTGGACAACGAGGAGTGGGGGTGGGAGGGGGTCACACGAGAGTAAGCTGTGGAGTCCTAGTGGGGTCCATGTGGCAACGACACTTCAAGATGGGTTGGTGAAGAAGGCTGAGCCGGGGACGTTGGCGATGTTTGAGGGGTTTGGGGAGGCATTTGCTGGTGGGGATGCGGAGGAGACAGAAAAGTCTGGGGATGGAGCACAGATGAAAGAGACCGCGAAGTTATAGGACGAATTACGGCCGAGATTCACAAACTTGAGCACCGTGGAGGTAATATTGTTGCACCTAGAGAGGGCATTCACACCATGACATTGCCGCCGAGCATTAAAAGCACATTATACCATAAACATAGAAAATAAAGTATTGTACATATGCTTAGTTAGCACTCTAGATATTCTAGAACCATTTCCTCGCCCGGTCTGGTCTGCATAACCTCTCTTCAGATAGTAGCCACTCATAATACAAGATCATACCGCCTAATCCGACATCTACCACAACTTATTCTCTCCCTTAACAATACCCTCCTTGGTAACCTTCTTCTTGCTCTTCTTGACCGTGGTACTTGGCGCCTTGAAGAACAAAGATGGTCCTTCGCCCTCTGCGATCAAGTGGCTCAGGTATCCCCTGTGTGCCGGGTCTCTGTAGTATTCGATATCCTTACGGCTCGTTGGGTCGGGGAGACGGTAAGAGAATGGCTTGGCCTGTGCGAGGATCGGGGATTCGGTTGACTCGGCGCTATCCTCAGCTGAGATCATTCCGAGAGGAGTGAAGGACGACTCGGACTCGCCCTTGAGGAGACGGCGGAGCGATTGCTTGGTGTAGTAGCGGGTGGTGACCTTTCCTCCAGCGGCTTCGACGGCCTCGATGGCCGCAGCTGAGGCGCGCGATACGAGGATGTTGATTGGGGTCTTCAATTCTTGCTTTCCGCGTGCCAGGAGCTTCACACCGTCGTTCTTGACACCATGGAGGCACCGCGACTCAGCCAGCTCCTTGACTGTGATCGGCTTGGTCGGGTCCAGCCTTCCCTGGTCGATCCAATCTTGTATGCGGTTGAGGTTGATGGGCGACATCTCGACGGAGAAGCTATAAACGGTTAGAAACATGCGCGCTACAGTCACAGCTGGGGTGCTGTTGCAATTGCATGGCGGGAGACGTACAAATTCGCTGCATCTCCCCCCTTCTGGTGGTGCACGACATCCTGCGTAGTCTGACCACCCTGGAACCTCGCCGGCACACTTCCGTGCTGCTTCTGACCCTTGTGACCTCTTCCTGACGTCTTTCCCTTGCCCGACGATGGACCACGACCGCGCCTTATGCGCTTGCTGTACGCCTCATCTTTGTCCTGGAGGTTCGACAGAATCGAGGCGTTTCTCGCCTGGAGAAAGGGGACGAGGAATGCCGAGACAATTCCATTCGTACTTTGGGCCGGGCGAAGAGCCGCCGTGAGTGCGGGTAACCGTGGAGGCATTGCTGGAGGTGGGTTGTTGTTCCTGGGCTTGCAGCTTCATGTTCGTTCAATCCCGACGACATTGGAATTTTAGTCGTCACGTGACATACCCGACACCCCTGTAATTCCAATGTCCATTTATAGCCTATCAATCACGGTTGGAGCTTCCGCCCAGGCTACAGCAATGTGAGTTTATTGAGAAGCTATTCCCTTCTTGTCCTCAAATTCCCCTCCCTTTCTTCAGCAACGTGAATGTGATTCTGTATCTCACCGGCGTAGTATCAACACTACTAGAGGTGGAGATGACAGCTTTTCAACTTTTATAACCCTTCTTCTCCTTACTTGTTTGCGGCGTCGGTGTTGAATACAAGTGTCAGCCAGCCATGCCTTCCTTCAACCTCAGCACGCGACAAATCATTGTGCTGTTTAGTTCTGCTGCTTTTCTTGCGATTGTTGTGAATTCTTTTATACTGTTTGGCGCAGATGCCCCACGAAGAGTCCTTCATGTTGTTCTTCCAGGACAGGCAAAACCAGAGCCTGAAGTAAGTACCCCTCCTTATCTGAAAACCCCCACAATGTCTGACCTGTGGGAATAGCTCCCGAGGCTCAAAGACTGGAGCAACGTCAATGGCGACTACGATGCGAACCTTGTGGATGACCAGCATCCTGTACATCAGCGAATTGTCGAGAAAGACGCATTATGGGATCGTTACCAGGAACGGGGGAAAGCCATATCCCAAAACTTCTCCAGCATTGTTCTAAACTACCGGGAACGGTACGGAAGGAATCCACCGCCACATTTTGATAGGTGGTATAAATTTGCACGAGACCGGAAGGTTGAAATCATGGGCGACTTTGCTATGGAGGTGGGGTCTGGAATCGTGGGCCCCTTTGAACAGATTACGGACGATTTAAGACCCTTCTGGGGCGTGGATCCAAAGGTTATTCGCTCGCTAGCGGGGCGCATGCATAGTAGGATAGACGACGGTATTATGGGCGTGCACATACGAGATGGGGCTGTGTCGTCAGTGAACCAAGGTAAAGAGGAATGGCCGAAGGAATGGGGTTTTGTTGAAATGATTCAGTCTTTCGTCAAGGACCTGCCAGATATGGATATTGCTGTCAACCTGCATAGCAAGCCACGTGTGACGGTTCCTTGGGACGAACTCCAAAAACTCCTGAAGACTGAAGAAGGGTCTAGGGTCAATACTGAGCATATAAAGAACGAGTTTTCGAAGCATCTGCCTGGCCTCTGGGAAGATGCAGCTCCGAAAGAAACTGTGGTGGATCCAGAATGGAAAGACATATCAGGACTACCCTACATGTCTACTGCAAAGGAGGCATGCCCTCCCGACTCACTCGTTCACGACGAAGAGCTTCTCGCGGACAAAGCACTCTTTCGTTACAAAAGCTTTCTCAAGTTTAGTGAACAGAGGCGAAACAACAATACCAATACCCTTATTCAAAACCAAAATCGATCCTTGGACCTCTGCTCTATGGGCCCTCTCATCTCTGATCTTCATACCATGCTTTATTTACCTATGGGTGTAATAAATACTCACCGACTCGTCCCAATTTTCAGTGAGGGCAAGACAAATGTTAATAACGACATCCTCTACCCATCCGCGGCCTATTGGACTACCTCAAAGGATACAAATTACGCGTATGATGATAAGTATGACTACGCGTGGGAGGATAAGCACGATACGCTGTACTGGCGCGGCACAGTCACTAGCCCGCCACTGGGCGTGGACACAGAGACACAAAACATGCAAAGAGACCGGTTGGTCCGCGATCTCGATGCCGAATTTCTAGGCCAGCATAACGTCACAATCATCGGCACCGACCCCCTGCACCCCAACATCTACGGCATAAACCCCAACAACGGACTCCGCAATTTCCAGGCCGCCCAGTACGCCCTCGATCACTCCGACGCCAAGTTCGTGAGTGGAGGTTGGTGTGGCGAAAACTGCGACAAATCTGGGGGCTCCTCAGACTTTCAGAACCCGACGTCGCTCGCCGAGCAATTCAAGAACAGGTTTATCCTTGACGTGGATGGGGACGGGATCTCGGCGCGCTTCCGCGCGCTGCTACAGAGCCGCAGCCTACCTGTCAAGAGCACATTGTTCAAGGAGTGGCATTCCTCGCGCCTTTTCGCGTGGGTGCACTATGTGCCGCTCAGTATCGAATATCGCGAGATATTCAGCATGTTGACGTATCATGTGGGGTATGGGAATGCGGAGGGAAATGATCGGGGTGAGGACTGGGTTAATAAGGATTTGTATGTGCAGAGGCATGAGTTTGAGGGGAGGTTGATTGCGAAGAGGGGGTCGGAGTGGGCGGCGAAGGTGTTGAGGAGGGAGGATATGGAGGTTAGTTCCGTTCTTGCTTTCCCCTGTCTTCTTCTTCTGTTATCCCCTCTTATTTCTCCTGGCCACGTCGACAATGAAGCTAATAGCTGGAATAGGTGTATATGTACAGACTACTGCTCGAGTATGGGAGAATCATCGATGATGATCGGGACAACATAGGTTACCCAGGCGACGGATCGGAGGTTGATGAGAGTAAGTGGGCGAAGCTGATTGGGCTTGGCAACTAATTCGAGGAAGGGGTCGTCTGGAAGTGTATAAATCAGAGCGAGTATATAAGTGAGGGTGCGTACGATAGTTTACAGCGGAGCTTTAATTTTGGATGGGAATTTTAGATGTCCCTGAGGCGTCAATGGCTGTTCATATTGCATATCATTCGAAAGTGGTATCGTTTAATCAGAGCATGCTGGCTTTTTGTTTGGTTCAGTTGTAAAAACATTGTGGCAGGTGACGACGATATACTGAGATCAACGTCTAGATATTGTTTTCTTTCTTTTCTTTTTTTGGCCATTTATGAGGGCCAACTGAATATATTCCTTGGTTTTTTATGTATTAACATGAGCGAGTGATTATTTGGTGTGATATAAATTCAAATCCAAAAGTTATATTTTAATTTCTAGCCTGTATAAATCGAAATAAATATCACCAATAATTTATGGCTACTCCAGAAACAAACATTAATATGAATCCACTCAGTAAAACGGGAAAAGAACCCATATATATATTCAAGCATATGTTACAATTGCAGCTTCCAGAAAATATCATAGATATAGATCAGGGGCTCAAGACGGGACAGAAATCAAAACGGCACGGTTGGAAGACAAGCACCTCACACCCAAGGATACCACCATGTTGGACAAGGCAGCCCAGAAGGTAATCACATCACGCACATGCATGCAAAACAGATTTTCCGCCAGGAACTCTTCCTCGTCCCTGCTTCCTCCATGGGACAGGCAGGACAGGCACATGACAAGCATTCACAAGCCGTTCGGAATCTGGGGAATCCCATCGTCCTCTCACTGACTTCACAAGCCGTTGAAAATCCGGGGAACCCCCATCCTCCTCCCATCTTTGTTTCCACAGACCCGACAGGCACATGATAACTGTCACCTCCTTCCCACCAGGTATTCCCCAAACAGTGTCAAATATTCGGAGTCGCTCCATGCGGTATTTTATTCGCACCGCTTATTGATGAGGATTAGAAATGGGATTCTAGATCTAGACAGCACATCACATGTGAGAATGGCACACCCTCGACTCCCGACCACCGACCCCTACCTCGGTGCACGCGTTCATCCGCACATATCGATCGGGATAATCGTGTATTATACACTCCAGGCGCGACAGTTATCCGAACCTATGGCGATAGGAGATCTTGATATAGAAGGTTAGAAGGTTTGCCCAAAGTTCGAACCAGTAGGTTAGTGTGGATTGAGGAAATATTATACCCCCCCAGCCCTTGCATACATGATAATCTATATTCCAAATTCGTTAACCACGAAGAACATTCCACGAATCCACACCAGCCTTACCCTCCGTTCCCTTCTGCCGGCTGGACCCCTGCTCCTGGCCATCCTATCCCAACAGACATGCCAATCCACTTGCCCTGGATGGGGAACACAAAGAACAATCTATGGCCCCTGGCGGGGCGAGGAACGGGGACGACGCGTGATACGGTTTACTCTGCCGTGCAGTGGTGGTATGTGATATGACAGGACCAAGTCCACTCTATGCGTCCAAGCAGGTTTATAGCCGCATATTAAGGTCTATCACTTCCCGTCTGCGGCGCCACAGCGAGTAGTGTGGCGGCGCTCTATGTGTCTATCACCTTGAGGGACGCGTAGGCTTCATTTTACCAGGTGCCATCAGCAAATCTTGTTTATTTCGTCTCGTCTCATCTCATCTAGTTCCCTCCAATCCAATCCAATCCAATCCAATCCATTCCCCAGCACTGACACCGCCGTACCTGACCGCTCTCCTGTCTCACCTCCCCCCCCCCCCATCAAGATGCATAGCCCAAGCACAGGGCGTGCGTGCCGTACATTGCATATAACCCCTAAGTCCCGTGCGCGCCCGCCACGCGCTCGGGAGCTGGACCGAGGGGGACTAACTTAACTAACTAACGCAGTCTGCGGGTGCGTGATGGGACGCGCGCGCGGTGGGTTGGCGGGCGGTGAGTGGGAGATGGGATGGTTTGATGGAGGTAGGCGGTGTGGTGGGCGGTGGGTGGGAGTTGGAGTTGAAGCCCCTTTCTTTTGGATGCACGGGGGGGTTTCATTTGCGTTCGCACGTACCGGTTATCCTCGGGTTGGTAGCGATATATGTACTATCGAATTTAATATCTCGACCCGGGGCCGTGGACAGGTTGCTTTCTCTGGTACAGGTATCAGACAGACAAACGGTGGTGGTGGTCTGGCCTGACATGGCAAGCCGGTCTGGGGGAACACAACATGGAAGGGAGCGTGCGTTTGTGATGCTGTGGCACGGTCCCGGCGGTTGGTGCGTGGGTTGGAAAAAAGGGGGTGGGTAGGGTAGACCTATTATGGGATTCCGGGGAAGGGGATACGATATTTGTGGTTGGGAGGACAGGAACGGTGGGTGAAGAATGGTACTGGTGGTGGAGAAAAGGGGATGGGATAGGGGGTTGAGTTTGGTGGTAAACGGAGGCGGACGTGCAGGAGATGAAGATGCCGCAGCACACCCTCCCTGGAGCGCCACGAGCGTCGCGTGTGTGTCGTTTCGGGCAAGAACGGCGTGTCGAACAGGACAGGAGTTTCGAATCGGTCGAGGTGAGGTTTGGTCGGGAGGAGGCTTGGCATCATCACCATCCATCCGCGACACGCGCTGTTGGGTCCATCTACAGTATCTATGGGTGGGTGGATTGAGCGGCCTGGGCAAACTGGGCGAACTGAACCGGGCTGGATGTGGATGTAAGTGGCTTGTATCAACGGTGGCAATGCCGTCATGGGTGGTGGCGAAACGAGCGCGAGACGCGAGTTGTGGGTGGGTAGTGCGTGTCAGGAGCAAGTGGTGTAGGGGATTCCCTGCATGCCGGCAATTGCAGGGCCGCGGCGGGCTGGTTGTTGTTGTTCTAGAGTATAGTACATACATACCCTTCCCAATATTTTTCTAAGAATGGTATCACCTGCAGCAAAATGCAGCGCGGGTGCCTCGGAGAAGGCTATCCGTCTGGGTTATGGTTAGGGATATGACGCGGGCTGACCTGGTTGGTTGGTTGGTTGGTAGTGGGAGTTTGGCGCCGAAGAGTCAATCCGACGATTGAGTAGCTGTAGAGTAGATGGAGCTGCGGGATACTCTAGGAGAACCATGGGGTAATATGTAGATATAGCATCATACAGCATCATCCGGCATGCAAGTCGTACGGAGGACGGGCGAGGATATAGATTAGCACCAACGGCGCGCGCCCGTCGTCGTCGCTTGCCGCTGGTGACGCTGGGCAAGGCAAAGGCAAACCAGGACAGGGACGACGAACGGGAGAGGCCCTTATTCCCGTCCACCACGAGCTCTTCTTAGATTGCTGTATCCATCCCGCCCGCCCCATGGCCACGCCACGCCAACGCCATAGTATCCGATCCGCAACCCCCTTTTCCCAGTCCAGCCCAGCACCAACATCTTCCTCTCATCCCAGCGCATCCTGCCTAGAAAATCCCCCAATCCCGCCCCCATCTTATCCCTATCCCCATCCCTAACAACAACCCCTAGCGAGGCAACACCTCGTGGGCTCCTGACTAGCGAAATCCGGGGAAGGCAGGGGGGTGTGATTGGGTGGATGGGTCGAGGGGCGTTGATGCAGGTCGCCTGTTGTGGAGACCCCGGTTTGTGTTCGTGGAGAGGGACGGGGGGGTGGGTGTAGTGGCCAATTAGAGGAGAGGGAAGGGGGGTTGCGCGTTGGGGGTACGAGGAGGGAGATGGGGGAGTGGATTTCTGGGGGAGAAGGGGTGTGGGTGGTGGAAGGAGGGTGCTGCTTTAGCGGGTGGTGAGTTAGACTGGGTTGGATGAGACTAGACTATTTTGGGAATTAGTGGCGTCGCTGTTTTAAGGCAGGTGGAGGTGAGAAGGGGCAGGTACCGATGGAAGTACTAGAAGTACAAGATGGACTGGGGTATAGTACAAGTACCTAGAGCGCGAGTCGGCGAGTCGAGTACAACAATATCTACAGTGCGTGCATAACACCCCATCCACCTCATCCACCCCCTACAAACCCGCCTCTACTGGACCGCTACGGGCTTCTATAGACCCTGTACAGCGACCACCAGCGCCTCTATCCTCAGTGGAGTCCAACTCCCACCCCGGAGTCCTGCGTGCCGTCAATTGAAGCTCCATGGACGCGGCAACAGACCGCACTCACACAGCACAGTCCAGGCCAGGCTCTCCCTCCGTACCGGACCGGAGCTGGGAATTATGGGGCGCAGAAACGCATTATGGCTCGAAGGAGCAGCTGCGTTCGTCGAAGCGCTGGGGAGGGTTTGTAAGCTGCGTTTGTGGAGGTCGCGGAGACTGGTCTGGACTGGATGGATGGGTGCGACTGCGCGCGGCTTCTAGGCTTGGGGACTGCCGATGGATGGGGATATGCGGGATGCTACGAACAGTACAGCATGGGTATAGGAGGTATGTACATACTTTCTGCAATACGACTGATTGTCTTGAGCTTTGACATACGCCTCAGACACACGGCAGCAGAGGGAGCTGATGATCGGCGGCCACAAAGGCTGGGGGGCGCCTTCCATCCCTTCCTTTCTAACGGATTTAGTGAGGGCCGGGTGTGGTAGCTTCAGGGCGCAGCAGGGAGCCATGCGGTGACGGATGCGGTCTGGATTTTCGGTTTGGTGGCGGGTGTCTCGGATGGAAATGGTGGTTGAGATTTCGTGGGCGAGGAGGGTGAGACATTGTGTTTTGGATTGTTCAGCCGCGTTTGGTTTGGAGTGATATCTCGGTAGGGAGAGTGAGGAACGACTCGTGAGTATGGTTGATATCTCCGGCAAGTATACAGTGAAGATGGTCCTGATATCTCGGTAAGGATAGAGTGATGATGATCCTGACATCTCCGGCGACGAGGTAAGCTACCACCAAACACTATATTGGCTAATGTTGGATCAATGTCAGCTCACTATATGTAAGGCAACGCAAACACCCATTTCCTCGAATCCCATCCCTCCCACCATCTCCCAACCGCCGTCCATCATCATTTACCAACCTTCTCCCCCAGTCCCTTCCCCATTACCCCCGTCCCTCCCATCCCATCCCATCATATCACATCCCCCAGAACCATGTCCCCGATCCCCTTTCCCTACCGCCCTCTACTGTATCTGCCACTCTGCCGAAATTAATTTAGACGCTCATCTGCTGTCCAGCTAGTTTGTATAAACTACAGCGTCGACAACCAGCCAGCCACTCACCACCACCCGCTCCCTACAGCTATGACTCTTCTCGCTCTCTTCCGAGGTGGATCGGCGGGATGCCAAGGGGCTAGATGGGAGGGTCTGTCTGTTAGGGTTGGGTTGGTTTGTCGACTTACCTGTATCCATCCATCGACTAAACTAATTCTCACATCACCAGGCCAGCCGCCTGCCAGCCAAGCAACACATCTAAGGACGGCTCAGGACAGGACAGGAACAGAAAGCGCGGGAGGTGATATCCCAGAACCCCGAACTTACAATCAATCCCGTCCCTGATCTCCCTCTCGCATCTCTCACCTCATCAGTCTAGGTCTACTATAACACCAGCAAGCGTCACCGGGTGGTGCAGATCCCCCATCCGCTCCCCCGACGCGCCCTGCACCACCGCTGCAGCATCGCCGTTTTGTTGCCCAACGCCCCATCATCCACCCATCGCCAGGGTCGCCATGCACGGCGCTAGGAGGGGATCGGGGATGGGTGATGGCTTGCTTGGGGGGGCGGTGGTGGCGGGTTGGTTTGGGCTGGAAATAGGTCGTTTGTATGTGGGTGAGTGAGCTAGTAGTGAGTGAGTGGGCCCCTCTGCCGATGGGTCGGGCGGCAAGAGAGAGGGAGGAGAGGGAGACGGGAGTCACAGTCGCATGGCGATGCCTATCTCGTCGTTCCCTGCGCTACGTGCGTGGGATGGCAGGGCGTGGGATGATGGATGGTATGGATGGTGGGATGGATAGTGGGATGGATGGTGGGGTGTGTTCCGAAGTCGGTGGGTGACGGTGCGTGCGGCTCCACATCGACTCACTCTGTCTGTTTGGCGCTGCTGTGGGTGATGGATGCGTTAGTTAGTTTGTTAGGCTGGTTGGGTTTAGGATGGTGAAGTACTGTAAAGTGGGTTTAGCAGTGTTAGTAGCTGTTAGTAGCTGTTAGTAGCTGTTACTAGGCGTGTGTGCTGACAGAGCGAAGAGGGCCCATTTGACATCGGCCATGGGCTAGATGTTTTGGTGCCTTTTCTAGAGTCGAGCGAGTACCCAGTTTTGATACTTTTTTGATACTTGACTTTAGACTGTGTACTGTATAGTGGGCAGGGCGGGCGGATAAATACAGACTGCCTACTGGCTTTTATCCGTACGACGGCGCTCGCGCTCCACAAATACCCGATATAAACCCGTTCTGTCCACCATATCCGCGCCGCCGCCACACCACTACCACTACAGTACCGTTGTTCTTCGCCTTCCACGCCCTGGACTGGGGGAAAAATGGGTGTCCTGGCCTAGGGGCTGGGGTGTTAAACGAGATTTGACCCCCCGTTAGGACCCCGTCAGCGCCCCAGAGCTATCCCGCACTCTCCCTCAATCTCCACGTTTTTGAACCATGGGGAATGATCGACGGGGGGCGAGGGTGATGACGACGGCTAGGACAATCAGCAGGCGTGGATCTGGGCCTAATCCTAGCTGTTCCAATTTTACTTCCCCAGCGTAGGTAGAGGGATGGTAAATGGTGATGCGCGGTTGGTGGTTGTATATCGTAATTAGGTGGTGGTGGTTGTTATCTTAGCACGACGCAGGCAACGCCCATCAGCGAGGACGGGCGGGCTTCTAGACGCGCTAGGGCGGGTCGAATGTCCACAGGGCTTTGTGGGAGGGTCGTGGTGGACGTTTCATGGTTTTTTTGTCTGTGTACAGTATGTAGGTGAGTGGGCGTATGAGCTGCAGAAGCTGCGGATACCGAGTGGATGTGTTGGAGGTGGTCGTCACGGGGTGTGCTGCATATATGTACGTAGGTCGGCATGTAGGTAGGTAGGGTAAGGTGTAGGGCAGGGTTAGCTAGCTAGCTATCTATCTAACTCTGCATATGTACATACAGAGGAGGGATGGGATGAGACAGACAGACAGACGGACAGGTTTAACAGCCGAGGAGCTGCAGGTGAATGGCTGGATGGTGGATGGTGTTTGGTTCGGCGGTTGCTTGGTAGGGAGCAAGGCAGGCACTCCCCTCGCCGGTCTGTCAGATAGATAGAGACTCAATCTACGCTCGGTAAGAAGCCGTATGGTTAATCAAATAACCACTCCTCTACCACTATATTTAATTTTGGATATATGATGAGTATACTACTCATCTATACCCTCGCACTCGGACTCGCTCTCGTACTTTCTCTTCGCTACGGACGCAGCGAATAAGCGGTGCGCATTTTCATCCGGCGACAGCTGACTGGTCGGAGAGAGAGAGAGGTCGGCGCGGGTGTAGTAGGTGCCGATGTCGAGACTGCTGCTTTAAGCTGTTGTAGTATGTAAATGCGTGAGCAGTAGCCAGAGGGTTAGTAGGGTGAGCAGTAGCAGTAGCGTCAATCGGAGAAGGAAGCGTAGAAGGGTTAGTAGAAGCTCGGGGTTAAAATGGTTAGTTAGCAGCGTGGAACGGACAGGGCGACAGACAGACAGGCACGCAACGCGAGGTGTCACGAGGAGGGAAAATTGGGTGGGTGTGTAGGGGTAGGTGGTGGTGGTGAAGGTTATGGATATTCCGGTGTGTGGATGTGCCGGGTGGTGATGGATATAGAGTGTCGTCTATATCGTATATTGATATTGATCGAGTAATGAAGTCGTTAATCAATATACACACACACACACATCCATCTAAAGCCGTCCCTTACATCAGCGTTGAATATTACAGTACCGTCCATGCTGCAGAATACCCTACCGAGTACCTCCCAGCACGATACGGCCATACCATACACCGCCGCCGTCCGTCCTAGCTGGTAGATTATCTCGTGCCGTGTCTCTCTCGCTGCCGAAGGACCCGAGAGCACGGCAACATGGTGTGGTGGATGGTGAAACAGTAGGGTAGATAGATACGATCATGGTGGGCGAGTACGGACAGGGCAGGGTAGGGACAGTACCGGTGATCCGCTTGCCGCTCTGTGTTTTGCCTGGCTGGTGTGGTTTGGTCCGTCTACTGGTGGTGGGTGGTGGGTGGATGTTGTAGTCGGTGTGTCTAGTTCGGTCGGTCTGTCTGTATGCCGATGGAGGGAAGGTGCTGGCGAACAGGTATCTATCCTACTAGACTACTTGCCGAGCTAGAATAAGGCTAGAGCACCGAGCGAGGGTACGAGTTGATAGTCTTGTCTTGTCCTGTCTTGTCTTGCTTGCCCTGCCCTGTCTTTGCCGTCCGTGTCTTGCCCTGTCCTGTCCTGTCCTGTCCGCTCACGGTCTTTTGGTGGGGTGTGAATGAACGAGACTACCATACAATACTGGCGTACCATAGTAAAAAGACGCGCGCGCACGGAGACAAGTGATGGGGACAGAACAGAAAGGTGCACGGGGTCCACATGGGTGGGACTTCCACATGCTCCACCGGGAGTCCACCGAGAGCCCATCGCCTTGTCCAGATCCGGCTTAGTGTGTATTATTGAGGTGCTGCTTTTGGTAGGAGGTACGTGCTGGTGTGAGGGAGGTGGTAGGGGGTGTGATGTACCTCTTATTTTTTTCTGTTTTTGCTAGGGAAGAGTCTGGAGTATGGAGTATGGAGTAGTATGAGAGGGAAGTATGGGGAGAGTCTGGGGGTGTACCGTGCTTTTTAGGTGACTCTGCGGCGAGACAAATGCTGGGGATGTACAGTCCATGTCACTGCCATCGAAAAGAACGAACGAACGAAGGAAGAAAGAAAAGCTCTCCGGTGGGCGGAACTACTACTATACAAAAGCCTGGTGTTTTTTTCAGATCTCGGTCTGCCGGCGACTGACTACCTACAGACGTAGCTGTAGACCAGTCAGAAGGGTGGAAGAGCTTGCGGGACTTGTTACTTGGTATGCAGAGTGCATGCAGAGTGTATGCAGAGTTGTATGCAGTTGTTTTTTGGTATGCAGGTTCGGGTGGGTGTAGGGGGATGTAGGGTGTGGGAATGACTGGTGCCGGAGAGGGTGTTGGTGGATTACTGGTGGTGGTGGTTGGTGGTCGAGAGCGGCGATGGATGGATGGGGGTGTAGGGTAGTAGTAGTCGATGTGGAAGAGAGAGCGATCAAACGGCTTTGTACTGTTTGCAGGTATACAAACGGATAGTAAGTTGAGGATGAAGTTGAGACTGTGGCGACGGGAATAAGAAGGAGACGAAGAAGAGTACATACGGCAATGAGGATGGTGGTAATTAGTATAGTTTTGTATAGTATAGTATTGTAATTGTAGTATATGAATATCACCACCACCACGATCAAATCAATCAATATATACGACGATATTCACAGTACGCCACAGGTACATGACCATCACATCCCCAGAGAAAGTTCGAGTCCTGGGCTAATCATGTGTTAGTCATGTGCTAATCCCATGCTAACCCCATGCTAATTCTCTACTAACCCAGGGTTGGAGTAGCCTAGGATTAGTCTAGGATTAGCGACAGAATTAGGACACAACCAGCACTGTCGGTACATCCAATCGGTAGAACCCTCCACCGACCAAACCAGACTACGTTAGGGAGGGATTGACCCACAAAGTACCGTCGATAACCCTTACAAGTACCCTTACGAGAGTATCCACTCATCCACCCAAGTACCCCTCTATGTACACTCCCTACACTAACCCTCCAACTTGCAAGTACCACGCGCATCAAACGCCCATCAACAGGCAAGTACACACACACACACACACGCATCATTCCGGCCCACCACAGTCAGTTTAGTAACTGGCGATAGTAACTGGCGATAGTAGAGTACTTGCTAATCGATAATACAAACCCACCACCACCACCACCCACACAACACAATTCCCTACTATTCGCACTATTCATGCCCATCAACCACACAAATCTATACTCCATATACCCTTTCACAATATACACAATATACACAATAGTTATAGAGTACAAACCACACTCTATACTCCATATACACCCATACATATATCCACCACCTTTTATACACTGCCATACTACTTACTGTATACTCTCTATACACCTTTCCCGCCACTACCATCCCACGCTACCCAACTACACCAGACTACACCAGACTACACCAAACTACACCAACCACCATCCATCCCCATTGCCTCCCCATTGCCTCCTTCTGACTGGTTAGCCACAGCTTAGGTCTTGGTCCTCTCGGCCTTCAAACCGTTCGGAACTAGGTCTGTCTACTCCTACTACGCCTGCTTGGTCCTATCCATCGGTTGTTCGCCTCTATCCTATCCACTCACCTGCCTGCCTGCCTCACCACTCACCACTCACCTCGACTCACACCACAACCACCACGATCCGATCACCACCAGCAACAAATAGACAAGAAAATTAATCCTGCTGCCACAACTCCCCGACCCTTTCCTTCATTCTCTCTCCTCGATTGGCAAGCTATCCTTCACCCTCCCAACAATCCAAAAACAATTATTCAACTCGACTGCATCCCTCATTTCCAGTCCGAGTCCCACCACCCACCAACCACACAAACCGCCAGCCGATCGCCGCCGCTCCCTTTGACGAATCGCCGACGCAGTTCAACAATACCCAACCACAACCACACGCATTTGTTGTAGCATGATAGCAGTCGGACGACGCCCTCACCGCGCCGCTCCTCCCTCGACTCCCCGTTTCGCTGCGAGAGACACCGCCCAGCATGCCTCTCACGACGTCATCCAACGCTGCAAATACCATTACTAACGGCGTTATCAACGAGAATGGTACGTAAACCGCCTTGCTTGCTACCAACTCCAGCTCATTGCGCACGGCACCACGCTGCCCCGGCCGCGCTGCAGCGAGAGAATGCCAGAAACTAACTTTCGCCCTTCCAGTTGATCCCGCTCTGAACCCCAAGGCTGCGACGGCCTTCCCCCCGCCGAAGACCGACAAGCCGCGGCCACACATCTGCGCGACCTGCACGCGCTCGTTCGCGCGGCTCGAGCATCTCAAGCGCCACGAGCGCTCCCACACCAAGGAGAAGCCCTTCGAATGCTCCGAGTGCACGCGCTGCTTCGCGCGGCGGGATCTGCTCCTGCGCCACCAGCAGAAGCTGCATATGACCACTACGCCCTCGTCACGGCCGCGGAACCGCCGCGAGAGCGCCAGCAGCACGGCGACGTCCGCCGCCAAGATACGGAAGGGCTCGGTGGCCAAGGGCCATGGTCAGATGAGGCCGCGCGCGAACACCATCAGCCATGTCGATAATGCGGCCATACACCTGATCGCGCCGAATTCCGCGAACCCGAGGAATATCGTGCAGGGGACGCATAGCCGGCATGGCAGTCTGATGGGGCTCTCGGCGCACGATAGCTATCATCTGGCGGGGATGTCGGCGGCGCTGGGGCAGCGGGGAATGTCTCACAATGGGCTGCCGAAGCTGGATATGGATGGGGTGAATACGGCGACGATGGGCGGGGGATTGCGGACGGCGCCCGTGGATCCACGGATCCTGGCCGAGTTCGACTGGGATATGTTTAATCGCGAGGGCAGCACCGTCAACCCCAACGCATTGCACTACAGCGATTCGCCACAGTCCATGGCCATCGACTCGGCCTCGGCCTACCAGCACGCATTCCCGGATATGACCGGAGGCCAGCCAATGGAGGAGAACTTTGACTGGATGAACGGCTTCGAGCACCAATTGGACTTTACCGCAAACGAGAATGCCATTGACGGCTCGTCGCCCTCGGCAATCAGCACCGCGAGCCAGAGCGGCATCAGCGAGGTGATGCTGGACGGCTCGAACCAGCCCGTGAACCCGGGATCCATGTGGCAGCAGAGCATGATGGCTCCGGCATTGATGGCCCCTGGGAATTTCGGCTTCGATCTGTCCCTGAACGGCTTCCCGGATTTCCTCCACGGCGGCGCCCCGATCTCACCACACAACCTCTCCCAAAAACAGGCTTCGGATACATATTTCTCTACGCCGCCACCATCGATGAGCTCGCTGAGCCCGTCCATGATGCCGGGCCTCACCAACACTAATGGAATCCACCACACGATGAACTTTGGCCCGGAGACACCCTCCTCCGTGAACGGAGTCAACCCATACTCACCCGCAGCCACCATCACCGAAGCCACGCGCCAGGTGCTCGTGGTTGCGCTGAACCAGATCACACCATTTGGCGGCCGCAAGAACTCGTTCCAGTTCAGCGCACCGGCGCAGTTCCGCGGCCAGCCGAACGAGAACGCGCGCAGCCTGCCGAGCACGGCCGACCTGCAGCGTTACGTAGGAGCATACGTTACATATTTCCAGCCGCACTTGCCATTCCTGCATCTCCCGACGCTGTCGTTTGATGTGCCGGCGTCGCAGATCAATTCGGCGAGGCAGTCTGGGATGGTTGGCGGTAGGGGATGTCTGATGCTCTCCATGGCGGCGATAGGGGCATTATACGAGATGGACCACGCCGTGTCGAGGGAGATTTTCGAGCTCGCCAAGAAGATGATCCAGCTGTACCTAGAGGAGCGCAGGAAGGCTGACGTACGAAAGGCCGATATGCGGAAGGCGGGAGTTGCGGACTCGGGCCATGCTACGTCGGAGAACTCGGTGCATACGCCCGTGTGGCTTGTGCAGGCTATGCTGCTCAATGTCATCTATGGGCACAACTGCGGCGACAAGACGGCGGGAGATATCGCCGCGACGCACTGTGCTGCGCTCGTGAGCTTGTCCCGTGCTGCGGGCCTACTGAGGCCGCCGAACGGGACGCACCCCGACGACCTGACCTCCTCGGACGACACGCCGATGGCGGATATGTGGCTGAATGGGAGCATGCATGATATGTCTGACGAGCAGCGAGAGTGGATAAACTGGCGGATCACCGAAGAGCGGAAACGTACTCTCTTCACCGTGTTCGCCCTGTCGAGCCTCCTCGTGTCGGCATTCAACCACACCCCCGCCCTCACGAACTCGGAAATCCTCCTCGAGCTCCCCTGCGAAGAGGACTTCTGGGCCTGCGACAGCGCAGCGAGCTTCAACGCCAAGGGCGGCGTCAAGGCCGCGAGCCAGAACCTAATGCTCTTCCACGACGCGCTTGGCGAACTCCTCCGCACCAGCGAGAAACAGCACATGCACAACGGTTACGCGAACGGCGGCGCGCCCTCGACGACCCTCAAGCCCAGCACCTTTGGCTGCTTCGTCCTCATCAACGCGCTGCACAACTATATCTGGGAGACCCGCCAGCGCCACCACAACAAGCTCTGGACGAACGAGGAGACGGAGAAGATGCACCGCCACATCGAGCCCGCGCTCAAGGCGTGGCAGGAGGCGTGGGCGAGCAACCCAAGCCACAGCCTCGAGCGTCCCAACCCTTTCGGCTTCGGCGCTTTCTCTGCGGATTCCATCCCCCTCCTCGATCTCGCCTATGTGCGCCTCTTCGTCAACCTCAGCCGCTCGAAGGAGAAGTTCTGGCAGCGCGACTACGAGGGCATGGCGGAGGAGATCTCGCGCGGCTCGGAGATCGTGCAGCACGCCGAGCACTCGCCGGGATCGAACGGGGACTCGGGAGCGTCGGAGCAGATGTCTGAGGCGGCGGGGGGGAGCGTCAGTGGGGCGCACTCGCATTTTGGGGATACGCCGCCGTCGTCGGGGGGGTCGCCGGGGTTTGGGAAGGTGTTGATGGCTGGTGGGGTGCAGCAGGGGCAGATGCAGGGGAATACGAGTGCGCCCCTGCAGCAGCAGCAGCAGCAGAGTGTTACGGCGCCGGGGACGACGTCGAAGCGGGAGAGGCATTTGAGGAAGGCGGCGTTTTATGCGGCGGACTCGCTGTCGATGTCTGATAAGCTCGGTGTTACGTTTGCTGACTTCACGTCGAGGGAGTTACCGCTTCAATCCGCCTTGTGTGCCTTCGACTGCGCGCAGGTTCTCGCGGAATGGGTAGCTACCGTGCAAGAGCGGGTAGGCTCCTACCTCGGGATCCTGGGCAGGGATGAGGTGGACTACAGCCAGGTTCCTGGGATCATGCTGCTGGAGGAGGAGGATATCAAGCTGTTAATTAAGATACAAGAGGTGCTGCAGAGCGCGGAGATGAAGATGAATTACGAGGCTGGGATGGTGGGGATGCAAGGGTTGGCGATGCAGCAGAGGAGTTTGGCGGAGGAGCCGGGGTTTGGGGCGAGGATTTTGAGGATTACGAGTTTTATGCTTGATAAGGCTGCGGTGTGGCCGAGTGAGTTACTCCTTTTGTTTGGGTTTTGGATTTTTTGGGGGGGGGGAATATAGGCTAATACGTTGTGTACAGTGACGCATCTTATGGCACGCAGTCTGGAGACGCAGGCGAGTCATATGAGGGCGCGCGCGGAGGCGTCGGTGGCGCAGAGGGTGTAGAGTGTCCGACGCTCGACGGGCGCTGTGGGCGGACCGTCGGATGCGAACGAAACTCGAAGCTCGAAGCCTGGAGACTAAAGGCCTCTCAGAACCTGCAGCTACCTGTGTCGAAGACACGGGCCGATGAATGATGATGTCGACACGGGCTAAATCAACCAAAAAAAAGTGGGTGGCAGATGCAGATGCAGATGCGAAAAGGGATAAATATCGCGTGCCTACTGACGACCCTGATGAGGGATAAGAAGGGGGCAAACTCAGCGCGGAAAAGAGATAAGAGAGAGAGAGAGAGAGAGAGAAAGACAATATGGTTGTTGTTCTATTCTATTTCTTACTTTTTTACTTTATTTTGAAAACACGAACAAAAAGGGATGGATGATATGGACGGATGGTATGGACGGTATGGACGGATGGTATGGGAGAGAGGGGGGGAAGCGTATATATACCTTGGAATTTTTTGGGAAGGGGGATGGGGGGGTTTATTATTTAACATATAACGACGTGATAAGACGCAGCGCGTGAGAATTTTTTGAAGAGACAGAGAAGATGGGGTTGGGCCGGGGGGGGGGGTGGAAACAGAGAGAGAGCGGAGGTCTGGCTGAGGCGGGCAAGATGGAGCTGGGACAAGGGCACGAGCGAGTGAGAGAGAGGCGATTAAACATCGCATACATGCTATGCTATGCGATGCTATGCTTAGTTTTTAACGAAGGAAGAAAAATATCGAAAGAAACGTATGTGGTTATGAATGAAAGAAATGGATAGTCGGTCGGGGGTTTTTTACAGACAGATGGATGGGGGGGTTGGAAAACTTAATTTTTTTTCGTGCGCGGGTTAGTGGTGGGAGAAAGGGGGTTGGGTTGGGAGGTTGTGGGTTGGGTTATAAGGGGGGTGGTTGGTTGGTGTGGGGGTTATGTTAAGATCGATTGATATTTGAAAACCTTTATATCTTTGCCTTGCCTTGCCTTTAGTTGATCTTGGTGAGGCGGTGGAGAGGGGGTGGATGGGATGGGATAAAGGGGGTGGGAGGGTGGGTGTAGCTTGGGTTAATGAGAGAGCTTTTTTCGAGTGCATGATATTGTTTGTTTTACCTATTGTGTGTGTGACTACTTGGTGATTTTGGGGAAAGTGCAAGGGTCATGGGAGGCGAGGGTCGTGCTTTCCTTTTGTAATGTTACATCCAAAAGGAAAGGGGGAAGTTGCGAGGGTGATAGATGGGTTGTTCCTTCCTCCGTGTGGTGTCACGTCTGAAGTGGGAAGTTGCGAGCGTGGTGATATATGTATCGTTCCTTCCTTGTGGTAATGGGTGGTTTTTTAGACCCGCACCTTCCTCTGCATATCATCATCCGGGAGAGAAGTTGCGATGGGTATCCAAGACTTGTTCTTTCCTTGTGCTAAGGGTGGTTTGTAGACCGGCGCTATATAACATCCAAAAGGGGAAGTTGCGATGGTTATTCAAAACTCGTTCCTTCCTCTTATCACACCCACACTCACACCCGCCCTTACGTAGACAACCCCCCCTTCACTTCCCCTTCCCATTAACACCCCCCCCCACCTCCCCCTTCTGCCACTCAACCTCCTGCGCCCTAACCCCCTTCCTCGCCTCCCCCTCCTCCATAGCCTTCCGACTCGCCGCCAGCAACGCAAGCTCCATAGCCCCCAACCTCGTCTCCTCCAGCACCACATCCTTTCCATGCGAATCCTTACCCACCCATTTAAACCCCACCGCAAGGGGGTCTTTCATATCCGCCCCCTGCGGGCCGACGATTTTGAACCCCTCGAGGCCGCGCGGGAAATACGCTCCTTTGTCGTCTAACCCCTTTCCGCCGCAGGCGACGCGCACGCGCGCGGAGGGGTGGATGGTTTCGTTACTCCCCACCAACGGCCTGTCGCGTTTCATCTTGCGTCCCGATTTCGCGGAATACGATTCATAGCGCCCCGGGGTCCTGGCGAGGTCACCGGGGTGCGCCCAGTCGCGCCAGTTCTCCCATCCGGCCCAGGGCTTGACGTCGCCGACGAAACTATATGCCGTCGTGAGGGTCTCTTCCATCTTTCCTAGGGCCCAGCCGCGGTAGCCGCCTACGGAGGGGGTGGCGTTGCAGTGGGCGACGTTGAGGGCGAAGATCCAGTCTAGGTAGGATTTATCGAAGTCGAGGAGGGGGAGGCCGTCATCTGAGACGTCTAGGGTTTGCAGTTGTGCGAGCATCCATGCTAGGGTGTCGTTGGCGAGGGATTGATCGTCGTAACCCCCCGCACCACCGATATTGCAATGCACACCCGGAAACCAGGCCTGTGCGAGCATCTTGAGTTCGGCCGGCTGCTCGGGCTGTTCCCAGACTGCGGGGGCGAAGGCGGCGCGGTGGTCGTCGAGGGCGAGGGCTTGGAAGGCGTATTCGACTACTTGGGAGACTTTGGTGTTGACGAAGGAGTATTGCATTAGTTCTGTGGCGGAGATGTGGAGGCCAAAGATGGGGGGGACGCCGAGGGCGCCGACGGTGTCGAAGACGCCGAGGACTTTGACGGGGACGGAGGGGCGGGTGTAGCCGCGCTGGAATGGGGGTCAGATAGGGTTGGGGGAAGGGGAAAGGGGAAGTTGGGGGGGGGGGGGGGACGAACCTTGTGTAGCTCGTCGGCGTATGCCTTGCTCGGCATGGGAGGGGTGGCGGGAAGCCCCTTAAATGCGCCTTGGGCACCATTAATCTTCTCTTCCGCCTGCTGCTTCGCCAGTACCTCGGGGACGTTCTGATCTTTCCAATCCTCGAAAATCTGGAAGAAGAACTCCATCCCCTTCGCCGTCAGGAGCCCAATATCCGTGATGAGCGTCGCGATAGCACGGGCAGTGTAGGCGCCGCGACTGAAGCCGAAGAGGAAGATCTCATCTCCCACTTGCCAGTTGTTGCACAAGAAGCCATAGCACTCGCTGATGTGCAGAGAGATGGTGGCACCCGTCGCGCCGCCGATGATGCGGTCCTCGATTCCGCCGTCGGTCCCGATGCCGGGGTGGTAGAAGACGATCTGCGCGGGGCGCGGCTCGGTGTCCTCGGTGGCGACGGCGTTGGTGTTGAGGGCGCGGCAGATGCGGGTTATGTTTGAGGGGAGGGTGACGGTGGTGTGGGAGAAGATGCCGGGGAGGAAGTCGCCCAGGGCATTGGTGGGGGCGTTGGAGTAGCTGTTCTGGGCGGTGTTAGAACTAGGTCTGAGGGGTGGGGGGAGCGAGCGTACCGTCCAGGTGCCGTCGCAGGCGATGATAAGGCGGCGCCCGCTGGTCTTCTTCTCTCTCTCGAGGTTGGGGAATCGCTGTTCGGGCGACGGCTCTTGGGTTACTGTGACGGGCTCGCCGGCCTTGACGTGAACGTTCGGGTCGTCGGGGGGTGGGGATTGCGCAGATGTAGGTTGGAAGGACATGCGCTTCTTTAGCTTGCTCGCCGCGGCGGTAGCAGCCGCTCCCAAAGCGGTCTTGGTGCGGTCTTTGAGGGTAGCCATTGTGTGCGCTCTTTAAATACTACTACTACTGCGAGTTTTGGGTGTGTAGACACGTCTCTCACGGAAGAGTGCATTAGGTGATTTATATTCGCCGCGACCCAGGGAGCGGGAGGGAGGAGGGGGGGCATCGGCATATATATAGCTGGAACGTAACGATGCACGGCACAGCTACGGTAGGAAGGTGAGGCCCTGTACGCCCGGAGACGGCACCGAGGACGGGCCCCGCGCCAATGGCGGGCTGCAGACTGGGCATCTGCTGATCGGCGATGCCTTATTCGACATCGAGGGCTGAGCTGAGTTCGTGGGTGTAGCGCTGGTGTGACGGGTATGTATGTATATGCTGCGTGCAACGCCGGCTTGGGAAAGGCTGGAGATGCACCGATGGGGATAGGTGGTTGTGGAGAGGTAGGGAGTACTACTCGAGCCGGCGATCTCACTACTGTGAGATACAGTCAGGGCCGGCAGGGTCTATCTCCCGCGCCCCAGGGCTGAGGGCTGAGTGTAACCCTTGTTAGGAGGAAATGCGCCCATGCTTAGATGGAGTAGCTGAAATGCACGGCTGGGATGGCGGGTAATGTTCTTATTGGGTATGTATTAGGTATGTGGTCGATGTGGACTACTTGGCGGGTGGGAACACAGAAAATACGACTGAAGAGGTTTCGAGCATGGGAACTACTGCATACGTAGGTGTGCTTTTGTGGTGTCTTTGTGGTATGTATTAATCACATGTTGTCTGAGCGTGCGTCGACGAGCATAAACTGGCCGTAGATGTCTCAGCCTCGTCATACATATACCGTGTGGGAGTTGAGTTGCCAAGGTTATAACACTTGGTGGCTTCGCCCCTAAAAAATATAAAAACAGCCTGGGACAGGGACTAAAGGGCCCTGAAAATACGACCCTGACATATAAGCTTACTGTACTAGACCCTTGAATAACCAACGACAGATCTGGTCTCTCCTGCAGCTCGCATTACTCAGCTATTCAATAAGTCGAAAATGATGATGCTTTGACGAATTCCCGAGTCCCTATTTTGCTAACCTGGCATGCCTAAATTTTGATTTATATCAAACGCCGTAATAATAATAGTCCCGTCCACATGTGCCCCTACTATCCACCTATACCACACCCACTCACTCCCCCTTCGGCCTCTCCTCCGGCTTCTGCCCATACACCACATACAGCGGCCAATACGCCTTGATCGACTTCATCCTCCACTCCTTCTTCACTGCCTTCAAGAACACCTTCAGCTCATCCATCTTCCACCCCCCATACCTCGTCATACTCGCCAGACTAATCGCCTCCATATCCGTCAACATGCTCATCATTGCAAACGCCCCCGAATCCCTCAGCCGCTTATCCTCATGCCACGGCCCCATCGGCCACCGATACTCCTGCACGACGCAATTCACAAACCCGGCATCAATCATCTGCTGCTTCAGCGTCTCGCCCTCGAAGCGGAGATCGCACCCGGCAGCCGTGAAGGTGCGGTTAGCCTCCTCGTGCCACTTCTTGATCATGGAATTTGGGGGGAGCGAGTCGTCCTCGCAGCCCATGGAGACACTGAATTCCTGTGCCTCGACCCAGCCGCCGGGTTTGAGGGCTTTGTGGCACTCGGTTAGGTAGCGGGGCCAGTCGCGGACGGCGAGGCCGGAGGAGAGGCGAGAGTGGATTAGGTCGAGGGGGTGCTCGAACATCCAGTCTTTGTCGATGTCGTCGACGCGGAATTGGACGTTGGGGGGGACCCTAGGGGGGGTGAATATCTAGTGGGAGTGGTGTGCCCTTGGGCGGCTATGGGGCTTACCAGTTGGGTTGGATGGGGGAGAGGTCGATTCCAATGACTGGAGGTTGTTAGTAAAGACGAAGCGTAGATGGGGAGGGTTGGCAGACCTTCGGCGCCTTCGTATTTGTCGCCAACATCTATAGCCCAGATGCCAGTACCAGTCGCCATGTCAGCGATGCGCTGCGGGTTCTTGACCGGCGCGAAGAAGAGCTTGTCCTCGAACATCAGACTCATTGAGTGATAGATCATGTCCATCCTGTTGGTAGGACGCCATTAGTAATCTGGTAAACCATAACCACTCCCTCGGGATACGTTAATTACCTATCTTGCTCCTTCTCGTCATTGGGCATGAGATATTCTTTGATGATCTATTAGCTATAGTGTAGCACGGAGTGCTCGGCGGGGACTCACTGCCTTCTTGATACTGCACCCCGCTTCGATCAGCATGCGGATCGTCGGAGGGCTTTCTGCCTCATCCATCTAGGAGGAGTGATACATACCGCATGATAGGTCCTCCCATTTTCCTTTGGGAACGTAAATGCACTGGACCCTACAGTCTCATAGAACAGACCGCTATCCGCATCATCAGTCCCGTAGCTCGAATCCTCATCGAAGGTCTGCCCGCGTCATTAGCCCTCATGCTTGACCACCCGATCCAACCCCCCCCGTCCTGTCGTCTCCTCTCACCGCACTCGTAACCCAGGGCGGAACAGCACTCACCATCAGCACCGTGATCTCGCTCCTCGCCCCTACTTCAATCTCAATCGACGAGTCGCTCCCCCCTAAGGGATATCCATCCTCCTCCGCCTCCGCGGCCCTGTCTGCGGCCCTGTCCGTGTCCGCAAGCGCCTCCGCGCCCAGCGCACTAGGCTCACCGCCTGAGAGGTAAGTCGGGAACATGGGCGGCTCCTCGCGCAAGCTCATCCGCGCCGTGCGTTCCATCTTGCCTGGTGGGTGCGGGCGCACCTATAGCTAGTACCACTGTGGCGCGTGGAGCTCACGCAGTCGGTCTGACCCGAGATCGAGGCGTGTCTGAGTGGCGAGGAGGAGCTAGGTCTACGACAGGAAAGTAGCACGGTGGGGAATAGAAGCAGTAACAGTAGCAGTAGTGGTAGTGGAGTCAGGAAAGGCGGTTATATCGACTTTTGCCACGGCGGAGAGGGGTAGTATGTATGTATGTATATATTTTCCTTTCGCTGGGCGTCGTGTACCGCAGTCGGGGGGGTAGGAGGGACGGAAAGGAGGGGAGGAGGGGGAAACAAGGACCGGGAAGCTGGGTAGATTGAGGTCCGGTACTCTGTACTCTGGGTTATGCACGTCAAGCTCCCCGTGCGGTGGCGACACGGGGATCCGGTACGATACGGTGGTAGGCTACAGTAGGCCAGTGCTGTCGTTAGCGCAGTGTCCCGACGTCCTGCCAGCGAGTTTCGACACATGTCAGTCACTCCACGGCCCGACCCCAAGGTCCCTCTCATCCCAGCACCATGACACTGGGATCCTCGTCGGGATACTCTATTTGACGGGGTAAATGCCAAAAATGGTGCTTGGAAATATGTCGACAAGACGCTGCATCTGTGCGCCGGTGCCAATCGCGACCGCGGTCGTCGATGTTGGACCCGTATCTCCCCAATCACCCGTCATCAACTATGCATCGCGCCATTGGTAAAAAGCAGGATATATTTAAAAGTTTTTCGCAAGCTACAAGACCTAGCAATCCCACCCCCCCAAGCTTGCACGACCTAAAGTGTTCGCGCGCATGAATTAATCATAAAAGAGCTGGCGTAAACCCCGCCAAGCCCCATCAAAGCTTCCATAGATGCCAAGTACCAAGCAATATCCTACAGCTGCGGCCGGAACGCCAGACACCAGCAACCTCACCGCCCACCCCCCCAATAAGTTATCATTTGTGACAGATCCCAGATAGACCATAGCCATTCATAGCGCACCAGATTAATCCCCCAAGATCTCCTCATCCTCCTCCTCAACAATCTCTTCGTCTGCCTCGTCCGCGCTCGGCGGACCCTCCTCGTCAATTAGCTCCTGTCTCCTCCGCTCCTCCTCATCGACTTCTTCCTCCTCGTCCTCGTCTTCATCATCATCGACCACAATTTCTAAACTCTTCATCTTCGCCCTCGCCTCGCTCTCCTTCGGCTTCTTCCCTCCCGACGTCTTCCCCTTTTTCCCCTTCTTCGGATTCGGCTCTTCTAGAACAGCCAGGATCTGCGCGACGTTCGCCCCCAGCCTGCGTTTGTTGCGGATCATGCGGTGCTTGAGCTTCCCCTCCAAGGCACCCTCTGCATCGATGACGCGCGCGTAGATGGCGAGGACGAGTTTGGAGCTAAGGTCGCACAGCTGCAGCTCAGCCTTCAGGCCGTCAACCTGGCGCTCTGCATCCGTGAGGCCCTCGTCGTCGTCTTCGGGATCGGAGTCAATATCCTCTGGGTCGTCATTGTCAGCAGGCGGCTCAAGGGTCTTGTGCGCCTTGTTGGCATAGTGCTTTTCAGCCGTTGCGAAGATGGAGGTAATCTCCTCCTGGACTTCTGGCGCGATGTGGCGGACGAGGGTAAGGAGATGCGAGAAGTCGTTTTCGGCCAACGCGGCTTCGGCTTTCTTGCTGGTGAGGATGGAGCGGAAGATGGTGTAGAGGTCGAGGATGGAGCCGGTGGCCTGGAGGCGGCAGGAGTCGAGGCCAGCGCGTGAGGAGAGCGTGCTGATGAGTTTGTCGGAGAAGGTTTCGGTGCGCTCTTTGATCTCATCGACATCTACGTCGGAGACCTCTTCGGCATTCTCAACCGCCTCCTTCAAGGCGCGGCCCTTCCACATGAAGTAGAATAGAGAGGTCTGGATGGCGCTGATAACCAACTTATCCTCTTCGTCATCGATATCTGGATCTGGGGTATCTAGGAAGCCGCGGCCGACAAGCTCGAGAAGCATATCAATGACTGGCATCGTAGAGGATCTCTCGCCTTTCGCGGTCTTTTTAGGTGCCTTTTCAAATAGCTCCACGGGATTGCTTATCCCCGCCAGCCGGTTGAGTCGGGTAACCGTTGTCGTTAGCTGGAGGACAAGCTCGACTTTCGTGTCGCCTCTGACCGATATCTCAGTGCTCTTTGGGAAACGCTTCCTCAAATCGTCAATAGTGTCGACCCAAAGTGATTGCATCTGATCTTCCGTTGTCTCTCCGAGTTCTTCAAATGCCTGTGCATGCAGCAAAGCAACACTGGCCTCCCTCAAAACATGTGCATCCGCATGGCTCTTAAACTGAGACTTGATCTCGTGTAATAAGGTCGCATACGCAGTCGAGTCCTGGCGCAGCTCTTGGAAGATGCCTAGGTTTAGAACGTGCTCGAGACGAAGGACGGCAGTTGACGTCTTCGGCTTTGATCCGAATAGCTTCAACAGGCGGGGAAGGACAGCCGCGAGTTTCCGTGCCGTCGAGTCTTCATCGACACGAGAAGCTGACTTTCCACCTTTCTTTTTCTGGTGGTGGTCCTCACTTAGCCTGGCTAGGTGGGTCTTCACAACTGCGTGTAGGATCTCTAGGAGGGCGACTTCCTCCTTCTCTTCCAGCTTGAATGCGCTCCTGACGGCAACAGAGACCGACCCGGCTTTCTGCTTATTAGAGTGATCAAACAGCAGGTATCCAGTCAGCATCCCCCAGTCTTGAAGCTCGGCGACCTTGTCATATAGAACCTCTGCCGCAAGGGAGTATCTCGACTCAAAACCAGCGGCGTTGATTGTGCCGTCACTAATGACGAGGTCGTCGTCTTGACTTGACCCTTCATCTACAGCATCTCCGTCATCGTAATTCAACAACACCTCTGCCAGAGCCTTCAGCTTAATCCAGCCCGAGCATGGGTTTTCCTTATTCTCATCGTCCAGAGTGAATGCCTCATCCAGTGCTTCCTCGCCGCCAAGGTCTTCAATCTTAGACTCGTACAGATCTTCAATATTGGCCGCGAAGAAGTTAACAACAGACTTGCGCACCCTTATATCAGAGTCGAATATGAGCTTGCCGATAATATCAATGTCGTCCGGCTCCAGCATGCCTTTCTCGCGGATCATATCAAGGAGATCCACAGCCGATGCGCGAACGGTTGTCTCTGCATCTTTTGTTGCCATCTCGACAATGCGAGGACGGAATCTGTCGATAAAGTTGCGTATCCCACCAAGCTCGCCGTACTTCATGATCCGTTCCAATTGTTTGATAACTTCATGTCGCGTGGGCCCGTTCTGATCGGAGAGTAGCCAGCCTAGGTATCGTAGAAATGTCCCTTCGTAGAATGTAGTTGGTAAAATGAGAATCCATTGCCCCAAGGCTTCGACACAATCTGTTCTGATTTTCGGGTCCACGTCGCGATATCGATGGACAAACACAGTATCGAAGAAATCCTTGATGGTTCCCTCTGAAGTTTCGCGGTGCTGCTTTCCCTTGTCGATGTTCTTCTGGTATGTTGCAAGGCGGCCCTTGTTTGCTTTCGACCCGAGCTTCTCTTCCTTCTCCATCAATGTAAGCATGTCTGCTGTGTTCTGCACCTGCGACTTCGCTACCTCGCACAGGCCCGTAGCGCATGCGAGTGCAATAACAGTCGCAGTGTGTCGGAAGGGGCGAAGGAAGGATGAAGACATGCTTGTGATCCACAGATGAATGTTCTCGATCAGCGCAATATCCTCGTATAGAACAGAAGTCGAATGCATGAGTCCCATCAGCGATTCGAAGAAATCCGTGAGACAGACTTTAAATGCGTGGGAGGATTTCGCCTTCGAAATCAATGGGTAGTCGGCAACATTCTTCTCCTTGTGCTCGTCCTGGATCTCGTTGAGTCGGTTTGGGCTGTTATCTGGGTCATTGATGTCGTCTTCCGTCACTTTGATATCGCAGCCAGCGCATTTCAGGACGCAGTTGACAAGGTCCGCCATTGCTGCTGTGTTGTCTGCGTCGTATTCACCAAGCCACTGTGTCGCAACATCCTTCGAAGATTTATCGCTCGTGAATATTTCAGCTGTAATTGTTAACTGACGTCCGCATACATCTCACTGCTCACTCACCATAAAGCCCCTCCGCATCATTGTCCCTGAACACCACCTTCCCAGTTGGCTTCTTCGCCCTGCTCGGGAGCCTCATTGAATGCGCTTTTGGTTGTGGGGCACTGCCATTGACCTTGGCTTTCTTTGCAACTGGTGCGCTCTTTGTGACCGCTGCCTTCGGCTTGGACTTCTTCTTCACGGGCGCTTCTTCCTCCTCGCTCTCCTCATCGTCTTCTTCGTCGCTCTCCTCCTCCTCTTCTTCCTGTTCCTCCTCATTCTCTACTCCTTCCATATCATCGCCACTCCTTTTCCTCTTCCCGCCTGCGCCGGCATTTTTCGACGATTCGACCTCCGGCTGAAACTTGTCGGGGACCTTGACAGCCCTTCCCGACTTGCGCCGCTGGCTCGCGGTCGCTTCTCCGGACGAAGCCATTGTCGATTTTCTCGGACTTTTATTTCGAGCAGGTGCGCGCAATTAATCGATTGATTGCGTTACACTCCGAACATCGGTTTGTCGTGGATTGCGATGCGAGCGCGCTGATTGTCAACATGAAATACCAAGTCGCGTCGATGTTGGAGAGACGCGAAGTGCGGGCTGAATGGACACACTTTAAGGTTTAGCGCGAAGTTGGTCAATCAAGCGCTAAGCCGTATTAGTCCTCTTCCGGCCTCGACTTTCTTATCTCTCTTACAGGTTTCAACGATGGGAGAATCCAGCAATATAATTATTCCAGTTGGCATTTGGTGCGTATTCCAGACATAAAATATAATTATATTGTGTGCATTGCTAACCTCGATATAGATACCCTCTCCCCTACGTCATTCACTTATATCCGTCTTTATCCCAGCTATGCACAGATAGGTCCACCATGACCACCTCTCCTTTCCCAGTATCCTTCTCAAAACCGGGAGAAGGACATCTAATTGCACGGTTACTTCCCAATGGCATTTCTGGCCTTGTCAAGGCCACTTTTCAGTATCCTTTAAAGATCATCACACCACCATCACCAGTGGGAGACCTGAAATCCGCCCTCGCCTTTCTTCTAACCTACGGCGGCGGTCTTGTTGCAGGGGATCAAGTCCTCCTCAAGGTGAGAAACATTTTCATAGTCTATCAGACGACGCAAAGCGAGCCTGCACTGCCAGGCATTTCGTTCTGCATATTGTCTTCCAAGTCACGTTTCCTACTCCATCCCCAACCACGAACCCACAACGTCGACTCTAACATTCCTCCAGATCGACGTCCACCCCTCTGCCAAACTCACCATCGCCACACAAGGCCACACCAAAGTCTTCAAATCCGCCAGCCCCACCCTCCAATCCTCCCAAACCCTCTCAGTCACCCTCCACGCCTCCTCCGCCCTCTGCCTCCTCCCCGACCCCGTCCAGCCCTTCGCCAACTCCGTCTACGTCCAGTGCCAGATCTTCACCCTCCATCCAACCGCAACCCTCTGCCTTCTCGATTGGGTGACCGCTGGTCGCACCTCTCGGAATGAAAACTGGGACTTCACATCCTGGTCCGGCCGGAATGAAGTCTGGCGCGCCGCAGCCGACGACGAAGATGAGGACAGCGCACGCCCCCGGCTGCTGCTGCGTGACAACCTCATCTTAGATGGTGACGCGCTGACCCCCGATGATAGCACGGCCGCGCTGCCGCTGAAAGATAAAATGCACACTCTTTCCGTGTTCGGGACGCTCATCCTGGCAGGCCCGCTAATGGCGCCGTTATCAGCATTCTTCCTCGCCGAGTTTAGCGCACAGCCGAGAATTGGGGCAAGGGACTTCAGGTCAAAGGAGGCGGTGGAACAGGACGGGAAGACAGAGGCGTCGGATGAGGAGGCGTGGAGGGCGCGGCGGTTAGCGCAGGAGAAGGAAGATGGAGTGCTCTGGTCTGCGGCGAAGGTGCGGGGGTGTACGGTTGTTAAGTTTGGGTCGAAGAGCGTGGAAGGGGGGAGGAAATGGGTTGGGGGTATGATTTTAAGACATGGAGGGGTGATGGATGTGTTTGGGGAAGATGCGCTCATGTGTGTCCGCTAACTTGGATAAGAGTTACTGCAAATATCACTACGTTCAGACACTGCGTATCTCATCTGAATCGCTTTTATACTAGCCTACCCACCGGCAAACTCCCCCTAGCTTCGCGCCATACACTTATACTCTTGACAACACAGCATCGCGAGACTATCGTACAAGTACAACCCCGCTTGAGGAACCTATGATTAGATGCTGGACCCCTCACCCACCCCCTACCATCCCATACTCACCACCAATACGAGGACAAGGCGAGAAAAAAACAAAAAGTACTAAAAAGTAAACGACATGGACGAAAGTTCGAATTAGGATTGCAATCCAGGACAAGGGCGACAAGGTTCTGGCCAGAAACTGGCAGAAGGCGTAGAAGGTTTTCCGTAATTGGCCAGGGGAGGGTCGGGTTACCCAAGTTTCTTGAAGCCGAAGAAACGATTATTTTGAAACAAGCTGTATCAAGAAAATTGCCAAGTGGGAGGCAGACGTAGTAGTTGTACGGATCCAAGTTACCAAATGAAGTCCATCGACGGTTTCATGGGCCTAGAAGCTTGATCCGAAGTCGGGAGATGTATGCGCGGTCAGGCAGAGCAGCAAATACTACCTTCATACCTCCTTGATACTGAAAGTCGCAAAAGTGCACCCTGTAGCTGTAGTGTTGCTTACCCCTGTTGCAAGAGGGAAGAAAAAGCTGAAAGGTTCAAACCCGTACCCACCCAAGCCACCTGCTGTCAAAGAAGCTTGCTTGTTTAGTACCGTCGTAGCTTTCGCGGGTCTTCGATGTAGCCGTTGTTTCCGTCGTCGTACATGCGCTTCCTCGACATATCTTCCTCGCGTGGGCGTCCACCATACCCTCCGTCTCTGGGTCCGTCCCTGGGTTCACGGCCCATGTCGCGTGGGTCCCGGTCTCTTGGATCACGGTCTCGTGGGTCGCCGCGTCCAGAGTCTCTGTCACGGTATCCGCCGCCCTCACGAGGTCTTACCGGCTCCATGTTGCTTCCGCTACCACCGCCACCACGGTAGTCGCCTCCTCTAGAACCACCATATCGATCACCACCTCTGTCACCTCTGTACCCACCCGAACTTGGTCCCCTGTCGTCGTATGGAGGACGGCCACCGCGTGGTTCATACCCACCAGCAGCAGGTGGCCCATTGCGGTCTGGCGAGCCTTGGCCATACCCATTGCGAGGGTAACCACCGCCGCCTGGTCGTGGTCCAGCTGGGGCGTTTGGGGGAGGCGCTCCGAATCCTCTATCGCGGTCACCCCTGCCACCATCACGGCCACCGAATCCACTGCCTTGATAGCCGATACCTCCTCTACCTCCACCTCCTGGTCCACGGTCTTGGAAACCACCGCCACCTCTTCCACCCCGGAAGCCACCACCGCCGCGACCTCCATCGAACCCCCCCCTGAATCCACCACGGAAACCAGGTCCAGGTCCGCCTCCAAATCCACCTGGTCCCATAGGGCGGGGTGGGACAGCCTTTGTGTAACCTCTGCCTCCAAGGCCGCCACCGAAGCGACGTGGCTTCCAGCCCTTGACAGTGCGGCCGCGTTCGACGTCGACTTTGATGCGTCGTTCTTTGATTCTAATGCCGTCACATCCATCTAGAGCAGCTATTAAGATGCGCAAGAGCGCGTTTGTTAGTTTTGTTACCCCTAGAAAATATACCTTGATCGGTGGAAGAGTGAACAAAGGAAAGAAAGGAAAAGGAAACAGAATATCCCAGTAGGCAAGCTTGAGGGCCGTGGGTACTTAGGGACTCTCCGAATCAGGGAAGATAGATCGATAGATCGTCTGGGCAAGAATGTGGGGTTGGGGGTATATGTGGCCGCTTTACCTCTCATATCTTTCTCGCGCTCAAAAACAACAAAGGCATAGCCGCGATGCTTCTTCTTCTTCTTGTTGGGCTTTTCGTCTTGGTGGGTATCCGTTACAATACGGATCTGTAGATTGACGTTAGCACAGTACAGAAGGTATTGTAGAATTGGAATACATACACGCTCAATGGGACCAAAACGTCCAAACTCACGCTCCAAGTCCTGCTCTGTCGCATCGTAACTCAGGCGCGCAACGATCAAAGTCTTGAAAGCATCACCGCGAATATTCTGGTCCTCTTGAGGTTTATCTAGAGCAATAATATTAGCTTTATACTCTTCTGTAGGATTGTAGACGACAACATCTGGCGCCTTGTGAGGGGGTCTCACAATCGGCTGGGCCCTCCTTCAAGAGCTGCTCCTGTGCCTCCCTCTTCTCCAATCTGACTCTATCCTTGCGCTGCAGCCAGCTCTCTGTCGGCTCATACTTATCCGTAGCCTTATACTCCTCCAGCGCAGGGAGGAATGCAGCCAGACCAGAGATGGTTGCGGTCATCCGGTCCTGAGGTGCATGATCACTGGGAGGCACCCATCGCAGTCCTGGGCGCGGCGCAAAGAGCGCGAGGAGGTTGGGAGGTAATTTGTCCGTCATCACGAATGATGTGGATGATCTTGAGGTAGGAAGCTCTCCGTCCAAAGGAGCTGCTGGAATCGGACAGCCGGGTGGATGAAGTTGTTGAAGGTGCGAAACAAAGGTTAAGGCTCCAGTTCCAGCTTCTGTTTCGAGTGACATCGGCGCGTCAAGCTTGGACCGCGAAGCGAGAAATTTCCCAGGGTCACGTGGTCGGAGCCTTATTTTTGGGATTCTGCAGAACGTCCAAGGAAACCACGAGTTTAGAGACCACGACAAGTCAATTACACATCATGGGTGCGAAAGCGTTAAAGAAATTGTCCTCTGGACAGGTAAGATCTGTCTGCGCCTGTTTGGCCCCGCATGTTTGCTAACAACGCCTGTAGAATGGCGTTGGCGCCTTCATCCTGCAGTGCAAGAAGCTCGATTTCCACTACTGCGACTGGGCTGGTAGCTCAAGGGGCATGAAGTATGTTTCCATTCCCTTCTCCTACTTGCATAAAGGTTTTTAATACTAACATCCCTCAGCGCATTCCTCCGCGACCAACTCCCCGCCTTCGCTGCCGCCAACCCAAGCATCGAAATCACCGTCTCTCCCCGTCCGAGCAAACACCCGGTCATCAAGGGCACATTCATCAATGGTCGCGAGAAGGCAATTTGCGTCAGAAACTTACAGCCGATGTCGATTCTACAGAAGGCTGTTCTGCTGAGGGATGCGTCGGGCGAGAAGCTGAAGACCGAGACGAAGCCTGTCAAGTCTATCAACGACAGTGTGAGAGGTATCTGGTCGCCATACCACAGCGGGCCGATGACGGTCTAGGGAGGGCGTATGGGTGGATGGTTGTGGGATTGTATGAAAGGAAGAATACCAGAAGTTGGGGCATTGAGGGCGTTTAGGGAAGACTGTATACTATGTACAAAATCGAAATAGGAGCGAATTACATCTAAGAAGAATTTGAAGCTACAAATTGGTTCACAAGGCAAGCGTGTTTATATCCAGTGGGATTGAGTGTTCGCGTTCAGTCATTGGCGACATGATCACAGCGGTCCACCACCAGGGTTTGTTTGGACAGACTTTTGGGCTACATGAGAACTTCAATTCTACTTTCTACTTTTATGCTGCAGGGTAAAAGCTTGCCGCCATTGCACACTCAAATAGGCCTAATTAACCCAGGAACCGCTTACAAGCGGGCGTTGACGATATCAACAACTACAAACAGTCAGCGATTGCCTCCTTCGTTCAGGGGAGGATAGAAACTTACACGCTGGCTTCAAGCTAGCACCTCCAACCAAGAACCCATCGATATCAGGCTGGGTAGCCAGGTCCTTGCAGTTCTTCTCGCTGACGGAGCCACCATAGATGATCCTCGTCTCCTCAGCGACCTTGTCGCTGATGGTCTTCGACAACCACTGGCGGAGAGCGATGTGGACCTCCTGTGCCTGGGCGGTGGTGGCGACCTTGCCGGTACCAATAGCCCAGATTGGCTCGTAGGCGATGACAACGTTAGCCCACTGCTCAGCGCTGATGGCCTTAGCGACGGCACCAAGCTGTGCGGTGACGACGGAGACGGTCTCGCCCTTCTCGCGCTGCTCGAGGGACTCGCCGCAGCAAAGGATGACGCGGACGCCCTGGTCAAGGGCGTTCTTGGTCTTGGAGGCGACGAACTCGTCAGACTCCTTGAGGATGACACGGCGCTCGGAGTGGCCGATCAGGGTCCAGCCGATGTTGGAGTCCTTAAGCTGGGCGGGGGAGATCTCGCCGGTGAAGGCGCCCTCGTTCTTGTCGTAGACGTTTTGGGCGGCGACCTCGACCTCCTTGCGGAGCTCGGCGCGGGCGAGAAGGAGGTAGAGTGCGGGAGGGGCGACGACGACCTCTGTTGTATTGCGTTAGATATGTGAATGTAATATAGAATAACCGCTGGAAAAGACGCCATTCATGCTCGAGAAGCTCTTCGAGGGAAAGAGGCATGGTTCCCTAAGATGCTGTTGCACTGGCAGACAGATCGGCGGAGCCAGCTTCGCAAGCAGCTCCGTCAACTGGGCTATCATCGTGATTCGCAAACAGTAAAGGCCCGCGACAGCCAAGCTTGCTGGGCAAACCGCCCGCGGCCAGCATCGGGAGGAAGAATTCTCGGCCCCTCTCAGAGGAAGAGGCAGCCAACTCCATGGGGAGAAGCCGCTGCAATCCCTCGAGATTGTTCTTTATCCATACCAGTAGTCCCTTAGATTCGGATGCAGCCATCCGATTGCCATCTGACTGAGCTCTATTGTGAATGACGTCCTTTCGATATGTACATACCGACTTTAGGGTCGAGGTTGGCCTCGTTCAGACCGCTGATGATCTTCTTGATGCTCTGGACAGAGCCATTCCTGTAGATAAATAATTAGCACCCTATATAAACCTCTCATTCCCCTATCTCAATCGCCATGCGCCTTTGGATTCGTCGTCCCCAACGCCCAGAAAGCTCCCCTCCCCCACTTCCGGTATCGCACAGAGTGGCAGAACTTACATCTTGAAGTTACCACCAACAAAGAATTGACGAGCCATCTTGACTGATTTTAAAGATAAACTTGGTGATTTTGAAATTGAAGCAAGCTACCAAAAGGTGTATAATGTACAGTATGGTTGAGAGAGGTTGTTGAACAAATTGCTCCAGTCGTCAGGCCCCAAAATATTAGTGGGGGTGATGACCTCAAGCGGGGCACCCTTATCCCGCCCACTGACGACTTTTCCCGGCGCTTTCGCAACTTCCATCCGCGGCGCTTGCCATGAGAGTTACCCGGAGGGAACGACTACATGTGAAAATCACTATGGACTTTCAGCTGTAAGATAAGGTATCTGTATTTATTTTCTTTTTGTCTATTTACTTGCTGATGACTATTTTTGATTTCTCAAAGGTTCTGAAGATCTTATATGCTGTCAGATAATTGCTTTTCTTTTAATGTGCGTCCTTTTTATATATTATGCGTGTGTTTCCTTCCATACTCAACCCCATGCCGGGACAACGCATCGCCCAACATCCCGCTTATTGGCCCCATCGAGGCATCTGTTTATTTGTACAACCCGGCGGTGCGAGCCGGCCCTCCCTTACTCCCCTGCCTCCCATCCCTTCCATGCATCCACCAGGCCTCGACACTATATGCACTCTCATCCGCAGCGTTGAAGGTGGCAGAGACCGGGATCTCATATTGGAGCGCTTCACGTCCGCCAACCCTCATTTATGCTTCTTTGGGGAGGATGCAGCAGCGCTACTGTCTGATTTGCCGTTGAGAAACGGGTCGGGCCTCAACGCAGAGGAGGATGAGGCGATGTGGGGGGCTTGTCATCCAGGCTTCAGCGGAGGGATGTTAACCTTATATGAACCTTCTCTGTTTCTTCTGTTGATTATGGGCTTTATCACATCTCGACTGAATCATCATTTCTTTCGTTGGTCTCATTATATCAAGTTAAGTTGGACAGATTATAAGATGAATGCTGATACTTCATTTACTGTACTATGATATACTGTCATCAACGGAGTGCCTCCTGCTCCTCGAATCATCAGCCTTGCTTGCGCGAGACCATGGTCTGCTAACGTTACATACAATCATTAAAACGCCCATACTTGAGACAAAAGGAGACCCAGCATCCTCGATATACTCCCACAGCCCAAAGAAAATACACGGATCAGATAGCAAGCGTCCCGCAATACTAATCATCCTCCAAATACATACTGGCAAATTTTGCACAGGAAAAACACGCTCATACACATCGACCAACAAGATCTGTCAACAGTATCCAATCTGGCCCTCGTCCGACAAGACCTAGTACGGCCTTGGCTCCCTCAGCGGCCGGAATGGGTTCCGGGGATAGTCGAACCCCTTGTCCTCCTCTAGGGGAATACGCTGCATCCCGCTTCGGGAACGATAGTCGTACTCCGGGCTGCGTCTCCTCGGCTCCGGTGAATAGCGGCCACTGCGGCCACTCTCACGAGGCAACGGCGACAGCGGTGCCGATGACATGGAAGACACCGACGGCGACATAGGTGGGTCCCTATATAACCTCTCTCCCCTATCCTCATCCAGGTATCGTCTCGGAAGCGGCAGTGCATACCCACGACCTCCCTCGTTGCGGAAGTCCTCGTTGCGGAGGTCCCGCCCATAGGGGCGTGAAATTCTCGCCGCAGCATCCTCCCGCCGAGCCAACGCCTCCCGAGCTAGCGACTCCCGAGCCAGAGCGTCCCTTAGTGCATCCTGGCGCATAATATCCTCAGCCTCGCGCAAGCGCGCGTCGTCGTTAGCTGCACGCTCGACATTGGAGATCATGCGTTGCGGCGGCGCGGCTGTGTATTGTGCGGCTGGTTGCTGGATGATAGCTGGCTGGGCGATAGCAGCGCGAGCCGCGGCAACGACACCCGCGGCGAAAGCGTCTGTATCGAAGTTGGGGCTGGCGATTCCCGGGTTGGGCTGCCCGTAGCTGTTCACGCGTGCACCGCCTAGGGGACGGTTGGGGTGTGGGACGTCAGGGGCGTATGAGAGGCTGCGGCGGCGACTGGGACTGTCGATCATGACGAAGTCCTCGCCGCGGTCGTAGTGGCTGCCACGGCGGCGCTCGCGGGAGCGCTGGAGCGGTCGATGAGAGCGAGGGTACTTGCGGCCGCCGGATCGGGATGAGGCGCTGGTGTGTGGGGTGCCTCCTTCGCTGTCGTAATGGCTGAATTCAGAATCGTAGTCCGAGTCCGTTTCGCTGTTGCTGCCGCTTGAGTAGTCATCCGAGTCGTTCATGTGGACTTTGGTGCCGGCGGCTTTTCCCTTTGGCGACTTGTGGGGTGTGCCGGGGCGGTGTTCTTGGATAATCTTGACGCCGCCAGGGGCGTTCTTGTTTTTGATAGGTTGGGCCCAGGGGCCTCCTTTCTGCTGCTGCTGCTGCTGTTGTTGGACGTTGCCCTTGTTATTCTGGGGCATGTACTGTCCACCACCCATCTGCTGTTGTTGCTGTTGTTGCTGTTGTTGCTGTTGTTGCTGTTGTTGCTGCTGCATCGCCGCCTGATGTTGCTGTTGTTGGAATATCTGTGCCTGCTGCTGCTGCTGCCTTTGAAATGCTTGCATGCGCATTCGCTCTTGACGCTCGCGGTACAACTGGATGGCGTCGATGTGTGGGAGTGGTGCGCGCTTGAGGTAGATCGTCATGGAGGTAGTCTCCTTGTTACCTGTCTTTGAGTTGGTAGACTCCTCGCGGTGAAGTTGGGCGAGGACCCACTCGAAGAACTGGCCTTCGCGCTCGGTCATGATCTTGTTGTCGAGGATGTTGGTGACCTGCATACTCTGGTTTGGGAACAGCTTGGCCTTCTTTTCCGCGATGGACAGTTTGCCGGCATCGAGCTTCTGAATCGTCTTTATGATATTTTCAGTTGGGTAGGATTCCTGGTTGATTGTGACCTTGGCCCAGCGCTCTCGTTTTTTGGACTTTGAGTCGTCCTTATCTTTCTTCTTATCCTTGGAGCTCTTGGAGTCCTTGTTTCCTTTGGAGCCCTTGGAGTCTTTGCCGTCATCTTCATTGTTTGGGAGAAGGGTGAATACTTCATACGAGGTAAGCTGCTTCTTGCAGAACGACTCGGATTCCGTCTTCTCGGGACGTATGTCGTGGATCCGAGTGGAGGCGTTGATAACAGTGTCTGGACGGTAAGCGGGAATGGGTCCACCCTGCTGGAAATTCTGTTGATACACAGGTTGTCGTGGTTGCTGAGGTTGCTGAGGGCGATTTACTGGAGGGCCGCCTTGGACCATTCCGGGTGGTGCTTGTTGGAAACCATGGTTAGGAGGTGGCGGCGGCAAGCCAGCACGGTTCGCCATTGTTGCGGTGTTTGGGTGGATGATAGGAACCAGAGGCTATACAAGTTCACGTGCGGGAGAGGAATAAAGGCCAGCGCTATCCAGAGTTGCGGAGGTGAGAAGGCTTCGCTGAATGAGGACGGAGCCTTGGGGTCTTATATCACTTGGATGTGTATACAGACGAGGCTCGCTCGATGGACGGTTATTTCCGATCACGAATATTCTCGGTTCAGATCAGCTGAAAGTGAGGCTTTCCAAGGGGGGTTGCGGGAAATAAATAGGTGTGGTGATGAGATGTTGGTGGTCTGGCACGAGAGGCAGGCTTCCGCCGGCAGCCTATCGAAGTGAGGGGTTCTCAAGATAGCGGCGGGGTATTTGCCAGGATACGACGACCACGACTAAGCGTCACGATTAAATTCGTCAGGGGAGTTGATGTGGGATTTGGAGAAACGGGAAAGAGGGAAGAGTTCTGTTGTAATAATAAAGTGTTTCCCCCCCTCGTCCCTCGTGAAACGCAAACCTCAATGTGTTTTCCAAAGATGACCGACCTGCCGTACTTCTGCCGTACTTGCAGCCGGTCTGCACGTCTATACAAGGCACGCCCGAGAAGTGTACGTGAAGCATCCACATGGATTATACATAGTCATTGCGCCTCGCAAGGGCCAATAAGGCTGAGCGGGCGCGAAGGAATCAGAGGGTAGCATCTGGCGTAGGTAGCATGGATGGTTGTGTGTGGTTGTTATCAGGTAAATCAGGCAACCGGTCCAGGGTGAGACTCCGGCCTCCGAAACATGCGGGATACGGAGTGCACTCTCACCGAGAGCCTCATGAGTGTTGTACTATACACGCCACAACACAATACATTGTTCATGATGCCGGTAATCTGTAGTTACACATTCGAAGATACTTGTGAATATAATTTTCTTTGTTTCGTGGTTCCTAAAGCGAAAAGCGAGGCTTACACCGCGCCGGCCCGCCGACTGGAACGATGGCGCGAGGCGAAGCCCAAGGCACTGCCCACTCACCACCCAGTACAAAGAGTTTCAGGAGACTGCAGCCAATCGAGTTGAATATCTTTTACTCGTTGCCATCAATTCAATCGAGTTTCTTCCATCTCCCAGAAGGGCAGCTCCCACAAGCGCCCGGTGTGTTAGTGCTTTTATGCATAGCATTTGTTACTGCATGCTGTCGCGTCAATGGCCCTAGACCGGTCGAGGATATAGGCTATGCTGCTTACTGGCCGTCATGCACAGTAGTATGGTAAGTGAGTTAGCATCCTAGACCAGCTGGACTAGAGCAGTCAGTCGGTCCAGTAGATAGCACCGACTTTAGGATGAGATTGGCCAACTCCTGCAGCCGCGTTGTGGCTTAGAACGGTTCTCAAGGAATCAGGAATGAATTAGAGACGTCAGCACGATGCGATGCCCCAAGGCCTCAAAGAACTATGTTCCTAACGTTCAGTGTGCCCTCGTGGATTGGCGAAACTTGGGCGCATCTCAAGCAGGACAAGACATGACAAAGGGTTCGGCGGTGAGGAGGCAAGGGCGGCGTTTGGTTCGCTGATTTACATGACAATTACACAAGTCTGGAGAATAGTATAAGGCTGGAGGTAGCCAGGTCAAACCAATCAGCGCATCTCCCATTCCAATAAAATCACATGACTGCTGGGATTCCCATCAGCCACTGCGCCTTCAGCCACGATTCCTTCGCATCCTCCAATAGAGTGACTATCATGGTGTTGCAGCTACACCAAAGGAAGGGTGTGGTCGACCCGCCGCGGGGACGAATAGCCCAGTTTACGGGTGAGCCACAACCAATACAGCTGATGGCCCCCAGTTTACTATATCGCGGACCGGAACGAGGAAGGGAACTGACCAATCGAACTAACCAAGAGCCTTCATCGCTACCCGTGGATCTTTCCGCCACATACCCCATTCTTCAATTTATCCGCAGCGCAACCACTACGATAGTCGAGGTTGCACATAGAACACTCGTACACGCATCCAGCCAGCTGACGAGGAGCCGTGTCGGTGAGTGGAAGGGGGTGCTGTGAGATGGACGCTGATTCGATAGAGAGGCGATGGAGGGGGGTGCGACAACATCCAGCCAACATCTGGCGTCCCAGCCAACAGGTGTTGACCGATGGTCCTGGGCAACACGGCTGCATAAAAGTGCCTTTTGTGTGAGAGTTCACCGGGGCAGCTGGGCGCTTTTGGTGGTGGCTATGGGCGTTGTTGAGGTGTGGTGATGAGTCAGGCCAAGGGCGATTTGTGATGGTTCTTGCGACAGATAACTGTCGCACTTCGGACTGAGACGGGCCTTTGCATGGCTGGCCATTCTGCATGGGGATATGCGAGATGGAGTATGTATCGGACGGGACCTTTTGGCCATCGCGGCACTATGTGAGGCAACGCGTGGCGTTTAAGACATTTCGACCGGTTCCCAAGCCTTTTATTTTATTTTTTCCTTCAAGGGTATAGAAATGCAATAAGGGCTGCGTGAATTCTCACACCGAATATACATGAGCCTCACGAGATGACGAAACTTTGCAGCAGAGCCTTACCATCTCAACCACGACCGACAAATGACTGCCAACTCAGCGAGATCGTGTTTCAATATGCAGCATCTGTCATCCAGCTGTCAAGCAGACTTTTTGCCACCGGTGTGAGTAGCTTCTGCAGGGTCCGATTCCTCGACCTAACGGCCCGACATGTGTAACTGACGATGAATTTGCCACTGGCCACCTCACGATGTCTTGGTGCGGCATACCCCTTTCTATCTTTCCATCCCTCGTTCTCACTGGACCATCTCGGTGTGCTAGTGTTATAATCGACGAAAAAGGTGTGTCAACAACGCCCGATCTCAGCGTCAAGATATAGAGCCTCACTATTGCTACTCATCTAAGTTCTCCTCCAAATGTGCAGCCACAGTAAAGACTGCAGTCGCCACTCTCAACTGTGGGGTCTTACCGCCGAAGATGTAGTTATGGAGCCTCATTATCCTCCAAAGAACTGTAGTTTATCAGAGGTGAATAAAATATGGTATATAAAAGTGTATATCTAGTCTGCCCCACCGAGTTTAGTTGCCCCGTGATTAGGCAAGCCGTGTGCTCTCTTCATATCAACAGCTAAGAGCACTTGCAAAATCCCCGTTACAGCGGTGCCAAGGAACGCTATCAATACACTCGTTCCAGAATACCACTTGAAGATACTTAGAGCCACGACCGGGAGAATAGAGGCGAGAACAAACCAAAGCCGGTAACGCATGCCAAGATGATGGTCACTAGCGTTTCGAAAGGTGAGGATGTAAGTCATTAGAACCGAAAGCAGCTGCGTAAGCGCCGTCTGGATAGCGTTATAATAGTCGAAGGCAGAGGAGTCGGATGGAGTTTGGTGAGAGAAGGAGCGGGTTTGGAATATAGCGCATAATAAATAGATCACAATATTGATACTCCACATTGTGAGGTCCTCCTAGTGGCCGGTTAGGTCAGCAGATGCAGAAGCCTCTCTACTATAGTACTCACCTGTATGTATTGTGCCATGCCTCGAAGTTTAGATGACCGTTTATAGAGTTCAGGGGTGTGCAGAGGCGTTGATGGAGTCGTTGAAGGGACCATTGTGGTAGCACTATCTTCGCGATAACCCCTCCTTTTCCTCACTAGAAAACGTTTTTAGTATTTAACATGGTATTGGTGGTTCATCTTAAATGCAACATACCTTGCGAGGACTGTGGAGGAGGATCTTGCTGTATATTCCATGCCTTGTAGTCTTCTTGAGCTGAAACGGCCTAGAGATGCGATTTGGTCCAATTCTTTAGCAACCTAGTTCTCACATAGATACCTTCTATGACCCCCATTGGTAATCTCTTTTCTGCCGAATGGTACTCCTCAAGTACCCTCTTACTCTCGGCAATAGCGTTAGTAGCTAATGTTTCAATTTCCCTTGTATGTTTATCCCATTGAGTAACGTCAGGTGCGAAAATATCTGCCTTTTCTTGGATATACTTCATATTTTCCCGCCAGGCCTCGATGGTATCGTGCGGACGATCTCTGCCTTGCATAGAACGGTCGAAATGGATGATATAATCAATAACCTCTACAGAAGTCAAACAGTCGCTTGCCTCTGCGCTGTTTAGTCTATCAATCGCCACATACGTCTTGACAAGTCCCGGTAAGAGAGAGAAATCTTCAAAGACGTTAACCCGTGATCTAATAGAGTCGACTTCCTAGGAACCTTACGTTGCTCTAAGAAGTCTATGGAGTCTGGATATTTCGGATTCAAGCTAAGAAACTGCCTATCTATGGACCACCTGGATTTTTTTGGTCCGTAGCTGATACCTGCCCTAAACCACTTGATCATGGGGCCCGGAACCAGGACAGGCTCGGTATCCGACAACATGAATGTGAAGCTTAGGTTCTAACTCTAGCGATCAGGGTGTAAAGAAAAGAATAGAGTGGTTAAATAACGATCTCAGAGAAAAAGTTGCTTTGCTAACGAGGCTGTGTCTACAGAAACGCATCGAAGACCTGTCATGCAGCCATTGAGCGGGCCAACAGTATCCCTGCAAAATGGTCGTCGTCTGCCCTCATTTAGTCTCCACCACTTATCGAGCACTGCCACGATGAAGACAATAAATAGTTAATATAGATATGTAGCATAACAAAGCAACTAGAGAATTCGGAGACTAGCTAGTGCATTATTTCTCTCCGCCGAGGATGTAGTTATAAAGACTCATTAGCGCTTAAAGAACTGGAGTTTAAATAGGTTTGTAATTATAATATTATGCAAGATTGTGGTGCTAGAGCTGCTATTTTCAGCTGGCGGTGCCTGGTGCTTTACGTAGCCTCAAACACCTCAAAACTTTGATCATGTGCCTAGGATGGCCATTGGCCGCCACCTAAATATCAGAACGAAGGCACCAAACACCAAAACCCTTCGTCATAGTTTCTTCTACCTCTAGCCACAAACGTCCTAATTATACCTCTGTATAGATAATGCCCTAAAAATTAAGGGGCTCACCCTGACTTCTTTGCTACCATTGCAGCCACTAAGATAGCCGCTAACCTAGCACTTCGAACTCTGCTCGTGTTTTCTATATATGTCTACATCTCTCCTATCCAACCTCTATCTCTTGCATAAACTTAGGCATGTCAAGAGTTCTCTGGCTCTCCTCGTCCGTAAGTGTCCATGCGGAATCTGTAAATGGCGCCGTTCTAATCCACTTCGTCCATTTCTGGACCACTGCAATAGCCTTTGCAGCAGGAGCTTGAACCCATTCTATGTGTTCCTTCGGACAGGCTTCACAAATTACTATAACAGTATGACACTTCAGATCCGCTAAACACAGGCCTTCAACACGATTGGCGTGAGGAATCTTCTCTACAGCCCCAAGGGGATATATGACCTTAGGCAACCTGTCGCATTCGGTCTTCCACTCTGCCGAGCGAGCCTCAATGGTCCTCGTAGTAAATCCTATTTTAACGAAGCCTTGGTTACCCTCGACCTCGTATATATAAACATGGCCTTCGTGCAACTCTTGCTCCTTCAAAGGCTCCTTCATCTTGTCTCGGACCAACGAATAACAAGCCAGGTAATCTGAAGGTCTATCCTCATCTATTTTAGTGATGAAAGCGCTCGTATCGTCGGCGTCGTCCCAGAACTCCGCTGGGTCAGCCTGAAACTTGTGTGACAATCCCGTGTTGCCTGCCAATTTGAACAGTCGATCTTGCACAGTATAGGCTTTGTAAATCGCGGTGATACGCGACTTCCGTTCTGCCACCCATTTGGGAATCTGATCAGTATGATTATAACAAAACATATTAACGGCAAGAACCTTGAGGAGAAACGTGAGGTTGTCATCGTTCGAGTAGTGTTCTAGCTTGGTGATCATGGCAACCGTTTTTTTGCCTTTGCGAACTCTTTTGCCTCCAATTTTGAACATACACGGCGTGCTATCGTGGTCACGCTTTGCCCCTAGACAGGTATACGCGGAGGTGTATTGGAAGCAATCCAATACGCCTTCTATTTCATTTTCAATCGGTTCGATTGGCACTGCCTTCTCGTCTCCAACTGGAAAAACCTTCTTCCAGACCTTGATTCGAGCGGCTTTCGGTTTGGGTTTAATGTGGTACTTGCAAAAAGCTACCACTGCAAGCATCTCAAGCTGGTCTGGAAGCTCCCGGGACGCTTGAGTTAGCGTTGTCATAGACCCGATCTGACTTGTAATGTCACTAGGATTAGGGTTATTGCATGGAGGGTTTCCCTCCTTCTTTGTAGGAGACCCGCATTTTCCGATGCCGAGGCCTAAGAGAGTTGTTAGAGCCGCAGGGTCCATCGGAGCTGCGAGAGCTATAGCTTTGACGGTCTCCACAGATCCATTCTTCGAAGGTGTTGTTGGAGGGGTAGGTGCGTAATTGCTAGCTCTTGTTGGAGAGCGTTCATTCTGGCGTGCTTGGTCCCCATCGATCCTCACCCTCGGCGGGGAGGGCGTATTCGGGGGACTGGGATAAGATGATGACATGTTGTGTTCTATCGCGGGAATGGTTCGACACTGTAATTTGGCCTGACTGTTAATCATACAATAGAGGCCAGTTTCCAGTTGGATTGAAAGTGGGCTGCGACTAGAGGTCTTCAAGCTAGGCACAGGATGTGAAATGAGGTACCAGGAGCAGTAACTTCAAGCGTGCCTAGAACAATCGGGCGGGCAGTTAGATAATATAATCATTGCTTAGAAGCGAGAGAGTATTCCGTAGATGCTGTGAACGAAGGAGATGAGCCAGCAGGCCAGGCAAGCGAGGAGCCCGATGGGAGCCTAAATGTTGCGCGACCAGGAGGGAAGGCTGTGCTCATAGTTAGGCGCCGGGCCGTACCCACCGCGTACTTCATGGGGGGGGACGGACCTTCCCAGGAGAAATCGTGGCGTTTCACGCCCGAAACAGCACGTTTTCTCTGGAGAATCGTCGAGTTCCCTGGTTGGGTCTTGGTTTGGCTGGTGGCCCAGGCACGGCTTGACAGGGTTTTGGGGGGTATCCCCTAGGCCTACAAGCAACATACGTAGACCCGTAGAATAGATAGCAATTCAATTGATTATATTATAATTATCCTATATACTGTACTCTACTGTGTGGCTTCTGTTAAGTCGTGCCAACACTGATCACGGTAGCCGGGGATGCCATACACATTGGCCTGGTTCCCATAGTCCAGGGTTACCTCTAACAGTCGCCAAACACTATAGGTCGAACACCACGATCTAGACTATGGTATATAGAAGTGTGTATTTTATTATTTAAAATATAAATAATAATAATATAGTAGGAGCACTAAGGAAAAAAATATGTTGCAGGTCCTGTATGTATCCTCAGATCGTACGGATAGGTCAAAATCATGACGGATAGGATATATCCGGATCAGTATCCGGATCGGGTCGGGTCATTCACGATCTGTGCCGAACGCTGTAAAATAACAGTACGCCTAAGTTATCGTCTCTTGTTATTAAGTTCTCAAATAACTCATCGTGAACATTGGGGGTGTTGATGGTTTCGGACAGTGGCACAGACATTTAGTCGTGTTGTTTCACCCCAGCATTAATTTACATGAACTATTAACAAGTCCAACCTCGATGACTCTAACCAACGGCTGCTGTTAGAATATTTTGTATGGATCCACATATGCCAACTTTAGCGTTAGACCGCGATGATGATGCCACGGTCCGCGGCTCGTTCCCTGAGCCTCTTTAAGCGCCCAAAAGTGTCTCACCACATCGCGACCAAAGCCCATCTAATCGAAGAAGGAACGCTGAAGCACTATAACCCGGAACTATACTGCCCCGTTCATACAAACGAACTTTTCCATCAGAGATATAGAACATGCGTCAAACTAGGCTACGGTGGATACTCAACCGTCTGGCTCTGCGTTGACGAGACGTACGTTCCATGACACAAGCGCGTATGCCATGTTCTAACCTAAAGTAGAAATAACTCATACAAGGCCCTAAAGGTTGGGACTCGCAGGGTTAGCAAATCTATGACAAAGGAAGTCCAAGTTCTAGTGTACCTTAGAAGCCTGAAGTCTGTGCACGATGGCCAATCTTGGGTTCGAATGCCTTGCGATACCTTCCAGATAGATTCCCCTGGCGGCTCACACGCCTGCTTAGTGTACGAGCCCCTTGGCATAAGCTTGCTAGAGCGCATCGATCTCCAACCTGGCAAAAGGCTCGAATTACCCCTTGTGAAAGTGGCTACATACTGTTTACTCTTGGCAATTGATTACCTCCATAGCTCTGGGGTTATCCATACAGGTAAATATCCATTCTAGATCAAGATTGTTGTTTTCTAACACCCAGTCCGTGAATTTAGACATCAAACTAGATAACATCCAAGAAGCGCTTCTAGATGAAGACACGGAAGTTCTCAATAGGCTCGGCGAAGCAGAGCGCAGACAGCCAAGCCCCCAAAAGATTGTAACTGATAGAGCGACCATATACACCTCTCGCCGACTAGACTACGAATCGGGTGTCGTATATCCAATACTCACGGATCTAGGAATGGCTGTCTTTGGCTCAGCGGAATATACTCATACGATCCAAGCGATCCCGTATCGTGCCCCAGAAGTCATTCTTGGAATGAAGTGGAACGAAAGCGTGGATATTTGGAATCTTGGCATCATCGTCAGTAAAGATGAATATTTGGCTATCTAGAACTAACGACGAACAGGTATGGGAGCTCCTCTGTGGAGAACACCTATTTGGTAGAGACAACGAGCTGGACACCCTTGCCTCGATGATCAAATATTTAGGACCGCCCCCAGCAGAATTCCTAAAGCGTGGTGATAAGCATTTGCAGTATTTCGACGAGCAAGGTGAGCGCCCCATATCACCAGCAATTATATTAGAGGAGCCGAAACTGACCCAGTATCCACTAGGAAACTGGAAAGGAACTCCTCTAGAACCTACCTCGTTAAAGGATAGACTGGAGGAGGGTGGGGATATCGACATGTTTGTTGATTTCGTGCAAGCTATGCTGTCGTGGGAGCCGGAGAAGAGACTGTCAGCTGCGGCGCTACTTAAGCATCCGTGGCTACAGTAGTAGATTGTACCATTGTAATTATAACGGCTGTATTAAAAGATAGGAATCGTGGATGTGGGAGATTGCGCCTCTTTGTTTTCTTCACAGAAACTGTAAACAGTTGCCTTTAGCACAGTCGCTGTCTTTAGCTTTGATATGCCACGAGAATCTGCTACTTGAGAGGCAACCAGAACTGTGAAAACTTGAACAAAATATTATATTAAAAATCAACGCCTTCATCTTTTACCCTTACTCCCCCATTTTTTCCTTTCCTCACTCTCCGACGGTCTGATGCATAACATTAACCCTATAACTCTCCGACCTCTCCAATAACTCCTCGTGTCCCCCCCGATCCACACACCGGCCCCCCTCTACCAAGAAAATAGTATCCGCCTTCCTAATCGTATGCAACCTATGCGCAATCGCAATCACCGTCACCCCCCTCGCCACCTTATCCAGACCCTCCTGCAGCAAACGCTCTGACTCTGCATCTAATGCACTGGTCGACTCATCAAGAATCAACAACGTCGGCTTCCGCACCAGCGCCCGCGCGATGGAAAGGCGCTGCTTCTGACCTCCAGAGAACTGACTCCCGTTAGGCCCGCAGAGAGTCTCGTAACCCTCCGGTAAGGCGACGATGACATCGTGGATGTTGGCGAGTTTACACGCGTCTTCGATCTCCTGTGTGGTGACCTCGTGGCCGGGGCGGGCGCCCAGACCAATGTTGAAAGCGATGCTGCCTTCGAAGAGCATGCTTTCCTGCGGGACGAGGGCGATGGAGTCGCGGAAGGAGGTATCGCGGTGGGCAGTTACGTCGACGCCGTCGATAATTATACCGCCTGATTGGGGAGTGTAAAGGCGCTCGATGAGGGCAATGATTGTGGATTTACCAGCGCCGCTGGGTCCGACAAGGGCGCAGAAGCTGCCGGGTTTGATGTTGATGTTTAAGCCGTTTAGGACTTTCATGTCGGGGCGGGCGGGATAGGAGAAGTGTATGTCACGGAGCTGGACGCTTGAGGCAGTGGTTCCGGATGGGAGAGGAGATTTCGTCTCAGCTGTTCCTTCGAGATCCTTTTCGGAGGTCACAGCGAGGGCATTCCTTGGGGTGATGCGTCCCTGCATTCCGTCCGATCCCTCCTCGATCAGGCCTAGGATTCTCGCCATGGCCGCTCTGGCGCTAGAAATTTCTGGCGCGAGAGCGAACATCTGACTCCATAGTAGCGCGCTGACGAGAAGGGAGAAGACAACAATCAAGAACTGTGTCTGGGTGTAGTTGCCCGCAATGATCTGCTTGGCTCCCCACCAATACGCCAGGGCATTCACAAGATTTCCAAGGAAATAAGTAATTGCCTGGCAAAGACTTGCTTGCACAGTGACCTTGAGCGTCTCCTTACGAGGCCCCTTTAATGACCGGCGGTAGATGTTTAGAGTCTCTTCTTCAAGCGAGAGGGCAGCGATTGTCTTGATAGACGTGATAGCTTCGACGCCAATGTCAACCGACTGGGTATACGCATTCTCATGACGCTCCTCAAATTGACCGAGGACTCGGAGCTCCATGACACCAGCTCCAAGTAGAAGCGGTACCAATGACAGACATACCAATGCGATTCTCCAGGCAATAATGTGAGTCAAAATGATTGCCGCAATGAGATTGACGGTGATAGAGAACAGCGTGCCAATAACAGATCCGCTCAACCCAGCCAAGGCACTGCCGTCTCTAGTGATATAAGACAACAACGACGCTGGGGTTCGACCCTTCGACTGGTGCCACTGGAGATCCTGCTCAAATAGCGACCTAAAAGACAAGACCCTCACAGAGTAGACAATCTTCTCAGAAACCCATCCGAACGCAGACCAACTCACCAAGTTCGCGAAGAACTCAATAATGGCGAGAACGAAGAACATGAGACCGTAGAAGTTACCGCGAGACCGGATACTATCCGCGCTGTTGCAAGGATTCAGACTGCCAACTGTATTTCCAAAAATGACAGCTTCGCCAGAGAAGGCTCCGCCGACAATAATGGAGCCGAAGAGCGCCATGACGAGTACGAGTAGATGAGGTCTCAATGCCGGAGAGTATCCTCTGATGAGGACTCCCAGGCTTTTGGATGGGGTCTCAGGCTCTTGTTCTTCTGCGGTGCCTGTGGCTGGAGTGTCCTCGGTATTCGAAGCCTCCGTTTCCAGGGCCTCCTTCTCGATATCGACATCTGTCACAGAGTCTTGGAGAGTCTGGACACTGTTTAAGCTAGTCCTTTTTTCAATTTTGCCAGATGCAGATCCGAGAGTTTGAAGGTTAACCAAGTTGGCGTACGGCCCATTATTAGCCATCAAGGTCGCGTGGTTGCCCTGCTCCGAAATACGTCCTTTGTCCATAACAACGATATTATCCGCGCCTGTGATAGTCGACAAACGATGCGCAATTGTGATCACCGTCCTGCCGCTAGCAATGTTCGCGATGGCACGCTGGATGCGCTGTTCGCTTCGAGAATCCAAAGATGAGGTGGCTTCATCCAGGATGAGGACCGCGGGGTTCTTGACGAGGGCGCGAGCAAGGGCAATTCGTTGTTTTTGACCACCACTGATGAGTCGACCACTCGAACCAACTGTGGTTCCGTATCCGTATTGAAGAGCAGTGATGAAGGTGTCCGCATCTGCAAGCACTGCAGCTTCTCGGACAAGAGTAACAATTCTGACCACTTCCGGGCCTCGTTTCTCTGCTGCAACCGTAAGATCTTCACCTTCCCTGAGGGTTGCTGCTAGATCCGCGAGCTCGGGACCTAGAAGTGCCGTCTTTAGAGATGTATGATCAGGGTTGCTAGAATTGATCAAGCCGTGTGCGATGTTCTCCAAGAGTGAGCGGTTGAGGAGAGAAGGCTCCTGCTGCACCAAGCCGAGGAAACTTCTAGAGTTCCGGACATTCAGATCACAAAGATCGTGACCATCAAAGAGGATTTGTCCCGCCGTTGGATCATATAATCTTGTAATAAGACCTGCGACAGTCGACTTTCCGCTTCCAGACAGGCCGACAATGGCAGTGTGTTTGTTGGCGGGCATCGAGATATTAATCTGATCCAGGACCGTGATATCTGGCCTTGACGGGTAAGTGAATGAAACATTCTTGAACTCGAAGCCACCCTCTGCCTGTGTTAGGCACAGGCCTGAACCACCAGTGCCATCAATGAGCGACTCGCGATCAATGTCCTCGCGCATCTTCTGGTATGAGGCAACGGCAGCCGAGAATAGATGGAGGAAGGGTGCAACCTGACTCAAAAGCAATGTAGCTGTTCATTGTGTTAATACACTCCAATGGTAGGATTATAGTCGACTAACCTTCAATGAGAATAAAAATGACTGTAAACGTAGCACCGACGGTGGTGGTAGGAGAGTCTGAATGTGCAGCTATAGCGATACGCTTGCTTCCTTGCCAAAATGCCAGACCATTCGCGGAATATGCAATAAAGTATAGGACACCGGATTGTATGCCAACTGCCGTGGCCTTCTTCAAGCCCTGTTGCTCTGATGCCTTGAGCGAGTCCGAGAATTTGTCCTCCAGCCTCACATTCGCGCCAAAGGCCTGGACGACGAGGATGTTGGAGAGCGCCTCCGAAGCAATCGACGCGGCGGTAGCGGCATAATCGGACATGAGTCCAGAGTACTTCTCGATATAATATCCTCCGACAAAGGACATTATGAAGAAGGCAGGGACCAGCGAGACAAGCATCGCCGCGAGGAGGTAGTCCTTGATGAAAGCCACGATATACGCCGTGATGAAGAACGACAAGCTGGAGAGGCATATCCCCACCTTCTCAGACGTGCCTGAGCGGATGGCCTGGATATCGCCATTGAGTCTCGAGGCGATCTCTCCTGGCGGAAGTTTATCAAAGTATGACGGTTCCTGTCGGAGTAAGTTCTGGAGATACCGTTCTCGCAGCCTCTGGGCTAGGCGAGCGCCGTTCAATGTCCAGCATGTTAGGTGGACATAGATAGTGATGAACTGAGCGATGGCCAGGTACACGATGAGGAGGATTTTGCTGTTGATGCTGGCTTGGTATTCTGGGCCCGAGTCTGTCGTATCGACAGCATCACACGTGATGGCATTGAAATCGTCCAAGAGCTGTCCAAAGACGATTCCGATTAGTGGAAAAGGAACCCCGGATGCGATTGCAGCGACTACGCCTAGTAGAAGAGTGCCAATGTCGAGTTTCGTAGGATTCCCAGCTAGAAGCAGCTGGTGATAGCCCGAAAGCTTCTTGATGATCTTCATTGCGTCTTGAAGTTGGTGATCAGCATTCTACCTTGTCACAAAGTGTATGAGTAGAGATGCATGGAGTGATAAGAAAACTCTTGGGCACAGAATCATAAATGGAGCTACGCTAGGATGCGGCAGTTGGAGAAAATGCGTCCGGGCAATTGTCAAATTCCATTTGATTCTGAGCCTGTATGAAAGGCCTCGTCGGCTCTATGGAGACCGAAAGATCATCGCTGGCAGGGTAGCTATGACGAGCTGCTAAGAATTCAACCAGGAGGCCCTGGAACTGGTCCAGGGTGATACCGACATCGGTATTGAGCTGTTTGCTGTAAATTCTTGAGCGGACACAACCCATTGGGTGTATTCTCAGAGAATACACCCTTGATAAGTCGTAACATTGCTGCCATGTATCAGTGGATCCCATGGATCAACCAATGCTACGATACAAGCAACGCATGTACCACGAAGCCATACACTACTTACAGTAATTCGCGGCACGACCCTGCACTGCCAAGACTAACCAAGTCCAACTCGGAAAGGTGCTAGGGCTGTTGAATATACGTAATGGCTATGGCTGAGCTAAGAACTCGGGACCTTACGGGTATTGAAGGAAAGGGAAGGAGCGATGGCGCCCCAAAACCGAAAAAGACGGGAAGGAACGACGGAGGCCAAGAAATAAAAACTTGGGAAAGCACGCCCTTCGTTCCTTCCTCACAAGCTTTTCTTCCCCCTATCCCCTGCGCAAACACACTTCTTGCGCCAAGATGCGCTAAGGCAACTGATGTGAGAATCCAATCTAATCAGATGATCTTATAAGTCCCAAATCGGGCCGAATAACCGGCTGGGCAGTGGAGAGTGGGGGTGAGGAGGTCGCAAAGAAAGTTATCAGATCCGTTTAGCCTACAGTGGGGCGTTGGTGGGATGGTTGTGTGTGTCGCTTAAAATATCCGGGAGTGGATGGGTGTGTGGGATGGGACATGGAGGTTGCATTTGCATGTGCAATGAGTGAGGTACGGGTATGGCGGAAAGTGGGGGGAAGAGAGCAGCATTGAGGGAGCTGTTATGCATGCACGCCTGACTCAGACTCACATGGTAGAAGCTGTCACAAGCTGTCGTAGCTGTCGCAGCGATGATCGTTTTATTTTTGGTTGAAGGGTAACTGACGATCGGGTTGAAATAATTACTTCAAACATGGGGAAGAGGAACAATGGATGAGAGTGAAGCCTGTCTCTCGAGAATCGGTCTTTTTAGAATGCAAATATATACATTTTAGATTTTATATCCAACTTCGTAGCTTCGGTCTATTGCCAGTTGATCCAAGAAATAAACCACAGATAGCCAACCGTAAAACTATGTTCGCCCGAACACCAATTCCAATGGCACATTCACTTCTCCAAAGTGTTCCTTACCTGCTTTTGAATCCCTCTGCTGTCCCCTCTCTATTACCGACAATTTAGCCCCCCCTAAAGCTTTGCATTCCACGCCGCCCGATCCGCGCTCTCCAGCGGCCTCTCCCTCCCATCCCAAAAGATCGGACAAAGCTGAAACCACTTCTCGCGGCTACAAACCGAGTGCACACTCCTCTTATGTCCCAAATCCACATACTTCCCAATCGTCAGCCCCTGCGCATTCTCATAGCTCAGAATCGTCCCCCCCGTCGCCTTCGGCTCGCCAACAACATTCGCGCACCGCACGTCGTCGAGGAAGCAGTAGTGGATGCACGAGGAGTACCAGGCGTTGACGCGCTGGGCGCCGCGGAAGGAGTCGTCGCCGACGAGGGAGTGGCGACCACGGTCGTAGGGCGCAGCGTCGTAGTGCGCGCCGTAGTGGTCTTCTTTTGACCAGTAGAGCTCGAAATAGGCGAAACGGGTGTTGTCGAAGCGGCCGAAGAGGCAGAGGACGTGGGGATCATTGTGGAGTTTGCGGAGGTAATTCCTGTGCTCGTCCAGTGTGCCGGTCTCGTTCCAGCCTTGCGCGACGCGCGGGTCGTTTTGCCATTTGTTGAAGAGCGCGAGGTGGGCTGCGTCTTCGTAGTTGACTACCTCGAGGGAGAAGTGCTCTGCGATTTCGGGGATGTAACGGCTGTAGACGATGGATCCTGGGTGCGGCTTGGGGCGGCGCGTGGGGTGGCGCGTGTAGACTGGCTCGTCGGGGAATTTCATCGTGACCTCGTAGTTCTCGGGCATGATGGGGTACTGGGCCAATGGCTCCCGGACTGGTCCGTCTGTACCATCTCCCACTGCCCAGATAGGGCGCGGGCCAGCGGGCGACGCGGCGCCCTGCCAGAATGCGCTGCGAAGAATGAGAAAGTCGTCAGGGCGGGTGGTGGTCTTGAACTTGGGGTGCCATTGGGCGGGGTGTTCGATTCCGAGACCAGTTGTGAGGAGTTCGGCGCGGATGATTTCGTTACCAGTGCCGACGAGAGTGACGCGGAAATACTCATGTGTAGGGTGAGCTGTGTAGATGGCGTGAATTATGTTCCAGATCTGGCCCAGAGTTGGAGTGCTGTTTCCTGTCCACTGGAAGGTGGTTTGTGGGCTTCGGCGAGCACGTGCCCAGGCGCTGTTATTTGAGGTTGGGGGACGGTCATCTTTGGGTGCTAATGATAGTTCCATCCATGAGAGAGTGTCATTGTGAAGCGGTTGTGCAAGTGGGCGTCCTGCTGGAGGCTGGCCAAGGGGTGCTAAGGTGAGTTTGGCGGGCGTCGTTTCGGCGACTGTCTGAACTCGATATTCAGTGAGAAAAGGGTGTGGCAGTTTTACCAGAGGATATCTGCGTGGTGTTGAGCTGGATGCCATCTTATTTGCGATCTTATCAACAACGTAGCGACGCAAATCGTGCTGGACTGGGGACGAGGATCAACGGGAGATCGAAGTTACTGTAGATAGGGACCCAAAAAAATCGACCGAGGACAAGGCCACATATTTGAGAGAGTCCGCCGGCATCTGTTACTCCGCATCCCTACCATTACCGACGTAGTACACCCTAGTTTCATCAAACCTCGCCCTGAGAAGGATCATTCCCGCAAGCGAATGCACTAGGAATGCCGGTGGTAGGCATGTCGGCAGCACGAACCAGCTTGCAAAGTATAAAGTCAATGGGAGGAGCTGGTCAGATTACACCATACCGTTAGAACGTTTGCTTCCGATCGATTGGCTGACAAACCACCCCGCCAACAGTCGAATCCACTCCCGAGATGTCTCTCCGGTCAAGATCCCTGAATTTCAAGTACTTTAATGTGTCGTTCCCGGATGACAAGATTGTGCAGGTCACATTAAACAGGCCCGAGAAGTTGAACTGCATTGACCTACCTACGAGCCGGGAAATCCAAAAGATCTGGGAGCTGTTCGACCAAGATGGGAGCTTGTGGGTTGGCATTATCACTGGCACTGAGAGGGCTTTCTGCACCGGGGCCGATCTACAAGGTAAGCTTGCCATTTTCTGTGCTACATCGGTATTCCCGTTGACGAGAACCGACCGCTGACGCGTGTAGAATGGAACGCCATGAACAAGGCCGGGGTGGTTAACGACATGGCTGCACCAGGTCTCGCTGGGCTGCCCCGCCGGAGTGGCAAGAAGCCGATCATCGCAGCAGTGAACGGGATATGCATGGGTGGGGGCCTCGAGATGGTAGCTAACTGCGACCTCGTCATTGCATCCTCTTCGGCGATCTTCTCCCTGCCCGAGGCAAAGCGAGGAATCGTCCCTGTGGCCGGCTGTCTGCCACGGCTAACACGCACCCTTGGCCTTCAGCGAACCATGGATCTCGTCCTGACGGGGAGGAGCGTGAGTGCCGCGACGATGTATGAATGGGGCCTTGTTACGCGTCTGGTGGATGCTGGGTCCGATGTTGCCCGGGCAGCTGTTCAGGTGGCGCAGGAGATGTGCAAGAATAGCCCGGATGCGTTGATAGTTGGGCGACTTGGAGTGCGGATGAGCTGGGAGGCAGGGAGCGTGGAGGAGACGGTGACGACGCTGGCGAATGAATGGTACCCCCACCTAGTCAAAGGCGCCAACTTTGCAGAGGGCATCCAGGCATTTGTGGAGAAGCGACAACCTAAGTGGACAGACTCGAAGCTGTGAGAAGGGATAGCGGCCGAAATGCAATGTTGGGCTAGGATGAACCTCGGAATAGGGGAAAAGAACTAAAAATTAATCTAAACTATTGAAACGCCCTTGTTAAGTAAATACGCATGGTTGATATAGCGTATTATGTTGTATTGGTTAGGACCAGTTGTTTCCCTTGTGGAGTCTGCGTCTTTGCGTCTTGTTGGATGCAACTGCGCTCCTTCCTTGTCATCGTTAACGTGGCGTCAGGGGTCATCTTATCAGATGGTACTAGCGTACTTATCAGATGGTACTAATTTTATTATCCCTGCTTGGCGTCTAACTAACCGGTACTAGGCGGTACCAACCAGTTGAGTACTGACAGAGCTGTACTCGCTTCCCCCAAATCATCCCAGCTGTCCCGTCCCGGTTTCTTCCAAGTGAAACCCTGTGGACCGTGTTACGTGTGAACCCTTACGCCATGTGAAAAATCTTCATCTTATCAGATCCTGCATGAGCGATTAACCCCCCATAGCGGGGTACATGTCAGTGGAGTATTGCTCGGCGGTGTCTTCGCTTCTGTGCACCTTACTAGTAGTGAAGAGGAGCATTGAGCTGTAGCTCTAACATGGGCCCAAAGCCTACAGATAATCCTGCCAAGTGATAATCCTGTCTAGCAACATGTGCTAGCTGCTACCTGTCAAGTGTATTCCGTGCGGATCGACACGTTTGGTTTAGCTCGTTCCTTCCATAGAGTACTCGTATACTTGTCGCTCTAGTACTTACGATGCTACACTTTCTCTGCCGTGTATTCCGTAGCTGCTCCCGTCGTTCTAATACTGACCCCCATGTGGCTGCTCCAATTCTCTTAGCCAAGGCCATAACCCCCCCCCCCCCTGACCCACGAGATGTGTCAAACGGCGATGATATTTATCACGCCATCTGATTAGATTTGATAATCGGCAAGTGTCCGCCTTGCCTTCCCTCCGCAAGCTGGTGTGATGGTGGAGTTTGCGTGGGGTTAGGGGGACTACTGTAGGTGGGATAGATGGGAACCCTACGCGTGGGCTCGTGTGGGCGGCAGAGTCTGCACAGACTGAGAATCCTAGACACTGGTGCATACGACCATGAAGGAAAAGCCCAGAGTCCCTGTCAATACTTGGCATACACCAGCTTCTCGGCAATAATGATCCGACCTCGGGGTCAATCAATCTTATCAGTATATGAATCTGCATGGCGCTAGAAGTAGACACAGCTATAAGCGTAAGGATTTCCATTGTATTTATCCTTTTCGAGTTCTTGGCACACTGTCGTCTTGCTTCTTTCAAAGTCATCAACAATGGCATTGCTTCCCAAGATTCAGTCTGTTTTCGGTCGTCGGGCGACCGATGATGGAGTAGACTCTGTCCCCGTGGAGTTGGTTGATGAAAAGAAAGATGCTGTCAGACAAGATCCTATCAGTGAAGGAAATGAGAAGAACAGAGAAGATCCGGCCATTGGCACAACTGGAACGGACAGCAATGATGAGCAGGACCAACTTCCTACCCAAGATGCACAACGTGGTGTCCACGATGTTGAGGCCGTCACTCTGACCTGGACCAAGACGACGCTGGTCGCAGTCTTCCTCAAGTACGTTGCTATCCATGCCGCCGACTGTCTCTGGCAAGGCCCATCTAACAGTGCGCGTCAACAGCATCTGGTTACTTTACTTCGTCAACGCATTCCAATCCTCGATCCTCTACAACTTGCTTCCCTACGTTACGAGCGAATTTGAGTCGCATTCGCTGCTGACTGTCATTTACATCGTCGCAAGCGCCATGTCGGCCGCGACGTATATTCCATTGTCAAAGGTTCTCGATGTCTGGGGTCGTGCTGAAGGCTTCCTTATCATGGCAACTTTCTCCACGCTGGGATTGATTCTTATGGCTACATGCCATAACCTTCCCACCTTCTGCGCCGCATATGTAAGATTATTTCTTATGCTGTGGCAAGACTTGAAATATTCTGTTGATGCTAACGGTTGGATGCTAGGTGTTTTACAGCATTGGCTTCGGAGGTATTACTTACTGCGTGGACGTCATCACGGCCGACGCGTCCAAGCTGAAGAACCGAGGATTGGCATACGCCTTCACGTCCTCGCCATATATGATTACGGCATTTGCTGGAGCGAAGGCATCGGAAGATTTCTACTATAACGTCAGCTGGAGATGGGGTTTCGGCTGCTTTGCGATCATCTTCCCCATTGTGGCTGCTCCTCTATACGTTATGTTGAAGGTCAACCTTAAGAAAGCCGAGAAACGAGGCCTCTTGGTCAATGAGAACAGCGGCCGGACGTTTTTGCAAAACGTCTGGTATTACGTCATTGAGTTTGATGGTGCGTAACACAGCTTTTGAAGATACCCATGTTGCAAAATACTGACCTTCAATAGCATTTGGAGTCCTCCTGTTCTCTGTCGGTCTCACCGTGTTTTTGCTGCCCTTCACCATCGCGGATAGCGCCCCCAACGGCTGGTCCTCGGGCTACATCATTGCCATGCTTGTCATCGGATTTGTCGCGCTTGTCTCCTTTGGCTTTTACGAGGTGTACTTGGCCCCGACACCCATGCTCAACTTCAGCTTTCTCACCGACCGAACCGTCATCGGCGCGTGTATTCTGAGCATTACATACCAGATCTCTTATTACTGCTGGGCCAACTACTTCACGTCCTTTCTACAAGCCGTCAACAATGTTACCATCGCCCAGGCCGGATACATTGGTAACACCTTCGACGTTGTGTCTGGCGTGCTTCTCCTGATTGTCGGTTACTTGATCCGCCGCACCGGCTACTATAAGTGGCTCCTCTACATCGCGGTCCCGCTGTACATCTTCTCCCAGGGCCTAATGATCTACTTCCGCCGCCCCAACCAGTCAGTCGGCTACCTAGTCATGTGCCAGGTCTTCATCTCCATCGGTGGTAGCATCTTCATCCTCATCGGCCAGGTCGCCATTCTAGCCGCGGTTGACCATCAGCACGTCGCTGCCGTGCTTGCCCTCCTCAACGTCGCCGGAACCATCGGCAACGCCATGGGATCGACTATCTCCGGTGCTATCTGGACGAACACCTTCGAGAAGGCGCTTGAGCGGAATCTGCCTACCTCCGCGCTGCCCGATCTGTCCACTATTTATGAGGATCTCGAGACGCAGCTAAGTTACGAGGTCGGTAGCCCAACGAGACTGGCGATCCAGGAGTCGTATGGGTATGCGCAGACAAGGATGTTGGCTGCAGGGACGGGAATCATGTGCCTTGCGTTCATTTCTCTCATACTGATTAGGAATATTAATGTTGCGAAGGTGGCACAGGTCAAGGGTACCGTCTTCTAAGTGTGCGCGATTCAGCCGTTGGCTTGGAAGAGGTATGTTGGGATAAAATTGTTGGAGATAGTAAGATTGGTGGTATATACTCGCAGATATTTTGTTTATAATATAATTCATTTAAAACGATCACACCTTTAAAAGACCCTCTCAATACTAGTATCATACACTCGAAGAGACAGCTAAGCGTGGTCTCGCCTACTGCCCAACGATAACAGGAGGGAAAGCGCGACAGACCTAGCGGTTGAAACGATGACGAAAGGAGCAAGGGTAGTTGATAATGGATAGGAAAGAGCGATGGTAAGGTGGTAGCTGCGAATAAGAGGGAAGGGGCGATGGCAGATGACATGAGATATCGAATGGAAGGAGCAACACATCACGGGAGAAAGAATAAGGTGGCAGGAGCGAATGCCACTTGCTCTGATCCGCTTTCCACCAACTCCCGTGGTAATGACATACGATTCGGGCTGTTGAGCCTTTACGTACTTAAGCACATTTGATATTTAATAATTTACTGATACTAAGAGAATAGTAACAACATACAAAATACTGGCCAGCGCTACATGATCAATCTATTTGGTCCCGTTTCTGGCCGGACCATAACTACGCCGCCGCTTCAAACAGTCCACCAAGCATCAACAACTCCGACTGCCGAACCACGAGTTCCTCAACAACAGCAGCTAGCTCCTTCAACACCTCATCCACAAACTCAGCATCCCTCTCACTTCCCACAATCCCAACATGCAACACCCCACCCTTAATGAACGACACTGCCTTAAAAGGCGCAGCCGCATCCCCATGCGGATTCAAAATATCCACCTTACACTCTCCACCAGCAAACGGCATTGTATCGAAGTCCTCAAAGTCCTGATGATGGACAATGGAATCCACTCCCGCCTCCTTTGACCACTGCGTGCACTTTTCCTTGATGGCGCTGAAGCCCACGTAGTCGTGGGCAGCTGACTCGGCGCTCTGGTTCTGGATGAAGCGGAGTAAGTCGATCGCTGTCCACTCCTGCGAAAAGGCGACGCGGAGGGGTGTGAGCTGGTAGCAGGGACCCATGACGTTCTCGATGTTGGGGAGGTTGTTGGTGCGGCCTGAGGTAACGCTGGCGAATGTTACGTCTGCAGTGCGGAGACGGCGGGCGAGGAGGAGTGCCCAGGCCGCTGATAGAAGAGTGGCCGTCGTGATGTCCTGGAGGGGGGTGAAGGTGGGGACGGGGTGAGTCTGGAAGGTTGCTTTGTCCGTGGGTTGGGTGGAGGGGCCGGGTAGGATGGAGAGGGTGGAGGCGTTTAGGAGGTTACGCCAGTAAGCGAGGGCATTGTTGTGGGCACCAGTGTTCGAAACCAGTGTCATGTACGAGGAGAATGGTTCGAAGTCGACGATTTTTGCGCCGGTGTATAGGGTTTCCAGGTCTTGGAGCAGGCGGGGGAGAGACATGCCGTCGTATTGGGCGTGAGAGAGGCCTATGATGAGGCACTCTTGGCCGTCATTGCATTCGACATGTAGCAGCTTGAAGAAAGATGATCCAAGGCGGAAGTCTGATTCTATGTGCGTGTTGCAAAAGTCGGCAACATATTGCTTAAGATCACCATCCGCCTTATGCGTCATCACAGGTGATTCAAACTCATCCAAGACGACTTGATAGAAGGTTGACTCGTGCTCGATGAAAACGGTGCGTAGGATATCGTGGGTCTTGACTAGCTCCTTACAGGCGTCAAACAATTTCTGGCGATCGATGCCGCTATCGAAGTACAACATGGTATATTGCATCGACGTCCGCGGTACCTGGAGGGTTCCTCTAATATCAAGTGCTTGGGAATCCGTCACTGTGCATACATCCTGAATAGAACAACGCGGGTCGACAAGTTGCGGCCGAACAATCGTCGATAGGAATAGATCCTGATCCAAATTGCCCAGTGTCGAAAAGCGCCTGTAAGGCTGGACCTTCGGTTTTGGAGCTTCACCTATTTTCATCACTTTGGCTGCGTCACCGAGACGCATGTGCCGGAATATATCGGCAACAGTCAAAACGTGTCCCAGGGTACGGAGACGTGATACCAATTTCATGGCGTAGACGGAGTCGCCTCCAATACGGAAGAAGTTGTCATCAACGTCTATCTTCTCTGCGTCGATTCCAAGAATAGTAGCCCAGGAAGACCGCAGAATATCCTCAGCAGGTGTCAAGTTTTCATTCGCAGAGCTTTTCGTCCATGCTTCCTCTGTACTTTCATGGATCTGAGTGAGTACGTGTCGTGGAATGGTGGAGGCGAGCTTGTTGAGCACACCATGGTTAATCTCGTTTGACTCCGCGGGCAGTTTGTCAACTACGACGTATGCTGAGGGGACCATGTATGACGTGAGAGAGTCTTGAATGAATTTGTCGAGCTTCTTCAGTGCCACTACAAGACCGAGGGGAATATTGGCACATATGGCCGTCTTGAAACTTTGTGGGTCAGACGGGTCGGATGTTATATCGTGTGGGACCGACATGATCTCAACACTGTCTCCCTGAGAAGGCTGCTGTTCGATGAAGATGACTAGTTCTTGCTCCGGCACCTGCTGAGTAGTATCCGATGATTGGAAGAGGGCTGCAGCGGCACGAATAGTAGGTGGAAGAAGTCTTCTGAAGTGGCCCTCAAGATCTCCAATATCCACTGTGTGCCCCTGGAATGACACGACATTCTCCTTTCGACCGATAAATACCAAGGTGTTATCTGGTTGCAACTGAACCATGTCGCCTGTCGCCTGCGCTCGGCCCCTGCGGCCGACACATGTAGAGCTGCCAGCCTTGAGCCAAGGAGGAGACTCAACAGTTTCGCCAGAAAGGAAAGCCCCCTCAAGCCACAGCTCGCCAGTACAGCCGATGGGCGACAATAAGGATGAGTTTCGCGGATCACACACCCAAGGTATCACTGCGCGAGGATAGATCGCCCCTTGTGTAATACTTGCACCTGCTCGAAGTCTCGAAGACTCGTCCAAGGCCAATGGTGGAGTTTGATTCCATTGCCAGATCTGGTCCAATTCCACCTCTGGAACGCATGATATCTCGTCGACTCTCCGGGATGGGTCTTTGGTCAACTGTAAACACGCCATTTCTAGTTGCGCAAGGATTCGTTCCATTTGCTTAACCTCGATCAGGCTGCTGTCAAAACTGGCACAGACTCTGAAGCCGGCCTTTTGGATTCCACAGGCTAGCATAAGTGGATAGGGGTTGAAATGGAGCGCTTCGCGCACGGCGTCTCCTTGGCTGAAGCCAAGATCGCCGTCTACATACACTGGCTCTGGCTGAATGACCAAGCCTGTGCTGGCCTCGCATGCATGCTGAGCGTCTCGGCTGACCTTTCTGATGTTCTGCATCCCCATATGCTGATACGGCGTGCGAGCTAATATGCCTTGTTGCACAGCACTCAGATAAGATTCGACTGAGCTCTTACGGTCAAATTGTATGCGAACGGGTACTGTAGCTATCAATGGACCGATGATACTTTCAACCTCCTGCAACGGAATATCTCGACCCATGAGTGTCTCGCCGAACACGACATCATCGCTTCCTGTGTACTGCGATGCTACGAGCGCCCACGCGCCGCGAATCAGTGTTGCCAGTGTGAATGGCGATCCGCTAAGTTTCTCAAGGGGTATGAGGTGCTCAATCATGGCATCTGGAGTTGGCAAGTAGTCTCTAGATGGAAGACGTGGGAACTGAGGTCCAACGGCGCCTTTCAGCTCCTGCCGCCAAAACTCCTGCATGGCAGTCTCATCTGTGTCCCGCACAAATTTAACGAAGTCTCGCATTTGTGTTTTAGTCGTGATGCGCTGGTCTTTCAAGGCGTTGGAGATCTTTTCGAGGATCAATGGCTCTGACCACCCATCGTAGAGTACGTGGTGGACCGTCCAGACCATGTATCGCTTGTCATCGCCTGGAGAGCTGATAATAGCATATCGAGCCAAGCTTTCACCGAGATTCATCTTCTCAGCCTTATCATCCTCGAGGTATTGCTCAAGATTAGTCGGATATTTCCAGGAGATACTTTCATTAAGGATAACTTGCTGGAGCCCAGGCTCTTGAAGTTGGGCGACGCGAGTGCGTAGGATAGGGCTTGCTTGAATAACTTCCTCCCATGCTTTTCTCCAAGCATCGAGATTTATGTGCGATGGAATACATGCAACTCTCTGAGCTACGTATGCCTTGGTCGATTTGAGCGAGAAGGTAAACAGTGACTCTTGCGTGGGTGTGCAAGGATATATGTCTTCGACTGGTTCCTGAGTTGACCCACAAGCTTGTGATGCTTCGAGGCAGGCGCTTTCGGCAGGTGTGGAAATCATAGAAAATGGCGACGATTCTGCCATCGCTTGGACGTTAGAAACGAGGATAACACCAGCCATAGCCGAGAGTGTGGGGTGGCCAAAAATGCTGGCGACTGTGAGATCGAAATCCTGCGCTCGACAGACAGACACGAGCCTCATTGCTGTTAAGGAGTCGCCACCAAGTGCGAAGAAATTATCACTTAGCCCAATGGGTTCTTCGTCAAGTTTCAATATCTCGCTCCAGAAATGCCTCAGACGCTTCTCAGTTTCAGTCATCTCTCGAGAAGCAGTGCTCGGTGTGTCTTTATCCAAATCCCGGAGATCCACGGTAGCTCCAAACTGACGAAGCCGTTTGCGATCCGTTTTTCCTGAGATTAAAGCTGGAATATAATTGACTGGTATATATGCGTTTGGCACCATATACCGCGGTAAAACCTTCGCTATTTCCACATCGGCTTCTGAGAGCGTTTCGCGCAGCTCGCTGGGAAGTTGTGGCGATGTTAAATCGGTATCCTCGCCCTTCATGGCCTTGGAGGTGATAAATGCGACCAAAGTAGGTTGGCCACCACCCGTAGGCACAATCACCTCGGCAACAACAGTGGTGTCCGAAGGAAGTCTGGCCCTCAACTGACTTTCGATCTCCCCGAGCTCAACACGTTGTCCACGCAATTTGACCTGGGTATCTTTCCTTCCAACAAAGACAATGCCTCCCGAACCATCGGGGTCGTATTTTCCGAGATCTCCAGTCTTGTATAGACGCCCCCGACGACCAGCGTAGCCGTTGTGTCCTGCAACTAGCCATTTTGGGTCGTTGATGAAGACCTCTGCGGTCTTGTTGGGGTCGTTTAAGTAGCCTTGTCCTACAATAGGACCCTCGACAAGCAACTCTCCTACGGCACCGACTGGCATTAGCGTTTCGTGGTCGTCTGGATTGGTGATCCAGATGGCGGCTCCATTGCCTGGCCCGATAGAGATATAGTCCCTGCCTGTAGCGGCGCTGCTGTTTACGGTGCATCCGATTGTGCATTCACAGGGACCATAACCGATGATAATCCTGGTGACTTCTCCCCAGAGATTAACGTCTCTCGCTGAGGCAGCCTCTCCACCCAGACCAAGGCCGCTGAGGGATGCTATAACATCATCGTCCAATATGCGGGCCAGAGAAGGGGTTAGGCCGGCGTAATTAACTTGCATATTTCTCATCGCTCCATTAATGTCGTTGACTCTGTCCTCATCGGAAGGAATGCAAAGACAGCCGCCGTTGCCCAGAGTTAAAAGCATACTGTCGATGCTGACATCGAAAGCGTACGACGCAAAATCGAGGACCCTGGAGCTCTCTGTATAGCCAACTGCCTTTGCTCGAGGAATGGCACTGCTTGTATATGTTTCGTGAGAGATGGTGACTCCTTTCGGAACGCCCGTGCTTCCGGAAGTAAATATTATGTACATTAGTGCAGATGACGGCACAGCTGCTAACTTTGGAAGTTCTTGTGCATCTGACGAGGCGGGAAATGTGTCCGCTTCCACAATGAGGAGCTTCCCATTCGGCACGATCGATGTTGATATGTCATGCTGGCTGCGCGACGCCACCATTATATTTGCACCCACCTGTTCTGCCATATTTTGGAGGCGGGCAAGCGGAAGTGTCGGGTCCATAAGCACGAAGGTTGCTCCAGCTTTCATCACCGCAAGCACGGCGACAATTGTCCATTTTGACTTCTCAAAACACACAGGCAGAACATCATGCAATTTAACGCCCATTTCTTGAAGCGAGCCGGCTACGAGCGTAGAATACCGTTCGATTTGGCCATACGTCAAGTCTCCGTCCCATGATGAAATTGCCACTTTTTCTAACAAGCCTTGGGATCGTTCTGCGATCATGTCGTGCATGCAGAAGTTGCAGGTGGGAGGTAGGAGGTTATTCCAACCCCATATATGATCTATATCACGCGTGGTCGGACGAAGACAGTCTTCCAGGGACGCATCCGGATTCGAAATGCACATTTTGACAGTGTCAACTAGTGACTCGATATATCGCGTCACGTTGTACTCCGGCATGTTTATGTTTTGCCAGACTGGACGGATCTCGAGATTAATACTATTAAGGCGTACCTCAAGGTGAAGGACGCCCTTTTCTCACAGTTAGCCAGGTTACATGGTAACCAAGGTACGATGCCCACTTACTTCATCTTTAGCTCCTTCGGAAGTTTTGGATAGTGAACTGGTGCTCAAGAGGAGCGACCCAGGATTGGACTTGGGTGTACGCTGACTGGGTTCCGCAGTTGTGATAAAGCGAGTGACTACTGCCGTGGTTTCTGTGATATTATTTTGTAATTCCGTCACTACTTCGTCTGTCGACAGACTCCTGGTCTCTAACTCATCTCCAGAAGCACCTTCTGGGCTCTTATATGCCCAGTCGAAGCTGACTTGACCGCCCTCGCGAGTCCGAAGGAGCACGATGAGCCATGATAAAAGAAATGTTTCATCTTTCATGCTCGTCAGGGAAAGCAACTGGTCAGATACGAGGCCAGCAACCTCGAAATATCTGAAGCCATTGCTATCTGCTGGCTCTCCTTTTGATAGTATGTCGATAGGACTATTCCTCCCCTCGTTTTCACCTGGTATCTCATCGACGAGTATAGATCCCATTGTGACGGCAGTCCAGCTTCTCTGGTCCTGGGATCTTGGCGCGGTTCATATCGGGAGGGACGAGCATCTTTTCAATTCTTAGATCTTTACATGAGCCGAAGCTAAACTGGAGCATTTACATCCTGAGTAGTCAAGCAACAAGGTTCCATCTTGGCAGCGACATGGAAAGAAGTATATACTTTGATCACAAGTACCTGCCAGGGTCCCGGTACCGATTCCGTGATCCAGGGTCACCCACGCTATCTTGAATAGGTAGAGTTTACCGAGGCTAGGCTGTCGAGGACTTTGTCTAACGTAAACTGGGTGGTTCTCCGAGAACAAATCTAATCAGATCCGCTAGTGGTGGGGCTAGAAAATCTAATCAGATCCTATGAGTCTTCAGCTGCCCCTCTTCCACATCGGTCGCGTTCCAGAGACTTCATCGGCTGGTGGATTTGTTGTCAGGCCTAACAATACCTCCTGCAGATGCACAAAGCCGATCTCGGAACTAAGTTCGATTGGTAACACGGCGCGTATTTACCAAGGTAGTGCGGGATGGCACATAAGCCAATGCTGGGCATGACGTTCCCACAGGTTACTGTCGGGACTTCTCTCGACTTCAGTTCAGTGACCCCCAAAATATTTACATCCAATTTCAGTGACCCCCAAAATCTGCATATTCCTATCTTCAATCCAATATGTGTTCCAAATTCTGGCCCAAAGGAGGCCTTCCGGGCATTTTGCACCATTACGTACGTTTTGCACTTCATCTCGACTATCCATCACTGTAGAGGTAACTAACAAAATGCAAAACAGACCGAGACTCTAGTAACCTTCGAATATACAGCAAGCGTCACCCATAAGCCTCACAGCATTGTCTTCCTTGGAGGTCTGGGAGATGGGCTCGCAACTACATCCTACATGTCCGATATCGTACGCGCGTTACAACCAACGGACTGGTCGCTCTTCACCTTAAATCTCACATCCTCATACCAATCATGGGGTCTCGGACATCTCGACAGAGACACGGATGAGGTCGCCGAATGCGTAAAATATATCAAAGACTACAAGACCAGCAAATTTGGCGATGGAAAAATCGTCCTCATGGGCCATTCATCCGGAAGTCAATTTGTTATGCATTACTTGTATCGCCCAAATCCTCACACAGGCATCGCACCCTTTGATCCCTCGCTGGAGCATGTCAAACGTCTGGAAATCGACGGAGCGATCATGCAAGCACCGGTGTCGGACAGGGAAGCAATCCTCCTGTGCAGAGAAATGGGGATCGGAGGCAAGACGCCGAGCGAGGTCGAAGCAGCATACCAGACGCTAGAAGCAATGGCCAAAAAAGTGAACCGCGAAGAAATCTGCGATACGCTGTTACCTTTATCTCTGACCAGTCAGATTGGCTACCTACCCAATGTTCCAATAAGCAGCCGAAGGTTTTTAAGTCTCAACAGTCCGGAAAGCCCGCTGGCACCGGAGGAGGATGACCTTTTCAGTTCGGATATCGGTGATGAACAGTTAGCGAAGACCTTTGGAATGATCAAGGAGCGCGGGCTGTTAAATCACAAGCTGATGGTCTTATACTCGGGGGCAGACCAAGCTGTTCCGGCTTACGTTGATAAAGAGGGCTTATTGGTGAGGTGGATGAATGCCGTTAACCATAATGGACGAGACCAAATATGGGACCGAGACCACAGCGCAGTGATACCGGGTGCTTCTCATGCGTTGAGTAACGATGACCAAGCTGAGCCGCGGAAAGATCTTGTTAGGAGAGTATTGGGGTATTTGTTGACGGCTGAGAAAGTGCCAACAAAGCCTACGAAATCCAATGATTAATAGAATTTGTTTGTACTTTATTTAAATCCGCAATTTATATAATTCCTGGATAACACCTCCGCGTTTTATGATATCTATTGTGTCCAGATACCTCTCTTGAGCCCAGCGAACTTTATGAGACGACAAGTTCAAATACCGCATTCTCTTTCAAGGAAAGAATGAAATCAATGGTATATACAACCTCACTTTTCCCTTGATGGTTGATATGCTCAGTTGTACCAATCTGGGGATCTTGAGAGATTTTGGTCGAAAGTGTGCAACTGGTAGCACCTTCCTCAATTATCACAGCCCCATTTTCTATGCGTGGTCGCACGAACGATACAAACCTCTCAGCAACATCCATTGGCCGAGAAACTTTGATCTCATCCAGAAGACTCAAGCGCCCTGTCTTATTATCGAATGAGAGGCGTCGCACCAGCGACGTCAACCCGCTCACGGCGTAAGTAGGGGCAATATCCATTGAAATTGATCCATTCTGATCAAAAATGACATTTCGAGCGCAATATTCTCTCCCATCACGTTGGCTGTGTCCATCGACAATGGGAACATTGTGGCTTTTAGAAGAGGTGCAAAAGGTGTCGTAGCGATCGGGCCCAAAGTATGACTTCGTGTACTCTCCCTTGCCAATATCACATAGGAGCATTACACCATGTCTTGAAAATAGAAAGCTTCCGACATCATTGTGGTTGTGTTCCTCATCGTTATGGCCTGCTTTCGCCGCAAATCCAGTGCCATCATTGCCGCTGCACAACAGCCACTGAGCCTTTGGGTATACCACGCAGGGTTGAGGCAGTGCCTGCTTCGACACAAGTGTATCTGTAGTCCATAGCAGATCACTTAGAGCAGGAGCAAAGTTGTAACAATGCGAGTGCATTACATCCATGGCGCTCTCTAACGGTGGGGCCATCACTTCTTCGAAATGCTCTGCCAAAAAACATGTGACGCCTGGCCGATATTTGTCGTTTGCTTCAACATCCGAGAATGTGAGCGTTGCAGCTCCTGGGAAGAAGCAATTTTGCTGAAATAAAGCGATAGGAGCAAATCTTTTATCGGAGAGCAGGTCAAGCTTCCCAGCTGTTCGTCTGCCGAGAAGTTCTGCAAACACCACAAAAAAGCTTACTCCATACGTCCAGTAATTTAGGCCCTCAGTGCAGGCACCATCTTCACTGAATCCGGCAATATATCTCTCCATTACAGGCAGCAGATTTCGGAGGATAGCAGCGAGATCCAGATCGTTTCCAACGAGAAGCATGGCGGCACTGCCAATGCTACCAGCGCAAACCGCACACCAGTTACTATCCAACACTTCCCAATGCTGGATAGTCGATTTATCCATGTAGCTGTCGATGACCCGACGCATGACTTCTGATTGGGCTCGCTCGACAATAAAAGGATTGAGCTTATCACCGAGCAGAGCACATATTTCTGCAAGTGCTAAGCCAGTCTCGCAGGCGAAAAGGTCGAGGTTCAATGCAGCATCCCGGCGTTTGCTGGTGTTGGAATAACCAACATTGGTTTCAATAGTTAGGCTGGACCCGTGCATATGTGAAGGCAAACTCCACGTGTAGTCGTCACATAGGGCCCAAATACACTCCTCGAGCGTTCCAATGTCTTCCGGGTCGTTCCATAACCACGCGCTAAGAGCAGAGACCAGCAGGGTCTTGCGCCGCGAAAAGTATGGAGCTTCGTATCCGAGACGCTCGCCTACGGTATCGAACAGCTTGAACATCCGGAATGGAAGCACAGGGATGTCCTTGCCTCGAAGCTCTTCCGCAGCACTCTGGAGCTTGTCGCGAGAAGTTTGTAGAAGCGGATTGTTCAACACTCGATCAATGGTTTCCCGTTTTCCCGCCCATCGAAGCAGGTCATATCCAAATGCACCGTCGTCGGTTCCAGAAGCCAAATCTCTGCATAGTTTACCAATGTCGACGTTCATTGTGCTCTTTCCCGTGATGTGTTGGTGCTCTCGCTATGACCCTTCTTGTTGGGAATATCCTGTGTGGAATCAGCGGTTTACTGGTAGAAATAGTTGTATTGGGCGTTTCCCCAATTTGTGGGCTGAATGAATTACAGAAAAGACTAGTTTAACGGCCTCGATTGTGTGGGCGGCGATTTTTGAGATGTAAGAAAGAACAGTTGTGGAAGTATGAAGATAAGGGTCGACAGTGAGAGGGGAAGCTAGAGTTTTTGAACTGGGGTTGTTCCGTACACACGGCAAGGCCAACACGCCAAATACACTCGAGTACTTAACCCCTACACAAACACAGGCATTGGCAGTATACTAGTGCTACCTAGTGTCATTAAAGCTCGTGTGTTTACTTGGGAGCTTAGATGCTATTGCGTATGTTTTCTGCCTAACATTGCTGATTCTAAGTCTAGATCGTGGAAGTCTAGATGCGCCCGCTGTTAGAAGGTATCATACAGGAGTATTCATCATACAGGGATATATATACAATTATGTAAACCCATCGTTGTTGATCTGTACGGAGACATAGAGAGTGGTTTATTTATATACCTCTAGGAATTGGGTAAGCTATGGGCCATGGAACTCATAGCCTGGAAATCTACGACTGTAACTGTAATAAGTGTCTTCATCTTGAGTGTGGTGGTGAAACCCGGACGACATAAATTCGTAAACGTTTTCAGCACCGTTCTCCCAAAGCTGCGTCTCAAGGCGCTCGACTTCTTCCAATGTCATTTTTTCTTCTTCCAACGTTATGTCTTCTTCTTGCACCGTCACGCCGTCGACTCTTCTACTACACCTGTCCTGTTCTATAATAAAATCCGGGAGCTCGTGCAGGACGGGAAAGTCAGCCTTGTGTTCCACTTTCAAGTTACCGATAGGCCCTTCCTGGCAATGCCAGCGCTGGCGAATTCGTCGCTCGATAGTGAATAGTGACGACGAACTCTCTTGGAAGTAGTGAGTATCCGGTTTCGCATAATGTGGATGCAACTTCGGAAGATTAAGCGCGACATCCATGTGCGGCATCGTTTCCTCTTCAGAGTGAGCCTGCGTGCGTGCTAATAGAGCAGCGATCATTGGACGCATAGCTACGCGCTCGTTGACGAATGACCACGAAGGTCTATCGTCGTGGTCTAACCAGATGTGGAGGCTGCGAAGTTGCGGAAGTTGGCAGATGGCCGGCCAGAGATGCTCCCACGCAGCGCATCCTACTGATACTGCTCTCGTGTGAGGACCAACTACCAAAACCAAGTCTTCATCTTCGTCTTTCTGTAGTACCTCGTAGAAGGCTAGTGGGAGTCGGAAGGCGATATTAAGTTTACGAATTCTGGGACTTATGTAGTCGCGGAGGTTCCAGGCGCAATTTGAGTCACTAATTAGCTCATTTGGCTTCAATAGCAACATTTCCAAGGTGTCTATATCCGTGACGTTGATCGCTGTTGTCTTAACAACAACGTTGCAGGCATCGAGAAACCTATCAGTGGGAAACGACTCTAAGCAAGGGGCGAGTTTAAGTGAGGAATAAAAGAAATTGTTTACATTTTCTTGCACACAAAAAAAAGGTCGTACGTATGATAACGGCGATGCTCGCGCAAGTCCGTCCTTTCTCTGTACGCAGCCTCCTCGCATTCCCAATGCACCCCCCATGTAGACCGGAGACGGCGGGCCCACCCAGGATCATCCCGCCTCCAGTGAGTCGTAGTTACACGCTCGCGGCCATCATGACGGTCATCACCCAAGTTCGGTTGAAGGCATGCCGACAGCTGAATTCTGCCCTGCCACAAAAAAGCGTGAGTCTGGCCGTGGAAGATCTGAGCGTATATTGCTTGACGAATCTCGACAGGCATCGACAGCAGTTTGCTCTCATGCTGCGAGTACACGTGTTGATCAAACATATTAGTTGAGGGGAAGATACAAAGTAGATGTTGTTGCTTTGCAAGGTGGGATATTTGGACAGCAATTACAATTATCCCACGCGTTTCCCCGCACCACAATATGGACCCCTGTGCGTTAATTGTGGACCCCTGGAGCTTATTCCCCGCACTTCACTCGGCATCAGGCGACAGCTGCCACCGTCGGCTGAAAGAGCTCGGGCATCGGGCGAGCTTCACCGGGATATTTAGAAGGGCATCCCCACACATTTCAGACGCCTTCACAGTCACGCAAACCCAACACCGGAGGAATGCGTAGCAATACGGACCGGTGACTGAGATGGAGTCAGAGCCTCCTATCTCGAGCCAAGTGGACGACCGACCTGCCTGTGGAGCATGTCGCAAGCGTAAGCTTCGGTGCTCACGAGAAACGCCATTATGCAATCATTGCCGAAGACAAGGTAAGCTTGGTATCCCACAAGTCCAGTCCACAGCCAAGGAATCTTGGGTGTATTTGTATTCACAGGTTGGGTATCTAGGGTCGGTCTGCGCATACGACGGTGACCGCGATAAACCTGGTCTCAAAACTGGAGCAGTTGAAGCCTTGAGGAGACGAGTTGGTAAGCGAGCCATGAAGAGTTCGTCTCTGAAAATTACAAATTTAACAGTACAGGAATTAGACGCCCTTGAGGCTGCCGTTTTTGAGCAAGGCGCGGCCTCGGGTGAAGGCGAGCGGCCAGCCTATTATAGCAACAGAGATACGGCGTCAGCAATTCGTGATGGGCTGGAATTGCTCTTTGAGCAACTGCAAGCTCAACCACGGCGGAAAAGGCGTTGGTCACAGACGTCTGAGGCTGCCGCTGCTCGGCGTGAACATGGAGATGTGCAGCAACTGCAACTGCAACTGCAACAACCACAGGCACAAACCGAGATCCCGTCTTTGCCGTCTAATAAACGGCGAAGAGCGGATACAGGATTGATTGAGCCAGATGATTTGGATGATCTATCTGACAGTTTACCACCACCAGAGGTTCTCGAGGCAGTCATTGACCTATATTTTTTGTTAGTTCAGCCATGGATTCCAGTTTTCCATGAGAAGAGATTTCGCCGACGGCTGAAAGACCCTAACAACAAATATCGTTTGGAGGTGGTTCTGCACGCCATGTTGGTGGCGATGCTCAAGCATGTTGATCGCAGACAGATCACAGTAGATCTTGGCGATATCGAGAGCATCTGTGAACGGTCCCGTAAAATTGTAATTTTAACCGCGATGGATGAGTTGCATGTTGAGAATCTCCAGGCACTGGTCATTATATGCTTCGAAGATGTGCGTTCTCTCTCCCCTTCTATTTTAAGGCGGGCTAGTGAATTGACTTCTCCATTTTATACAGATTGGGTCCGGAAGAGTCTCTCGTGCATGGCCACTTGTCGGCTCTTTAACAAGGACTGTAGAATATCTTCAACTAAGTGTTGAGTCCGAGGACCATGATAATGGTCCAATGCTCCAGCCGCGGCCTTCGTTGCCCCCATCAGAAAACTGGGTAGAGGAAGAAGAACGGCGAAGGGTATTTTGGACAATTTTCAACTTGGATAGGTAAGTCCTCCGCCGTCATAAGAGTGCTTGCGAGAAGTAATTCTAACAGCACGGGTGGCAGGTTTTGTTCTGTGACCACTGGGTTTGTTTGACATCCCCGATAAATTTCGGGCTTATGGACTAATTTTTGTAGTTGGAATACTAGCCTAACATCAAACGATGTCCATCGACGCCTACCGGCTGATGGGGGCCTGTGGCACAATGAAGAGGCAGTCACAACCCCCTTCTTTGGCATCTGGGACAAATCCGAAGGGAAAATTGGAAATCTCATCGCCTTTCTCCCAAGAGATTACAATGCCGCTGAACCATCTCGAGATCGATATCGCCAAGGTGCAGAAAATATTCGCGAACCCGACGCATCAGAACAAAAGGTTGACTTGTCGACTGTGGGCGCATTCGCGTATCGGGTTGAAGCGACCGAGTCGCTGAGTCGGGTTACGACGTTTTTCCTACAGCAGAAAATAAACTATCGCAATCGACAAGAAATGGGCAGCTGGCTCATGAGATTTAAGGAGTTGGATTTACGGTTGGTTAGGTATGCATGTTCTTTTTGCTCCTACGAGTGCTCCTCGCCACCCTCACCATCCCCGCTAACCAATGTCTACAGCTGGAAAATGTTCCTACCACAGAAATGGAAAGATTCGAATATTTCACGCCAACCAACAGTGGTAACTATGGACCCGAATTTGACTCTTGCGCATATCACCCACAACACATCAATGATTTTGTTACATCAACGGATCGCCTACCCGCCTCTCGAGTGGCTTGAAGTTGTCAAGCTTCCAACACTATCTAGTGCGGAGACTTGTGAAGCTGCAGCTTCTGAGACGGCTAATATCACTCAAAAATATATGGACAACTCTCCTGCTCAGGCTGTTGTAGATAACCAGTTTGCATTTTGCGTCTTTGTCAGTGCACGTGTTCTTTTAGGTTTGTTTCTAATGTCCTCGTGCGACCAGGTGTTGCATTCAGTTTACGTACTGATATAATATCATAGTTCACTGGCGCTACTACAAAACGGACCTCTCTAAAGATTACTGGACTCTAATGAAGTTTCTCGATATCATGTCAGGACGCTGGTCAGGCCAAAATCGCGCACAACCCGCAAGCCAACAAAATTCTACTGCTAAGTACTTCAACCAGCTAAACGATATATACAACAAGTGTATAATCGATCGGTCGTTTAAGTTAGATGTTCTTGGGTACTCAAATGAGATTGAATGGACAGGAAAAAGAGTTGTTTCTCGAGATAGCCAGAATGGGCACGGTGTGCGGGAAGGAGATGGTAGAGACGCCAGCGAAGTAGAGACTGCCCGTATCGACGCGGCTATGAGTACGAATGGCGATCATCAAAGTGCACAGGTTCGCCATGTGCCAGGGATGTCTCCGTTTCAGCGGCGACCAAGCGACGCCCCAGCTTATATGGGCGTTTCGTCACTGAATGACTCCTCGTCGGATATCCCACAACAACCTGTGCATAGTTTACACTCGGAGCCCTCCTCGGCGTATCATCCCTCTCAATTTATGGACGCCCAGGGGCCAGGTATACTTAATTCTAGCGACGGAAACTCAAACAATGCAGCAAATAATCCGATGATGTTAAACTCGCCTTCTGCGCGGATGGGCTACAACACAGGAAGCCCGGATGAATTAACCGCGGTTACGTCGATTCTGCTAGACCAGCAGTACTCGGAAATGGACAGGATTATTAGTTTGAACAACGCGTATTTTGCGTCAGATGTAGCATACATCCAGTAGAACGGCTTTTCAATTTGTTTCTTACTTGATGGCTTCTTTTATTAAAATACATGCATTTAAGTGTGAAATAATTCCAGAATTACGATTATTTAAACTATGAAATGACTCAAAAGAGCCTGGTGGTTCCATTAAAGAGGACTATATATACGTACATGTATGGTATTCTATTTTAAACAACTGTATGTAAGGCAAAGTAGCTATTCCAAGGGAACCGGCAAGGATTCCGAGCTCTCCAAACTCCTCCGAGACTTAGTCCGATAGACCCCGCCACGTAAGGAAAATAACAAACAGAGCTCCCCATATATAATTATCGCCACGGAGTAAAAACAGTGCAGAATAACAACACATTAAAAAGCGTATACTATCAAGATGCCACCACTTCCCGGATTCTCAGACAATCCGTTGAAGGACAGGGACGATATCATTCAAGCTGCAATCGCATTCATCAAGCCACTACACCAACACATTTCTCCAAGCGGAGCATTCGTCCGTCTGCCTACCTCAACCGGTGCTCACTTTGACGAGGGCGCAGCACGCCTCGAAGGCTATGCGCGCCCACTCTGGGTGGTTTCAACCCTGCTACATTCAGTGCAGTCTGATCAGGCCCACGCCGAGACAATCAGGTCACTAGCTCAGCCATGGATTAACGGTATATGTGCAGGAACAAACCCAGATCACCCCGAATACTGGGGTTCCATTTATAATGGCGATCAACGCATGGTTGAGGCCGAAGTTATTGCCTGCGCATTGCTTTTCGCGCCAAAAGAGTTCTTCCATTCGCTTGAGGAAACGGCTCAAGCTAACATCGTATCATGGCTGCGTGGTATGAATGGAAAGGACATGCCATTGAATAACTGGAGATGGTTTCGTGTCTTCTCCAACCTGGCATTGGTACTCGTTGCGGGTATTCCTCATGCGGAAGTGAAAGAGGAGATGGAGCGAGATCTAGCCGTCGTCGATTCATTTTATATTAGCCAAGGCTGGTCGGGAGATGGGCCGTGGAAGACACCTGAGCAAGAAGCAGAAGAGGAGAGAGAAAGCGCCGAACATCGGCGGCGTGATAGGATTGGATGCGGGCGCCAAGCTGACTACTATTCTGGTAGCTTTGCTATCCAATTCAGTCAATTGCTGTATTCTAAGTTTGCGGTCAGCTTAGATCCTGAACGAACAGCGACGTACCAGCAGCGGGCTCGAGACTACGGAAGTTCCTTCTGGAGATACTTTGACGCGAGTGGTAAGTTGTTACTAGCCATCAACAGTTGAGTCGTAAATACAATTTATAACAATGAATACTAACAATGAGTACGCAGGCGCCGCTATTCCGTTTGGACGCTCTCTGACATATCGTTTTGCATGTGGCGGCTTCTTTGCTGCGCTTGCAGTCGCTGAAGTTCCAGATATGCCCACTCCTGTATCGTCACCGGGCGAAGTCAAGGGATTTCTACTTCGACACCTTCGGTGGTGGGCCCAGCACTCCGATGATATCTTCTATCCCGACGGGACTATGAATATTGGATATATGTACCCGTAAGTTGAAACAAATAACCCACCAGTTTCCCGCTAATACAAGTACTAGAAACATGTATATGGCTGAAGACTACAACTCTCCTCAATCAGTCTATTGGAGTCTTAAGTCCATGGTTGTAATATGTTTGGGAAAAGACCACGAATTCTGGTCTACCCCAGAAGCTCCGTATCCCGTCTTTTCTTCCGTTAATAAGGCCGACTTGGAGAGCTCTACCCTAGAAGACATTGCCCCCGTTGAGGTGATCCCCCCACCAAATCAAATTCTATGCAATCAGCCACATGGTGGCCACCACTTCCTTCTGTCACCGGGTCAATTTGTTGCTTGGCCTATGAAAGCAAACCAGGCGAAATACTCCAAATTTGCCTACTCGTCTGCCTTCAGTTTTAGTGTTCCTACGGGTCCGCTAATCCAACAGATTGCACCCGACAGTATGTTGGCCCTTAGCCGGGACGGCGCATCTACGTGGGCTGTGAAATGGAAATGCTCACCAGTTCAGTTTTCGACTACGAAATTACAGTTAGAGTCATCGTCGATTGCAGAGACGGTACCACTGGCGCGTGTAGAATGGCGTCCCTGGGAAGACGGGCAAGTGAGTGTCACAACGACACTTATCCCGCCAACCAGACGCTGGCCTGATTGGCATGTCCGTATCCATCGGATACGACTCGGTCGCCCGGAGAAGCTCGACAGTTTACATCTGCTAGAAGGCGGGTTTGCCATCTCCCGGGTTCCAGCCAGCAGCAGCAAGAGGAACCTTCCACTACTATCAGATGATGATTCTTCCCTATTGAATATCAAAACTGGGGGGGAAGGGGTCTACTCGTCGAGTACCAGCGCTCTCGTCTTATCCGCGGCTGGTGCAAGCGGTATTCGCGGCATTGCTAGCCGTTCTGGTGACACGCCTATTACGACTGAGCATGATGCAATGAAGCCAGACTCTAACACCAATTTGACCGCTCAAAGAACATTTATTCCCATTACAACTCACGAGATCTTCGACTTTGACTCGACGTCCGAGATTGAGTTGGTGACAAGCGTATTCGCTATCTCGACGCCAAATGATACACACACGAATGGCAGGACGCTTCGGGAGAGATACTTGGACATTCCTAGGATTCATATTCAGGGCCGACAAACTTCATTAGAGTCAACTCAAGATAGCATTATCATTGACGGATAGGAGTGATAGATATATGGAAATGTAGCTTTAGGTCACTTGTAATCAAATCTTAAAACATGATTTCGAACGGATTTCTCACATGAATTTATACTTGTTTCAGCCAACTCACATTTCGCGCTACCTAACCGTGAGTGCCTTCTTCGCATCCAGTTTATTTCTACCATCTGCGCACTGAATTTATGTATGTATTGAGACTCTAAATATATATAAATGAGTAAGGTATCAGTTCGAATTCCCTGTCTGGCTGTACATTTCCAACACAGCGTATGCATTATAAGAGGCCCATCCTCAAAAGCTGATTGCCAAATTCTAGCAGATAATAATCAGCATATACGAGACCGTGATTGCTGTAACGATCATGATCATTGGAATTGTGATTGGCTGTGGCATTCTTCAAAATAGCGTCAAATCGTTGGCCTGCCACGGCATCTTCGACGCGGATCTTCTCTGGGCCACCCGTGTGGTCCGCAAATCTAGCCTTTTCAGTCGACAGAGAGAATTCCAGGGTGTCAGTGACAATTCTTATTGCTGCGGAACGGTATCTCTCTGCCAGAATTTCGTCGCCAAGTTCCACCATAGACTGCGACAGAAGCAACATGCCATTGGCGGCAATGACGCCCGCTGAAGAATCTCGGAGAGGGTTGGATTCGTCTTCGATTGGAGCATCGAAATCCCATAACGGCACATAACGACCAATAGTTGGTGATCCGGATCCAGCGGTTGGCCGCTCGACACAGGCTGGTGACGTCTCCAATCTCCACAGGAAATACTCTGCCATGCCGCACGCCGTGGAGAGAAACTCTCTATCCCTGGACCAATTATACGTCTGCGCGTATCCGAAAATACCCCATGCCTGACCACGGGCCCAAGTTGACTCTGCACTATAACCTTGGGCTGTGCGACGCTCTTTTACTTCTCCAGTTTGTGCGTCAAAGTTGATGACGTGGTAATGAGAGTAGAGCATGCCCTTATATCGCGTATCCGTTCGGCCTGGTGGTGTTTCTGGCCTAAGATTTGATTTTATGAGTGTCTTCGCGTGCGTGATGGCGATTTCAGCGTAAACTGGGTCTGAAAAATGCGACGAGGCGTAGAACAGCAAATCAAGATTCATCATACTGTCTATAATGACCAAAAAGTCTTGTGTCATACTGGTGATTGAGACATCTGCTTGACTCAACACATCCCAACTGCGGATTGCGCTCACAGCAGGGCTATACCGGCTGGCAAGGCTTTTTGCCGCAGTTAAAACAGCCTGCAGACTGTTCTCGTTACTCGTTAGCTCCCAATCCTTTCTTACTGATGGCTGAATGATAAACCCCATATCGTGGGTGTCTATTCGCGACTTCATTGCCTCCACAGGTCCAGTCCAGTCCTTGCATAGAGAAATAAGTTCCTGGCGAAGTAATGAACTCGAAAAGTGAAGGCTGTCCTTTTCGTGACCGAGATACGGGAACACTCGTGGATACTTGACTGCGCGCTCTCGCAATAGATATAGGATACCAGGAAAGAAGCCACACGTCCAAAAATCTGCATCTCGCAGAAAATATTTCCCTGCATCCTCGCCTCTCTGTGGAACAAACTCGGGATACACTGTGGGCGGATTCTAATGAAAATAGTTAGAAAATTAACCAAAATTACATCTTGGCTGGACTTGTACATTATTTCCCAGTGCTTCTATTGCCACTCTTAGTGTCTTAGCAAGGATATTCTCTGAGAATATCTCTAGAAGTTTTTCCATATTATAGGACTCATTCGGAGACTGTGATGTGACCATTTCCCCAGACTGGTAGTCTGATACCGATGTATCACTTGGAGGGGTTTTCAGCGCACTGTGGTCCGACTCGTCTTTTGATTCTCCGGAACTGATCGGAGAGGCCATATCGAGCGCTTCCTGATTGAGCACAAGAGAATCATGTGGTTGTATCGAAGTTGGAATATCCGAAGTGGACATGATTTGTGATTTGCTGAGTTAGGCTGTTCGTCAGAGCAGTAAGGTAACTTCACAGTTGAAAATTCTCAATGTGAATAAAAGCAACGAGTAGATGGTTAGTCTCTTTTTACGCCCTCCTACATTTATGGTGCCACCTTTCATTACCTTCAACGGCCGATATAATTCTCTAGTCTGTGATTGGGAATCGAACTTTGAGCCAGTCAGTGCGAGTCCTACATCGGAAAAAATGTCCCCGGGCACATTTGCCCGACGCACGTTGCCCCGCATCCGTCCCATCCCAATTTGGCGATAGCTCCGCGCGCAAGATACGCCGACCTTTTTCCCACGCGATTGACAATTGAACACCAAAGCTTTTGCGTGACAGCTCCGACGATGCCCATAATTAATTCGCGGAGTATAGAGGTCCACGCGCCAGATTAGCCTTAACCCCACATCCCAGCCCTCGGTTTGTCGAATTGCGGGGAATGCTTATAAGAAAGCCTCATGAGACCGTCCCCAATGATAAATATTTTCTCCCATACAATTCCGCTGAGCCAAGAGGACTGCTACATCCAAGAGGAGCCATGGCAGACTTCGCACACTCCGACAACTTCGAGGGACTGCAACTTAAAGATGTAATCCCACAAGGGCGCAAGCCATGGTACAAGGACACGACACTCATCAAGCTCAATACTCTTATGTTATGTGCCCTCATCACCCAAATCGCCTCCGGGTATGACAGCAGTATGCTCAATGGGATGCAATCCCTTCCTGAGTGGAAGGCTTACTTCGGCAAACCAACTGGAACCCGGCTTGGTGCCATGACGTTTGGCCCTACCGGCGGCACTTTGATTTCCGTTTTGGTTTCATCACAGCTTTGCGAGCGATTTGGTCGACGATACCCAATTTGTGGAGGTTCTCTAATTATCATATTTGGTTCGATTTTACAGACTACTGCCGTGAACTACAGCATGTTCGTTGCTTCGCGGTTCTTTGTCGGATTTGGTCTCGGAATTGTGGCTACGGCTGCCCCACCGCTTCTGAGTGAGGTCGCATATCCTACACATCGCGGCAAACTGGTCTCGTTCTACCTTGTCACCTGGCCACTGGGATCACTTATTGCGGCATGGGTCACATTCGGGACACGCACGATGACCGGTTCTTCGTGGACTTGGAGGCTCCCAAGCGTTCTTCAATGCTTTTTCTCACTCGTCCAGGCGGTGTTGAGTCTCTTTGCGCCAGAGTCCCCTCGATGGCTCATCTACAACAATCGCAGCCAGGAAGCATTGGATATCTTGACCAAATATCATGCAGATGGAGACTCAAACTCACGACTGGTACGATTTGAAATGGCTGAGATCACTGCGACATTAGAAGTTGAAAAGGTGCAAAAGATGTCTCGCTGGGCCGAATGGATTTCCACCAAGGGCAATCGACACCGCCTCTTTCTTGCCCTCTTTATCCCCGCCATGCTACAATGGTCCGGCAACGGTCTGACCTCGTACTACCTTGCCAAGGTACTCACAACGATCAACATCACCGACTCCAAAACTCAGCTTATCATCAACGCCTGCCTTTCCGTGTGGAGTTTTCTTACAGCCTGTTTTTTTGCCACTCTCGTCGATCGAATGGGCCGCCGGCGTCTCTTTCTCTACGGTATGGGCGGCATGGGGATATCCTATATCATCTGGACTATCTGCTCCGCTACCTACGAGCAAAGGGGTTTCAAAGGCAAGGGGTTTGCGGCTGCGGTGTTGCTCATGATCTTCGTCTTTAGTGCCTGCTACCATATGTGCTCGCCAGTGGCGCCGACGTACATCATGGAAGTTGTACCGTACTCTCTTCGCGCGAAGGCATCCATGTTGTATCAACTAACCGGCAATCTTGCTGGTATCTACAACAGCTTCGCCAACCCAGTTGCAATGGATGCGATCTCATGGAAGTACTATATCGTCTGGTGCGTCGTCATTGGTATAAACTTCACTTTGATTTTCTTCTTTTTCCCAGAAACGAAAGGGTTGGGTCTCGAAGAAGTAGCAGAAATTTTCGACGGACCTGATGCTCTATTTGGTATGAATGCGATGAGAGAAATGGGTCTTGATGTTAATGCGGACAAGTCTATGGCAATTGGGGATGATCAAGGGTCTATGACAGGAAAGAAGGAAGTTTCACATACTGAGAAGGCTTGAACACCAATTATTATCTTCCCCATATAGTCATCGATATTACCCAGACAATACAAGAATTTTGAATAAACAGTCGTTGTCAATCCTGAAACTAGAGCCAACGCTCCCATTTCGATTCGTAAAATCGACCACCATGCCAATTGCGATGTCCAAACTCCTCTCATATGATGGCTCTGAACACCATCTAATATTGTTTCATTCACCGTACAAGAAAGTCGCCGGAGTTACTACTAACCCCGCGTTTTGGATTACCTCTCTAATGATTATTCCACCCCTACTGCCAGTCTTAAACAGAGTTACCGCCCCACTGTTGGCCCCCATAGCACTAGCGATGCTCTAGAACCCCTATTCGCGGGGAACATAGTCTATTCCGTCCTTCTGAAGTAATGTGCCGCGGGCGCGCCATTTACAACGTATACCCTAGAGCTAGTTAGGCACATAACGACGACTTGGGCAATGTTTTTGACGGCTTAGGGGCCGAGCCAGATCAGTTTCGGGTGGGTTCATAACAATAGCGGGGATTATGCCCGAGGCCAATGATAGAGTCAACAGCGAGTTTGTATGGGCGAGAGTGCTTGGCTATGCGCAGTAGCTTTCGAGGCAGATGCGGACCAAGGGGGTGGGAGACAGTGTTTCCATCGCGTATAAATAGCGAGTCTTGGTGGAAATACTACTAATAATGTTGGAGGCTGTGCTGGCGCTTTAGACTCAAAGGTGGATAAATGTACAGTACAGCCGCCAATGAGGATTCGTGTGTAATCTAACAAGCATAAAATCTTGATTTACGCCAGAGCCGACAAATAAACACGATGCCACCCAATTAACAGAGAATTGGGGTAAAATCCTACGGCGGCTGAGGAGTTTCCATGCGAACATGCATCGAGTGCCACAACGCCCCTTACTCGACAGCAAAAAGTAAGGCTTGTCTGTGTGACACGGGTGCCTGCTTCAGTAATACAAAATGATGCCAAAGGTGGCAAGGCAAGAAATATTAGCATAATACAGCATTTAGTTAGGCTGCAGAATATCTAATGGACCTACGTATTTTGTGTGCCCCTTTGTCACTCTGATTTTTGGCTTGAATTTGGCAAACTCCGCACCAATCTAATATTTTCCAGCCCCGATGAGACACTTATTTTAGGTCGATCTGGAGATTTAGAGCCAATAGCTCCAACATGTACTGGTATGTGGCTCTAAACTGCCATCGGAAGGGCGGGAATACTATCGTCAATTGCCACATTGAGATTTATGTCTCTGTACAAGGGTTGTTCTCGTGTCTGGACCCCAAAGGAACACTAATTAGAGAGTACTACTGCACATCTGTACGTCTATGCTTATATCGAAGAATCAGTGGGCTGTTCGAAGCATTTGAAGGATTTAAAGGTGGCTGTAAGCTGGCATCATTAGAGGGGAGATCCCATCGTCAATTGCCACATTGAGACCGATAACCGGGATAGCAAGGGTTGTTCTCGTGTCTGCACCCCCAAAAGAGCGCTAGTGAGAGTTTACCAGCGCACGGTTACACGTTTAAACTTATACTGAGGAATTAGAGTGTTGTTTGAAGGATTGAAAGGATTCGAAGGATTTAAAGTATCCACATAATTCGCTTACAATGATGTAGCCGCCCCCCACGGTGCAACTATTATTATACAACACTCCCAAAGCAAATTAATTGAAGGCTCAGCTTGAGATTTGCAACTCAAATGACCTCGTATTATGCTGGTTACCGCCATCTTGGAGCCAACCTCTGTCAGTATCACCAAAACATTGATGGGCGCCTTGGGGGCTACTATTTTGTATATATATCTCGAACAATTCTCACAATGAAGAAAGCATCCACGACAAACATTAGCTCAAACAGTAGCTAAGAAGCACACGGATTTTTGCTTATACTTCGGATAATCATTGCAAATTCTCATCATGGTTTCTCTCAAGCAAGCCCTTGTTATGGCGATGGCATTCATCGCCGTTAGTGCCACCCCAGTCGCCGTCACCGAAACAGTTACCATGGCCAAAGACTCTATTGCAGATGATTTCCAATCATCGAATCTTCCCAATGGGATTCTAGCAAGAGGCGGCGCTTGCGGTCAAGGCAACTGTCCTGATTACAACGACGGCGTAGACTTGATCTACCAATGGACAGTTATCCCGCAGCCTGGAGTCGGGGGCGCCCCTCCCATCCCCCTCGTCACGATGGAATACCACGGCCGTTGGAACCATTGTGGCAAGTGTGGTCGGGTCAAGACTAACGGGGACGGATGCTTCAGTTTTACAGGCTGTGGTGTCAAGCAGGACGTCTGCATCGACAAGAAGAACAAGCGCATGCATCGCATCTACAGGGATAAGAACATTAAGAAGTGCTGGGGGATTAAACAGCATGACTTGGGGGGTTGCGGGTTTATCAAAGAGACTCTAATCTGGGAGCCTACCAACCAGATCTCGTGCAATTGGTAGCCTGGACTTGGCCATTCCATATGAATTGATATGGGGCGTAAGGCCCTTGATATTATGGAGAGTCGGCTGAGTGGATCAGCAGGGGAGAATGATGGATTGGGACAAGGAGCCGGAGAGGAGAAATGCTGAGGTGGACACAGTCACTACACTTGCGCAAACGTGGTTGAGGAATTATATTTCAGTGTGTGTGGCTGCGGAAGAGCTACAGGTTAGAAGATGTAATATTTAGCAAATTTAAAATATGCAGCAGCTCGAACATATGATTGTGCAAGTCCAATTATTACAACATTGAGCGAGTCTCTGTCCACTAGCTATTGTGGAAAAAAATTGCGGTGCCCGCTTGATGTTAATATTGTATGTTCCGGCTCAAACAGAGCTTGAGCTTCTAATTATTTAGCCCTACCGCAAGCCTAACTCTATGCTCTAAACTCTATAGTATATAGCGCCCGAAGGTGATATTACCGTTCTATATTCTAATAATATGCGCTGTTGGGCCACCTCATTCGCGAAGTATGACATTCATGGTTAGGCAAACGTTTTCTAATGCAACATGTTCGTGGTTTGACAAGAGCATATTAGTCGCGTGAACAGGGTGATCGCAGGATCGAAGACGGGCTATACTCCAGTATGGAGCCCAAGGTTTTGCAAGTGCAAATTTCTTCTTTTCAGATTTGGCAAACTCGACATGCACAAGAAGTCCTTTTATGGATGAAAGATGGAATACTGTCCCTTGACCCACCTGCGGCTTTGATCCACCAACGGGAAGCCCGCTGGCGTTACCCGTGACGGCGTCACATTGGCAGAGTCTTGGCAGGATCTAGTGTTGAAATCAGGTGCTCGGCGTTTGGTTACAGTGCACGGACAGTGTTCCTGGCCCTGACTTTAAATGGAATCGACATTTGTCCGTTGGTGCTACAATCAGCTTCGTCGTCACCGATAGATCGGGGCTCTGCGGATATCAATACTTACTTTCACCGGAAACTGCAGGGTACAGTATAGTATGCAGAGTAAGTGAATACGAATACGGCGCTGCTGGCAACCGGATTACGATTACGTGGGAATAACGTGTGAAGGAAGCAAACACCCTCGCTAAAATCCGGAGCTTCGGAACCAACTGCCACGTCGCACTGTTCTTGTCAGCGACTTGGCAGGGCACCAAATCGTTGGTCAGATACGGCACGGTAAAAGCCTTTTTGTTTTGCAAATAGAGTTATTTTCCCCCAGGTACAATGCTCCGCCACCATTACGGAAATGTCGGCCTCAAATTCAACCCACGCGACCTGCAGTACCATTCTGCTCTCCTGCTGGGTGTATTGGGGTCTCAGAAACATGGGTCATTCGGTAAGCTTCAGAGGAATAATGCAACAGATCGTCAGGCGGAGATCGCTGATGTGGTATGACCGGACTACACGTGGGTAAAGTAAGTAAGCGCTGCGCATCCTTCAGTACTTATTATGACGAGGCTTCCCTTTACCGACTTTTAATTTCTTCATCTCACCTTGAGACCTCTGACTCGTCCTGCTTCTGCGAAAGGCAAAGCCAAGTGCGACCTCTCATCCCATATTTTAAGAGACAGCAGCACGAAAGTCATGCAGCTTTCAATTGGGAGCTCGGCAGCCTTGCTGGGCCTGGTTGGCCTGGTTTCTGCTAACCCCACTGGCAATGTTGAAGCTCGCGATGCGGCGGCTGCAGCTGCGGTTGCAGCGACGGCCACGTCGCCGGGGTCGTACTGCGTAAGTGCGATGCAATGTCTCAAGCTTTGCAGCCGATGCTAGGAGTAAAGTTAACAATGCTTTCCAGTGCCAAATTCTGAAGCTTGGACTGGGCTCCAAAATATCCTTCCCAAACAGTGCGCCTTACAACGCATCCATTGGCTCGTACTTCTCCGAACAGAATAATGTCATTACACCAGCCTGTATTGTGTCCCCAGCAACAACTAAGGATGTCCAAGAAGCTGTCGGAATCTTGAGCACGCCCTCACTGGCAGGGCAATTCTCGGGTCGCGCGTGCCAGTTCGCAGTTCGAAGTGGTGGCCATACGCCATGGGCCGGATCGGCGACGATTCAGGACGGAGTTGACATCGACCTGAGTGCGCTCAACCACGTCACCCCCGCAGAAAATAGGAAGACGGTTTCAATTGGACCAGGAAACAGGTGGATTGATGTCTACCTGAAGCTTGATGCTCTTGGGCTCGGAGTATCAGGTGGCCGTGTTGCTTCTGTTGGAGTTGGCGGCCTCACAACCGGAGGCGGCATGTCCTTCTTTGCGCCACGATATGGCTTCGTCTGCGATACTGTTACCGAATTCGAGGTAAGACATGAATTCTGAATATATATTTTGGGGATTGCTGTGCTCACATGCCAAGGTTGTCCTTGCATCTGGTAAAGTTGTCGTTGCAAACGCTAAGACCAACCCGACACTTTGGTCCGCTCTCAAGGGAGGCAGCAACAACCTCGGCGTTGTCACTCGCATTGATCTCGAAGTTTTCGACCAAGGTAAATTCTGGGGTGGAAGCGTCGTTTATCCAATTTCCACAGCTCCACAACACCTCGCTGCCTTTGTCAACTTCAATGGCCAGAAGAACTTTGACGAGTATGGTGCCATTATTAATAGCTATGGCTACAGTAAGAGCCAAGGAGGGTGGTTCGTCTCCAACAACTATGAATATACGAAAGCGCAGGAGTACCCACCAGTTTTCAATGATTTCACCAGCATCCAGCCCCAGCTGTTCAGCACCATGCGCATCAGCAACATGTCCGACTTTGGAATAGAGATGGAGGGCTCCACTCCTTATGGGAGAGGCCAAATCATGTACACTCAGACATATGCGAATGACCTGGAAACCATCACCAACCTATTCAACCAAGCCAACACTTCGCTGCAGCCTGTTGCCGACGTTGAAGGCCTGGTTTGGTCCCTTTCGCTTCAGCCATTGCCAACCCAAATTACGAAGTGGGGTGATATTAAGGGCGGGAACTCCCTCGGTCTCCATGAATCGAGCGGCAACCTAGTTCGTAAGTGACACCGTTCTCTCGTATCTTTGCTGGCGTCACTTGACACATAACTAATGACATTGTTCTAGTGGCGCTTATGAGTGCCTCTTGGCCAAACCCCTCCGACGAGAAGGCAGTCACCGAGGCTATAATTGACACGCTTGCTAAGGCCAACGCTTTCGCCCAGAAGAAGGGGACCTTTAATGAGTACGAGTACCTGAACTACGCACACAAGACCCAGACCCCGATCACAGGATACGGAGCCAAGAATGTGGCGAAGCTAAAGGCGGCCAGCCATAAGTACGATCCGCTCCAGGTGTTCCAGAAGAGGGTGCCTGGTGGATTCAAGCTGTAGAATGGGGTTGGCGAAAGAATATTTTGCTTTCATATATGGGTTCATTTTTGCTATATTTGTCTTGGATAGCCGGAGCTTTAGACCCGGGGCGTTATACTTGGTCGAGCGATATTTGTAATTCACGTTTGTTGCTTGACGCTAGATAAGCTCACTCTACTATATAAAATCAAAATTTACCACTTAGCAAAATCATGAGTCCTGATTTAGTCGGCCGACTGTGCGACAGAGTGTGGTGATGGGTGGTATCCTATGTTCACCGAGATGAATATAGGGTATATGAAACACCGCCTGGAGACGGCTGGAGACGGTCATATCTTTCCGAAGCTCGCGAGACAGCTGGAAATAGGGGAAGGGGGGAGGAATTGCAAGATGTGCAACCCAAGAGAAATAAATATTGGCAGAACATATTCCTCGTGATACCACTTTATCGCTGTCACACTTGAGCTCAGCCATCGCGAGGGTCCCGACACATCCTATTTCAGCTTAATCTCCGTTTTCGCTCTGTGCATTCCACTTTCGCTCTCCGGTGTCTTTCTCTGCCATCGCATAAATTTCGGCTACTCTAGCTTGCAGTAGCAGCTATTAACTTGTGAGCGTTGATCTGCTATTATAACTCTTTGTGATAAGCATATTATGAGGCTCAGATGACGTACCCTTGGGTCCAGACGGCGCTAAGGGTACGGTCTAGGCGTGTCAAACCCGCGGAGTTGCGGCGCTTTACGTCTGAAGTTGCATGCCAAGACCTGTAATTCGACGGAAGCGGCGATATTCAAACGATGCACTTCGTCGTATGTCTATGGAATGGAACGAAGCATACCATCCATACAAATCAACAAACACTGCGTTCCTATCGGACCTATATCTGGCTGCATGTGGCTGCATGCCTTGCAAGGCATTCCTACCGGATCTTACTTCAGAGGCCGAGGTCGAGACGGTTAGGGGATGAATCATATTCTACACGCGCACTATTCGTTCTGAGATCCTTCGGCCAATATTTCGTCTTGATCGGCACAATTTATTGTGTCCGGTGAGAGTTTTACCCCACATTGATTGGGCCCATCGGCCCCACTAATGCAACGTCAGAATTAAGCTTGGTACAGCCTCGGAGATGACAGACCTTCGCCGCCAATTCCGAACTTTACACGAGTAACCGGTTAGGTGCTGGCAGTAACTGGTAGGTCACGAACAGACGATGCTAGTAGGTCATTATCGTCAATGTGATAGATTACTAGGTAGGTATTTAATCAGGTGGGTGCCTCTCGTGCCTTGTCATCCTATGTTTTGTGGTTTTGTTTCTTCTGGAGTTGTTGCCAGCGCCTCTCGGTCATGATGTTAGCGGCTATTTTGTATATACTGCCGCTATTTACTGTCTCTGTGCTTGCGCTTCCAGCTGAGCCAGATGTCAATGTTGTTGATCTGGGCTACTCTTCATATCAAGGGACCTCTCTTGAGAATGGTGTATCGCGGTGGCTCGGCATACGATATGCTGCGCCTCCAGTAGGAGACTTGCGATTTAGGGCGCCCACAGATCCTCTCAAGACCACAACTCTACAAAGGGCAGACGCAGTAAGTCTCGCGCACCGTCCTATTAGTTTTTTGAGAAATTAACTTAAGTGCGTCTTTACAGTTTGGCAATGTATGCATCTCGACAACTGCACCTCCCAATACCGCGGGTTACTCAGAAGACTGCCTCTTCTTAGACGTCTACGCGCCTACAAACGCCAAACAAGGGAAACCACTGCCAGTTTTTATTTATATTCAAGGTGGCGGCTTCAATTCGAATTCCAATCCTAACTACAGTGGCGTGGGTCTCGTCAAAGCCTCTGACAATAATATTATTGTCATCACATTTAATTATCGTGTTGGTCCCTACGGATTTTTGGCCAGTGATGAGATTAGGAAAGGAGGCGATTTTAATATTGGACTGAAAGACCAGAGGAAGGTGTTTGAGTGGGTGCAAAGACATATTAGCGAGGTACGATTATCTTCATTTTTTAACCTCTGGAAGCTAGCTAACGGATGAGCAGTTTGGTGGAGATCCCAAACATGTCACGCTCGGAGGATGCAGCGCTGGAGCAGCATCCATCGATCTTCATTTAACGGCATATGGCGGTCGTGATGATAACCTGTTCCATGCTACGGCTGCCGAGAGTCCATCTTTTGGAGTCCAGTTTACTGTTAAAGAGAGCCAGTACCAATACGACGCCCTGGTGGAACGCGCTGGTTGCAAGTCGGCCTCTGACACTTTGGCTTGTTTACGAGAGCTCTCGGAAAGAGATTTACAGTCTGTCAATTTCAACATCCCAACACCAGGGGGAATGGATGATCTACCGCTCTTTATGTACTCAAACGTTGTTGATGGAGATATCACAACCGATTTTACATATAATCTTTTTGGACAGGGAAAATTCATCAAAGTTCCCGTAATTTTCGGGTATGTTCCCACTCTCACAGTTTTCTCCAAACCCGCTGATCACAGCCTAGTGATGATACAAACGGCGGTACAATCTTCGCCCCAATGTCGGCTGATACCGCCACAGCGATGAATTACTTTCTCCGCACGCAATTTCCCCTACTTACCAAGGAGCATCTCGCGCGTATCGATGAGTTATACCCAGAGGGCAACAAATATCCAAATGCCGGTCGCTACTGGCAGTCCACCTCCGACGCCTACGGCCACATGCGCTACATGTGTCCCGCAATGTACCTCAGCGCCGTATACGCCAATAAATCGATCCCTAGCTGGAACTACCGCTACAACGTCGAAGACCCTGTCAGCAAAGCCAACGGCCTTGGCGTTTCGCACACTATTGAAGTGTCTGCGATTTTTGGGCCAGAGTATTCGCGCGGCGCGGCGCCGGCATCATACTACTCGATAAACAAAAATGCGGTTCCCTTGATGCAGGGATACTGGACAAGCTTTATCCGGACGTACGACCCGAATGTGTTTCGGATGGAGGGGAGCCCAAGGTGGGAACAGTGGGGCGGGGAGAAGGGGATGAATCGGATTCGGCTTGAGACTAATACTACGGAGATGGAGGTTGTGAATATTCACCTGCAGGCGAGATGTGATTTTTTTAGCGAGATTGGCCCGTTGATACACCAGTGAGAGGGAAGTAAATTTTATTAACGGATTTTTATATCATCTGATATTCTCTACATGCTCCCAGTAGCCGGTATTCAGGTGTGGTTGTCATGAAAATTAAGCATTAGAGTTAACTATGATAACGATATAATCCAAGATACTGCGCTACAGGTGGCATTCTAAAGCGGCCTCCAAGATGCCGTGTCTCAAATTGACTCGAAGCAACAATCTAGAACACGGGTTTATTTTGGGAGCACGAAATTTTTACCAGACCATTTGAGACATCTGGATAAGCCACACAAGATATCTCACACCCTCCCGTACTACTCGCGCCCTCGCATGCGGGACCCGTGCAATTAAGGCCGCGCGTATTAAAGACATCTGAATACAAAAATGAGTCGGTCTTAGTCCAGCTCGGCTTCAATACAAGATCTTCATTCGTGATCTTAATATTGCGCCTAGGTTTGACGGCAATACATTGGAGGCCGTAACCTTGGTATCCTTTGTGGTCACGCGGGCGGAGTGGATGTTGATATCGGAGATCTCAAATTTGGAGGGGGTGCAGTTTTTCGGGGCCAGCACCACCTTTGAATGTCATGCACTGGGAAATGGTAGAGTGTGTGCCACTGCCACTTTCCGGACCGGTGTCGGAGAAGTGAAGGCCTTTTGGGCCTAGAATTTGTGTCAGTAGTGCATGTCAGAGACAATGTGGTCTAATAATAAACACGTTGGAGCGAAGAAACAGAAAGACTACTTACATCCATAGCCATCTCCTCTACAACTTAGAAAGCATATAGCCTGTTCACCTGTCCATGTTTTAAAGTATGCGACGTGTAGCTTTTCAAAAACTCAACAAGTTCATTCTGAAAATAGCTACCGAGAGGGATCTAGCCCGTCATCGTGATCCCAGTCTCCATTTCTAGCAGTCTCTCGCCTTTTCCCGACCTCACTGCCTTCAACATTCTGCCGGGATGCAGCAATAAAAAGGTCAAGGCCACTAGAGCCATTGGCGCCGCGTCGAAAATATACAGAAAGATCTCGTTAGAGCCAATCGAGCCAGATCCTTCCTTCTTAGGTATAGTGATGGTGCCATCTGTATTCCGCGTCGCATAGGAAATGCCCCCACTGGTAGCTTGTTGCGCATATTCGATGGCGCGCACCAAGTTACGCACAATAAAAAGCACGCTCACTACATACAGGCCCCAGAAGTACTTCCTGCTCATGGGCCAGCGCGATGGCATCGCCGTGTAGACCTCGTGCCGGCCATTGAGTCGGGAATGCACACGGATAGCCATCAGGACGAAGAAGGCGAAGGCGACGAGCTGGAAGATTAAGCCCCCAAGAATTGCCTTATTGCCAATGTTAATGATCTTAGGGTCACCTGAAGCCTGGATGCCTGCACCCATGAACTGGCTAACAAAGCAAAGAACATCGATAAGGATGTAGATGCGTGTGATCCAACGGGGGGCGATCATTGCGTGATCGTGAGCGTCGAGGGCGACTATGTACCGGCCTAGCGTCATGTATACAGTGGCAGCAAGAAAGGTAGGGCCGCCGAGGATGAGTACGTTCTGTAGCATCCAAGAACCGATTTCAGATATGTTTTCGTGAGCTTTGGTGCGCCCATAATAACCAAAGGTCTCGCCTGAGGGGGTTAGCAGTGAGGGATTAGAATTATGAAGAGAACTGACAGATGCCGCCTAAAATAAAGGACAAAAAGTACCATGACCGCAGTGGAAACATGTAAATAATGTGTGCGATAGTAAGAAAGGCAAACGAGCCCATAAAGACGTAAGCCGCTGGGAGCGAGGGTGTGTAGGGGAAAAAGATAGCGCCAGTGATGTTGCCTCCGGGCTCTCGAATGAGTGTAATATCCATATGTGTAGTTTGTGGCTAGACTTATTGAGGACAGAATTCAAGGCGTTGGATGATGTGAGCTGAATGCAAGAGAAATCGCGGTCTTCAATATATATACCTCCATGTCATGCATAGTACAATATATATAGAAGGTTGCGCGTACGAAACTGCCTTACCGTAACTAGGTCGTTAAGACGAATACGAAAACCCATTATATTCGATTTAATGTTTGTGATAGGAAAAGAGTGAAGAGTATGGGCATGGGTTTTTGGGATTAGACGCCGAAAGCTGTGGCTCCTAAAACGGGTCGCGAACGGGTCGCGAAGTAAAACTTTCAACCTAGTCTACTTTAGGAAATGCAGAACGAATACGCAACTTAGCGCCTGAACCTCACTGACTGCCGGTCTCGAGTGCGCAACAGCTTAGCAAGGGTGGGACGACCCAGAACCTTTAATCGACACTTAAATACTTCAATCCCTCGTATGCAATATCCCAAAACGTATATTCTACACGAGAACCACGCATCTGAGCTTGTCCCAACTGCCTTGCACCTCTAGCTTCAGAAACCTGCGGTCCATACAATTGATGCCAATTAGTGCTTGCTGCAACATCTGATTGGCTTGCTGGACTTAGAAAGCCTTCTGTCCTGAAGGGAGCTGGAGGTATTTTTGGTACGGAATGCTGAATAGGATATTATGACCCGGAAATCGCATTCAAAATCTCGTCGCGGTTGCCTTGCCTGTAAGAAACGCCGTATCAAGGTATGCATCTTCATTAATAGTTACAACATACTCCTTCAGATTTGGTTTTTAAACACAGAACAATTATCATGGGTCAGTTACTGACTCTACTATGTTTGCGACCAAAGTGCGACGAGGAAAAGCCCAGCTGTAAGAAGTGTACTCTACGCGACCTAGTCTGTACCTATCCATCAACTTCAGTAATCTGGGTGCATCGAGAACCACCCTCATTAACAGACAAAGAGGAACATGGCACAAGAGATGGAGCCTCACCACCTCAGTACAGCCTGAAAACACAAGAAGAAAAGCCATCAACCATAAAAGAATCAACACTCAACCTCGATAACATAGATCTCATAATCCACTGGTTTACGAAGACTGTGCATACCGTCAATCCACCAACCAACCTCGCCGCGAAAGAAATATGTCAAACTGTTATCCTAGAACAAGCAAGGAAACACCCGTTTCTCCTCCACGGACTTCTCGCACTTTCTGCCCTACACCTTGCAGACTCCCACTCAGATACCGAACCATACACTAAAATCGCCACTATCCATCACACACAAGGACTTGAACTATATTACTCCATTCTATCGAATATCAACAAGGAAAACTATTCAGCGAGTATTGCATTCGCAGGTATAACCATCATGTATGCCTTTGGAATCTCTCGGCCACGAGGAACAAAACCGCCGGGTATAGAACTCATCGACCGCCTATCACAGATCTTCCTCCTTTCACATGGGTGGCAAAGTGTTGTCAATGCCGCAGATGGGCTGGATCGCGGGACGGGAACCCCCATATTTCCTGCTCCTCATAGCCACACTGGAGCTTTACCTACAGCTACGGAAGCGGCTTTTGCACGCCTAAACGATATGAATCATGGCCGAGACACGGCGGTTTACACGCTTGCAATTTCGACACTGAAATCCGTCTTTTACAATCTAGAAACGGACAGAGATAATCCGCATATTGCATTGCAATGGGCCCACACACTACCTAAAGAGTTCCTGGACTTACTTCATCAGCGGCAAAATCTTGCTTTGGTGATTGTAGGGTATTATTGTGTAGTGCTGGATGCATTGAAGGAAGTTTGGTGGCTTAATGGTTGGAGCATAAACCTTTTCGGTGTTATTTTAACAAATACCGATCCTTCCTATCGGGATGTGCTGGAATGGCCAATACAGATGATTGGGTTTGAGGAGGGAGAGTAATACCTGGTACAAAGTTCTCATTCCTGTGGGAATTGAAGAGCTTTCCGAGGTTGTCCCATAGGCGACGGTCTATTATGTACATACAATTAGGGAGCAAAGGCTGCCTGAGAATTCGATCAGATATCTCAATCAGTTTCCCCTATAAATCTAAATGTACAACCCGGAACCGCAGTACCATCTATCTTAATTAAGCACCTCACAACTTCGTATGCATCAGTCTCGTATTTTCTCAGCGCATCCTCGTGTTCTTCTGACATAACTTGGTATGCCGATCCCTTAACGCAGCTCCTCTCGGATCCATTAACAAGCGCTTTGTACTTTCCATTGCCCCATGTCTCCATTCTCCCTCCCATTACACTGGCATCGTACAAAATCGGAATGTCATCTCCAGAGAATGAAATAAGAGAGCATAGCTTGGGAACACTATCGAGGGTACCGTAAAAGAAATACCAAACAGGGAACTGGTTTTGTGTTCGCCCAAAGGAGTGGGGTGCACTGAGTAAATGTGAATCTTGTGGCCTGAATTGCGGGAGCGTTGTGTCCTTTCCGAGTGTTGGGTAAAGTGAGTGTGAGGATAGTTCCTTGTAGGCTATTTTGACTGGGATAAACAGAGGTCTGAATAGAGGCCCATTCCGGTTAGAAAGCCAGCTCTCGATGGCTATCTTTGTCCGGCCATCGACTTTGCAAAACACAGCATCCACGTCAACGCTACTTCCGTGGTGGGATTCTGGGATGGTTTCAAGGTTTGCGGCTATTTGAATCCTTTGTGGGGTAGAGATGGGACCATTTAGTCTGAGGAGATAAACCGCGCGTGCCTGTGCAGGCGATAGTGTTGCTTGCTGTGTTAAAGTAGATGGCTTCGTAGCGTTTTGAGTGATTCCAATTACCGCTGCAGCTTCTTCGTATGTGTAGCCAAAGCGGTCTTGCCACATCTTAATTGTTCCCTTATTTGTATGCGGTATATCGTCGTCATCGTCGGGCTCCTCATACACGGCAGCAACCGCCAAGTTCTCCAACTCGTCAAACAAATCCATTTAAAAGGATGGAGGGGCGGTTCATCAATCGATTTCCGAATCGGTGATCGTAATATTATCGCTTCATGGTTTTACATGACTTTATAACGTCGTCCTGCATTGTCCTGACGAAATCGTGTTTAGTGGCCGAGTGAGTCACGTTATTACCATAGTCCGCAGCTTAACAGCAGTAGCGCCCTTGTCCATGCCAACAGCTAGCTTTATCTCGGACATTATCTAATATTCGGAACATAAGAGGCATATTTGTTGTAGGTAAAGGTTTCCTGTTGTAGATACTATTAGTATCCATCGGCGCGTTGATTTGAACAAGCGGCCTAACATCGTTTGCTGAATTATCGCTGATGAATGACGTGGACCTATGTCCTTATTTATTAATACATAATCATTCCAGTCTCCTCGATCGGCCATCGTATCCAAAGTCGATGCTGTTCATCTAGTAGTTGATAGATTCGAGCTAGAAGGTGATCCCCCCAGCCACTAATATACCAGCACGGATCAAACCGCTTCAAGATCACGCAATAAAAGGCAAAGATTGCCAAAGATTCTTGTCGCCGTTCTTTCAAAAGATTCAGATACTCATCAGAGATCTCAAAAAGCCAGAGGAAGACGTCGGCAGATTCGTATCCTTGGAACCCAGGCGCGTAAACAATATTGAACGAGCCACGGAGCTCGAATATCGCCCCAGCGTAGCAATGGACGTCTGATGGGTCGGTTACGCTCCCTCTTATAAGATTGTTGAGTATCTCGAGTTGTTCCGTTTCCCTAGTTTGCTTGATAGCCATCTCTGCCCTCAGCGTCCTTCTCTGTCGGCCAGCTAAGAGCATCGGTCCCATGGGTCCCGAGAGTATAATTTCTCTCGACCTATTCATCACCGAGCGAGTTCCACGGAAATGGAGGAGCCATTCCGAAATCCCGGAATCTCCGACGAGGAGAATATCCTCCGGCTTTCGGGGACTTGCCAGCGTTATCAGGCAGGTCATCGCTGTGAATATGTAGACACCGGTGCAATTTTTTGGGGTGACGTCTGGCAGAATTGTTGTTGCAAGACGGAGGCCGTTTTGGTGGAGGATTGCGGCCTGCGCAACTAAATATTCGTATCGTTCTGGGGAAAATCGTGCCAGATGCAGCGCTGATAAGGCTAACACAGCGTACATGACAAAGTCAAATTCCAGTGCCAGCCGCGGGACACTGATTCGCCATAAGTCCCTGATTGTTGTGTCGCTATTAAGAGTGAGACATGTTGAGGTGGTGAAGTTATGGAGTAGTTCCAGGTGCAGCTTGTTTATGTCGGAGGTCATATCGACACTCCGAGGACTCTCGACGGCCTTGCTCGAACTGGTTATACTCTGAACGGAAAGATTCTCTGTGTCTATAGGCCTAAGGGTTTGCGGCGAATCCTCTTCCGATGGGCCTCCAGACGCCAATGGCGTTGGCTTCAACAGATACACGCACTCAAGTGATCGGTACGCACATCTTCGACAAATAGGCTTTCGCTCGTCGCACTACAATTGAAGTGGTCACATAGATCAGCCATAAGTAATAAAAACAACACCATATATGTAACAGGAAATATGACAAGTAGTTCAGTATTCCATGGGCAGACTGGACTGTAAAGATATCAATCTGCATCACGTGACATCTGATCTGTCCAGGCCATGGTCACCCACCACCAGGTGTGTGGTATGCAGATGCAGATGCAGATCGCCCTTGCAATATATTGGGGCTAAAGGGCAAACTCACTTTGACTTTTCTAGCCTTGCAAGCTTTGCATCCAGTCCTTGTCTTCCGATGCGACCTGCGCATTGCCGGCGGCCCGACGCCATCGGTGGTAGGCAGAGAACCAGAAGTGTCCATTGGATAAGACTTGGCCAAACCTAAAAATTGGCAAGGAGCAAGCAAGGTGCAGTAGCAGGTGGGGATAACACCCTGTCGAATGGCGGTCTGCAAAAGAGGATGGGTAGTTAGCCTGCGAAGAGGTTTTCCCTGGCGGTGGTGATGGCGATTCTTAGCTCAAGAACGAGGGCGGGGAAGCGGATGAGTTCAAGTGGCGACGACAACGGTTCTCGTATAGGACGAAAAGACAGCTTCCGATGGGCCCGGCTCTCAGAAATATTATAGATTATATACGCTAAACCCTTTGCGATGTACGGATAGGAGAACGATGGATGACAAGATTAGCTTTGAAACAAAATTTGCTATCTTACATAGCCACATGCAGTACGAAGCAGTGACGTACCGCCTCGGCAAATGCTCAGGGGGTAACGGACGGCCTTGGCCAATGCTTTAACATCATGATAGTGAAGAACATCGCTCAACCCTAAGGACCAAAGAACAACCGGCAAGACTTTCAGGATCCGATATATCAATGAGGTATGCCAACTTATGCGCTACTCTGGGCCGATAATTATCGCGCATACTACCCGAGCGCCGGTGGTAGTACCCTGGAATTACAGTGGCGAGAGTGAATAATTCTCCGCGTCATCCATACCAGGCTGAGTAACGGGAGGATGGAGGAGCTCAATGGAGGAGCTTATAGTCCACAGCATCATGCCCGTCGCCAACGTGCATGTGGAGATGAAACGGTCACTAATATACCCCTGTGGCTATCGAATACACTAATGTGGACATAAGCTTGCTACGGAGCTTATCATTAGCCCCGAACTATGAAGTCCCGCCGACGGCGGAACGGGCAATGCCATTTTGCGGAGGTGCGAGTACGAGGCGCTATCATTTCGCGGGTGCGAGTACGAGGCTAGACTTGACGCATTCGCGATTTAGTCAATATATATTTGTATATTCGCGGCTCATACCGATTTTGGGTCGAAGAGCGGGACATGCTTACTCTAATATTCTCTCTGAGGCCGTCGGTGACGAATTGCTTCCTTGGCGGGATAATTTTGCATGAAGCTGGAGCGATATAAAGGGCGGATGATTCTCACAAAATATCGAATGGGACACCTCCTTCATCATACAATAGTGCACTGATACATTTCATATCAACGGATATATTTTTCAGCATGCGTAGTACATATCTTCTTGCCATGGGCGGAATGGCCATGGGCGGAGCTGCCCTGACCACCACTACTTCGAAGTTACCAAGCACAGCGCCCATTGCCTGTAAATACTTCAAGGCAAACTATCCAAACATGACTCTGCTCCCAAGTGATGCCGGATATACCGCTGAAAACGAAGGTATGCTATTGCTACGTGAATCCCACTATCAACATGACCCTGACCTTATGCTTTAGTATCATGGAACGCAGGAGCTTGGTTAGGTCCCGCCTGTATCCTGTCACCAGCCAGCGCCGAACAAATGTCAACTGCAGTTAAAAACCTAGTCAGGTTTGCTACCCCCTTCGCTATGCGTGGTGGTGGGCATATGTCCGTTCCAGAAGCCGCGAATATAAATTCCACTGGAGTTCTCATCTCGAGCACCAACCTCAAAACCTTGGAGCTTTCCGGGGACCAGAGCACTCTCTCTGTTGGTCCAGGCCCAAGATGGGGAGACGTCTATATCTATCTCGATGAGACAAAGTCTGGAAAGATGGTTGTTGGAGGGAGATATGCACCTGTTGGCATCCCAGGCCTGCTCCTTGGAGGTGGCATGGCATTCTTCAGCGGAGAATACGGGTTTGCATCAACCAATGGCAACGTGCGTGCCTATGAAGTAAGCATCCCCAAATCTCCAGCTCCTATGCTTCAAATCTAATATATATGACAGTGTGTCCTCGCAAGTGGGAAGATCGTCGAAGCAACGGCCTCAAACCAGTATTCTGACCTTTTCTGGGCGCTACAAGGAGGCGGAAACTCCTTCTGCATTGTGACCAAATTTGTCCTTCGAACCTTTGACAGTCCCGCCATCGGCCTTGCCAACCCCTCATACGGTTCCGGCAGTAAAGTTAAGGATCTGTGGCTTGATAGCATTCTTAATTATGTCATCGATGGATCTTCCGACCCAAAGGCCGCCATCATTCCCGTAGCACGATATGGCACAGGTTTTGAAGGCATCCGATACGATGCAACTCTGTTTTACAACGGAGTGGCCACCAACACTCCGGCTATTTTGAGCGATTTCCAAGGCGGCCTTCTCCCGTCCTCCAACATGACATCGTTGACAACTTTGACTATGGGAGCTTTCGCCAAGGCTGTCTTGCCCGCTTTCCAGGAAGGAGGGGAGTCCCACGGCCTGAACCAGCGATTCCACGTCGTATCTACTGTCGCCACGCGAGAAGCGATGGACATTGTACACGACACATTTTTCGACGCTGTTAAAGCTGCGGGTCTTGCTGACTCTGCTGACTTCTTTGTTGGCCTCGCATGGAACTCTATCACGACTTCATTCCTTGAGGCCTCAAACTCGGGAACAGGTTGCCCACAAGGTGTTGCAGAGGAGCCTCTCTTCTGGGTTGAGGAAGCTTTCACATGGGGCGATAGTGCTGATGATGAGAAAATTGATAATTTCATCAAGACTGTCAACGCGAACATTACGACTCAACTGGAGGCTATCGGTGCCACGTCCCCTTACATCTACCTCAATGATGCGGATGCGGATCAACCTGTCTTCCAGGGGTACCCAGCTGAGAATTTGAAGAGGCTTCAGCGGATTAGGGCGAAGTATGATCCGCTTAAGATTTATACCAATCTGATGCCAGGTGGATTTAAGGTCGCTCATGCGTAGTTGAATATGGTACATAGAGGGTTTTAGAATTCTGAAGTAGAGTTAATAGTGTAGCATAAATCAATGAATTGACAAATTCTCGTGGTAAAAACTTGATTGAGGGTGTTCTGGCCCAACCATGAGCTATTATCCCACGGGCAATGGAATCTATCGACCGAAATCCCTAGTACTACAGTCTCCATATGATTGAAACTCCATATGATTGAAATAAAAAGCACTCATACAGACGCCTATACTCCCATAAGCAAAAGGCCACTTATGACTAAAGCACAGAAATAAGAGAGGGTGGAATAGTGGTTCGATTCCACAATGGAGATCTCGGTGGCAACATAACTCTGCTGCCTTATAAAAAATCAACACCAATGCGTCTTCTATTGTCCTTCATGAGTTAGCAAGTCAGCACATGAGCGCAATACCTCACAGTTGCATGGAACAAGAATATCCATGAGACATTGTATTCTTCGTTATTCATTTGCACCATTATTGCTCTCTATCTTAAACGAAACGTTATAAATAGTGCCACATATAGTAACATGGGCAATTTACAATTTATACCATCAAGAGTTTAGATTCTCATGCCTATTTCCCAGAACATAGCGATATCAAGTCTCTACTTTGATTTCGAAGTTTACGCCCTTGCTACATCTAAAGCCCACGTCCAGAATGCAAGTCCCGACGACGTCTAGCCGCCGGAGCCTCCTTAGGTGTAGTCAAGAGATTCGTAGCCTCACCAACAATCCCCGTAATCCTCATGATATCCTCAAGAGTCACAGGATTCTCCTTCTTAGTCCATCCCAGCTCAACTGGAAGACGCTCGTTCTCTGTCATCTCATATTAGCATACACCCCAAACCCGGCCGGGCTATGCCCATAATGGATTGTCCAAACTCACCAAAGAAGAAATCAATCAGGTTCTTCTCGACCGTAGCAGATTCGAGATCCCCAAAAACGATGATAGGCGCACCGACCTCGCCGAGACTGAATTGCTCAGTATTCGCAGTGAAGGTGTACTCGGGGTTCTTGGCCTTGGAGGCGAGTTGGCGGGCGAGCTTGCCGTTGGCGAGCATGTTGGCGTCGAGGACGGGACCGGTCCACCAGACTCGTGTCTCGTCGAAGGTCGCTTGGTCGAAGGCGTGGTTGTTGCCGAAGAAGGCGTCTACGCGGCTGGTGGGTGGGGGTTAGTATTGTGATGATGCGGTTGTCACCCAGGGTGAGAACGAACCTCAAGCTTGCATCGTGCTCCAAGACATTGTGGCGGTTGAGGTTGTCCCTGAGAATATAATTAACATCAACTACATTTGAAAAGTTATGGGGGTTACCCACAGGGTGAAGAAAGTAGCATTAGGCTCCGGGTTAGCAATGATAGCCTGATCCCACATCAAGCTCGCAAGAGCTGGGTCGAAGTTGAGTCCCGCAGACAAAGCGTGAACCGCATTTGCCTTGGTGATGTTCCTGCCATCGTGAGGGAGGAAGCCATGGTTGGCCAAGGTGTTCATCATAGGGCAGGGCCCGCGGACTATATGATATTAGTATTTTGTAAAAGCGGAAAGCCGGATGGATCTCTTCAATCACAATAACTTACAGTCATCTGGCCCAGCGGGCTCCCAGCCGGAGTTGGAGCCTTGCCCGTAGGCAACGCCTACTGCCAGTGTGGTGGAAAGGATAGTGAGCTTCATCTTGACTTATTCGTATAGACGGGTGGGTGGGCAATTCAACGAAGTGCAGGACTAGATAGATATATACAGTACTAGACAGCATCCGCAGCGCCGTCCGTCCCTTACATCTATAGCCCCCCCGGCATTTAGCTGCCGGAGCAACTACCTTGCTTAAGGCAAGCACAGCAATATAATTCTCGGCGGAGTGATCTCGTCGCCGTCGCACGCAGATCACTCTTTTGTTTCGCTCCGTCATCAACCATGCATCCCGATATGGTCCCAGCAGCCAATTGAACGCCGGACATAACTAATGCACCACAGCATTTTCACGAGACGTCGTCGTGGAATCATGGAGTCGCGAACCTTGCATAGTTGCGGACGGCTCCCATTGGCGCCTCGGTACGCGTATCCCCTTTACTCTCCGCGTATACCATTAGGCTCCGTGCCGATCATTGTGAGCGGCGCCGGGAACACCCAAATCCTGAACAACAAACACACACAATTTTGCAATCGCCAAGTGAATCCCCCCTTGCTGCTGCGCATAAGCCTCGTACTCGCAATGCGTACTCGCACTGCGTATTCGGACGGTGTTCCCCGCAATCTCATCTTCGAATATCGGGTGGTGTGGTTTGGAAACCACAGCACCGTCGCCAAGGTTGGCAGGGAAGATCCCCGTTTGCGCAACGTTGAGGCTGGCCATTCAGGTTTGCGAGAAGTTTGTTCCTTAAATGAAGTGGATTTAGAGTGGATTAGGATGGGCCTCGGTTTGTCGATCTGCGAGGTTCTAGCCACTCGCAAGGAGGACATATTTTTGTTACAATATACTTGCATTGACGTTCGCTCGATAATAGAAAGAGCTGAACGAATCGGACTGCTGTAATTAACAATGTGATACCTAAAAGAGAGTCCGGCCCGGTAGTTGTAGGCACCCCAGTCATCTGCCGGGTGCCTAAGCCCTATCTTGCCATGCGGTGTGGTCGGTTTCAAAAGTCGACGGAGCATCTCCAAAAAGTATATGCCTCGCTGACATGACACAGAAATACTAAATTGGAGATCATGCGAATAAATCCGAACTTACCGGAATATTCCTTCTGCCAGCATCTATTCACGTTCCTTTTGTCGACATGAAAGATCCTTTGATGCCATGATCTCGCCCAGGCATGAAACCGGCCGCCCGTAATGCCCTTAAAGCGCCGCCGTGGACGCCTCATGCATCTCTCCCAACACCGTGCACAGACCCCAAACAATCCAATCTGTACTCCCTCCGCATGTCAACCATGTTCTTCCACTACGAGCCTTCCCCGCACCCATCTACAAACCGAAATGCCTAAAACGCCTCATATCACAAGTAAAATTTAGCTTGTGATACCACCTACCAGCGGTGGAGCGCCCCCTCCTCCTCGTGCGAAATTTAGTGTAGGCCGCCACGCGGGTGTGGCTGATAGATCGTCTCCACATGCGCCCCGCCATTAGAACTCGGGCGGTGGAGGACGGGGAGAAGGCGCAGAGAGGCGTTAATGACCGCGCTGCGAGGGCGGGTGAGGCGGCGCCGCCGTATGTGTTGGTGGAGCTTATTGGGAAGGGGAGTTATGGGCGGGTTTATAAGGGGTGAGTGCTTCTCAGCCATCTACAGCCCTGCGCGCGCGTAGTAAGTATGTAAGTTGACGCTCCTCTGTAGCGAGGATACCCGGACAGGGGAAGTTGTGGCGGTAAAGGTTATCGATATTGATGAGAGTGATACCGCTAGTCCGCGGTATGCGGATACGTATGGTGAGTTTCTGAAGGAGATTGGCGCGCTGAAGGTGTTGAGTGAGGGGAAGGCGAGGAATATTAATCATATCATCGATGTGCTGCCGGTGGGACATACGATGTGGATGGTGACGGAGTATTGTGGAGGGGGGAGTGTTGCGACGTTGGTAAGATTTTTTGTTCTATTGAGAATCCATATGTCTCTGTGTCAGGACTGATTAAGGTGCAGATGAGACCTAAGCCAGGTGGCCTGGGGGAGAAATATATCATTCCGATTCTGCGGGAGGTGGCAGAAGCACTCGGGTGGGTGCATAAGGCTGGGATTATTCATAGAGATGTAAAATGTAAGCTATTATGGCTGGAATTCGCCCTTCACACTTCCTGGTTGCTCTTTCCGTTATTATTAGCTCTTTCCCCTCTCTCTGTCCCCATCGCTATTTCCCTATTTGCTCTTTCATGTTGATATCCCGCTCGCTCTTTCCATTGCTATTTCCCCCGCTCCTTCCCCTTACTCGTTTCCCCTCGCTCCTTCCCTATGTGTCCTTTATGTCGACCTCTCCATAGCTCCTTCCCCATCCCTCATCCCCCGAACAATTCCCACACTAACACCCTCCCCCTAACAGGCGCAAACATCCTCATAACCACCGCCGGCGCCATCCAACTCTGCGATTTCGGCGTCGCAGCTACCCTCTCCCTCCCCTCTTTGAAACGCACAACGTTCATTGGAACCCCGCACTGGATGGCTCCCGAGCTCTTCACCTCCTCCTCCTCCTCCTCCTCCTCCTCCTCGCCTAGTTACGGGGTAGAAGTAGATATCTGGGCCTTCGGAGCCGTGGTATACGAAGTTGCCACCGGACTCCCCCCCAACGCCTCGAGTCGGATCCCTTATGGACAGCTAGAGAGTGGAGTGAGGGTGGCTGTCCCGAGGTTGGAGGGGGAGGAGTACTCGGTCCAGCTTAGGGGGTTAGCAGCGTACTGCCTGGAAGAAGATCCGAGTAACCGGCCGATGATTGGGGAGGTGCAACTACACCCGTACATCCACTCCACCACCCTCAGTTATCCAACCAGCGCACTCGTGGACCTCATCACCGCCTTCCGAATCTGGGAACAAGAAGGCGGGACGAGGGCTTCACTGTTCATGTCTGGCGGCGCATCGGGCCCATCTGAGGCTGGCGAAACTGAGGAGAGTGGAAGTGAGGAGTGGGATTTCAACTCCACCCTCCGCGCATCAGCCGCCAAAGATGCTGGTACCCTGTCCGAGAATCCCCAGCCTACTCCGCGCGCCAAAGGGGGGCGAAGGCGGCCGCCGAAGGAGGTGTTGGAGCCGCTGAGGGAACCGATTGAGAGGGTTTTTGATGCTAATACGCTCTCTAATTATGAGGGGAATAGTCGTGCGCATTATTTCCCCTCCCCGTCGGATGGGGTGGGTGATTTACCACTCCGTGAACGTGACGAGGGGGGAAGTCGGCTACGAGACGTAGATGGGGATGAAACGTTGAAACCGCCTCCACTCCATCCCGTCGCTGATTTAGATGATACCAAGCGCCGCACGCAGGACTGGACATTTGCTTCTTCCCTCCCTACGCCTCTTCGGGAAGCAGAGACGGAGGGTGATGGAAACCGCCGGACAAAGGATTGGACGTTTGCTTCCTCCCTTCCTGCACCGCGTGAATCTACAGATGCAGTGGGGGAGTTTAGTGACGGTGGCGGTGGGTACGCACATACACCGACGAGATCTGCACGACCTATCCAGATGAACCGCATGTCGATGGGGGAGGGGTTAATTGATCTCGATATGAGTTTATCACCATCTCCACAGATGTCATCCCAGCAAGCCCAAAGTCATGCGTCGGTGGCGGAGTCGCTGATTGATTTGGATATGAGTCTCTCCCCCTCCCAACACCCACCATCCCAGTACCCAGCAAGTCGCGCATCAACGGCAGAACCGCTGATAGATCTCGACATGAGCGTCCCACGCTCCCCTCCAGCAGAGCAAACGGCACCCTCCACCCCCACGGCGCACGCGCAAACAGTAGTAACACGCACCACCACCGCAGCTGTCAAGCCTGGTTCGTGTGGGCGTGAACTCCCTGCGCCGCCGTCGGTGGAGGCACTGAGTGGGGTGGCGGGGGTGGAGGTGATGAGAAGTGAGATGGGGAGGTTGTTGGGGGGGTTGGTTGTTGAGTTGGGGGTTGTTAGGGATGTGCTTGCTGGGCCGGGCGTAATATAAATTAAGAGGATAACAAACAGGGGGAAGGAAACGTAATGTATGTGTGTGATTTATGGTTGTGGGTTGTGGGTTGTGGTTTGTGGTTTATGGTTTATGGTTTATGGTTATGGACAAAGGTCAGTTGGGGAATAATGTCACAAACACGCATTTTCAAAGACGTAAAAGTAAGTAGAAGAAGGATCATTCTTTATATTGCCCGGCATCCAGCGCGGGAGGGGTGTTTTTCTACGTTCTATATACAACCCCACACACCACCACTATCCTCGCCATCCGTCCATCCATCCATCTCTTCCAACGCCATCAAATTCCCCCAGCCGAACGCCTAACAAACAAACAACCCATTAAAAAAAAGGCACAAAAAAACACAAAAGCCGTCAGCCTCAGTATAAAGGCGCGACAAGAACGCATATAAACGCAGGACATGCAGAAAAGTGCAGAAAGGCCAGACAGTCTGGGTTGGGGGGGGTATGTTCTCTCTACGCCCACTTCCCCAACACCGCCATCAGACCCGCACCAAGGACCATGCATCCAAACGCCGCCAGGACGACCTTGACGCTACTCCGTCGCATCTCCTGGTTAAACATGAATTCGTGAGCCATCAACTCCACCAACCCCGTGTAAATCAGGATACCCGCTGAAATCGAATCAAACACCCCATTCACGAGGAGCATCGCGCGACCATCCGTGCTAAGGCTTTCTCTGACACCCAGCCCGACAGCGATGGCGAGGGGAGTGGAGATACCGTAGAGCGCACCGAGAATCCAGGGGAGCCATTCTCTGTCCGCGGGCCAGGGGGTGGTAGCGAGGCGGGAACCGAGACCGAGTCCTTCGAAGGTTTGGTGGAAGACGAGGACGATGTAGAGGACTACGAATTCTTCGCCCGCGACGGCGAGGGTGAGTCCGATGAAGATGGAGTGGAAGATGACGCCGAATTCGAGGATGAAGATTGAGGTCAGCTGCGCGGCGAGGTGCTCGGAGGAGGAGTGGTGGTGCCCGTGGGAGAGGTGGTCGGTGCCGCCGGGGGGGTAGGAGAATTCTTGCGAGCGGGTTGGGGAGGGGGGACAGTCGGCGTGGGGGTCGTCGTGGTGGTGTGTGTCGTCGTGTTTGTGCGATGTTTGAGACGAAGATGAAGAATCGAGTGCAGGCTGGACAGCGGCGGGAACGATGACGTCGGGTGTGGGTGACTTGAGGTCAGAAGTGTGAGTGGCGACAGCGGTGATGGGGATGGGAGGAGGGCGGGCGCATTCGGGGTCGTGGGCGTGGGAGTGGGCTCCGGGCTTGTTGACGCCGAAGAAGTCGAAGCGCATGGCCATTAGCTCGATGAAGAACATGGCGAAGATGGTCATGAGGACTATGCCTTCGACCCAGGAGTACTCGGTGATGGGGCCGGTGAGGCATTCGTTGGTGAGGGCTTCGTGGGCGGGGGCGAGGAGCTGGGGGGTGTTAGTGGTGGACGGTGGAGGTGGTAAAGGGGGAGGAGGGTGGACAGTGGATGAGGGGGAAGGGGGGGGGGAAGGTGGACTTACGTGAATGAATGCTGTGGCGATGATGACACCCGAACCGAAGTATTTAGCGACGAAGAAGGCCGATTTGGGAACGCGCATACGCTTTGAGCGTGAGGCGATGACAGGGAAGAGAGCACCTAGGTTGGGGTGTTAGTTGATCTTCGATGTGATGAGGGTGGAGGCACGTGAGTGAAGTGAGGAAAGGGGGAGGAGTAGACATACCAAGCATTGACCCAAAGCCGATGACGAAGATGGAGGAGATGCGCAGGCCGATGCGGCCGTCATAGTCGTTTCCGCTGCCGCATTGCGGGAGTGGTTCGAGGTCAGACATTGTGGGTGGAGGTATGCGGTGATGGAGGAGGTGTTGTGTGATGATTGATGGTAGTGAGTGATAGATGAAAGAAGGTGAGTGTCGAATCCTTGTGAGAGATATGTATGTGTATATCTTCTCTACTTTCTTTCTTTCTTTCTTTCTCTCTTCTTTCTCTTCCTCGATCAATCAACCTCGATCAAGCTTTTCCAAACAGACAAATCTCTCGATGACAGCGCTCTCCCGATGATGACACTGATCAGCAGAAACAAGAACTCCTGCAGCCGGCTGGGCAAGCTTATGTCTTATACACGCGCGACAGACCGCCGGGTAGCACAGCTGGGACGGCGACGGCGGGTCGTCTGGTTTGTCTTGTCTTGGTTTCTCCACCGGGGCACGTTGTGGGTTGTGCGTGGAGGTAGGGGTAGGCGGGCTGATGGATGGATGCAGGTATGTAGGTAACCTTGTTGGTGCGGTGGATGCGTGGATGCGGCAGGTTATGTAGTGGAAGGTGGACGAGGGGGCGGACGTGGGATGTAGTGGCACGTATGTCGGTGGTAGGTGGGTGGAGGTGGATGAGGTGAGTTTGCTAGTGGTGGTGGTGGAGATGTGCGTGTGTGCGGCGTGTGTAGTAGGAGGTAGTGGTAGTGGTGGTAGATGGCCGTCTATATGGTATATGGTATATGAGGAAATGAATGAGGCTCTCGGTATGAGGGATTGAGAACAAAGGCGGCGTGGTCGTTGGTGTAGGTATAGATATATCAGTCGGTCATCAGAGTACGGCGGCAACAATCAATTACGCCCAATTTGCACACTCTTCTTTCTATAGTGACAGCGACGATGATGATGACAGTATGAAGGCGGTGATGAGGAATTGACGATATCTACAGTATGTGCAAAAGAAAGAGAGAACCCCCATCCCAGCCCACGCCCACGAAACCATGCAAATCCCCCCCCACCATCCATCCGCCCCGATGACAACTGCAAAAAAAGATCCTTACGCCTATCCCTCCCAACCCACCTTTGTTTGGAGCTTGTCGCCTCTTAGCGCGGGCGGGAGCGTCACCTTGGGGGATACCCCTGTGGGTCCTTGTTGAGAGAATACGTCTTGGCGCTGACTTGGCGGGGTTTTTTGTGTGTGAGATGGGACAAAAAAGCCCTGTCCTGATTGCCGAGTGTCGGCCGGTGGATGACTAAGGAGGGATGAGGAAGATTGGAGGGCTGTGAGTGGCTGGAGAGAGGGGGGAAAGCGAGAGAGAGGTGTTACCTTGTGGGATAGATGAGGCGTTTGGAGGTAGGGGTACTTTGGGGGGGTACTTTGGGGGGGTACTTTGGAGGAGGGCGGGATGGGGTGGTGGTTTGGCGGGTTTAGGAAGGAGGGGGATGTAGTTGATGTGCTTAAGTGTACTTTATGATACTTGGGTACTTTTGTATCAGCAATATGGTCAACGGCCACCCCCAATCGATCAATCACGTACTTCTTTTTACTGTACGGGCAATTTTAGGAGTACGGTTTTTTTAGTGTATAGACAATTTCTAGAGTACTCTTTTTTACTCTACATACAATCCCATCTCAGCCCTGTACCGTATCTTCTTTATCCTCCTCAATGGACATTCAACGTCATCCCTCCTTCCTTCCTCACCCCTCCATCCCATCCCACACCGAACAACGCACACAATTATATCATACCATACCACACCACACCACACCTGCGTCTGCACCTCCGATCCACCCACCAAAAAAAACCCCTCAATGTCTCACTCCCATACAATCTCTTAAGATTACATATAGTACAACAAACACATACACGCACATATAAGCACACATACACATACACACACAGCAGTAATCTCTTACCGAGCACAACACACCAAGAAAAATATATATATATATATATATAAATTCTTCGCATAAACACATCATGTCCTCACCCGCTATCCACAGCATATATACGAGTCCGTCAATCCCCCACCACCACGGGTATACAAACCCGAACGCACAACCAGACGCACAAAAATAATCCTACAGTAACCAAACCACCACATCCCCAAATCCGTATACTAACAAAGAAAATACATACATACACCAACCCAACTATAACACACACACAAGTACCTCCCCCTCCCCCAATGATACCGCCCGCGGGGCATGTAAACTCCTTGGCCCTATCCCCCCGGGTTACGCAAAGACACGCATCAAACGCACATCCCACCCGCTTTCCCACGGACGGACGCCACGGCGGGCGCTACGGGTGTGTGTGATTTTTTTTTTGTCTTGGGCGGACCACTTCCTCCCTCTCGCTCCTGCTGTTTTCGTCATTTCGTGGTGTGCTGTGTTGTGGGTTGGTGGTTAAGCCGTGAGAGGGCGTGGGGGAGGAGGGAGGGTGGATTGGGTCTGTATGCGGGAGGAGGACGAGGAAGGTGAGTGAATGTGGGTATGGACGGCATTGTTACCCGCGGTTCTTTCTATTTCTGCTCTACTAACTATACTGCTATACTACGGGTGGGGATCCATATATATGCTCTACATATGCTCTACAGCTATATCCACACACCACAGCTCACAATCAACCTACATCCAATCCACACACACCCCACACACCACAGCTCACAATCAACCTACATCCAATCCACACACACCCCACAGAAAGGTGTCTATCCCAACTACACCCCTCCATGTCCAGAATATTTACACACACACCCCTCATACACACCCCTCACACCCTCATACCCTCATACACCACATACACACACACCCCTCTACCCTCCCACATCACAATTCGTCACGTTTCTCGCCCTTAACCCGTACACTGTGTGTGCCACATCACGTGTCTCACCCGCCCAACCCAACACGAGCGAACTGCAAGTCAAGTCAAGTCGCACACCGTGCAACTGCAACGTGCTACCCACGCCTCACCTCCCCTTACCTCACCTCACCGCACCGCACCGTGTCTTATCGCTAGGCTGGGTCGGGAGGGGAGGGGATCGCCGCGGGAGTACGAATGTCACTGACTAGGTATTCAGCTCGCGCGCGTGTGGTTGTATGACACTCAGCGCGAACGGTTGATGTGGGTTGCCGGTTGGGTTTGCGAGTGAACTGCCGAGTTGTGGTGAGGTACAGGTAGTACCATTGGAGTATGGATGGTGGTCGTGGTGTGTGGTGAGAGGAATGATGTACTCGAGTAGGAGTGTGTGAATGCGTAATGTAATATTACGAGTAGTAGGCATGTTAGGAGGGTTCGGATGGTTAGAAGCGCTCGAAGTGCAGTAGTACACCCCCCAAGGTGCACCGCATCCCAGCATCATTCCAGCCCAGTTCACACCCTTTCACAACACCCCCTTCCCAACTCCCAGTCCTCATCCACAGCCACACATCCCAAGTAACACTTCATAGTGCGAAAAGACGGGACAGTCTGGGACTGTAGTGCGAAAACACCCTTCGCAGTCCACAAGGGATTGTATCCCTCATTTCCATTCCCCAGTAAACAGTGGGTAGTAGTGCGAAAACACGCAAGCATCGCCAGTTCGTAGTCCACAAAGGGATGGCTTGCTTCCTCATTTCCCACTTCCAATCCTGCCACACGCTACCTTGGCGGCCACACCACGGCGAATACACCGGTGAGCGGGGCGGGGACACGGGATGCTGCATCCAGAATCCCGTGGGGGTGGTGCGAGGTCGGACGAGCCGAGTTGGGCTGAGGCCAGGGGTTGTCGTTGGTTCGAGACGAGGGTGCTGTTGGTGAGAGAGACGGGCTGAGACGGTGGTAGTGACGATGACAGTTACCCTCTCTCCAAGAGGACGCTGCTGGGATGAGAGGATCGTGTCGTGGGGATCCTCCCCTTTCCCGTTTGTAATACGCCGCTCTGGCTCCAATAGCGCGTGCTGGTCGGGTTATGCCGTTCCCCTTTCCTCTACTCCCACTATTCTCACTCCCTGACACGCCTCTCAGTCCCTCTCTCCCACGCCGCGCACACACGTATCTCGCACGGCGCACTCACCCACTCACTCACGACGAATACTGCAACTCCACCCCCAAGCTCCTAAACGGCTGATCCCTCCGTCTCAAATCAAGCGTCGACCCAACACAAACAAGCAGATCCTTCACCCTCCCCTCCCACACCACGCCAACGCGCAACTTCTCATCCACCCTTCCCTTGAACACCCCCGTCACCTCCCCCCTTTCGTCCTCCTTCCCATTGACTCGTATCCCCATCGGCAGTCCGTCCGCCGATACAGCAGCAGGGGCAGCAGAAGGGGGAAACATCTCCTCCTCACTCCTCCACGCCAGTTTCGCTGCCATGCTCCTCCCTCCTCCCCGAACGGCGGGTAATTTCACGCTCCGTCGCCAAAGCTCGCATCCGAGAACGAGTTCGCTTTCGTAGCTGTAGGCGTTGAATTCGAATCTACTACACAGTGCGACGTCCTCCCCGGCTTTAACAGCGTAGGTAGCGCTGAAATTTCCCATCAGAGGGTTCAAAGTGAGAGTCGCGGTGAGAGGGATGCCGCGGTAGGTAGGGAGGGTGGCGAAGCGGCCGCCGAGACTGACGCCGCCCGATTTGTTGAGGGTGCCGTAGTAGGCTTCTGCGCCGGCGGAAAAGCGGCCGTGGATGCGGTCTTCGGTTGGTGGTGTTGCGGATGCTGATACAACTCCAGGGGACGTTGGTGAAGTACTGCAGGTGGCAGGGACGCGCGGATCAGCACCGAAATTGTACAGCCCCTTGAACCCGAGCAGCCCGCCGTCGGTGGAGTAGAGGGCTTCGGTGGAGTATTTCCCGACGTCGTGTTGGTGGAGGGCGAGGAGGGTGCCGCCGTTTCGTAGGCGAGAGGAGGAGACGGCGCTGATTTTGATTTGGGACGTTGGGGAGAGGCGGCGCAGGTAGAGCGCTTCGAGGGTGCTTTGGGGGAGGTAGAGGCGGCCGTAGAGGAGGGTGGGTGGGCTGACAGCGTCTGTGGATGATGGGTCGGAGGATGGAGGTGGCCATGTTGAGGAGGGCGAGGGGAGTTCTTGAATTTGTCGGTAGCCGCGGATTACATCGTGGAGGTTGAGACGGCCGGCTTGTGCGAAGGCGGAGGTGAGTGGGAGGGAGGTGTAGAGATAGGAGAGGGAGCCATTGACGAGGCCGACGCTTCCGAGGGCGTAGGAGGTCGCGAAGTTGGGTGAGGAGAGGGAGGAGATGTCGACGCGGAAGCCACGAGGGGTATCGAAGTCGAGGAGAGCTGGAGGGGGTTAGCATAGTCCGCTGGGCGCATAGGTCATGTAGCTTACCTCTCGACGTGGCCGTCAGGTTCGTGTAGTTATTCTCGTAGCTCCATCGCGACGCATTGTAGAAGGACTGCTGCACAAAATCCATAAACTCCAACATCGCCGCAATCAATCAAACCGCACAAATACAGTTCTTCTCGCCAGCAACGCGTTCGCCAAGAGACAATTGACTCTGAATTCCCCATCTCGGTCCCCCAGAAACCAAACACCCACACAGCCCGCACCAAGCCCAATGCGGTTAGTGCATCACACCGCCGCGGCAGAAAAGTCTCGATAGTGAAATCGATAGAAATCTCACAATCATATTTACGGAAAAACCACCTCCCCAAACCCCACCACCAAACACTCCCATCTCAACCACCGCCAGAATGCCTAAATCCAAGCGCGCCAAGGTGGTTCACCTGACCCAGGTCGATAAGAAGGGCAAGGAGCTCACGCTCAAGCTCTTCGCCAATGTCCAGGAGAGCATCGACAAGTACAAGTATATCTTCGTCTTCAGCGTCGACAACATGCGCAACACCTACCTGAAGAAAGTGCGCGCCGACCTCAGCGATTCTCGGTTAGTCCTCCCAATTTCCCCATTCCCCCCTCGATCGCAAGACTAACACCCCGTAGCCTCTTCTTCGGCAAGACAAAGGTCATGGCCAAAGCCCTGGGCTCCACCCCCGAAACCGCCTACCAGACCAACACGCACCTCCTCGCGCCCTACCTCGCCGGCAACGTCGGGCTCCTCTTCACCGACCGCAGCCCCGAGGACGTCAGCGCCCACTTCGCCGCCAACACGCCTACTGATTTCGCGCGCGCGGGCACCCGCGCCACCCGCCGCTTCGCAATCCCAAAGGGGATCGTGTACTCCCTCGGTGGGGAGGTGGCGGCCGAGAGCGATGTGCCGATGGCGCATGGGCTGGAGCCGGAGCTGAGGAGGTTGAATGTGCCGACGAGCTTGAGTAAGGGGAAGATCACCCTGCAGAATGAGTATGAGGTGTGTCGCGAGGGGCAGGTGTTGGATAGTAGGCAGACGAGGTTGTTGAAGCTGTTTGGGGTTGCGACAGCGGAGTTTAGGGTGCGTGTTGTGGCGTATTGGAGTGCGGAGAGTGGGACGGTGGAGGAGGTGGATGGGGAGGCGCCGGAGGAGATGGAGGAGTAGGGGACGGGCTTGATGGGTTGAGATGTGAATGGCTGGGCTGGCATGGGGTGGGATTGCTGTAGCTATAGAGACCTACAGACTCGGCGTTACGGGAGTTGTGATGAGGAAAAGTAATGAAATGACTTCAATACTGGCTTTGAGGTGTATGTTTTAGTGAGTAGATTATCTATGAATTGATGAGTAGCACACATAGGGCAATATTAAATAAATATTGGGGGCACGATTTGACGATACTGTTTGCAGAAAATTAATGCATGTGTATCGTCTCTTGAAAATAGAAAATTGTCAAGAAATTGTATTTCAGGGTGTGAAATATCACAAAATACGTTGTGGGGGAAAGTGCAAATAGGTATAAAAAAAAACAGATCGTAGTTGTTTTTGTTGCCTATATTATGCGTTGTAGGTAGCTCCTTCCATATCAAAGGCGTGGTGCCAGAGTGGTTAATGGGTATGACTAGAAATCATATGGTTTCGGCCGCGTAGGTTCAAATCCTGCCCACGTCGTTTATTCTTTTTGTTTTTTTGCACTAAAAACTCTTACGAGGGACTATTCGCAGCCTTACACCTAATGGAATTTCTCCTTATGGCTTAATTTTTCAGTAACTAGCATATTAAAAGACTCTAACAGTTTCTAAGTTGTTTAGAGTCTTTAATTAACTTTTGGTTACTATGGTTAACTCAAGCAACAATAGAGTCTATAGTATTGAAAGACTAACAGTTTCTAAGAGTCTTTATTTAACTTTTAGTTACTATCGTTTACTTTAGCAACAATACAGTCTATAGAGTCTTTATTTAACTTTAAGTTACTATCATTTACTCAAGCAACAATAGAGTCTGTAGGCGTTATTTTACTTTTTAGTTACTATCATTTACTCAAGCAATAATAGTGTCTGTTGGCGGTTCTGAGCCTCTTGGTGGGTGTTGGTTGGCTGCACCAGGGCGATTGGCTTATCTGCACGTGCGCCGATATTTATTTTGCGATCTACAATCGTTTTGGCAAAGGGTCCTCAAGGTGAAATCAAGTCCTCAACGCCATTAATACCCATAAAACACGAATAAGCCAATAAAGCAGGAGCAACTGCACCTCTTTATACCTGCGACACCATAATCTCTCCGATATAACCACCAGTCGACCTACAACAACCCGGCACAACCAGTCGCATCGAGAACTCCAACCAGCCAGGCACCGGGCACAACATCCCACAACCTGCACAATGTCCTCTCAAGACTCTCTCCCATCTTCCCCCGAAACCATCGCGCGCCAGCGCTCCCTACTCCGCTACACCTCCTTCGGCGCGCTCGTCATCTGTCCGCTCCTGATTGCGCTGCCGCCGCGCAAGATGGACGTCTACACCATCGCGGCGCTGGCGTCGACGGGGTTGAGCGGGAACTACTTGATGGGAGATTACACAGGGAGGACAATAGTTGACCGGGCGAAGTTTTCTGCAGCGGGGTTTATGGCTGAGAAGGCGGAGGAGAAGAAGCGGTTACAGGAGAAGATCAGGATGGGAGAGGTGCTGAGGAGTGCGACGGATAGTAGGCCGAAGGAGGGGTGGAAGGCCCAGAGGGATGAGAGGGAGAAGAAGGCCGCCGAGGAGGGGAAGGGGTATGGGGATTTGATTATGGATCAGATTTGGGATGTGTGGACTTGGGGAAAGGGAGATAAATAGGTGCTGACAGATGAGGAGCTGTATGATCAGGGTTTACGACGACAATGAGGTGGAAGTGTATATAAGAGTGTAGCTCGCGATAGGATTATCTGGCAGAGCTTGTAGTAATGTGTACAGTACGGGATATACCCTTCTCTTGGTATCAATCACTCATACACTTCCTATGCGATTATATACAGACATTGAAGCCAGGGTATAACTCGCGCCCACTTCCTCGACCAACATTAATTTCACGTAACCCTCCTGCGTCTCTTCCTGTCTTCCTTCCCCTCCACCTCCGCCTCAGGCGACCCCCTCTTCTTCCCAAAACTCTCCCTCTTAACCCTCTTCTCCCTCTTCCTCTCATCCGCCTCGAGCGTGCTACTCCTCCTCCTCCTCTTCTTACTCCCCTCTTTCATCTTCAACTTCTCCCTCTCCTTCACTTTCAGCCGCGCCTCCACTTCCGCACGAAGATCATCAACCTCCACCTCCACCTCCTTCGGAGGCTCCACCCGCTCCACCCTCATCTTCTTCCCTCCTTGTACCGGCAGAGCATGCGATGCAGTCCCGCGCTCCTCTCCACTGGGGCTCGGGCTCGGGCTCAACAGCTCCGCCTCCTCCTCTTCCGCTGCATTCCTCCGTTTCGCGCCAGGCTCCGTCAAGACCTCCGACCCGCCGCTGCGGCGCCGCTTCGTGTTGTTTTCCAAGCCGCCTACTTGCCCTAGCATCTCCTTCGTATTTGCCAAGAATTTAGAGATTGTGTCGTGCCGCGCCGAGGCAGGCGGTGAGGTCTTGAGGATCGCGGAGAGGATGCGTGAATGCGATGTAAGGAGGGTGTGGTGCTGGTGTATAATCTGCGATGATGTTAATTGGGTGTGCTGCGAGGGTTCGGGGAGGGTAACGCACCTCTGTCCACCAGCCGTCAGAAGTTTCATCTTGAGCTGGCCCCGTCTGCTCGTGCTGGCCAGTCTGTGCATTATCCTGGTCGCTTTTGCGTTTCCGATGTGCTTTCTTGATTGGGATTATTGGTCGTTGAGGGAGCGCTATGCTAGCCATTGTGTCTGCCATTTTGGGCGCAGTTTAGAGCAAAGGCAGGACTTTGTAGGCCGCCAGGGGACAATTCAAGCCTTTGGATGTGGAAACGACGCGGATGGATGGTTGGAGGTTGTCCTCGAGTTTTGTTATCCTTATCGGCTCTTAATTTGGAAGGAACCAGAGCCATCGGTTGTTCCTTCCCTGACACTTCTCTTGGCACCCAGACCACAACTCACCGGATTGTCCATATCACCAAGTGACTGAGATTCCCACCGGGGAACATACGTTTACGGTATTAACTTCTATTTAAAGCTGCTAAATTGATATTTTTGTCATTTTTGCCGCGTAGGAATCAAGGCTCTAGATGGCAATGTTCAGCCAACATATAAATGAATTTAGTCAATCGACTAAAATATTATCTCCGAAATAAAATCAATTGTATCATAAGAAAAATAATATAAATCAAAATAATAGTCCTTTAGGATTTTATTTCAATACAAACCAATTTGTCTCTCCTATTGAACAGCTATATCTACTTCTGGGAATTCCATTGGAGATTCACTCGCAGGTAAAGCCTCAGATGAATTGGGTTTTTGATAATTCGATCAATATGCTTGCGTCGGAGGTGATACCAGGATAGCAGATTCATGAGCTTCTAGAGTGACTGTAAGTGATAACTATGGAAGCCTTAAACTCCCCCAAGGAATCTTTGGTTGCAAGTGCCAACCCCTATATATCATTAATTTATAGGAACGGCGGACATAAGAACATCTTCATATCTCCGTTATATTCACAAACGAGCGAATACAATGTACCTAAAGACGCATTGAACCAATCGTGTATATAGTTGGCGCGTAAAGCAGCGAAAATTTAAAGACGAACGGATTTAAGTGGTATGATTAAAATCCGTTGTGTCATAATGGTTGTGTTGGCTGGTGGTGCGGATAAATAACGGCAATCCTCCAGACACCACCATAGCACTTAACATTTGAAGCCACTGGAAACGATGGTAAAGACTACGGCAATCAGGCAGTGCAATGAGCGCTTTGCCAAAGAGAAAAATCCTGAACTCGTGTGTGTGTTTGCCGGCGCTACAAGCGGTAGCGGCGCCGGCGCGCTCGAGGCGATGGTTGGTATGCTACGGACATCGACCTTTTATATCATTGGAAGATCGTCAGCTCAGTTTGCGAGCCAACGGAAAAAGTTAGAGAAACTAAACCCTGGCTGTAAACTTGTGTTTCTTGAAGCTCAAGTATCATTGCTCTCCGATGTCGATGCGGTGTGCAAGCAAATCGCAGCTTCTGAAAAGAAGGTGGATTTGTTGTTTATGAGCCCTGGGTGTATTCCTTTCGGGGGACCAAAGTGTACGTACCTTACATTTTTGAAGGACACGGTACTAATACATGTGTAGATACGAAAGAAGGCCTCGAGACCTGCTTCGCCATTTCTTACTATTCTCGAATGCGCCTTATACAGAATGTTCTGCCTCTTCTGCGCCAATCTTCGCGGCCACGAGTCCTTACCCTGCTCAATGGCGGCAAGGAGAAACAAATGTTTGACGATGACATTGGCCTAGAAACTCAATGGTCTGCAGATGCAGTAATCACCCACACCACCACCATGACGAGCTTGGCGCTCGAGCACCTAGCTAAGGACGACGAGAGGATTACTTTCCTACATGTGTTCCCTGGGTTAGTAAACTCGGGCAACTTCATTAGAGTGACTGCAGAAGAATCGGCCGGAGTGGTTTGGAGTGTGATGCTGGCGGTATTCTGCCGCATGATCACTGTGGTGCAGTTAATTTTTGGAATTACACCAGAGGAATGTGGGGAGAGACAGGCTTACCACCTAACAAGTGATCAGTTTGGACCAGGTGCATGGCGAATCGATAACTCAAGCGAAGTAGTGACTGTGCCTGCAGGAGACGTCTTTGAGAAATATAGAGATGGTGGATGGCCGAAAAAGACTTGGGAGCATACCACAGCTGTTTTCGAACGTGTGGGGGCGACTGGAAATAACGAAGAGTAAAGAGAAAACAGTTATGAATGTTTTTTTGCTTATAACTGATTTGCCTGTTCTCGTTATTAATCAACTCATCAATTCCTTTTATGCATGGTGCAATTTAAGGAGAAGCGGGATAAGGATATTTGGCAAATGCCTGTCTTGTGGAGGAGGTATTATGACCTAGCTACTATCCCCTCCCGATATTTTCATAACTAGATAACGGTTAGATTTAAGCTGCGATATAGACGCGGGATTGTTGCATGCCAATGATAGATTCCGGCTTCGTAGTTTGGGTCGGCAAGGACTTTCGTGATGTTGTTCGCAGAATAGGCATCCTTTCTTTCCTCCTTCACCATCCCCACTGATGCAAGGTATCGCAGGATTCGGCCTTGGAAGTTGTCAGCAGGATTCCTCAATAATAGACCAAAATACATGCCCATAAGTTCTGGTGCAGCGCCAGACAGCTGAGCGAGTTCGCTGGTAGTTAGAGGCTTTCACTCTGAGCAATGGCACCGAAGATCTTAGAATCAGCCCCGATGCGAGCGCCGGCAGTTTGAAGATGCTACGGGAAAGGCTTTAGCTTTGTTCATTGTTTAACGAGAGAAACGGATCAACAGACTCGAGCCGAAATCCTCAACAGCGTCTCATACGGAGTTTCTAAGGAATATTGAAGGTTCCGAAGAGAATCTTAGATTTCCACTCGTCCAGCATCGTCAGTCTCATGAGCTAACTCTTGGATTTGAACAATCAGGCCCTCCATTGTTTGAGAATGGTACAAAAGCAGCCTGAGGTGACTTGATCAAGAGTCGCGAGAAGTATCAAGGTTCTGGTGGTATAACAAAGAATATATTTCGGCAGAGCCGTGAGTTATTCTCTCTCATGAGCTGGTCCGCCGAACCACGGATTTTGCGACTCACGTTGGGCCGGGGCAACCATGAGATTGAGGTAGCTTTACAGTATAATTTATAAAATGTATATATCTAAAGATACCTTCTCAATTGTGTGTTTACCACCTAATTTACTAGATATAACCCTTATAATAGGAAGGCATTTTTTAATTCTTAACATTGTACATTTTATTAAGGTAGTATATATTAGTAAATTATATCTGTTAATAGTGGAAGTAGTAATAGAGGAGAAGTTGTAATAGTCTAAATTGGCTTTTAAAATATGTAAAATTACCCTTATCTCATGGTTGGGCTGGCCTATTCGCAAGTTGAAAAACTTGCGGTTCGGCCGGCCCGCGAGGGAGAATAACTCACGGCTAGGCGGGAACATATATAATAATCTGTTGAACAATCGAACTAGGTAAAAGTGGTGCGCTACACTTTGGCAGGCCAAAAGCTGGCTTATATTTTACAAAATAATCTTTACTGTTATAAAAGAGGTACACGTGCTCAGTCGTATTATGTAAGCAGTATGAGCTAATGCTTGTTTGTATTAAGCGTTACTAAGAATCACCTAGCGCACGGCTTCGGTCTTGTAACCGTCAGGGGGGCAGAAGAACTGGTGGCTTATTGCTCGACAACGTGGTCGTAGATCTTGGTGAATCTCCACCATACATAGCCATGCATCTCAGATGTCTACCAATAGATCGTCACGCATTTGGAATGTGCCTGATTGCATCTTTTTTGCACGTTCTTAAAGAAGCCTATTGATTATCCAACGAGGTAGTTGAAGAAGTAAATATCAGGGTTCGGAACTTCAATCTCTGATTTCCAACTTCTAATGGCCAGCCTCTAATTGGCTCAAGTATTAAATCAGTTGGGACCGCTCCACGTGTCCCTGTGCTCGTGGTAACATCCTTGCAATATCATTAGGAGTTTGGAGAGAAGGGCGGGAGAGGATCGTATTTCGAGAGATACCATTGCACGCATTGCCAAGCCACCGTTGCCCAGAATTCGAAGAGACGGGACACGAAGAATACAAATAGAAGCATGGCCAAGGCCGCAAAGATGTCTATAGCAGCCCTCCATCCCAGCTCAAGCTTCAGTGACCCCTCCTTCTTTGACATCCAACACCATGCGTTTCTCTACCGGAATCTACACCGCGGCTCTAGTTGCTGTGGCTGCTGCTGCGCCAAAGTCATCCTCAACCCCAGCCGCGAACCCTACGGCCACTGACCCGGCCGCCGTCTATGCTGCTCAAGCTACAGCCAAGACCGAGAGTCCAACGAGCCATGTCAAGGGCAAAGTCTTTGACCGCTTCGTAACAATCTGGTTTGAGAATACAGACTTTCAATCAGCTGCCGCCGAAGGTAAGTTTCAGCCATAATTCCCTGCAATTCTTGCTTCTCGGTGATAACCCAAGCTAATCTATAGAATTGAAGCAAACTTCGAGTTCTTCGCAAAGAAGGGCATCACTCTGGAGAACTACTTTGCTGTTACGCATCCCAGTGAGCCTAACTACATGGCCGCCGTTGGCGGTGACTACTTCGGGCTGAACGGCGACCCATTCATCGCCGTGCCAGAGAATGTTTCCACCGTCGTGGATCTTCTCGAGGACAAGAAGATCAGCTGGGGTGTTTATCAGGAAGATATGCCATACAGTGGATTCCAAGGCTTCTCATGGGTCAACCAAAAAACTGGCAAGAATGACTATGTTCGCAAACACAAGTAAGTCCTCGACCACATGCATATTGAGTAAAAGACTTACAATCCAAAAGCCCAGCAGTCTTGTTTAACTCCGTTGCCAACGACGCAGACCGTCTCTCCAAGATCAAGAATCTTACCATGTTCCAGCAGGACTTGAAAGCTAACAAGTTGCCACAATGGATGTTCATCACACCAAACATGACCAGCGATGCACATGACGCCCCCATCGGCACGGCTGGTGCCTGGCTCCGAACTTTCCTCGAGCCTCTTCTCAACGACAAGAACTTCATGCAGAACACCATGGTTCTGATCACCTTCGACGAAAACAGCTCGTACCCCAAGCAGAACCGGGCTTTCTCTGTCCTTCTCGGCGACGCCATCCCCAAGAACCTTGTCGGCACCACCGACTCCAACTTCTACAACCACTACTCCGAGATTGCTACCGTTGAGGCCAACTGGGATACCCACACTCTCGGCCGCTATGATGTGGGCGCCAATGTCTTCAGCAATGTTGCCAAGCACACGAATGACAAGCTGCGTAGCTGGACAGGCACGCCAGCACTCGCCGACACCACCTTCAACGCCAGCTATCCTGGTATCTTCCACTCGACGACGTGGGCGCCGCAGCCAGTTCCCAACACCTTGATCAAGGTCAACGGAAGAACCGTTCTGCCAAAGATCAGGAAGCAATGGGTTTCCCAGCAGAAGAAGACGGTGTATTGTGGACAACTGGAAATTCCGACCTCTGCGAACCCACCCAAGGGAACATGTCCGGGGCCCTCGGGCAACGACGGGCACTCCCAGCAGCATCACGGCTAAGCCGATAACTGGGTTGGATCCTTCCTCAACCCTCTTGCAAATAATCTCTGCGCAAATTTTGTCCTTCGATTAATTAGAAATGACTCGTCTGGTGATGAATGTTTTGGCTCACTTTGACCTAAAATACTAGATGGGACGAACATTTTGCATTACTTGTATGTGTGGACTGAGTATAAATATTATTATCAAATCTAGTGGCATCTAAATCTAAATCATCTCGAATGATAGTGTTTAAAGTTTTGCGGTAGCTCTCCTATGTTTCACCAACAAAAACCGGGAAAATAAATCGACCTTGCCTACTGTGCCTCCTTCCTTGAAATCCGCTCCCATAATTGCCTTGTACTGATCCGGGCGAAACTCGCTGACCAGCAAGAATCCGCTGCGAATGTAATTGGTGCATATGCCGTTTCCACTTGCGCATTTACCATCCGTTGTACCTGCATACTGGCTGTTCCCGAGTGTCATTACATCGATCAACACATTAGCAAATGGTTTCATTTGCTCTGCCGTAATCGCCCAGTTACCGTCAACATAGGCTCGATAGAAGCCATTGATATCCAGAGACGCGTGATTAGAATCCTCCACGTTATTCTGGTCCATTGCATAGTTCCAGACGTAAATCGGGTTCCCCTTCTTGCTTTTCTTGATTGTTGATCCACCACCAGTAAAAAACCATTTCAGATTTGCAGTCATAATATTCTTGTATTTAGATACCAACGCGGGGTTATCGCCCAAAATGGTGTGGGCTGCAACGAGATTCTGGAAGGCATAGTTGAACATCATCTGTTGGTTCCAAGGGACGGCTTGACCTCCCTTGTAGGGAGAATCTTTGGCGAAATACATTTTATTGCCATTGGAGAGGTCGAGTAGTCGAGAGAGGATATGTCCAGACATTACTTTATCGGCCTGAGTAAGATATGTTTTGGCTCGCTCAAGGTATGTCTTGCCATAGTGATTCTTGTCGCCAATTGTAACAGCCTGGTTGTAAAGTGCTTTAGTCCCAAGTATGAGATTCGCACAGCTTGCTAAATGGCCCACCGGATCGCCTTGCTCGCCACCCGTGATGATAACTTTCGTGGATGGATCGTTGGGCCAAACTGGCGCAATATCCCCCGTCCAAATCTTGTGCTGCCCAACAGGTTTCGCAGCTATGTCGTTTCTCTCGGATAACACTGCATCGCAATAACTAAGCATCTTATCGAGAACGGGCTGTTGGCCAGATATCTGATAGACAACACCCATGGCCTTTGTCTCTTCTCCGCTGTGGCCTTGTGCCCAGTTATTGCCGACGTTGTCCTTCGCGGGCTGCAACGTAGCAATATAGGTGCTGAAAGAATCAAGCTCCTCCTTGGTGACAGGGCCATCGAAGCTAGTAACCTTCATAGTAGCTCCAAGTACTAAATGTACATGAAGACAGAACATAAGAGCCACTGCGCTGCCGCAGCTACGGAGGGATGTGAGCATCATTGTCGAAATCAAAAAGATGCCAAAATATGAGAGAATAGTAAGAATGACTTCTATGAACTTTGGGCGACTTCGCAGCCATTTTATATCTATTCGTTGAGAAACCTTTAATATAAATGTGCGAATCTAACGCAGGGTCAATTGTGGGGTTGTACAAGCATTTGTGGACTGTAGATCACCGGGCGGGCCGCTGTCTTATGCGATATGGTTTTCGGTGAATGAATGCCGAGTGCCTTCCGCTATTAGACAACGTGCAAAATTCTTAGGGAAACGGCAAGGGTAATGTGTTGGAGATTCGGGGAAACTGGGGTTTGCCGAAAAATTGGCCCTACTTTGGGCCTTTCCCCGAGACATCTCACATGCGAGAGCTGGTGTGAAGCCAGCTGACCCAGCCGACCAGAAGACCTGGCAAGACCTACATGTAGGATATTCGGCCACCCTCCAGGAACCTTCCATATACAGTAACTACGTAGGTTATTTAGATAGTCATATAATTTACTTGATCTTTATATTTCTATATACTGTACATACTGCTTGTAATAGAGAAAACCACGCGGTTTTGGGTGTGGATCCCCGTATTCTGTGCCCATCTCAATATTCCACAGTAATCATTCCCGACTTCTCTTCTCTTCTAAAATTGCTAATCTATGAGGAATTATAAATGCCACCTGAGCGAGGTATTCTGTACAACCAAACTAATGCCTTGAGTTTCAAACATGACACACCACTTTCCTATTTAGGTTATCTACACCGTGGCTCGTAGCAGGGCACTTTACAACCTTATCGAGCTTAAATAGACACATCAAGAATACCACAAATTATCATCATAGCCAAGACTGATCTCACATTAATGAAATCCCTTCCATACACCCTAGGTACAAATCCCCTTTGTAAGCTCCATCTCAGTATGCCTATCAGTATAATAGGCGTGTTTTAAGACCATTCGCTCGCTTGATCGAGTTTTAATGCCACAGCTTCTACAATAAAAAAAGATATTTATAATCTTGAAGTGAGCCATAGGAGTGGAAACAAGGCCTTATATACAAATGACTATTCTTTGACCTAAACAACAAACTTTGTTTTATTTTCTTCTCCAGCTTCTCTTGCAATCCTTGCGACTTCTTCTTCTCCAGCCTCGCCAAAAATATCATATCCCCACCTAGCTGGGAAATTAAACCTCTTATGCCTCTCTAATGCATCCAATTCCTTCATCGCACTCTCTGGCAACAATTTATCTTCAAAGTTGCTCTTAATTCTGCTATCCGTGACACTCTTCGGCAACACGACGTGTCCTGTTTGGACACCCCAGCTAACAAGCACCTGTCCGGGATCCAATCCCAATCCTTTACCAACCTCATGCACCTTCGCATCATCGACTGTGCGTGGCTCGCCTGTCTGGTTGTTTCCCAGCGGACTGTAAGCTTCCAGTAGAATGCCCTTGGACTTGCAGAAGGCAGCAAGCTCGGGTTGCTGCAGGTAAGGGTGTTTCTCGATCTGGTTTACTGACGGAATAACTTTGCAGTCCTTAAGAAGCGTCTCCAAATGCGGGATATTGAAATTTGAAATCCCGATAGCGCGGACTTTTTTGGTTTCGAGCAACGCTTCCATCGCAGCGTACGTCTTGGTGAAAGGCGTGTCAGAGAGGCGGAAAACGCCAGTCTTTGGGTCTAGGGGAAAGAATTTTGGACCGGCGGCGAAGGCGCATGGCCAGTGCATGAGGTACAGGTCAACATATTCTGTTCCGAGATCTGCGAGCGTCTTATTTAATGCTGATTCGACGTCTTTGGGTTCGTGAGATGCGTTCCAGAGCTTAGATGTAATAAAGATTTCCTCGCGCTTCACGCCGCTCTTCTTAATGCCTTCTCCAACTTCGGCTTCGTTGCGGTAAATCGAAGCGCAGTCGATGTGGCGGTAACCGCAACGCAGAGCGGTTTCCACTGCTTGTTCAACCTCGCGAGGAGCTGCTCTAATGCTGATGTGTTAGCTTTTTGGACTGTGACAAATTGTTTCTTAACAATATAGGATTGGTTTACTTGCTGCCATGTTCCAAACCCCACGGCCGGGATTTTCGCGCCAGTGTTTAAAGTGAATGTTCGACCTAGAGACATTTTTTATTTGTTGTACCGAACGTGAACTTGCAAATCGGGTTTTGCACAAGAAAGGGATTGACATAGTATTTAAAATAAAAAAAACCCAAACTACCCCGCAGGCTAGAGATCACCCCGCTGGCGAACTAGTTACCTATTTCCGGCTCTGGTATATTCAAAATTCGAATCATACATAGTCTGGATTTCAGTTAGGGTTGATTCATTCGAATATGGAACACCCATCGTTTTTTGGTGGGGTTTGAAGGCAACTTCGGATATTCGGAAAAGGACATTTCCGTCCCGCCCCCGCTCTACGCTAGCAAGAAGGGGTATCCCCGCATTCGTCCCCATATATGTCGGTCCGCCAGTTCAACAGTCTTCCGAATCTCCGGCAGAATCATCAATCTCATGATTCCGACCCAAACTTGAGCAGACGGGATAGAGGAAAGTGGCATTGAAGCCAACATGGGCCCCGCCACAGAACTAGGCACCACTACCTTAAATGTTGAGAATAGGAAGAGACGAAGGGTCAGCAAAGCATGTGAGAGCTGTCGCATGTAGGTGTTTTTATTTACAACTCGGAGAATTGAGGTCTACCTATTAGATCCATATTATGGTTCCATTTTCCCTGTAAATTCAGACATGGATAGAAATTTATGCTTCTAATTCAATGGCTTCATGAACTACTGGAAAATAAGCATGGCTAACAGATTGAAGGAAGAAAATTTCATGCTCAGTTACAAAGCCCTGCATAAGGTGCTGTGAGGACACCATCGTTTGCGTATATGACGTCCTTGATGGAAGAAAGACGAGAGCAAAAACGAGGCAGCCGAATTCTCCAAGACAATCAACCACCAATACTGCTGTCTCTGTGGGAATAGAGCTTGAAAAAGCATCTACATCAAACGGTAGTAGTTCAAGTACCAAAGCTGTCTATGACAGCGGAGATCATTATGTCGGAGCTGCCTCGGGGCTATCTTTCTTACAGCAGGCTGTACAACATATCGAGAGTCAGAAAGGTTCGAACGATGCTGTCGGCAGTGCCGTAGATGTCGAGTACGCAAGCCCGGCTTCAGCTTCAATTTTCAACAGTGGGGATATGCCATCTCTGTCGCGACCCACCGACAGATTTGTGATGCCAAGTAAGGACGAATCAGATCGCATGCTGGCACGATACTTTGAATTTGCCACTCCTACCTATCGTTTCTTTCATCGGCCAACTGTTGAGAGTTGGGCGTGCCAGCTATGCTTGCGTCCAGATACGAGCAATTCTAAACAAAAAGAAAGTAGGCTTGAGGGTGTGAGAGCGGCGGCTGTATATTTGGTGTGGGCGCAGGCGATTGAATATGAAGACATGACTCAAAGAGGGTCAAAATCAAGGTGAGAAAATGACATACAGGTTGAGTAATGCTTACTATTGTAGCGCACCTTATTTCGAGAAGGCAGTCTCAATTCTCGAAACCGAACCAGGGCCCCCACAACTCGAGAGTGTCCAGGCTCGACTCGCAATGTGTCTTTATCTGCTAAGCACGTTCCGTATCAACGAATGTTGGTACCGCTTTGGTATGACAACACTCATAATCATGGCGATGGGGCTGCATCGCAAAACCGAAACGTCAAGGAAAGTTGGGCTTGTCGAGCAGGAGTGTCGAAAGCGAGCCTTCTGGAGTTCCTACATTTTGGATCGTTATCTAAGCGTTATGAAGGGTCGACCACGTATATTCCGCGACGAAGATATTGATCAGGAATATCCGGTGAATGTAGATGACGATGACATGGTATTTACAGACAAAGACTTAATAGCAGTATTGCCTTTGAGAGGACTTTTGGATGCTTCGATCAACCATGCAAAGTTCGTTAACCGTAAAGAACTTCAACGTATAACAACATCGCTAACTGATGCAGGCTATCTACCATCATGGGAAATGCCACAGATATGCTCTATCCTCTTAGACCTTTGACCCGTGGAGAACTTCAGACGAAAGCGGGCTTGGTTACGAAGCTCCTCGACGATTGGGAACAAGGTTTACCTCAATTTTTAAGACCAACACATAGAACCTTCACTGGGAAACGGATGTTTGAACGTAAACACTCCATGTCAGTAAATTTTAATTTTAAAACGTTAACACAGTGACAGGTCAGAATAGTGTTCTTAAGCTATCACACGCTCATATGCGGATTTTAATCAATCGTCAATTCCTACTCTCGAATTTTTCAACGCTGGGCCAGGTAGACAGACCTGACGACGATGATTTGGAACATCAGAAATATGTCCGCGACTGTATCAGTGCAGCGTATGTCATAATCGACACGGGTACGTCTTATTCTACAACCTTTGTATTATCACTGACCCTATTTAGTGGAAGGTTTTGTGGATGATGGCAATCTGTAGGTTAATCTGCGGCACAAACCATGGAATCACTAACTAATAGTCCCCCTAATTGCAGTATAAAAGGGTTTTGGTTTACACAATATATCGCCCTGTGTGCCATCTCAACACTCTACATCTACATCATCCACCATCGCCTTAACCCGAATTCCTTGGTGTCACCAAGCGGTAAAAGCTATTTCGCAGCAGCTGGCAAGTGCCGCAATTACATCGAGAACCTAGCACCAGAGGGGAGCCATAGTAAGAGGTATAATACGCTGCTGACGCGGTTGAGAAATAGGGCGATGCGGTCAATGGGAGATGCTGTGGTTGATTCCGAGGGTGACCGAATGAGATATAATGCCACCGAAGTTAGTGGATTGTTGCCGCATAATCACCCGATTGAGCCAGTGTATAATGGGAATTTTTACGGGGAAGGGGGTAATAACGAGCGTGGTGTAGGAATGGAGGCAGGCTTTGAGACAGGGGGTCAGGAAGTGGGTATACAAATTCCAGAATACCCAGACTCCGGCTCCGGCCTTATAATGGAAAATGATACCCTCCAGCTTACTTGGGGATATCTCGACCAGTTAGGTAGGTATTATGAAAGCTATATTGCCTATTATTTACTAACAGAGACTTTAGGTTTGCCCGAACACTTTGATGCCTTTAGCACACAGTATGAGGAAGACTACTTTTAGAATAAGCTTAAGAATGGTAGATTTCCACTAATTGTATTTACTGAAACCTTACCAAGAAGTCTTAAATAAGTAACTTCATATCTAAGATGTGCCTTCTAGTTCAAACTATCCCTATAATTTATATTTTACAATCCTAGAACACCGAAAACCTCTTCTGCTAAATCCTGCGGCATATTCTTCGCATCCACTGGCAAAATATCAATTTCGTCAACCCGTGGTCCTTCCAAAATAGCCATTTGTGACTCCACCATATCAGCCTTCATATAATGGCCCGTCCGCATCTCCAGCCTTCTAGCCAACTCAACCTTTTTCTCAACCTGTAGCATCACAAACACGGTTCTAATCCTCTTCCCTACACCCCTCAGTACATCTCGATATCTGCCCTTCAGCGCGGAGCACGCCAGAACTACCACACCCTTACCATTCGTTGAGATCTCGAGCTCGGCCTTAGCTCGTAGACGCGCAAGCCACAACCACCTGTCTTCGTCGTCGAGAGCTTGGCCACTCGCCATCTTAGCCAGGGCTTGGACATCATGGTGCTGGTCGCCCTCGATAAATGAACAATTCAGCTTACGTGCAATCTCTGTGCCTACAGTGGATTTGCCAGCGCCACATGGCCCAGCGACGACGATGATGGTGCCTTGGATATTTTCCGTGGTTTTCCATGATGTGGTGATGAAATGACCAACGAACTTGTCAACGAGTTCTTGGCTCAGGATCTCCGCCATCGCGAGAGCCGGCGATAGGCTTTGTGCACGCTGGGTGTTATATTGTAGGCCTTTGCGTACGATGTTGTCGTTGTCATATTTCTTGGTAAAGAAATCGAGGAGCTTGATAGGTGGATTTTGCACTGGATCTGGGTTCGACGCCTTTAGACGCGAGATCCATTCACGTTGACCGAGTTCTTCGAACTGCAAGCTGGCGGCATGGAGTTTTGGGAGAAGGTCGCGCGTCCAGTGGAAGGATTGCGTAGCTACGACGTTTGTGGTTCCAGCCGGGGAGTCCGAGATAGAGATTTCGGATACCGCTTTCGCAACCACATCAACAGGTAGCCAGAGAGGAGACTCATCAAGTGCAGGGATGGCTCCAATGGTCTTGCCGGCTTGTAGAATCAGAGGTATGGCTTCGGTTGCGTTCCAGATTCCGTGTTGTGTGTCTGCAACAATTTGGCCCACACGTAAGGTGCGTGCTTTCATTCCGGTCTGACATGCGGCTTGGTGTACGATGTTCTCTGTCACAAGTTTAGACTGTGCATAGCCCATGTTTTGTGCATAATCCAAGTTGGGCGGGAGGTCCTCAACAACGGCCTCTCCTGGAGGCGTTGATGCGACGGCGCTGACGGAGGAGCAGAAATTGAATGCTGCAGGTGATGGTCGACCAGCTGACAAGCAAAGGCCCATGAGATGCTTAGCTCCTGTAAAATTGAATGATTAGACAATATTATTAGTTCCCTGACAAATTTCACTTACCTGCAATGCAGTCTTTCTCAAAACTCTGGAGACTTAAATTGAAATTCACAGACCAGGCGCAATGGATCAAGCACGTAATATTGAGGGCAATCTCAGCATATACTGCCGAGCCAAGTCCTAAGTCCTCTTTTGAGAAATCTGATGGAAGCGCGACAATTTTTCTTCGAGCTTCAAGGGGCAACTGATGATAACAGCCTCGGGTGTTCATCGAGGATATAACGCGCGTGATGGCATCGCTTTCTGATTTGGCACGAACAAAGCAGTAGACTTGTTTAACGCCAGGGAGCAGTACTATTTGGGCTATGATGTGTGCTCCCAGTGACCCAGTTGCGCCAGTCAAAACCTAAATCTTGTTAAAAGACGAAAGTCATGCCTCAGACATATATGACTTACAATGTACTGGCCTTCATTGGAATTAGGCTTTGGTATGTGATGTTGAAAGCTTCCATATTTTTCAATTAATTGAGCCATCTGCTCTTGAACCGGTATTGATTTAGAAGTTTGGCCATCCTGTAACAAAACTAGCTCTCTGGTCAGAGCATTAACTGATGGGAAATCAAAAACAAAATTCATGGCGAGTACCTTCCCAGACACCGGAAGCTTCTTCAGAATGAGCGAACGCAACTGTAAAGCTTGCAAGGAGTCAAGGCCAACGGAGAAAAGATCGGTGTCATCGTCAAGCTCTCCTTGGCCATTCAAGGTGCAGACCTTCTCCTTCAAGAAGGCGCGGATCTCAGGCTCTGTGCTTGGAGCATTAGTTGATGGTGATAGCTCAGATGTTGAGTAAACATCCTCTATCTCTTTCTCAAAGAGTTTGTAGAACGCTTGGCGAATAACAGTTCCCTTATCTGTTTGGGGACTATTAAATGGTTAGGAATAGTAGATAATTAATAGCAGTAATAAACTCACTACGTCGAGCTTGCTGGCAGAAGCTTCAACATCTCCACGGAGACTCTAGCATATCCTGGGGCTGCCGCATTAGATGACTCTACAACTGGCCAGATATGTTCAAGGATCCGGCTTTCAGGCATGCCGGCTGTCTCTTTGGATGGAATAATCATCATGCCTAATTGAGGCCTCCCGTTACCGAAAACTACTGCTTCACGGACGTATTTGTTGTCGCGAATAGCCTGTTCCATGTCAGTTGGGCCAACTTTCTCTCCGTTGAGAAGTGCGATTGTATCGTCGAGCCGTGCGCTGTACTTCCAAGCGTTTGGGATGCTGGGGTGAGGTGTGAAAAGGTCTTTCGTCGCATAAGAACCATCTGATCTGTTTGTCGCCACTTTGGAAGGCCATCCGTCTAACACAACCAATTCGAAAAGGTCCAGTCCCCGAGATTCCCATCTCAGGAAAGGGATCAAGGTGGCTGATGGCCGTAGGTAGTTCCAAACTTTATCACTGCGGTCTCTGAATGAGGTCATCAATTGACCAGTCTCCGTACTGTTGCGACATATATTAGCAATTAATCTATTGGAATATGAGTCAAATCGCTGTACTAACGTGCCATAGTGACTGATGAGATTTACCCCAGCGCCGACTAGCCTATCCCCCAGACTATCAGGGCACGCAGATCCACCAAACATCACCACTTGCAATTTGACGAGAGCCTTAATTCCTTCCTCGGTCTCTCCAAGTAACTTTAGGGCATACGGTACGCCATAAAGTATTTCGAAACTGTGCTCAGCCATGATACTGAGTAGTGTGTTATGGGTGAGTGGTAGATTCGCATTATACATGTAAATCTTCTTCATCGATGTGAAGGCTCGAAAAACGCTGCTAATACCATGTGCATGGAATAGTGGTAACGTGATGAACCCTCGCATATTGAGGTTGTTTTCATAACTAGATTGATGGTTAGTTGTGGCCATGAACCTAAATTGAAGGAGCTTACTTCGTAAGAGCAGCCCTATGAGTTTGAAAAATTGGTTTTGGCAATCCAGTGGATCCCGATGAATGGATAATCCAGCAAATTTTCAGAGCCTCAAGCTCGAGATCGAGATGATAATCCAGGCAAGTATCCTGGTCATTCTCTCGAGTTGTAAATGCGTAAGATGCCGGTTGGGCAATTGGATAAGCGCTTAAATCAGGCATTGTTTTCCGCAATCGCTCTGCGGTCGTAGAAAACGACTCGTGGATAATTATGTCTCGGCATTGTGTACTCTCCAACAACGACAGGTACGCAGCATCAGATAACCTTGTTGAGAGGAACATCACTGTGAAACCTGACTTGGTCAGTGCAAGCACTGAAATCAAATAATCCAGATTAGATGGCCCAAGCAATGCCACCACCTTTTCTTTCTCAGCGGATGACCGTCTTTGCGTCGTGTGTTGGACATATTGCTGTCCGACACGATATGCAAACACATCAAGTTCCCTGTATGTGTATTCGACGTAGTCTGTATTGTGAACTGGGTATGCAAGGATTGGCTCTTCTGGTTGATGGAAAGCTCGGAGGCGCATCAACTCATCAATGGTATGTGGGACATGATTTGTTGTAAACGTTCGCTGTCGTCTAGAATAGACTAATGAAGTATCGACTGGTGACAAGAAGCTTTGTGACGAAATATGCTGGATGGTCGAGGAGTGAGCAATATCAGCCGCCATCGTTGCCGTAGATTGTTGTTGTGGTATTGGTTTATGGCGTTTGATATTCTTGACTACGCTCAACGATTTTGGCCCTGTCTTTATAGAAGGAGAAGATTCTATGTGGCCAAATTAAGATAAAAAAGTTTTACTCCAAAGATTTAGTTCATCTGGCTCGGAGTGGCTCGATGTCAAAAAAATGCGAGGGACTGATGGCTACTGGCGTGGGGTATTTCCGGCGTAGCGTTGTTTTCCGGATATTCGGAAATCCGGACTTGCAAACTTTATACCAATACTCGGAGAAAAGCCTACAAGTGCTTGACATGCCTAGGTCTCCAGCACGCTTATTCTTCTCCGCAATTTCCTAGCGAAGTACCGACCATCTTCCCCGCAATCCAGTGGTGATGGCAGTGGCACTAGTTGGCTAGACTTCACGGATAACCATATTTCATGTACGCAGTATATAAGGTAAGGTCTTTGGACCTTATTTTTCCCCGCAATCTTAATTCCAATTGAGCATCTTTCAGTTTCACATACCGATACTTGGCATCAAGTTGCTTTCGTCGCCGAAATGTCTAAGATTGATGTGCATGATGTTCAGTTAGTCGAGACAGTGACAACCACATCGGACGAGAAGCCTCTCGCGGCTGTTGACATTCGGGTCCCTCTACCTAGTGAACTTATTCACCTTTCACTAGAGGAGCAGGACATCCTTGAAAAGCATATTGTTAAAAAAATGGACAGAAGACTGATGCCAATCATCATTGTCATGTAAGAAACTCGCTCTATATATCACTTTGCGGCATTAACAAGAGTTCCTAGGTTTTGGTTGAATATTCTAGATAGAAATTCTATCGCCAACGCAAAGATTGCGGGACTCCCAAAAGACCTTAACATGAACAACGCGCAGTACAACACATGCCTTCTTATTTTCTATGTCGTACGTATCCCCATGACACTACTATGATTGCAAGCTTAAAAATGTACTAACTTCCTTCTAGGGCTATGTTCTCACCCAGCTTCCTAGCAATGCAATCCTGCCAATGGTTCGCCCGTCAATCTATATCCCACTTGTCACTTGTGCATGGGGATTAATGAGCATGGCGCAAGGTTTCTTGCATAACTTCCAAAGCATTATGGTCGTGCGATTCTTCATCGGCGTTCTGGAAGGTCCTTTCTTCCCTGGGGTGATATTCCTTCTGTCTTGCTGGTACAAGAAAGAAGAGCTGGTAAAGCGCATAGCATTTCTCTATGGTACGTCTCATCGAAGAACCGATCTATTCAATTCTCAAATACTAATTTGGCATGCAGCCGGAAATATCTTGTCGTCGTGTTTCGGAGGCCTCATCGCAGCTGGCATCATCGGAGGCATGGAGGGGGTCGGCGGATATGCTGCCTGGCGTTGGCTATTCATAATTGAAGGTCTTGTGACAGTTGCGGTCGGCATTTTGGCCATGTTTCTGTTTCCCGACTACCCAAGAACAACTCGCTGGCTCACTAAAGAGGAAGGACTCTTTGCTGAATGGCGTCTCGCGAATGAAGTTGCTGGTATCGTCGACGAAGACAGCTCTGGAATCTGGTGGGGAGTGTCACAGGCTCTACGCGACCCTCTTACTTACCTTTTCACCTTTATGCAAATGATGCTAACTACTGGCCAATCGTTCACTTACTTCTTGCCGTCAATTATCAAGACGCTGGGTTACAATAATACCATCACCCTCCTGCTCACTGCACCTCCTTATGCAGTTGCGTTTCTTGGGTCGGTTGCATTGGCATATTCGTCGTCTAAGAGGAAGGAGTTCTGCATGCACATCTGCTTTCCGCTTATCATCTCGGTTATTGGAAATATTCTCGCCATGACTGTTAATGGTACCGGTGGGCGCTATTTTGCTATATTCTTGATGGCCTTTGGCGTCTACGTGTAAGTTTATTCCTCCAGAACAACACCACTTAATCACAAAAAACAACCTAATAAACCCTCAGAGTATATAATGTTAACTACGCCTGGGTCTCATCGTCTATTCCCCGTCCCCGAGCTAAGCGCGCTGCATCATTAGCAATCATCAATTTGATGTCCGGAGGTGCAACACACTTTTACACTTCATACCTATTCCCGGACAGTGACGCGCCCCGATACTACATGGGTGGTTCAGCGCTCACTGTTGCAGTGTTCTTTTGCGCTATGACCGCTATTACGATTCGTTTCTACTTAGCCAGACTAAACAAGAAGATTGAGGCTGCTGGTGGTGATGCGGAAGCTGCGCTCCGAGCTAACAAGGGACACACAGAGACGATGAAGGCTTTTAAATATCAATTGTAGTCAGCTTATTAAGGTTTTATGACTAATATACAATATCCCCCGTGATATTTACGATATTAAATTATTCTAGATTCTTTGTGGCTGTAGTTAGAATCCGTCATATGTGCATAACGTATTTCCCTTCATCAAAATACTACGAGTTTATGTACTGATTTACTAAGCCTGGTCAAATAGAGGCGACTCTTCCAACATGTCTAGAAAGTCTAGCAAGCCTGCTGTGTCTGATGACGGTGGTAGAGAGGTTTCTTGGTGTATAACTTGTTCCCGAGGGCTCATCAACACCCAGCATACTGTTCCAAAATATGGCATCGTTAGTTCAAGGCCGGCACCACTTTTCTTCATCCACGAATAGTTGGCGCCGTCAGCAACCTGCTCCTCAATTCCTACTAACTTCTTTAGGATCTCTACCTCGAAGTTTGGCACATGCATCTCTTCCAATAAGCTAAGAACATTATTGACAAGTGCCAGGTCTTGAGGTCGCTGGTGTTCTAGCGAATTTGCTTGGCCAAGTCGATATCCGTCAATATGTGCAAGGAGTAATACACACATGGCCGTACAAGCCTTCTCTTCAAATCCGAAATACGAGCCTCCCCTGTGAAAGCTGCGGATCACGAGGAAGCGCAAGAGAACCTCACGACTCGCCGAGCAAACGACCAATTTGCTATAGGAGACATGTTCGTTTGTCGTAGGAGAGACAAGTGATTTTACGATGTAGGGCTGGTGGAGGACCACTATGAGGTAGTGATGGGTTAGTTGTGCGGAGAGTGTCGAGGTCTTCTCCAGAACATCGGCTGCAGCTAGACCGTGTAGAGAGCTAAATGACCACCAATCGGATGGCAGGGACCGTGCTACTTGCTTTAAGGAGTAGTCAATCTTCAGTGTCTCATCGTACTCCGGCTCCCCTTGCCGCTGCATGCGTAGATTTCGTGCGATTATACGCCCTGAGACCACGACATGAATGTATTTTAATTTTGACAGTGCATCGCCTCGAGGATCTGAGAAGTTGTTGTCTTCCACGGCAAATGGAAGTCCTAATCTCAACGACATGTAGCGGTCTGCCATGAGGAGAAGAAACCATATGCCCTCCGCGCGGTCCGTCATCTCGGTCACACCTAGCCCTAACAGCTGGGCGATAGCTAGGGCTCGACGAAATCTCAGCCAAGCAACACGCGGGTTTCCGTTGTTGATATGATAGGTTGCTTCCAGAGTCAGCGCTTCCAACCCATCTAGAGAGTTCATTAAGTCGTCTTTAGACATGACATGCTGTGATGCAATTTCAATATAGCGTGCAGCTTCGTCCACCTGACCATTTGATTGTTGCAAGCAGATTGCGAGTCGTATCAATCTGCGGGCGAACTGTACTGGATGAGCAGATGGAGGCGGTGGCTCCTGCTGCACAGCACCCACCGCCCGTCCTGTTGGGGTGGGCATCAGGGTAAACTTTCCATGCTCTATGATTACTGCAGTAGTCGCTGGCGGTGGGAGAATCGAGTACAGGTACCTTCCCACAGAGAAGCTGGAGATTGACTGTGGTACGCTAAGTAGCATTGTGCGATTTGGCGATTTGTTTTTTTGTTCCTGTTGACCACGCTGTCGTAGCAGCTGGTCAACAAGCGTCTCGACACGGTCAAGATTATTCTCCATCTGTCCACGGCTTTCGCTTTCGCCTGCACTTTCGTTATCTACAACGAACTCCTGACTGACGCATAACAGCCCTCGTTGCTGACAGGACAGACACACAGAGCATGGCGGCGTAACTTCGCAGCGTATCTTGCGGCGTTTGCACTCCCAGCAGCTGAATGTTTTCTTTCGCACCTTTAGCCTCTTGAGTGGTCTTGACATTGTTTTATTTGCTGAATTGAAAACTGAACAATTTAACTTATTATGGTTTCTGCTTAACGTATTTCACAAGCGAGTGAGCCACGAAAACACTAAAAATTGACTATTGCTACTACTACTATTCTACTACCTTACATAATAACCCTTATTCGATTGTAATTAATTTCTAGCGCCTCTTACACGTACGAGCATTATGCCCTATATTACCAAATGTGCCACATCGCTGCTGTTAGCCTATAGAACCCACCTGCTGAGTAGTCCTACTTACCACCTCTATATAGAGTCGAGCATTAACCTTAGCACTCTAAAGGATATCCTCTCCCACTGTCCAGTTCTCTTTGCCATCTAGCGCGATAAAGCTGAACTCATGGGTAGGGTGGCGTTAGAAAGTGGTCTTGTTTCTGTCAATCACAGGATAGTGGCCGTAGATTCTCACCAAGGGATGTCCTCGAATACCGGTTTAAGATGACTCTATGTGGATCTTGTTCAAAAATTGCCCGAATCTCTACCCTCCCACATATTAATAATACAAATTAATACATAGCCCATCCTCCACTGGCACTCACAACCTGCCCAGTAACCCATCTACTCCCTTCGCTCGCCATCCACGACACAATCTGCGCAATATCATCGACCGTACCAATCCGATTCTGAACCGGTGTTGACGCCTTCTGCATCTCAACCGTCTCCTTCGGAATATTATCTATTAGCTGCGTCTGTACTGGGCCTGGGTTAACGCAATTTACTGTGTGTCCCTGAGCTCCGAGCTCGGCCGCCCAGCACCGCGTCAGACCTTCCAGTGCCGCCTTTGAGGAGCAGTATACGGAGAGGTTCTTGAAACCGGCACGCGCGCCGACGGAGCTGAGATTGATGATGCGACCAGGGGCGCGGAGGTGGGGGAGCACGGCTTGCGTTAGGAGGAGCGGTGCTCGGACGTTGAGGTCGTAAACGTAGGATAAGTCCGACGCGGTGATGTCTTGAAGGGGTTTGACGAGCTCGACGCCGGCGTTATTGACAAGAATGTCGACTTTGGGACCGAATCTAGCGAGGGTAGCTTCAACGATTGCTTGTGCAGCGGATATTTGTCGCAGGTCGGCCTGGATCCCAATTGCACTCGCGCCGTTGTCTAGATCGTTGATCTGAGAGATGAGCTCATCTACGCCTTTCGAGCTCCCTGGAGACGTGTATGTTATGACTATCTATTTCCGATGGGTCAGGATTAAATGTGCGAAGGAGAATATGATTGAAAGTCACCTTCGCACCGTGACGAGCCAGTTCAAGTGCTATTCCTGCCCCGATACCTCGAGATGCACCAGTGACTATAGCAATCTTGTTCGCCAAGGATAGGGGGTTCGTCTCGTGCCTTGTATTAGAAGCCATGATATCGATGCTTTCGCTGGCGTAGCGTTGAGGATACAATATTCAATTCTTCGAGCTTTAAACTTGATTATAAAATGAATTGCAGCCCATGATGCTTCAGCCTCCATATATACTGTTGGTTCTGTAGTCGGATTTTCGGGTTTGCACCTTATCTCCAGAACTCTGCTTTATCTCAGAGGTCCTCCTGGGCGCAAAGACCACAGCCTGGGCCCACATGACGTAGTGTGGCGTCGCTAGCGCCGCCAGGCATAACGGTACCGATTGCCAAGACAATAGTGTTCCAGATACCACGAAGTCCATCAACGAAACGGCGAATAAAACGAATTTAATCTGATGCACGAAATACGGACATACTGCGAATATCGGGAATACCGCAAATATCGGGAATTTTCGTCCGTATTGTACATGAGTAGGATTGTTTCACGAGAAACATGTAAGGATAATAGCACTACACGCAGCAGACGAAGCGTGAACAATTACTATCACCGAGCAATCGGACTTTGCATGCACTATATAGATGCATGACTATGCCACCTTCTTTAAATCCTAACTTCAAGAGCAATAATAACTGCAGTAGACGACACACCAATATCAGTATCAGCAATCAAACCTCAAATCATCTTCCTGCCCATTAGGTCAATCTTCCTCACCATGTCAATCTACGTAGTCGCAATCATCACCCCGGCGCCAGGCAAAGAAGAGTTGGTACGCCGTCCATTCTCCTAGGGGTCTTCTAACACTTAATTTCACCCTTCGTGGCTTACGTCCCCAACCTGAGAACTAACAATTCATGCTTACGAATAGGTCAAATCGCTCCTCGCCGACTTCGCCAACACCGTTAAAACCAACGAGCCAAATGCAGTGAGATATCTTGTGTTGGAGCAATACGACGGTCACGAGGGTGAATTATGCAAGCTCGTTGTGCAGGAGACTTGTATGTAATATCTTACTACAGCATAGATGATTATCGAATCATGGGATGCGGTCCAAGGTAACTGAAACTGATCTGAATACAGATCATACACAAGAAGCCTTCGATGAACATTTCAAGACAGAGCATTTCGCCGCGCTAGGGAAGTTGATTGGTGAGGGTGGGTTGCTAGCCAGGCCGCTGGATATCAAGAAGGTGAGGCCGTTTGGAGGATTTGAAAGCCGATAGACAAATTGGAGGCGAGGTGTGCGGCCGAGAAAGCACGAGATAGGAATCTCAGCGCCCCTTCGGTTCTTGCGCAGGGTGATGACATCTTTGCTATTCCAGGCACGACCAAGATCCATCGTCTGGCAGAAAATTTGGGCAGTATGTCAATTTCTTTGTCCTCGGAAGAGGAGAAAGCAGTCCGCGAGTTAGCTAAAGGTGTTATGGGAGGCCGAGTTCAAAAACTAATGGGCCATACTTTTGCTGATACACCGCAATTGGAAAAAGTGTGGGGATGCACCTTAAGGTTTTGCAGAAGTAATCCTACCCTGCCATTTCATCCATAGTCTTAGTTATGAAGATATTTACATCCTCGGCAATTTAAAGTTACATTAACTATGCTGTTAGTAGTATTGTTTATTATCACTTCCAACACTTTAATCACGTGGTTACGTAGCGAAAAGGTGTGGTTTCCGAGCGCGAACCAAACTTGTAGAATTCTATGGGGCTACGGCCTTTACTTATGCCGTGGCCCCTAAGCTACTCTACCGTACGAAACCATGCCCGTACACATAAGGTTTCAGGAAGTTGGTGCCTTAGGGGCCTGATTCCTAGGGCCGGAATTACAAAGGGTGCCATATGCGCCAATTGCTAACATACCTCGGGAATTATGAGTACTCGGGAATTACCCCTGTAGCACTTCCCCCCCGCACAAATGCGGGGAGCCAAGGTGACTTAACTCCATTCCCGCGGCAGACCAGGATGTCATCCACCCCGACTCGATTGATATAATGATGTGCTACCCGCGGCAAGGTAAGCTAAATACAAATCCTCCTACAATCTCAACAAAACCTTGAATCGCCACGATGAACTTTGATATTCCCCCCGATCTCAAAGAGTTCCTCTCTTCTCTGGACAGCTTCATAGAGAGAGAAATAGCTCCGCTTCAAGCTCAGGACGACAACGAGCGCTTCTTCGACCATCGTCGGGAACATAGCCGTACTGATTGGGAAAATGATGGCCTTCCGCGCCCAGAATGGGAGGCATTGCTCACTGAAGCCCGGCGCCGAGCTGACAAAGCTGGCTTCTACAGATTATCACTTCCGGTCGAGTACGGCGGGCAAAATAAAGGCAATCTCTGGATGAGCGTCATAAGAGAACATCTGGCAGCGAAAGGTCTAGGCCTATTCAATGACTTGCAAAACGAGCACTCCGTCGTAGGCAACTTCCCCACCATTGTCATGCTTCTTAGCTTCGGCAATGAGGCTCAGAGGAAGGAGTTTATTCCAGGCCAGCTTGCCGGCAAAGTGATCATGACATTCGGCCTGACAGAGCCAGACCATGGTTCTGATGCCACGCATCTCGAGACTGTGGCGAAACCAGAAACTAGAAACGGTGTGAAAGGTTTCGTTCTCAATGGTCGAAAGAAATGGCAAACCGGCATGCATGTTGCAACGCATTGCATTCTCTTCGCGCGGACCTCTGGGCGTGCTGGCTCGACTAACGGCATTACGGCATTTATCGTGCCTGCTAAAACCCCAGGCATCAAAGTCGAGAGCTATGAGTGGACTTTCAATATGCCAACAGACCACGCAACCATCTCACTAAACGATGTATGGGTGCCATCGACGGCAATCTTCGGGCCACCAACATCGGGCCTCAGCGTTGCCCAGGCATTCCTCCACGATAACAGGATCAGACAGGCGGCGAGTAGTCTTGGTGCCGCGACATTCTGTATCCAGGAGTCCATTAAGTACGCTAAGGAGAGGAAGCCGTTTGGAAAGGCGTTAGCGTGGAACCAAGGGATCCAGTTTCCGCTCGTGGAGCTGCTGACGCAGACGGAGATGCTGAGGTTGCTGATCCGCAAGACAGCGAATGATATGGATAGTATGCCACACAGGGACGTGGAGAAGAAGTTGACGGACAAGGTGAGCATGTGTAATTATTGGGCGAATAGGCTGTGCTGCGAGAGTGCAGACCGTGCTATACAGGTAAGTTCTCTCAGTCTGGGATAATGATATAGGGGCTGATTGAATGAAAGGTTCATGGCGGTGTCGGCTACAGCAGGCATAAACCCTTTGAGCATATTTACCGGCACCATAGGCGCTACCGTATTACCGAGGGTTCTGAGGAGGTTCAGATACGGAAGGTGGCATTTAAAGTCTTTGGGCTCTCGGAGTTAGCGAAGGCCCAGAAACAGGCCGCAAAGCTGTAAGTTTGGAAACTATGCAACATTGTATGTCTTGAATATATATAGAATTATGATAAGTTACAATGATGTACGATGAAATTAATCGAGGTGAAATGAGGTATAGAGCTCGGGTATTTATTGATGTGGGGTAGATGTGACAATGCCTGGCTAGGGAAATCCCATACAATCCTAAGGACAATGCTTCCCAACCATCATTTTAAGCTTTGATAGCCTGAAACAGAGTGTAAAGATAACTATACCATATCGATTGAAGAGTTATATCGCATCTCGAGCTATGCGCCTTTTGTCGTATAATACCAAGGGTAAGCTGGAAGCAAATTAATAACACGGCCCCCCTACCCTTGCTAATCCATTTTTGGATAGTACGCTGTCAAATGTGCATCTATTCGTACTTGGCAGGTTAAGACAGGGAACAAGCTGGATGTAGGTCCCCCCCCAAACCTCGGGTGACCCAGAAATGCTCCACTTATTAAGTAGGGGGGTCAGCCGGCCTCTGCCAAGACCATATTACTAACATGACATAGTTAGGTTAGGTTAGAACTACTATATAATAGAGCGTAATTCTAGTAAAGTTGTAAAGTATGCATTCTAATAGTAATTATAGTAGTGTTCTTTGCAGTATTCGGTTTACAAGTACGATGCAGACTATGCCTACCTATGCTATCTTCTCAACCTAAGCAACATAGCTATGTCGAGTCGCGGGACATCTATCTATGGAACTGATTTGAAAAGGAATATATTCAATGAGGGTGGTGCCACCGGCACACCCGTTACAGTGGCTCTGATTACTTATCGCAAATAAATGTCTCAAAACAAACAATAGGAACATACAACAGTGGAGCCTACTTAAGCAAGTTAATGTAAAAGACGGTGGTTGCAGTGTAGCACCCATGTCTATGGATTGATAATCGCTTTTGAAGCGTAAATCGGCTTGGCACACTCTCCGTAGGGGTGCCGAATGCTTAAGTAGAGATTAAATTCATATCTACTTGACAGGCTACACTTGGCAGGGCCCAATTTGCCAGTAATCTGCCGTGTTTCACCGAGTTTCCCGAGTTTAGTTACTTTGCACTACATAAGCACTACATGAGTTTAGGGTCACAATTGTGACGTTATGTAAGAAATTTTCATTTGTCAGCACCTCGTCTTTACAAATCACATACCGGATTGAGCACCTTATGACGATATGAGAACTACTATCTCATCATTAGAAGCTTCATATCTGGTTATGGCCTTGTCTAAGTATATATGTTATCTCAAATACGGTAGGTACGACGTGTTCCACAAAGTCTCTTGCCATCTCGCACATATCCAATTTCAACCATCTGGCTCTCACATTGACAGTGCGTCTTACCATTGATATTTTACATCCAATCCATTATAGTCATGTCGAAGATCATCGCTGTCATCGGCGCCACAGGCGCACAAGGTGGATCTGTTATTTCCACACTCCTAGCGGACGGCACCTACAAGATTAGGGGTGTCACTAGAAATGTTACGAGCGCTAAGTCTCAAGCCCTGACTGCGCAAGGGGTCGAAATGATACAAGCAGATTTGGACGATGAGCAAGCTTTAATCAAAGCATTCAAGGTCTGTCCCTGACATTGTGCAGGTATGGTGCCAACTAGCAGTCTAACATTATGATAGGGAGTCTCCGCAATCTATGCGGTGACCGATTTCATTCAGCCATTCGGCAAGTACGGTCCAGAAGTCGCACTCAAGGGAGAGGTTGCTCAAGGCATTAACCTTGCGAATGCTGCCTCCAAAACGTCAACTCTGGAACACTACATCTGGAGCACATTACCAAATGGCAAAGAGCTCTCGGGTGGGAAGCACATCGTTCCCCACTTTGAGGGAAAGAACCAGATCGATGCGTATATTAAGAACAACGCCAAACTCCTTGCCAAGACAACATTCTTGTGGAATACGTTTTATGCTAGCAACCTAACGTTTCCCCCATTCACCCCAAACTTATTAGTGAGTATTCTTGTCTTTGATTAGATTACAACAGCTGACTGTAATTGAGAAATCCTCCGGCAAATATGTCTGGCTCCAGCCAACTCCAGCCTCTACTCCAGTGACGATGCTCGGAGATGCGGATGCAAACATTGGGCCTTTCGTGAGTAGCATTCTAAAAAGACCAGATCTCACTTTACCAGGCAAATTCGTTGTCGCAGCCGTAGAGGAGATGACGCATGGTGAGGTCCTCGCAACCTGGGGTCGGGCTACCGGTAAGGAGACGGAATATGTTGAAGTTACCCTCGATGACTTTGATCGCTTGTGGCCTGGGTGGGGTAAAGAGATGGGTATGATGATGCAGATGTGGGGAGACTTAGGCCATAATAGCTGGGGCGGAGAGAAGGTTCTGACAAAGGAGGACTTGGGGATCACCCAGCCTCTCATCAGCACCGAAGCTTGGTTCAAGGCTGCTGACTGGGGGTTGTAATGAAAAAGCCCACTAATTAATTTGTGTTAATTCAATTCAACGGTATATTCTCAAGAGTCAAACTGCAGGCTTTCTAGTGAATGGTACTTGCACATGCTTATATAAATGGCGTGGCACGTGTTCTAACTTCTCACTCAACTCATCTCACTACTGAGCTCTAAACCTCCACTTCGTAGAGCGTACTCGGTCCAAGGCGTCTAGCAATTAGCACAAGAAACAAGCTAAACGCAAAGCTTCGTTAGAATATCCTAGAATGCTACAACCATGTTTTGATCAGTTTTATGCTGAATCACTGTTAAGCGGAGCCAGTCAATGTCCAACGAACCCCATGTCGCTATAACTAGACGTTAGGACCGAGCATCGATATATACGGCTCGAAGAGGAACTGGTCCTAGCCCAACCCCTAGTCCAAATTTGGCAGGGCAGTGTTGGTCTCGGATTCCTAGTGCGCCTAGAAGGATTGAAAGCTCCCGTCGACAGCTTCCAGCTGGGCAAGCTCCTTTCGCTTCCTTACTACGTTAAGACCGAGTAGATGCTGCGTAATCAACAATGCCTCACGGTTCAGCCCTGTATCGGCGGCTTGGACGAGATTCTCTAAGCCCCTAAATGCAGCGGCGATGTGGACGGAGGAGGCAGGTGTGTCGATCGCCAACAAGACGCAGGTATAGTGGAAGACGCTACTGATGACATTCTAGAACAAATGGCCCTTGCTGACTAGCTGCTCGGCCGCCTGAACTGCGGCCTTATCGCTTTTAATAACGAGGTTAAATATCTCGTCTGATATGTCCATCTTAAGCTGGTAAATCCGTCGATAGGAGCAAAACGCGAGGTCCGCCTTAGTCACTAAGGAACGGATGGACGACTTGGAGCTTATCTAAGGCTTTAAGACGCTCGAATAGCTCCTCCCTCGGAGTTGGAGGCTGGCATTCGAGATGGAACGGCGAGTTGGGCGCTAGGATGATCTAGGCTATTTGCGCAAACTAGTCGGCAACGGACCCTAATACTAGGATGATATCCCGACAACTTACGGCCCGAAATTGTATAGACGAGCGATTAAACTCATACGACAGCAAGTTATGCCTAGCCCACGAGATCTAGAAAATCCGCCTCAGCCGGTCCGCATCATGTCCTGCGACAGCAGCGCCGGCAACAGACGCCATCTTCCTGATGGTTTCTTCCTCGTGCAGCCCTACCGCTTCGCAGAGGTGCATGACGGTGCAAGACGCAATCTAGGCATTGTTGGGACGGGTCGTGGCGCGTAGGTAAAACGTTCGCATGGCCTATGCGATGACGTGGTCGACGCCCAGCACGCGCATGGAGGCCAGATCATCAAGAATGGCTTTGGCGTACTGCACTAGGTCAGACTCTCGTGGGTGTCTGTCGGGGGATAGGAACCACCTAAGGGCGGCGACGCTAGCGGCCACGGTGGTAAAGGCGATCGCGGTGCTGCCGGACCCCCAGTAGTAATCCCGACATCGCTAGGCATAGATTCTCGCGTCCATGTAGTCGGCAATAGGGGCAATTGCCGAGTAAAAAATGCCCGAGAATGTGCCAAGGTCGTACTCCGAGATGAGATCACCTAGCAAGCCATGAGGGTTAGAAGCCTCTTCGGGGCGGATGCTAAAGTTGTAGGCGAACGAGCGCATCTTAGGAGGGCTGTCGGAGCCTAGAGCCACGCCTAGGACATGCGGGAATGCCATGGCGGCCGATGCCCCGGCGTATCTGGACTTGTGCTCGTCGAATATGCTGGCAGGCGTAGTGGAGGCCGCAGACGCGCCGGCCGGACTCATCCCGTCGGCTTCGCGGTGTCCTCGCTCTACATGAGCCGGCTTGGCGGGACTCGGCGATGTGGAGGCGGCGGCCCGGCCCATCATCCTAATTCCGCCGAGGAGGCAGGCGCGCATGTCTCGGGGCGGCGAAGAATGTACGTCGCCGCCCGGAGTGTCAGTGGTGTCGTCGACGTCCGGGCCCATCATCCTATATCCGCTGAAGAAGCTGCGGCGCTTACGGGGCGCAGCATGTACGCCGTCGCTCGTAGTGCCAGTGGTGTCATCGGCATACCTGCAGTTGTATTCGTAGGTTGCGCACATGCCACAGGGGTACTCGGCGTCGCATTTCAGCTTGCGCTGATGGCAAGGGATACATGTTTTCCTCGCGCGCTTGCGGATGCTGGTTGTTGTCGACATGACTGCTAAGAGGGTATGAGCATTCCTAGCTACAGTTGCTGTCAGTGGTTGTGAGGTTGGTTTTCTGATCCAACTATCCCGGAGGGAGAGTTAAATTACGGGATAAAGCCACAGCGAAGATTTTTCTGTTCGCCGGTGATTATGCGCGTATATCTAGTGTGCGCCATGGGGAATCGGTAGTCTCAGACCGCCGGTTTGACAGATTTCCAACCCAGACCGCGGTCTGGGTTGGAAATCCAGAGTAAACCGCTGAGACCGGTGTACCCCAGCGGTTTCTTGGCAGACCGGTCACTTGATAAAAATATTAGGTGCTTGATAAATTGTTACTAAATAGTAAAAAAGGGAGGGGGGAAGTGTATTTTTGATAGCAATAGGTGAATATTAATTGATATTTAAATACAGTTAACTTATGATAAAATGGTGTCTTTAGTCGTGGTTGTCGTGTGGGAGACCCTTATATTTACGTCCCTGGCACGGACCCTGTCCAGACTTTAGGTGGAGGGCACCTTCTACCTCACTAAACAATTAGGGAGGCACGTCTGCCTGAAAACATCAGTGATGTTGGAGCACCACCATTTACCGCCATGGGCTCATTAAAACCACCTCACATCCGCGTCTATTGCTGATCGCAGAAACCATCATACTCCCTATCACAGTAACCATCCTACCCCCAATCCCAATTACAGGAGCCATCCATGGATTCCCCATCCCTCGTCCGAGAAATGCCCCTCGAGGTCTTCCTCCAAGTCTCATCCTACCTCACCACCCCCGACCTCTGCGCGCTGCGCCGCACCTGCAAACGCACCGAAGCCTGGCTCTTCGACACCTTCTCCCTCGAGTTCTTCACCCGGAAGCAGTTCATGCTCACCGAGACAAGCCTGCAGGCCTTAATCGACATATCGAACCACCCCACCCTATCCCAGTGCCTCCGTCACGTTATCATCGGCCTAGACAACTACGACTACAGCGGCCGCCCCCTCCCCCATTTCAGCCAAGACGCCCATGCAAACCGCTACCGCGCCGGCCTCGCCGATCAGTTTACCCTGCTGAGCACCGGCCAGGACCGGGACATGCTAGCCTGCGCCTTCAGGAATCTGCCTAACCTCCAGACCGTAGGCTTGCGCGACTACAGCTCGGGCGGCCGCATCCGCGATAGTGGACAGTGGCATAGCTACGGCGCGACCACTATCTTTGAGGAGACGGGCGTCCGCTTGGCGGGCGGGTACAGGCAGGGCGCCATCGATACGGACCTACGCTATGCCTCTCGCGCGTTCTCGTCCGTGCTCTATGCACTCGGGCAGTCCGGTGCCAGGCCGGCAGCCTTCGAGGTGCTGTTGAAGAAACGCGGCTTTGGGCTGCGGGATTACGCATTTAACATCCCCAATTTCCTCGAGCCTTCGGTCGTGCCTGTGCTAGCCTCTCTCAAGACTCTGCTACTGGGCGTCAGTCTAGCGAATGAGAGTATATTCGACACCCCAGGGGCGAACAACTCTCCAGACCTAGAGAGTCGTGATTTCCGCTTCAGACAGTTCTTCCATCACACGCCCAACCTCACTCACCTCCGCCTTAACTTCCAGAACGTAGAGACCTCGAACGACGAAGACTTCCTGGTCTGGCTGAGCCGTCCCGCGCTGCACCCCGCCTCACCAGCCCCCATCGTGCTCTCCCAGCTCCGACGTCTGGACATCGGGATGCTCTCCGTAGCGCCGCACGTGCTGCTCGATGTCATCCGCAAGTTCCAGCCGATGCTGCGGGAGCTCAGTCTGTGGAAGATCACGCTCAAGTCTACGGACCAGGACCGGCGGCGCGGGAAGAGGGTTAATGTGTGGGCCAAGTTCTTCGCGAAGCTGTCGGACCTGGATCATCTCTCTGTGGGCTGTCTTTCGCAGCTGTCGCAGCAGGAGCAGCAGCAGGTCGGGTTTAGGCCTGTCGATAGCCAGGAGGACGCATGGGGGATTTCAAGGGACTACTCGAGGGACGACATGTTGGACTTTCCGTATAATCTGGTGCGAGATGTGCTTCTTGAGTGGCCAGAAGGTGGCGACGGTGAGGATGGTATGTTTTGCCCGTCCTGCGTGAAGTCTTCGAAGTGCAGTACTGATTAAATTTACTAGAATCCATGTCGGATGATACCAGTGATGATTATGACAACGATACTGACATGGATGATGACGAATGAAAAACAATTCTCTTGAAGACTATGATGTTTGGGAGCCATTTGCATTGAAACCCCCAGTGATGGGCTAGCTAGTAGACTAGTAAGAGTGCGCGCATGGTATATTCATTATGTTGCTGAACCTCGCGAACAAAGTTAAGGACAACCTCCAGAATTAGCTTAGAGCAAGGATTTGGAGCAGAGCAACATTATAATGTTGGAGCTACTGATAGTTTAGAATAAAGTTGGGCGTTTCGCCTCCCCCGACTCCCCATTCAACAAATATTCCCACCAAAGTTCTCCTCTTGGAATCTTGCTTTGGAACAGAGCAACACTGCAATGTTGGGGTTACAGATTAGAATAAGCTCGGGTGTTTCGCCTTCCCCAACTCCTCATTCGATTTCCACTAATATTCTCCTCTTCACATCTTGATTTGGAACAGATATCGAAGTCGAACCTGGGCAACATCATAGCAGATATACTCGTTGTAATAAAGGCAGCCACTTTGGGAATCAACATCAGTAGGTGCCGGCTCGACCGTCGTATCAGGCTGCAGAGGGCCAGGAGTTAGTCTGAAGAGTAACCAAAAAAGACGGAGAAAGGAAAAAAAAACGGTTGACAGTCACTTCTACACATGCCGACCTCATTCGGCCCGGAGCGCGTATGAGGAGCCGAAGAAGTCTGATAGCAGGATGAACTCGCTCCGGAAGTCGTCACTGATGAGCCTCCACAGCCACCAAATCAACAGTATTTTCCGCAGCCATCACCCCCACAGACCGAGCTTGATTCGCGCCCTATTAATCCAATATATTCTCAACAACCCTACGTACCTGGCCAGCAGCCTCCACAGCTGAGAAATGGCTTGACGGTATATGAGGCTCCTTAATGCTACGAGTAGATGGGCGACTATTTGTTTTACGGGGTTTGGGCTATATACCAATGTACGATTAAATATGAATGAGGTATCGCGACCTTTTTTTAGTTGTCACTAGTTGTGGTAAAGATTGGAACTGTGCTCTGACATTTAAAAAATTGTATTTATTCACAGCTTAGTAATTATTGAAATAGATGTTCCCCACTTGACATTGATCAGGAGCCCCATCGCAAATCCAGTACCCCAACCCACTATCAGGATCAAGCTCCTTCCAAAAGCGAATATTATACGGATTATAAATATCCTGCTTGAGGTCTTGGCCGTACAATTCTAGCTTCTCCATGAACAAGATGTGAAAAACCGTCTGCTGGATAGCGATGCATACTTCTCGTCCAGGTCCTAGAGCTCGTACCATGTCTTCAATAGGGCCCAGAAAGACAGTTTCTATGCCACCTAAATCGATAACTGTGCTGTGGGTATCTGGCCTTAGTCTCAATTCGCCAAGGATGTTTATGTCGAGTTGGCGAACGCGGGGAAATAATTCTGGGACCATCCGGCACAGCTCATGTAGCGCCGAGTCTTTCGTCGTAGGGTCATTCCAAAGAACGTTCAATGGTTTGTCCGTTGTCGCTGTAGGTCTAAAAGTCCAGGAAACTTCCATAGATTCGATGCTTCGTAATCTCTGGGGCAGAATTAAGCGTGGAAGGTGTAGTAGCAGGTCGAAATTATCCATGTGGAAATTATTCGTTGAGAACAGAATATCAACACCATCAGCATACCTATTTAAACCATTATTATATTCCTTTACCATACCGAGTAGGACAGGGTTTAATAATGAAATAACCCACGCTTGTCTGCACGCCAAAATCCATCCCATAGCGTTAACGCGGCACCTCAGAGGTTGTTTGTCGTCCACCTCCGGCCCACACTCTCTATGATTCCGCCCATCTTTGCATCCACCAGCACATGGAAGTTTCCTCTGATTCGTGATCCATCGTTCCTCGCCGAAGTTTCTGCGGGGGATGCCATCCGGCAACAAACTATCAGTCTGGTGGCACTCGCAAGAGTACCACCCCCAGGTTTTGCTTTTCGCATACGCATAAGCCCCATCTTTTCCAATCATATATTTTCCTTTCTTACGGACAGGTCGATTGAGATATGTTAGGTCCACGTGCAAGGTGCGCCCGCCAAGCGCCTCGGTAAGGATCTGCCGACGTATTTCATATGGGAGATGCTGGAAGTAGCCATAGCTATCCATTGATGACGCGAGGTTCTCCTTCGATGGCGACGGTGTTAAAATACTCGGTCTTTCAACAGGAAGGAATGGAAGAGGATCTAGGACTGGCTCTGCCTGAGTAGAACTCCACGACAGGTTGTTTCGGAGCCATCTTTTGAGACTCGGCATGGGTGGGAGAGCTGGAGGAACAGACCGCTGACGTTGATATTCCGATATGCCTATCGTATGTACAACAAATCATTTATAACTTCTCGTAGACCTAAAATACAGCCCTTGTTGGTTGGTAAGTGGGAAGTAAATGAGGGGGTGGTGATGATCGTCGTGGTCGTCGTGACAGCGGCAAGTGGGGCGCGTTAAGGCTGCGACAGGGGCTAAGGTCTCACAGAATAGCCCACTCCTCGAAATAATACAGTAAATCCTGGGCCATACCCACGCCGGTATTGTCGTTTGAGATAGACGTTCAATATTTCCCAAGGTAGGAAGGAGCGTTCCTTCCCTCTAGAGTCAGTCGTTCTTTCCATATCAAGATACTCAAGGATCGTTCCTTCGCTATTTGCCAGGCCGTTCCTTCCTTACTTACTTGGTCGTTCCTTCCCTATTTAACCCCCTTAAGAAAGAAATAGTGCGGCGACGAGTCATTCACAGGCACTATTTCAAAGACACCATAGAGTATAATCCGTCTCATTCATTATTCTCTTCTTGGCGCCAGAGATATATTATCTAGATAACACTGTATCATCCGCACTAGTAACTCCCTCTCCATCTCTTCCATATGCATACATTGCCCAATCCCAAAAAACAATGCACTATCCCTCTCTTACCAGGCCGCAGCATCCTTATCAAACCGCGCCAACTCCTTCCCCGCATCCTCCACATCCTTCTTCGCCTTCATGCGCATGTAAAAGATGGGACAATCCTTACTACTGCAAATAACTTCGCAGTGCATACTCTCCTGGCACCGCTGGCACTGCGTCCACAGCCTGCCAAACCGCACCTCAAGATCGCTCACCTTCGTCAGCGTCTTCGTGTACAGCTCGCCCATACGCGGCGCGCAGTTCTTGCACACCGCGTTCCCGCTCTCCTCCTTCCCAACCAGCGGCTTCTTGCACCCCATGCACGTACTCGTCTTCTTTGCGAACTTCATCAGCCCACCGACACTAGGCGCCGCAATAGCCACGCTGCGCGTATGTGCTCCCGTCAACAAACTGCGCGCCCGCGTCTCCCCGAGCATGGGCTCGAAAATTCGGCCGAGGGGCTTGGCTAGTTGGTTGTCTAGGTAGTACTTCGTGTCAATGGGGACATTATGCTCGAGCACGTAGAGCGGATCCTCGGAGCGCTCAAAGTTCTTGGCGCCTGCTGCGCCCTTGATGATGACATATGCCACTCGATCGCCTAGAGTTGGGGCTGAGCCGGCGTCGCGCTTCCTCATGCGCTCAGCGAGCTCGACGTGCGCTTGCTTGTTGGCGTAATCGGCCTTGGCAAGCGCCTTGGTGATGACAAGCTTGGCCATGTCGACTTTATTCTGAAGCAGGTCCGAAATAGTGTCTTTAACGTAGCTGGATGGCTGTTAGTGAGTTATGATTACATGGGAATGTTGAACTTACTCTTGGGCGCCTTGGACATCTTGGTCGATAAGAATCATGCGGAGGACCGTCTCGATAGTGGTTTGCACTAACCGACAGTTGTCTCTCCTGACGGTTTCGATACCTTTGGTGTCCATCTTGTCGTATTTGTCCGGATTCGTCCAGTACAGTCCAGCGTATCTCTTCTTGTTGATGAGAAGGTACGGGAAGTAGACCTTTTCGAACTCCAACTTGATAGGCTTGACAAACTTTGATGATACGTATCGTGCAGCTTCTTCACCAAGCTTCATCGACTCGGCCAACTCTTTTGTGCCAAACTTCACCATGACTGAGTCAGTATCACCATAGATGACCTGTGCGTCGTGTGCATAGCCATTCGCAATTGTGTATTTTGCCTCCACTTCGGCCTTTGTCTTCTCAATCATTTGACGTCCATAACTGGTTGTGCTACCTGCAATTTCTAAGCAGGGCAACTTTCCAACAGTGGCACCTGTCAGTCCATAGACGGAGTTGGCGCTAATCTTCAGCGCCAACTGTCTACCGTTCAGCACAGCCTTCTTAAAAGGGTCTGTCTCAACAGCCAGCTCCCTCTTGGCTTGCTTTCTTGCAGTAAGCAATTCGTCCAGAATTTGGGTCAGAAGACCTTTCCGTTGCTTTGCTGTGCAGAACATATCGCCATTCGGGGTAACAATATAGTCTTCGTCTTTCTTCAAGCCGAGTTTGTCAATGCTGGCCTTGTTCAATAAGGTGGTGTAACACAGGTTATGAGCCTGGATAATACTTGGATACAGAGAAGCAAAATCAAGGGTCGCAATTGGCACGTCATAATACCCTCGCGTAGGCTCGATAACTGTCGCTCCTTCGTACTGCTCGCCAGAGGCTTCCGTCCGCTGATTCGGTATAACTAACTTCTGTTCGAGCGCTTTCCTGAATAGTTGACTGACGAATTTCACCTGTTGTCCGCGAGAAAGCAGAAAATTGAACGGGACACCAGTAACCCTAGCCATCTCGGTATAATTTTCAAGGCAGGAGAGCTTCTCCAAAAGTCGTTGTGGTAGGTACGCATCCTTCAGACAGTACACTGCCAACCTTCTTCGTGATTCAGGGGTTCCATTGAACAGCTCGGTGATCATGGTGTGGTGAACATCTTCCTTTTGCTCGCCGAGAAACTGAGCAGATACAGAATTCAACGTATAACTTCGCAGTTGGTGATCTCTCTGGACAAGTTGTAGTAAATCCAGTTGAAGTCGTCCGTTTGTATTTGTTGCCTTCGTATCTCTGTTCCCCATCTGTTTGCTGGAAAAGTTCGACTCCTTCGCCACCGACTTTATACTATGAAGACGAGACCAGTAGTCGAAACCGCCAAGCTTAAGATGCTTTGCACGGTCCAGTAGGTACGGGAAGTCAAAATTGGATATGTTGTATCCGATGATGATATCAGGATCAACCTTTTCGAGGAAGTCTCTCCATGCCATCAGCATCTTCTCTTCCCTTTGAAATTCGAAGATTTGAGTATTGACGATGAGGCTGGTGGTATCCAGACAGAAAACATTCCGGACGAATGGCTTCTTCTCACCATACCTGGTGACAACGTTCGCAATCTGGATGACTTGATCGTGGTTTGCCTCTGGGAAGATACCTTTGCGGCCAGCACACTCGATATCAAAGGACAGGATGCGAAGCGGGGCCATCTTGGACCATTCTCCCTCCGGTTTGTGGGCGATAAGGTCCCGGTATCCAATCTCTGCCTCGATTTGACAGTTTGACTGCCGTTCATTGGCGTTGATCATCTTGTAACTCGAAGCACGAGCTTCCACCCATGACATACCGGCCATTTTTGTGTCGACCATGAACCTCAACACATATTGGATGCTGTCGAACGTCAAAATCCCGCCGTCCGCTCCCTTCCACATCCCTTTCCAGTTCGCATTTCCGCCTTCAATGGTTGTCCTGACCCTGTTGATGAACTTCGGATCCGTAACTGTAATCTTCAGGTAGGGGCTCTGTTGATTGCCTTGGAACCCGTATAAGTTCTCTCTCATCACAATCTGTACTGAGTGGATTGCGGGTTGGTGTTGTGCTACTTGGCTTTCGAGGAAGACTTTAAAGCTCTCGCAGTCGGTTCTCACGAACGATACTGGCGCTGCAACATAGAGGTAGTGTAGAAAATCCGTAACGTGCAACATCACTGAATGTCCCGTCTGCAATAAGTCATCATCAGTATACGCTCTCCGTGGAGATGCTCGGAACACAAACCTCTGTGACACCAAACAGCTTCACCGTCGCCTTCCCACCATGAAGTGTGCCCTCCTCAGCCTCTATTTGCTGAAAGATCAGGTTGTCGGTCTCGGAGTTGAAATCGACCAGGGTCGGCCTGTCCCACTGTTGGTCCTTCTCTGAATTCTTATTCTTCAATCCTGTCATATCCTGCGTCAACTTCTCCAACACCTCCGACTCGAAATGACTCGGCTGGCTGGAGCCGGGCTTGCCCTTCGGTCCATTCTGTGACGACTTAAGTCGCGAAATGGGAGTCTCTACGCCTTCGAGCTTGCGTTTCTTCATCGAGGCGGGGGAGGAGTCGATATTTCGGCGGGCGCTCGACGCCTCACCGAATACCCGCTTCTGGGGTAAAAGTGCGCCGACCATGATTAACTGCGGTAAGGGGTATATTGGTAATAATTAGGAGCAACAGATGGAAGGACAATTCATAGTTTGGCAGCAACGAAGATGTCGAGTTGATGTTGACTTGACATTTCACGTTTGGGCCATGCCAGGGATCCTGAGAGGTAACGCGTCTAACGCGAGAGTGACGCGATTTCAATTAAGCAGGAGCGCTACGCTATTTTGGGAAGGCATGGCACGTGACCATGATACAATGGTTGCCATCACGTGACAGTTTATAAATATAGAACCGGGGCATCCCGCATGTCTGTTCCTGTTCCTGGATGGAACTATCGATTTATTTACTTCTTTTGTATTTGCATCAGTATCTTTTGATGTTACGGAATGGCGAATAAAGACCCCCAGTACGACAAATGAGGTAAAAATGGAAGGCGCAACCGGCTACTATAGCACAGCATATTGTGTTAACCCGATGCACGTAAGCACTTGATAGCAAATAGCGGCAGCCACGGCTGGATTTGCGACAAGCGTGAAGAGACTCTACTGCGTCGAGAATCTATGAAGAAAGACTTAGGAAACGAAAGAGAAGCATCTTACTGTATCTCACTGACTTCTAACTGCCATCTTACCGCATATCTGTCCATCTGCCGCGGCCTACTGTGGCGCGTAGATCGTGGATACCATCTTGCTACATATCGTGATACGAATAACTCTCCAGGTACTGAACTGAATGGAATATTACCAAATATTCCCATTCACAAGTGAGAGTGAATCCAATCGAACTCTAACTTGCTCACAATATTACAGTCCTCATCCAACTGCCGCGCGTATTTAGCGCACATGTATAAACATTCATACAAAAATCATTCTTTCTATCTTCCCATCTTTCCACCTTCTATATTTATATCGACACATACGTAGGTCTATGCGCCCCCTTCGTGTTCCCCAATGAAGAATCTTGGCGGGTTTACAGCCTGTTTCAGCTTTGCATTGGTGGCGCTGTCTGCACTAACAGCCACCACACACGACTTCACAGCCAAAGATCGACGCCCCGACGAGGCCCCGACTCCACCCCAGACGCGCAACTCTTACCGTCGTCCTACCGTCCCGGTACTAGATTTCTACGAATCCATTTGACCCATCTACAACTCCACTTCCAAGCCTCATTCTTCACGGCTTGTTCTGTTATTTTGTCCCTTTATCAACACTCTCTCTTATACCCCGTTCTGTTCTTGTTTGTGAACGACTTCATGACCTGCAATCTATCTCATTTACCCTCTTATTATCAACAGCCTGTCGCTTATCCAACGCGCGCATCCGAACCATTCACCCCCTTACGAAACGATTCACATCGAGAGACACAAGAGGGTCCAATACACCATCAAGGCGACACGTCCTCCATATCATTGCCGCTGTCGCCCTAGAGGCTGAGGCAGGGCCATAATGGCGTACAACAACTCACAGCCATATCACAGCGGCGGGGCGCAAAACCAACAACCCTATTACAGCAGCTACGACGACAACCGCGAACTCCCAAGACTACCCTCATATTCACCGCAGCCAGGCCAACCCATAGTACCACAGCCCTCAAGTTCACCCTTCGTCGGCCCCTTCGACGACCACGTATACCCTGCGAGCCACAAGGGAAGCAACGCAAGCCTGGCGGGGAACTCGCCATACTACGGGCAAGGAGAGGCTACCCCAGGAACCTCCAACGACTTCATACCCCTACAAGACCAACAGAGGCAAAAGACCCTACCAATGCGCCACCAATATCCCTCGCAAGACCATATATACGATGCGGGACCCCCAGAGGACCCCCCGAAGCCGAGACGCAGAGGGTTGGGCATGTTCAAGGGCGAGCCGGGTGTGAGGACGGCGTGGGTGGTCTGGTTCTTTACCACCATCCAGATTGCCGTCTTCATTGCTGAGCTTGTCAAATCTGGTCAGTTCTCCCATTGGTATACATAGTTATTAGACATCATGCTGACCCTTCACAGGCCAGCTTACCGGCCTCCCGATCCAAGTCAAGCCGACGTTCAACCCCATGATCGGCCCCTCCCCCTACGTCCTCATCAGCATGGGCACCCGCTACACGCCGTGCATGCGCCGCATGGACGCGATCCAGAACACCACCGAGATTACCTGGCCCTGTCCCTACTCCACCTCGACCGACCCCGACGCTGCCGAAAACGCCTGCACGCTTTCCCAGGCATGCGGCTTCTACGGTGTTCCCGAGCCAGCCTACGAAAAGGGCCAGGCCGCGCCCAACCAGTGGTTCCGCTTCATCACCCCGATGTTCCTGCACGCGGGTCTTATCCATATCGGTTTCAACCTTCTCCTCCAGGTCACCATCGGCCGCGAGATGGAGCAGTCCATTGGCCCTATCCGCTTCGCCCTCGTGTACCTCTCCTCGGGGATCTTCGGCTTTGTCCTCGGTGGTAATTTTGCTGCATCGGGAATATCCTCCACCGGTGCTTCCGGCTCCCTCTTTGGCATCATCGCCCTCATGCTCCTGGAGCTCCTCTACACGTGGTCCGAGCGCCCCAACCCCTGGAGAGATCTTGCCTTCGTCGCCCTCGACATCATCATCTCATTCGTTCTCGGTCTCCTTCCCGGCCTGGACAACTTCTCCCACATTGGTGGTTTCCTGATGGGCCTCGCCATTGGCATCTGCATCCTTCATTCCCCTACTTCACTGAGCCGCAAGATTGGCGCCGACGAGCCGCCGTACGAGACTGTTGGCAAGCGCGGGACCGGACCTAGTGAGGTGTCCCGCTTTGTGAAGGCACCGCTTGGGTTCTTTAAGGCGCGCAAGCCGTTGTGGTGGGTGTGGTGGCTTATTCGCGCTGCGGCGCTGATCCTCATCCTGGTGCTGTTCATTGTGCTCCTTAACAACTTCTATAAATACCAGAAGGAGTGCTCGTGGTGCAAGTACCTGAGTTGTCTGGTAAGTCCCATTGATATTGTCCATCTATTGTAACCCCGCTAACCCTCCCATGCAGCCCGTGAAGGATTGGTGCGAACAGGGCGATCTTAATTTCCAGAGTAAGGCAGGCTGAACCGTCGACATCATTGTCGAGGTCGATGCCGACGGCGACGCCTTGATGGTGTCGCGGTAATTCGCATGGCTACGGTGCATCCTTATGTAGGCAGCGCGCGATTTGGCGATTGCTTATGGGGATTTGGGACGGGGTGTCACCTTCCTACCATATTACATAGCTTCGGAGAGGACGAAAAAGCATAGGGACGGCGTTGCGTTGCCAGGCTTTCCGAGCACATGGCTAAATTAATCCCATACCATGGTGGCATTTCGCTTCTCATGTAGTGTACAGCTAAGCAGACAGGAGTCGATAGACTCTCAAGTGGAGAAAGGCAGACCGGTGGGGAATAAACTGCTCCTCACGAAACAACGTTAATTTTTGTACTGTATCTCCATGATCTTGCCCGTCCCGTCTAGTTTTGTGTGCTTCGATATGTGACATCCTGGCCATCATATGTAGTGCATCGATATATCCCACCCCATTCCTGATATCTACGAGTAATCAAACCCCCCACCGCATCCAAGCCATTAGAAACTCCCCCTTCCCCCAACCCGCCAGCCCCGCTCAAAAACACACAGCACAGTACTCAAACACCCCATCCCAACAACGCCTCAAGAAACCCCCATTAACCCTTCGACCCCTCACTCCCCCTATCGCTCTTCCACCACCCTCCCCCTCCCCCACCACCGCCACTCCCACCCCCCCTCGCAAGCTTCAAACTAAAGCTCGGCGTCGGCAACAGCCCCCCCGGCGCAGGTTCCGTGTTCCTCCCCGGCGCCAAACTGGCCCCCGGCCCCGCCCTCTCCCTCCTCACAACCCCGGGACTAACACTCCGTTCACTCCGCACACTCGGCGTATCCGCCCCAACCGTCGTCCCCGTCCCCGTCGTCGCAGTCCGCATACTCCTAATACTCCCCAGCCCATCCGCCTCCGACGAAGCAGGCGTCTGGATCTCACTCGCCCACTGCATGATCTCCTCCGACTGCTCCCTCTCCTCCGTCAACCCCGTCCCAGTCCGCACACGCAGCCCAGTTCCACTCTCCGTTGATTTCCTCCCTATGTGCCCCCTACCGCGACGGCGCGAGGAGAGCATACTCCCCGTCTCCCACACCTCCGCGCGGCGCTTCCCCCCCGCGCAATCCTGGCGGAACACCTTGATCCCCCCGCCCAAGTCGGCAGTAATAACAATATTCCCCTCCTTATGCGCACTATGCCTCCCCCCCGGCCCCGTCGGCCTCCTCGTCCCCTCTGCCCGACTCCTCAGCGTCACAGGCGGCGGATCGCAAATATCATACACCGGATCCCCACTCATAGCCAACAACGCCCTCGTCCCCGCCGGCGCCAGCACGCTCGTCGTCACCGCCCCCGCATGACTAGCGAAGAACTCGACCGGGGCGCGCGCCCCCTCCTCGCCAGCGCCGGTGCTCCAGATGTACGTGCGGCGGTCCTCGGAGGCGCAGATGACGTAGCGGCCGTCGTCGGAGAAGGAGGCGCGGATCTGGGAGACGGCGTTGACGTGGCCGCGGAACTTGGCGGCGAGGGATTTATCGCGCAGGGCGTACAGGCGCACGCGGCTGTCGTTGGAGGAGACGAGGATCTGGACGTCGCCGTCTGGGGTGGTGGCTGTGCGAATGCCGGTGATTTTGGAGCCCTTGGCGTTGCGGCCGCGGGAGGAGCGCACGTGGATCTGGGTATGGTATTTTAGGCCCTCGGTTTCGTAGAAGAGGCAGAGACCGGAGAGGACGCCGGCCATGGCGGTGCGGCCGTCGGGGGTGAAGGCGACGGCGGTGATGAGGTCGGGGAGCTGGTTCCAGAAGGCGACGGCTTTGTCGGGGATGCTCCACAGGCGGAGTACGGAGTCGAGGGAGCCGGCGAGGAAGAAGCGGTCGTCGCGCGGGTGGAAGGCGATGCTGGTTACGAAGTCGCGGTGCTTGAAGGTGCAGAGGCATTCGGCGCGGCTGACGTGCCAGAGACGCACGGTCTTGTCCATAGACGAGGAGAGGAGGAAGTTGTTCTTGCTCCAGCTTAGGTCGAGGACTGTGGCGCCGTGGCCCTCGAATTCGCGGACGGGCTTGCTGCGGAAGACCGGCGCGCTGAGGGGGGCGCCGTGGCCTTCGCTTTGTTCCTCTTCGGCTTCGTGCGCGGCGCGCTCACCGGCTGTTGCGATCACAGACCACACTCGCACGACGGTGTCTTGGCCAGCGGCGGCGAGATACTTGCCATCAAGACTAAACTCAGTAGTCCACACCGCGCCACCATGCTGCTCGCGTGACGTCGGGCGTGACCCAGGAGGCACATCAGGAACCGTCTTCTCCTTCTCCTCCCCCGCCGCCACCGGGTTCTTCGTTCCACACAACTCCTGCGCCAGGAACATCCGATTAAACTCCCTCTCCCTCTTATACCTCGCCCTAACCTTAATATACCTCGGTGGTTCCTTATGCTGCGGCATGAACCCGCTCGCCGAGCGCGCAGCACCCGCATACGCCTGGGCGTTCATACCCTCGGTGCGGAGATCGCCCTGCTCGCTCTCGTCGTCGTCGTCGTCGTCCGCGTCCGCGTCCATGCCTTTCTTCTTGCCGATGCTGAAGCGGCTGAGGAATGAGACTTTTCTATATGTTTTAGACCGGGTTAGCTGGGGCTCGGGCACGGGGACGGGGATGCGCTGCGCCGACGGGGGACAGGGGTGCGTGCACCACCACCGCCGCGCGGCGCAGTGGGTGGGACGTCAATGGCGGACCGTGATAAGTGACAGAATGCGGTGCGGGTTCGGGTAAAGGGAAATGAATGTATGTGCAATTGGGGGCTTAATTGGGAAGTTATGGTTGGGGGGGGTATGCCGAATTGGAATCCACCTACTTCTTCTCCCTCTGCGGCGCGCCTTCCTCCCTCGACCCCTCCGTCGCAGCGCTCCTTGCCGTGCCGCCCCCAGCACCCGTCTCGCTCGCCGGCGTCACAACCTCGTTCTTCGGGCTATCCGCCACGTTCGCGGTGCGCATGCGATGCGGGATCGTGTTCTCGGTGTTCGTGCGCTTGAGGATATGCTGTTTGCGGCAACGGTCTGGTCAGCGCTGTTGCCTTGAGGAGGAGAAGGGGGGGGGGATTCAATGCAATGCAATGCGCGCAGGAAGGAAGAGGGAAGGGAGGTACGTACGTGTGACAGCGGATCAATAGCCGCAGACGACGTCTTCCCCCCAGCAGCCGCGCTCTTCGTATTCCCCGAGCGTATAGTCGGGCTTCTCATGGCCTTGCTGCCGATGCTTGGCGACTTTCGAGACGCCGCGTTGCCTATACACGTCAGCTTCTAAAATATAAAAATATCTCGGTGCATATCCCCCCTCCCCCTTCCCCACTCCCCGCAGGTATAGAAAGAATAACACACAAACACACCTTCACTCCCACTACTCGCCCCCCCCACGCCGCCCTTCACGCTTCCCCCCCCGCCCTCCTCTCCCCGTCCATCTAGAACCCGAATCACTGGCACCGCATCAGCCATGTCACACACCTCTGACGCGCGCACGCCCTCCCTTCGTATCTCGTTCCTTCCGCGTATAACACAGAGATCGGCAGGCAGCCGCAATTCAACCCAGTCAGTAGCAGCCCCAGTCCCCTTCGCGCACGTATGTATGTATGCCCCCTTTCGCACTCACAAAGGCCCGCGCAGCTTCGGATTCGCTTCCCTGGCGGGTTATCTCGGATTCGCGCTTCGACCCTCTAAGAGGCAGGTAGCTAGTATCGTGGCTTCGGCTTCGGATTCGCATTCGCTTTCCCTCCCTCTCAATCCGCGTCGTTTCGTTTCGTGTCGTGCGCCCCGTCCGTACCTATCCCGGCGCCCCGAACCCTCAAAAAAAAAGCCCCTCCCCCAGTAGTAGCAGACAGTACACGCGCCTTATTTCGCCTTCCAGTTCTTCAACAAAAATACCAAATCGCTTTTGCCTACCGCCGTCGCTACCGTCGTGGAATTGTTGCTTGTCGATCTCTGCAATGTGTAAGTCGCAGGAATCGCCCTCGTATAAATTACCCTATCCGTGCATGCGTCCGTCGGGCGCGCGGTGCTCACAACGTCTAGTCGCATGTACGTACGTCACCGGACGCTCCCGGCGGTTGGTCGCGAGACTGACTGGCGGGAGTGGGATCCAGCCACACACAAGACCCGGAGAATAGAGGACCCGCACGCTTCCCCTATTATTATTTTTGGGATGGGCCTCCTGACACTGATAGACGGGGCTAGATGGGGAGATTTTTATTTTATTTTAGGGGTTTGAGGCACGTGCTTATTTGTTAGAGGAGGAGGTGGAAAAGGGTTATGTGAAGGGTGGTTATGTCTGTATAATACAAGTGAAGAGTGAACGAGTGAGATGTGCACAGGGTTAGTTAGACAAAGCAGTGCCGTCTTGGAAAGGCAGCTTAGCTCACTAAGAGCCGTGCTAATACAACAACATATACTACAGACGCAGTATCTATACGCGTATCCCGATTTACCTTCTGCTCGTGTGCCTAACTAACTGTCTATGGTTTAAATACGTGTACTACACAACATGCATGATTTACTCGTCCATAAAACAGACCAAAGCGTCGTGAAGTCCTGCTTCATACGCTGTGACCTCTTCCGGAGTATCCGCCCTAAAATAGAAAGGGCCGGGCGGCTCCTCTTCTTCGGCTTCATACATACGTCCTCTTCCGGTGCATCCGCAAGGCATAAAATGTCCTCGTCTTCGGCTTTCCACGTGTGAAAAAGAGAAGAAATTTCACCACCTCAAAATGTCAGTGTGGAACGGGCGGAGACGAGGGTCATGGAATATTCACAATCGTGCAGTTATACATACACATACACAACCGCCCTGGGACCCATTTGTCCAAGCAACACACAAAACATCACATCAACACACCCACGAAGACAGCCATTATTAACCAAAGACAAGCTCATCCCATTAAAGTAACAAGCTCTCCTCCCCTACTCTCCTCCGTCCCCATCCATCTAATCATCCATCCCCCATCATCCATCCACATTAAACAACCCGTCATCTAATTATATTCCTCCCAAAAATATCCCCTCCCAATCCCCCATCCACCCGACCTGTCACACCTACTCAACACAGACACAACACATCATAAACACCACTCCCACACACCCACCAAACACCCAATCCCGCCTTTCCCTCATCCGCCCAAAACACCATCTTCCAGCACCCGACACACCTGAAGTAAAAAAAAAAAAGGAGCCACGCAGAACAAGACAAATCCGCAGCGAATGTAGGGCCCAAAAGTCTAATAGTATCATTTCGAAGAAGTAAAAAGGCGTCCCTGTCCAGAAGGGGCGCACGAGCTTGCTCCGGGGTTCCACGTAGCGTCCCTAACCCCACGTCTGCATGCCCCCGCTCAGAAGAGAGAGAGCAAGAAGGCAGCGACAGGAAGGGTGGGAATGCCGGAACCATGCAGCGCTCACTCGCGCAAGAAGCGAAGATAGATATCCGAACGATTGTGGTATTTGTACAAAAAAAATTAACATCACAAAACGCAAGCCTATGCATCAAAAACAAAGCTAGTTTCGGGCAAGCCCGATCGTTTATCTCAGAGGGTTTTTGACATCATTGACGCCATTCGCGACGACCTCGCGCAGGCCCCAGCGCGGCGGCTTGACGACGGCCTTCGCGCCATTCGCCTTGAGCCACTCGCGCTCCATCTCGGGGGTGACGCCATCAGCGAGGTTCTCCGCGCCACCAGCGACGCCGCTCGAGAACTTGAGCTGGAGGACGTTTCCGACCTCGTCGCAGGCGGCGAGGATGCGGTCCATGTCGTCCTTGTTGTGGGCGGCGGAGACGCAGAAGCGAGCACGCGAGGATATGAGCGGGGTGGCGGGGTAGGCGACGATAACGACAGAGATCTTGCGACGGAGCATTTCGTGCGAGAAGGCGGGCATCTTGGCGGGGTTGTACAGGAGCACGGGGATGATGGGGGAGTCGTCGTGGCCGTAGACAATGAAGCCGAGGCGCTTCAATCCTAAGCGGAGGTAGCGAGAGTTGAATGCGATACGCTGGAGACGCTCCTCGCCCTGGCCAGGTACGAGCTCACCAGTGATGATACGGAGTGCGCTGAGAATCTGCGTCAGGACAGGTGGAGAGGGAGATTCTCCGTAGATTGTGGCAGAGTTGGTCGCGCGGAGCTTGGCGATGATGTTCTTCTCACCAGCGATGTATCCACCGTTGGCGCCGAAGGACTTGGTCAATGTACCCATGAGAATATCAATCTCGGCAGGATCGATACCAAAGAAGTCGCAGACACCGCGTCCCTTTGGTCCGAGAGCACCGATAGAGTGAGCCTCATCGACAAACAGGTTGTACTTGTAGCGCTTCTTCAGTTTCAGGAGACCAGGCAGGTTGCACATGGTTCCCTCCATCGAGTAGAGACCCTCGACAACGACGAGAATCTTCTTCCACGGGCGGTGAGTCCTTGGCTGTCCTTGAGAGATAACTTCGCGAAGTAGGCGTTCCAGATCCTTCATGTCGTTGTGCTTGAAGCTGCTAATCATGGCACCCGAAAGGCGAGCGCCAATACGGATAGATGCGTGGTTGAGCTCGTCCGAGATGATCAGGCAGCCCTTGCCAACCAAAGCCGGGAAAGTCGTGGCATTCGTGCTGAATCCCATAGAGAAAACCATCGCGTCTGGCTTGCCAACAAACTTCGCAATCTCGCGTTCGACTTCGATGACCAAGTCAGACGTTCCAGCATCTGCTCTTGGACTGGCGACGCTGATTCCGTACTTCTTGACAGTCTCCTCGACGGCATCCGCACAGGGGCCCTCAGACTGGGCAAAACCAAGATAATTGTAGGAACTCATGTTCAACGTCTCGGTGAATGTTCCGGTGAACTGGAAGGTCTGGTTGAAGTCGTCCGACTTGCGGTCGATCAGAGTGATGTAACGGCCCGGAACTCCAGTGGTTGGGCGAGAGAAACAGTCGTTAATACGCATCTTCAGACGGCGCACATAGAAGTTGTCGAAATCGCTGTTGAGGGCAGCGTAACCGTTGGCAGACTTGAGGTGCTTGTAATGGAGCGGGCGGAAGCGCTTTCCGAAGAAATCCCGGACGTGTCCAAAGACGATGAGAATTAAGTAACTGAGATATGTGGTAAGGAGGTAGTAGTACGGCGGCTCGTCCATCACTGGCTCTTCCAGCTCTTCGCCCATATGCTGGCTGACATATCTATGCGATTGGTGGACGAGCGGACCGAACTGGGCTTCGACACGAGCCTGACGCTTGGCTTCCGCGGCCGACGGCGGCTGGAATAATGTGGTTGCTGGCTCCTCCATTGTGGCTTCTTCGTCCTCGACTGCGGATAGAGAGATTGTCGGTAGGGAGACGTTCGAGGCGTTGATGGAAGGTGACGGGTTGTTCAGGAGGTACTGTTGTTGCGCAGCTGCTGCAGCCAACAAGGCGGACTGAGCGGATTGTTGCTCCTTGCTCTTGGGGGTGCCCGAGAAGAAATGTGTTAATCTCGACGCCTTCGCGAAGGAGTTTCTTCGTGCGGCCGGCTTCTCAGCTGCTGCTGGGGCCGTAACCGTCGAAGTGGCAGTGCTCGCAAATGGATTTTTAATACCCTGACGAGGCATTGTGGTCATGGGTGAGGTGATTTTGCGGTGTTTAGGGCAGCCTTAATTGAATAAGGTCTGACGGGACGGATTGTAGTTGTGAGGGTGTATTAGAACCTCGATTGTAGTTCGAGATTTGGAAACCGACGTCAACGTAGTGGCGCAGGTGGTGTTGGGGCCAAGAGAGACGCGTAGAGGATCAATCTGCGGGATGAGCGGGTAATGTCAGCCAAGGACCTGGAGAGAAGGCTCGTGCGTGATAGCCACCTGCAGGATAGAGAAGGTGTTTTAGGAAGGAAGAGATGCTTGGTATGTAGGCAGAGACAGGGTAGTGTCTTCAGCCACAGGTGTGTAGGTATTCGAAGTATGAGGTAGGGTAATAGGAGTTTGGCGATAGGGTAGAGAGGGAGTTTTGACATACCGAATCGAGTCCGTGATGGGGTGAAAGGAATGAGAGATCGGAGTCGTAGATACCCCGTGTGAACTTCTGCGTCGTCGAGGTTTCGAGGAAGGCGCAGAGGGGGGCGGACAAGAGTAAAGAGCTAAAATGGCCGTGGATTGAGACTGGTCATTGACACTCGTTCGGTCTCCTTCCTTTTGTTCCTTTTCCCGTCGGTCGCGAGCTACGACGTGACGACCCTTCACAGCGGCATAAACCACGAGAGAGGAAGGTTTGACAGGAGGTCGACGACGTGGGTTTGGCAGGTGAAGTCGAGCTGAGGAGGGGGGGAGGTAAGAGGAGTAGAAGTTGTCGGGAGGTGGGAGAAGACCGGTAGAGATAGGACGGGGGGATCGAGATGAAAGGGATAGCGAGGTGCAAGGACCCAGCTCGATAATTGTGGAGTAGGAAGGAAGAAGTAAGGCAGCCAGATGCAGAATGAGGCCAAGAAAAGGGAGGGAATAGAGGAATAGAGAGGATATGAAGGATAGCTTGTCATTTATGAACGGAAATGAAGGCAGCCAGGCAGGTTATGAAAGGGTAGGGGTGTGGGAAGGGGCTTGTTGGGATGAAGAAGTAGAGTTTTGGTGTATTGACAGTATAAAAGGTACTTGAGTGGCCACGGATTGCCGGGAGTGATGGAGATGATGGAAGAGCGAGGGCTAGGATTGGCAGGATTAGAGAGCAGTTTCTCGCTTAGACTACCTGATTAGGCAATTATGTACGATTAGTACGATTAGTACGATTAGCGCTTTTTGTACAGTTTTTCGGCTTTTATTGTACATTTTACAGTCCCACCAGCGAGAAACCAGCGACGGAGACCACGAAGACCAACGATCACCGGCGGATCCGAGTCAAATAGCTTGGCAGGATTGACAATCATCGGAGTTTGTGATGTGATGGATGTGTACGGAGTATCATGTTTGTTCATTACCTTCTCTCTTCTGCTTATGTTAACTGAAAGTACACTTTGACCAAAGGACACCAGCAAGTCGGTACATTTCTGTCGAAGAGTACTTAACAACATATATCATGATGTCATGTCATCTGCTCGGGCAGTGGTGATTCACCATGACTAACTACACTGTAGAACTCCAAAACTATAACATGCTGTCCTCTTCACCCCCTATTAAAATCCAGAGCCCTCCTGTCTCGAACTCAGACAAAATAATATCCCGCTATGGAGCACACACGCATTAAAGCACAATCACAATCACACCACAAAGTGGCACTACAGTATAAAAGTACACCACTTTATGCTCACTCAGTACAGTCAGATCACGTGCTCCTAACTATTCAGCCCACTCGGAATCCACTCCACGCGCTGCCGGGAGATTACAGGACAAAAACCCTTCACCAACGCCCATGCTCCCGCACTCTGATTGGTCTCACAACAGCTCTAGCTCCCCCCACCTTGCCCCATCAGGTCGTAGCGCGTGCATTAGCCAGGTACGGGAGCGAAAAAAAACCGAGGCAGCGGGCGCGGATGTGTAGTTGGATCGAGTCTAGGTGGAGTGGAGTGGTGAGTGGTGGGTGGGGGGTGGTGGATCTGCCTGTCCTTTCCATCCTCCCTTTTCTCTCCGTATACACGTGAAAGAAAAGATGCTATTTTATATCACGTGCCTTTCTTTTCATCACGTGACTCTATATTCATCACGTGGCTGGTATTGTATCACGTGAGTATTCGTGCCCCAAAAAATGAAACTAATAGGGGGGAGCGGCAAAACTAAAACCCAGAGTCCCCACTCGCTAAACCCCTAGTCCCCCTCCCCGCCCCCCTTCCCGCTCCGCCCCGCCCCGCCAATCCCCAACCACCCCCCAAGCCAAGGGCAAAGCTGACAAGGCGTGCGGTGTGTATCACTAAAAAGAGCGTGGGATCCCCGTTTTGCTGAGAAGCCAGCACATACCTACATACTCCACCCTTTTGCATCGAATTATATCCAAACGGCGCATTACGACCTCATCTTTCGGCCTACCTACCCAACGAGGAGTGAAGACAAGCACTGTTGTTGTTGTTGCCTGACGCCCCACTTGCGCCAACGATTCGACACGGACAAGCTGCACAGCATCGCACAGCGACCAAACAGACGACGTTTAACGAATAACCAACAAGCGCAAAAATGGGCTGGTTCGACGGCGCCTCAGAGGTAGCATCCTCCTACATCCTCGACGGCTACGGCTACGGCGGCCGCGCAGCGAGTCCGAGCCGCAGTAGTCGCCATGGAGGGCACAAGAAACATAAGTCGCATAAGTCGAAGACGGAGACGGGGAGTGCGTTTGGGGATTGGGCGGCGGGGGTGAGTGGTGGGGGGGTGCCGAGGGGGGGAAATAGGAGTACAACGAGTTTTTTTAGTGTTGGTGAGTTTATGTCCTTTCCTTGGGGGTTGGTGGATTGATGGGGGGGGTGAGGGATGAAAGATTGGGATTGGGATGGTCGTTAACAAGTGCCATAGGATCCGGCGCACGCTCAGCAACATCCTCCTACCGCCGCTCCCCCCGCCGCGGCCTCCTTTCCAGGACTTACTCCCGGCTCCGCCACCTCCTCCGCAAACTCCTCCATTTCCTCAAAACCCACCCCCTAAAAGTATTCATGCTCGTCATTATGCCCCTCATCACCGGTGGCGCTTTGACGGGGCTGCTCGCGAGGTTTGGGATTAGACTTCCTGCGGGGTTGGGGAAGTTGGCGAAGATGGCGGGGGTGGGTGGTGGTGGGGGAGGGGTGAAGGGGGGGAGAGGGGGGTTGGAGGCGTTGGGAGGGGTGGGGGGGATGATGGATGGGTTGGGGGGGGTGATGAGTGTGGCGAAGTTGTTTATTTGATGGGTCTGAGGGCTTGATAGGAGGGAGGGGGAAGAGAGAAAGTGTTTTGATATCCGGGAAGGGGAGGGAGGGAGGGAGGATTTTATTTGCGTGCTTTTTATGGGAATGGGGTTTGGGAATGTGATGTGATGTGATGTGCTATACGATTCTCTTTTTAGCTTAGACTTGCTTCGTTGGGTTTGGAATTGATATATGATTATACCTCATCACAGCTTTTCAATGCGAATAATTCGCACGCACGTGCACGACACACAGAAGTAGTCGCCGTCATCCGTGAAGGAAATATAAGACTCACCAAAACCGGACGGTGGTAAATGTAAACGGATTATAGAGGTAAATAGAGTTACAGAAGAAATACCTAGCACCACCACCTTAACAGGTAAAAAATGCAAGATCCCCCCCCCCCTCCCATTTCCCATCTATGCAAAAAAACATTTTATCCATCTTTTTCCCCCTATTTACACTCGAATCCCCTCCCCCACCCTTCAACCATTTCCCTCCACCACCACCACCCAAAGCCTACACTTAAAAACACCCAACAACAGCGAAGCGGAAAAACAGACATCTCACATCCGTCTATTTCCGTCCACCCTTCCTGCCGCGCACCTTCTTCACACCCCTAGAGCGCGTAGCACCGCTCGTCTCGCCGGCAGTGTCGTTCTCAGACGTGAAGTCGTCGCCCTCGTCGTAGTCGGAGTCGGAGTCCGCGGCGGGGGCGGGGGAGAGGAAGCGGCCTGCGGTCTTGGCGTAGATCCAGACGGGGAGGCGGATGAGGGCTGTGTCGCGGAGGCGGGGGGATTGGAGCTCAGCAGGCTATGTGGTGTTAGCGGCAAGGTTTGCATTTGAGGGGAGAGTTGATAGGGGGACTTACATCAAGCAAAAGCTCCTGCATCTCACCATCATCATTACGCTGCTCGAGATACACATTTCCCACAGCATCAACAACGAGGATCTTCCCATTCTCAGCCACAACGCGCTTCTTCGGCCCCGTAACACCAGTCGGCGTATCAGCTGGGGAAACCTTCGCCTTAGGCGCCTTAACCTTCTTCTCCGGCTTCTCCTTGCGCGAATCCTTCTCCTGCATGCGTCTCTGCCTACGGTTCATAGGTTGCATAGCAGCCTCCGCATCGCTATCCGTCGCCGGTGGTGTCTCGGCGCCTGCATCAATACCGGGGATGGTGAGATTCGCGCTCCCCGCCGCGCGGCGCGCGAACTTAACATAGCGGCCTACGAATTCCTGCTGTCTCTTCCAGCCGAGGTACAAGGCGAAGTAGTGTCCCGCGCCGCCGACGAAGATGAACAATCCCAGAAGCACAGTGCCGAAGCCAGGGCGAAAACGCGCGTAGTAGTATCCAGTCCCCTTCCAGACGGGGAAGCCATTAGCGAGGAAATGATCGTAGCGCGCGCGCTCCGGCCCTTTCAAGAGTTTCTGAACGAGACCCAGGCGCGCGAAGCGGTCTGAGGCGGCTTTAGCGGCGGCATTGATTTCAGCGTTTGAAGGGCGGCCGGCGGGTTTCTTGGACTTGTCGGTGGATTTGGTGCGGGAAGCGATGAACTTCTGCTTTACCTTGTCGGGGTGAAGGGCGAGGGAGCGCTTTTTGTAGGCTTTGGTTATCTCGTCGTGGTTGGCGTTTTGCTTGAGGTTGAGGAAGTCGTAGAAGGTTACTTCGGGGCCTTCGGAGAGGGCGATTTCGTCGCGGAGGCGGAAGATTTCTTGGTCTGGGGGGGGGAGGGGTGTTAGTTGGTGGTTGTGGGGACTGGATGGTGAGGATGGGAAATGGGAATTGGGGATTGGGAATTGGGAAGATGAGAAGGTGAGATTGGGGAATGAGAGCATACCTTCTTTGCTCCATGCGGCCACCAAGGTGACAGCGCAGGCGACGACGGAGAAGGCGAGGGAGAGCTTCATGATGGCTAGATAGACAGAACTGGTCCGTCTGGCAGGGCGAGTCGAGGTGGTGTGGTGCGGCCAATTAAGAGACCTGGTGGTGTTGGCGGTGATGTGGCACCTTTGCTGGCGATTAGAGATTGGACAGCGTCGTGGTCATTGAGGGTGGTGAACAATGAAGTTATATAGGGAGCTTAGATTATATATAACCCGACTGCTGCTCACCTCACAATAACCAGACTGGCCTCAGGAACGGACTATAAATGTTGCGACGTTGTCACTTTCCAAATGTTTAATTGTGGGGACTGACAGTTTGCGGGTTAGCGTGGTGAGGTGAAGCGAAGTGAGGGAGAGTAGCTGGAGTGGGTTTAGCGTTGTGATGGCCTGACATATGGGGACTAGGCTGAGTAGGCGGGTCGGGCTGAAGGAGTGGTTCGACCACAGTTGAGCACAGGACCACGTATGGATATATCACGTGACATCATAGTACCTGGAGCTATCTATGTCACGTGTTATACTATACAACGAGTAGAGTGGGATAGCGGGAATATCTTGAGAAACTCTAGAATTCTAGTGGTAGTGGAGAAGAAAGTTGTGGGAACGCCCTACCAAGTGTGCTTCCAAGTACTCGGATGGTACATCTAGGACCAGTCGGAGACCGCATGCATGTCAGCTTTTTACCTTATTAGAAATACTAGAAATACTAGAAATACGTGGGAAATAGAGCCAGATCTTTATCTGCCCAGCCATGCTGCAAGTACAGCCCAAGTACTCCTTTTCTCCTTCCCTCACCGTATAGAAATCCAAGCTGTGAGTTTGAGACCTGTGAGCTGTGAGCTGTGAGCTGTGAACGGACAGATGAATGGGACAAACGGGGTACAGCGAACACCAGCGTATATAGCGTATTCAGCGTATTCAACGTATTCAACGTATGGCAAAAAAGAGGACAGACGACACCGCATCAAGTACCCGCTTGGTACTTTCTCGCTGACCACGCATACGTGAGTGGGCATACTCCGTAGGTGAGCGTGTATGTGTATACCCGACAATACATCATACCGACAGTATACCGACATAAGCTTCCTGCAGTCTCTTCCCCATTCCCTCCATTCCCCTCATAGAAAAGAATTCCACCATAGATCCATAGCTGTGTGTTGTCCTATTTGATATATCTTTGACGTCGTGTCTCTTCTCTCTTCCCTTCTTTCCCCTCCTTCCTCTTCCTTCTTCTCTCCTTCCCAATCCTCACACTCTCTCCCCGCTCTCTGCGGCCCTATACCACCAGCGCCCATTGCTGGCTGGACCCAAAACCCCGGTGGTGCTCTCACGAGCAAGAACTCGACAGATCACTCACCGCTGCCCCGATATTCAGCCGCCGCATGACGAGTCAAGGGGACTTATCGTGCGTGTAAGGGAAAGGACGAGGTGGTGGACAAAGAGGTCGTTGTGCTGAGTGAGTTGTTCCTTCATCCTCTATCCAAATCACTTCATCTGCACTGTACCCTGAAGCCATGCCAGCTGGACCTCAAGCTGGACCAGACCAACTCCACCCATTTTCCCCCATCCACAATGACGAACCCCCTGCTTACTTAAGTCCGACGACCACAGAGCAACTTACGAATACTCCCCTTCACTCTTCTCTCGAATTTCGACAGGAATAGACCCGGATTCATTTATCTTCTTCTTCCTCCCAAGCCCTCCAAGGCTTCCAGATCGCCAATCACTGCCCGTTGCGCCGAGAAAAGTAGTATTGCTATTGTTGGTATTTATTGGCACTGACTTCCGACCACTCGGCATTACGTGAACCAACCCCTGTTGCGGGTTATCGGATTATTTGGGGATAATTACGGGCCTCCGAGACTCTCCTATTTCAGTCAGCTCCAGCTCCCAAAAAAGATTCACAGCCTACAAAACGTACGTACGTCAGTCATCGAGATTACATTTGTCGGCCTTTTCAATTGTCCACTTAGACTTCACTATTTTATAAACAAAGGTTCGTGAGCCTGGCACCTTCCCGAAGCTAGTACCTTTTACTGGTGCCTGGGAGACTTGCGTGTCTTTTGCTGACGACACCAGCCCCTGCCCATCACAGCTCCTTGCACCTCCAAAAAGATTTGACAGATCTCCCGTCACGACACGAAATCACTACAACCATCCACACCCGTCTTCGCGTACATAAAGGACTCAATCCGCACCTCGATTCGTCAGGAAGCATCTCTGAATCACTATAAACCAACTACAACTCCACAAAACCCTCGATTACCTCTCAATTCGTCATTAACAACAACCCAACCTTCACAATGGCACGCATTCAGATCCCCCTGGACGTCTTCACGTCGAGACTCAACCTCTCCGACCGCCTTGCTGGCTTCCGCTCGCAGACCATCGGCTCCCGCTTCGCCAACATCAAGCCCATCTCCGAGTTCCTCGACTTCAAGCGCCTGTCCAAGCCCGCCAACTTCGGCGAGGCCCAGTCGCGCGTTAACTGGAATCTGGGCCACTTCTCCAGCAACTATGCCGCCGTGTTCGTGATGCTCAGCATCTACAGCCTGGTGACGAACCCGCTCCTCCTCTTCGTCATCTTCCTCGTCGTCGGCGGCATGTGGGCTATTGGCAAGCTCGACGGCCGCGACCTCGAGCTCGGGGCCAACCGCATCACCTCATCCCAACTCTACACCTTCCTCCTCATCATCGCCATCCCCCTGGGCTTCTTCGCGTCGCCCTTCTCGACAATCCTGTGGCTCATCGGCGCGTCCGGAGTCACCATCCTAGGACACGCCGCATTCATGGACAAACCCATCGATGCGGCTTTTTCCGGGGAGGCGGTCTAGGTGGTCGGCCGCGATCTCCCGAATCTATGCCCCCATGGGGAAGACCACCGGGGGCGAAGGGGAGCAAGGCGCGCAAGCGGTGGGAGCGCGACCAGGCTCGCTACCGCGAGAGCGTGCGCGTCGAGGAGCTCGACTCGGACGACTCCTCGGACGCGCGCGGTGTCGACGTTAACGGCTACCCCGCCCGCTACGCCGCCATCGATGTCGCCCCCAAATCGAGAAAGGCATACGCGTACCAGTCCGACTCGTCGTCCAGCAGCAGCAGCGCCTCCTCCACCGACAGCGACAGCAGCGGCAACGTCAGCGCGGCCCAGATCGCCCTTCGCGACAAGGAGGAAGCCCTCGTCCAATCCGCACTCGCGCGCATCCGGCGCGCCCAAGAAAAAGGAAAATTAGAAGTGAAGCTCCGCGAGGATGAGCTCGCCGCCCTCGAAAACAGGCGGAAGCGCATCGCTGCCGAGAATGCGGCGAAGGCGAAACCTAAATCCTCGTCCTCGTCGTCTAAACGCGATAAAAACAGTGGCGGCAGCGACCGAAAGAAAAAGAAGGGTTCTGGTCCGCCAATGGTGACTGTCCCCATCGTCCCGCCGCCCGAATCCGCACCGTCGTCGTCAAGACCGCAATCCAGACGCCACAGCCGCGCCATCCACGCTGACCCCGCACTGATGGAGTCCTACGCCGCAGCGGAATACCGCCCCCCCTCCTCGCACTCGCACCAGCACCAACACCACGCGTCGCCGGGTCGTCAACGGTCGTCGTCGTCGCTCGCGCGCCCGGGGTCGCAGCACTACGCGTACCCGCCGCCGCCGATGATGACGGGTCGCCATGTCTCGGATGGGGTGAGGCCCGGGTCGTCGGCGTCGATGGCGGGGATGCAGATGCCTATGACTGTTATGCGGGCGATGTTGCCGCATGAGGAGGGCTGGGATCCGAGTGCGTCGCGCAGGGGGAGCGTGGGGAGTGGGGTGGGGGGGGTGGAGTATGATCCGTTTGAGTACCAGGTTAGGGGGGAGGGGGAGTATGGGCGTGGTGGTGGGGGGTATGCTGGTGGTGGAGGTGGAGGGGGGGGGTATCCTGTGGGAGGGGAGGTGGTGTATTCGAATGTTAGGAGGGTTATGCCTCCTGGCGGTGGTGGGGGGTATGTGGAGAGGAGGGACGAGAGTAGTAGTAGCGAGGAGACGGATGAGGGGAGTGGTGTCAGGGTTGTACCGGAGCGGGTTAGGGAGAGGGAGGTTGTTCCTGTGCCGGTGGCGACGCCGTCGAAGAAGGGGAGGAAGAAGAAGCGGTAGTTCATTTGCGCGCGGGGGGTTCGACTCCTGTTTTTGTTTTAATGGCTTGTTTTTTTTTGGAGAGAGAGAGGGAGATGGGGTTGTGCGTTGTTTTTTGCTTTCTAATGATGAAGATGACTTGTTTGTTTTTTAGCTCTAAAATTGGGGGGAAAGGGGAGGTTGCATATAGAAGTTTATTCGTAATGGGTGGAAAAGCGAGGGGGGGTTATATATTATTTTTGATGGCTGAGATTTATTGTCTTTTTTTGTCTGGTGAGATGTAAGTGGGTGTGATGTAGTGTGGATGGTTGGGTGGGTGGCTAAGTGATTAAGTGACTGGTGAGTGAGTGAGTGACTGGTGAGTACGTGTGGGTGGTCAGTGAGATGGAGATCGAGAAGGGGGCCTCTGCCTCTCTATCGACCCTACTAACCTCACTCTACAGTTCGAGATTCAGGTTTATGTAACACTGTGATGACAGAGCTTACGTATATCGAGGTTCGTTGTCTACGTAGTAGTGTTCTCGCATCAGCTTCACAGACATTTTATTATAGGGCCGCATTTTATCCCTTCTCAGGATGGACCAGGATACCCTCAACCAGCTCTCCTTGCTTGATGCACAAGGCAGCACAGATGGATACGGGCGTGGAGTGGAACGCGTTACCAGTCGGCGTAAACGAATTTGATTACCTCGGAGCAGTGATTGCGAAATATCAAACCTTGATGTTGCCCACCCCTGCAGCTACTAAGCCGCTGCCATCCAACCCCCCTAAGAAGACGAAGACCAACCTACCCTAAGAGACTGCTACGAGCAGCCGCCCTCCACGCAACACTACCGCTGCAGCCCTTAAACCTAATGAGACGGCGCAAACCCCACTCTTATCTACCGTCCGCGACGGAATTCAACGTACAGTACTACTCGGGCAACACTGTGCATTACATCTACTTCATATAAACCGAAATCTTCACTTCTAAGAGATATGGGACATACTACTTACTGCTGCGTCCTCTGTGGCGCTATAATTGGCGAAGACACTGAAACGTGGCTAGACGAGTTCCGTGGAGGTTTGAAGCCCATACCCAAATTACAGCATCGTATGACTATGCTAACTGTAAATCCCAATATAGTTTATATCAAAGAAAATCAGTGGAATAGTCCACGGCTCTCCGGCATAGGGATTATAACTGATACCATCGGTGTTAACCTTACGGTGCCTCTCGAAGCAGACCAAAGGCATGACGATGTCGGCCTTGACCCGTCTGCCATCATGGATTTATGGTTGTTTAAATGCTCATTTAGCAAAACGAATGAATATCCGTGGTGCGTTCCACAGCCCTTTTGGGGGTTTCCTTTCCACGAATCGTGCTGGGTCCTTCTAGGTATCCTACACGGGCCTGGAGATCTTGACATACAAGCCCTACATGGGATGTGCCGGTCCTTCCCGGTAGTAAGTTGCCTACTAGACTTTGGACATGATTACGGAGGAACAATGCAATACTACCCTGACCCCAAAGATCACATTCCAGGGGAAGAGTGTAGTGTTAGTAGAAGTTATTATAAGGAGCGTTACTATCCTCAAGACTCGAAGAGGGACCCTATGGAGTACTCCGACCCCTTAAATATTCCTATTCTCCAAGAGATATTCCAACAGACGTTCAAGAAGGCGGGCGGGGTTAACAAAAAGAACGACGCTGGCGAAGCCGCCTGGACCAACGATTCGAACCCAACCGATTGCTTCCAACTTTTCCCGACAGAGATTATCTACGACATTCTCGTCTGCTTGCCATCGAAAGATGTGCTGAATGCTAAGCTGGCGTCAGCGACATTTGCCGCCTTGCCGCTGACAAACACATTCTGGGCATCGAGATTCCAGCGAGGTTTTGAATTCCATTGTGTTTTCGAGGCCCAAAGATTACAGACAAACGACTCCGACTGGGAAACAATGTATCTGAGCGTTAAAAGCCTTCAGAATACCCCTAGCTTCAAAAACAGGCGTCGGATCTGGAAGCTTCTCCTTCTTGTGGAGGAGTTACATAGCCGTTTGATTTCGGCGGAACTAAAAGGCACTATGTCACATTCATTTTTCGAGCCAGATGCACCGGAAGATAATAGGTCATGGAATTTAGCAAGCGGTGTACTGTGTCAACCAGACAATTACTTCGATCGTGGCTGTAGGTCCTTGTTTGCAAGGACCGTAGACATTACCCGTAAAGTCACTGGCGTATTTCTCAGCTTCGCTAGATTCAATAGCACAAAGTATGTTTCGGGTATTCGATTTCAACAGTGCAATGGCGTCAATAGCTCTCTTGGCTACGTCGTCTCGGATGAGGAGATCGAATTGGATGTGGATGGGTCCGTTCTGAGCAAGGATGGATGCAGCATCTTTGGGTTCTATCTTGCTATTGATTCCCGAGGGGTACGGGCATTGTCTCTGTTGGCCAGTAATGGCAAAGTGTCAACATGGGTTGGTGAACATGAAGGGATCCCTAAGACGCGATTACTTCTGAATCAAGGGGATATTTTAAGTCTAAAGGCTGGATTCGATGTAGGTTGTTTCTATGCCACTTATGATATCTCTACTGACCCGCTCAAATGCCTTCAAAATGGTGGCACTAGGTAGCTTAGATGACGATTTCACTCCGACAGGTCAGTTGGACCTCCGAGACCATGCTCGATGGTTGCCAGATGTGCCTAATGAGGCCCTATCTTTAAATGCGAGTTATGTCCCTGCGATAACAAGACGACCCCCGCAAAAATACAGCCCGCTAACCATGCTGTTATTTGGCGGTCGGCACGGCGCGCATCTCTCGAAACTAACCATGATATCGATCTGGATGGGGGAAGACGCGCAAATTCTTGGCATATACTTCACGTACAGCGTCGAAGTAGATGGATACAAGGTCCACAGCTTAGGACGACCATGGCCTCTAGGTCGAGATGATAGGAACCGAGTGCCTTGCGACTGCTATTATACAAACGAGTGCTTAATAGATTACTCTGGCGGTGATTGTCCAGGAGACGTACGGGTTGACTTTCCAATTGATGGGCCTGGAGGGGAAATTATAAGCAGAGTCGATCTACAATCCATGAGTTGCGGAACATTTCTGGGATTTCGAGTACGTTTACTCCTTTGCCTACGACGCCTACCATGTTCGTTATTAACAGAGATGGCCTAGATCAATACTAACTTTAATCGGACTGCTACATTTCCTCAGGAACGTGTAGATGATAATCTTGATGATTTTCCTCTACAACCTGTGGAAACTCCTGGATTAACGACAATAACTGGATTTTACTCTATACTAGTATGTTATTACCCATGCAAGGCATCTATGACTATGATGGGCACATACTAATGATTATAACAGTCTAGTTCATGTGGTCTAGATTACCTAGGCGTCATCTCTGAACACATTCAAAAGGATGATGATCCCAGTGTGATTCCCGAAGCGTGATTCTTACGCCCAATCGACAGCTACACCCGCACTCTGACCTTACTCGAATTTTGAAGTGATGGCGATCAAGGGATGGCAGGAGCGAGGCTATGCTTGAAGATTCCGTGGAGAGACAATGTCGAAGTTGGTCGGCAGTAGGCAATGATATAACTATAGAATTACGCGCCGAGTCCATCTCCGCAAGATAACAATATGCACGACCTCGCTGCTCCTCGGTCGTCTCTAGCAACTCGCCCCTATTCATCTTCCCTTGGGAAATTGAGGTCCCAGTCGATTATTAACAAGCCGATGAATGGAGCATATTGTCTATTAGGTAAATGAGAAAGTTTTATACACACAGCAGCAGCAACATATGGGAACGAGCCGGCAATAGAGAGAATCATCTTCGCAAAGCCAGAGTTGCCCGTTTGACAAAATGGAGGCGGATAAAGGCCTGCAGGCGGGTGCCGGTGGGTGCCTCATAGTGTGGGATTCCTCTTCTTCAGGGACGTCTGGGTTTTCTCGGGGTTGCATTGTCGTTCCATACACGATCTGAGCCCTGAAAGTAGGCGATACATTTATCAACTGATGGAACGAGATGTTTGGTTGGGACTTCCTTGCGTGAAGGTCCGTCCAAATTTTGTACGAGACAGCTTCCTCGATGGCCCGAATGGGCCTGGCGCCTACGAACGCCTCAATTCCAGTCTCCTTCTTGGCCCTTAGCTTACGTTAAACACCTGGAACCGGGGCAGATGCATCCCCTGGTCGGACGGTCCCTTGTCCCAATCTGACGTCTTGTGGTGCGAGAGGCGTCTTCCTCTTTTCCGCACCATACGTTTTCATAGGTGGGCGAACATCAGCCGTAGCAGTAGACACATGGGGTTCCTAAAAGACTGAGACACTCCCACTAAGCATCTTGTTTCGAGTCCTTGAAAAGTCTGAATCCTGATCGTAAAGTCCATCATATTCCTGGAAAGCCTGGAAAGAGATCATATTGCAGATGAGAGACGGGAGGTGGTATAGATGGATCACACGGCATAGGCCTTTGTAAATGAGGGGATGAAACATATATTAATTATGTCTCATTGCTCGTGTGCCTACCATCCCTCGTGTCTTATCCCGCATATCTCATCCCCTCACTTCTCACCCTGGAAAGGAGAATAACCGACCAACCGACGCCACCTCACCATCTCCACGCCTTTGACAGAAACATTTTTATAGCCCGTTCTCTATGTCCTGTCACGAGAACTTGTATATGTGGTACTCAGAAAGGGATCCTATCATAGAAGGGGGAAAGGAGGCTGTCTGTAGGGAGATTTTACGGAATTAGATCCTGTGATGAGAAAGAAAGAGGCGAGACATGATATTCCTCCAAGAAAACAATATAGCCGATCAACCGACGCAGCCTCGTTAGTCCGCATGCTGCGAGGTGAGGGATGGTAGTAACTCTCCCGTATATCTTATTACTAGAGGTTTGTAGATATGATTTTCATAAAGATGTTTCGTTACAGGAGGAAGGGTTGATATTTATTGTTTCTTTGGTGGTAGGCTTTGCGGGGGTTTTGCGGCAGTGATGGGTTGTGGGGCCTCGTTCTGACAGCTGTCGATCTGGGTTTCTTCACCGAGTATGCTTCTGCGAATCCGAGAATTTTTACGTCGCATACTTCTAGGCTACCATCAGTCGTCTGCTTCGGGTAAGATTCTGTTATTTATTTTGAGCTCTTGGGTTGGGATTCAAGGACATTGTTACATTCATGTCGTTGATGACCAAACACAGGTATAATGCATTTCTCATTGATTTGCGGGGTGACAGTTGCAATATGGATAATGGCAGCCCATCGATCAGCATTAATGTGCTTTCACAAACCTACTTGCAAGATAGAGGCAATAACAGCCTCAACTCATCATCCGAGCGCTGCCACGAACCCGTTTTCCCCCTTTCTCCGTGACCTTTGTGCAGAAAACATCAGCCCCCTCATCTGTCCAGCGAATAATCCATGCCGGAAGGGATGAGATCTTCTACGGGAGAAGATAAATGATTCTGTCAAGCTCCTCCATAACTTCCAGTTGAGCGGCAACTTCAACTCTGATATCCTGTGGATCGAGCGCACCCTCCCTTCTCCTCTCCTCCGCTCCAAGATCTTCAACTTCAGGGGCCAAAATGTTAACGCAATAAAACGGCAAAAGAATTGACAAAAAAACATACAACAGTGGGTATTCGCTGGTGGTCACCCACCCAACTACTAATCCACCGATCTCAAGCTTGTGTATGGCAGAGCGGACGGGATGCCCAATTCTCTTGAGTCTATGGTCGTATGTGCTGGTTGCTAGAATGTTGGGCCATATATTACACTAGGAACAGGCAATGGACGCTGGTTGAAGCACAACCAAATCTTGTTATACCACGGCACACCAGCGGAACACCAGCGGCACACCTCTAGAGGCGCCATGGAACGGTGAGAGGGTGGTATTTGTTAAAAATTAGATCCCACAGGAATACTTTACTGTTGTCGGCGAGCAATTTCCTTTCGTTGTCCTTTTCGTAAAGGTAGTCCTGCTTAGCTTTCGTAACGTCGTAAAAGCGGTCTCTTATCTGACTTAGTCCCAGCTTTAAAGTATCGGTAAATTGAGTCTTTGATACCATAGACCGCCTAGCAAAGATGGAGCTGGAGTGCTGCTCCTTGACCAACAAGATATCATCGAGAATGGAGTTTACGTCAAGATCGCCTGCCTTGATTTGGTTGGCTCTCTTATGCGTTACGAAGAAGAGTGGGCCATAAACAATATATTCCACAAAGCGCTTTGCTTGCTTGAGGTCGACGCGTAGCTGAACCATCTGTGCAATGGTGAAGTCCACTTGACGTTGCTGCTACAAAACAGTTAGATGTGAGTATGGTTGTGTATCTCAGTATACTGCGTACCTGTACAAGCGGCTGGAATTTCCTTGCGATGAGGTAGTCCGTCAATGTGGTTCGTCTACCAACTTCTCCCGCCGTCTGCACAAATGACTTATACTCGGCGAAGTCATCATTGGAGCAATCGGCATCCTTGATTTCAATTTCAGTGAAGTTGAAGAATTGGGATAGAAACGGTGGCTCTTTTGGGTCCATGAACCTGAAAGTCTCCTCTCGCACAATTGCGAGAAAGGCCCTCAGGCGAGAAACCGCACCAGGGTCCGTAGATATATCAGCTAGTACGTCAGGCAATGCAGTAGCCATCGCCTTGCTGAATTCATCCGTTATGTCCTGTGGAGAATTTTCGGGTTCTTGGAAGGGATCGAACTGCTCGTGGCTGTCCTTATTTTTGACATCGTTGAGTGTCGTTGGATCTCCAACTTCGGGCTTGGTAGGCTCATCCATGGCGAATAGTCGATCGAATGGGCTGTTATAAATACGATGTCAGCAAAGATTGCCTGACAATGATCGTAGAAAAGTAAGATTTAGAAAAGCACTTACTTGAAACTATGTTTTGCAATATATCACAAAGAAGCAGAGATCGAACTGCCGAATAGTTGCTAAAGCAACTGAAGTAAAATTAGCGAGGGAACAGTGAAGCTGCCAAGCTCGAGGGCCTATAGAACTTACCCAAAGCCGCAGATGTGGGACGTTGTATGCCCCTCTAAAGTGAGGATAGCCTTGAGGCTGATCTTGTTTGTTGACCGAGGGAGGTAGGTGGGTGATGGTGGGAAAAAAGATCGATTCGCTTGATGTGGGTATTATAAAAACTTCAACTTCAAATTCACTTTATAAGCGCTCTGCGATCGATTTCACTTTGTGAAGACTCGCTAGTACTTTTCTCTGCTACTTGCATACCTTCAGTATCGTCCACACTACATTTGGATTTGAAGTTGAGCAGCTTCAATCAACAGCTGGCATGCTTCTTCTTGCATTTCTAATCTCTGTTCCCATCCTCTCTCAAATACCACTTCCTACATTTTGGTTCAAGATTCAACTACTTTGATCTTGCTTCCGTCCTTCAGCTCTCCAAACTTCAGCTTCACTCTACAAGCGCTTCACTCCACAAACAGACTCAAGGCTCCTCAAAGGTAAGCATCACTTTCTGCATTTGGTTTTGGGGTTCAACAGCTTCGATCTAACCTTGCTAACCTTTACAGAGCTGATCAACTCTCTGCTTCTCTTCGAAATACAGTTGTTCACAGGACCATTTCAAGTACGTCGAAGTTCTCCACGCTGTGAATTCAAGTTCAATACTAAGTTCCTTGCAGATATGTCGTCGAACATCAACTTCAATGAGGCAATTGCGGACTTGACTGCAATGCAAGAGCATCTGCAGATCTCAAGCCTGCCCGTTGAAGCCACAGAAATCAAGGGCGACAATGAGATCATGGATGCCGAAGATATATCCATGGACGAGGAAGAGGGTCCAGGAAAGTACCTCGAGTTCTGGGACCTTTATTCAGCACTCAACGTTACGATGGCCAATACCATCGATGCCCAAATGGATACGTACAAGCACAGTGTAAAGAAGGCCAAAGAGCTCTATTCGACGAGAAAGACACCGGAGACACCGGATGAAGCAGCAGCTGATAGCGCGGCTGCACTGAAGTTGTTCGACGAGTCTCGCTTTCAACAGCACTATAATCGCATAGATATCTCGTTACAGGCGCTGGAGGACCTCGACGTCGCCGTATATCATCTCGAACTCAGTGAAAAGTCGGGCAATGGGGTTCCAAGGATGCTATCGCAGCTGTGCGACAGACTCGAGTATTTCTTTGGCTGCAAAGCAAGGGTTCTTAGGTCATGGGATAAGCTCGAAGCTATCATCACAGAAGAATTGAAGTTCTGGGAGGGGAGACAGTGATTCGTCACGGTCAATCGGCGGCCACACACGCACTCCAGCTTTTCTCGGACTTTGAAGCAATGACGGCCAAGGCATGACAGGAGCGAGGCTATACTTGAAAATACCGCGCAGAGGCAGAGCTATTCGTCACTGTCGATGACAGTCCCTTCCAATCAAGGACTGATCCAACATGTCTTGCTTACGGATTATTTCTTTTCTTCGGTTTCTCAGAGCATTTCAAAACAACAGCGACTAGGGCCGACATGGCAAGAGGCCGAGGCTATCCTTGAAGATGCCTTAGATGGACACTATCGCCGTCGATCGGCAGCTACAATAAATCGAGAGCCAACCAAATACATCTTGCGGATTTTTTCGCCTTTTCATTTCCTAAAGCATCGCGGAGCAACGATAGTTCATATTACAATTAACAGTTCTGCCCAAACCACTGCATCATTTCCGCACACAGCTGAAGAAGAAGAACGACTTGACATTGCATGGCCTAACAAATGTTGTATTTCAAACGCCGACAATAATGACCCCCGTTCGCCAACGCGTTTAATCGCAAATCCCTGCCACCCAAATACCTATAACTGTAAATCTTAACTGACAGCTACAACTATAACCCCCGTTCCCAAACTATCCACAATCCCCATCCCCGTTATCAACGCCTTTCCTATCCCGCAATAACGAACATGGCTTACACCCCGCAAATACTATATATAATACCCGCCGACTGCCGACTGCCGTCTACCGTCTGCTACTGCCCGGTGGCGGCATGCACGGGCTCAAGAAAAAAACACCAACATACATCGGGAGCACTAATAGATCTTGAAAACCTCGGCATCATCATAAGCACACGACTCCCCCCATAAAATCTTAACAAAAAAACTATATATCGACTTACCATTCCCATACAAATCGCACCCATTCATATGTACAAAACCCCTTCCTGCTCAAAGGGGAAACAGCCCCATAGCCGAGGATGAACCCCTTCCCCGGATGTACCCCAGATCTTCAACCCCCCGGACCCCACACAGCCCCCCTAGCCCCCCTACCGAAAAAAGCCCTCACCAAACTCCACCTAAACCCCAAGCATCCACCAGGCTGACAGCACGCTGACACCTCCAAGCCGCTCCATTAGGCCATTTTCCCCTCTTTTTCCCCTCCTTCGGCCCTTCCTCTGGACTCCCAACTCCCAACAAGTGGAAATCGATATAGTGAGACGAAACATAACTAGTTCATGCGTGCGCGTATATAGCCCGGAGGAAGTCATGTGATATACAACCGTTGATCCCAGCTCGTGGAGTTGTGGTGGTGATTGAAATAACAAGGAGTCCCCCGAACCCCCAGACCCTGATCCCGTTTCCCCGCCTGCGCGCGTGCTAGATCCTTGCGTCGCATCACCCGCAACGACGATACGACGCTCGCACGACGCCGAAACGTGGTTAATATGTCGCATCAATATAGCCTGTACCCTACGGCGAGCGCGGTGGCGTCGACGACGGCGGCGGCGGCGATGATACCGCAGGAGCCGTTGACGCCGACGAGTATCTCGACGAGGGGGAGGTCGAGTACGAGCACGAGTACGAGCGCGAGCTTGAAGAAGGGGAGTAAGAGGGAGAGTAAGGATAGTAAGAGTAGTACTGGGTCATCGTCGTCATCGTCGTCGAAGAGGGATTGGATTGAGCATCCGTTGCCGGTGGGGATATCGATTGGAGGGAGAGGTATGTCTGTTTGTCTATCTGAGCTATAGCTATCCCGTCTCCCCGTCCCGTCCCTTCCATTCGTTACCAATGACCATTTCGGTGGGCGGCGCCAACTCCCCAATCCCCGTTCACAAATCCCATAATACCAACGAGATATACCCCGCCGACTTTCAAATCACTAAGCACCACAACTAACACGCCCAGTAGAACGTGTCAACCCCGCCGTCGCTGTTCTCGCCCCAGCTTTTGCAGAAGATCCAATCATAACTTACGTCCTTAACACACTCGACCCCGTCGCGCGGCGCGCCTACCTCCCCGCCTACTTTACGGCGCTAGTCACGCAAGCGACGCTGAACGGCGCTTACGTGCTCGAGCACTCCGATTGGGAGAGTTGCCTGACTGTCCTCCCTCCCGGACGGAAAGTCGAGAATCCCTTCACCCTTTTGCAATCCGGGCTAGTGGGTGTGCTCCGGAAAGTGGGGTTATCATGCGTCAAGCGGATGCTAGGAGAATTCGAAGGCGCAGTGAAGAAAGCGCGGAGGCGCGGACTGGCGAGGGGAGAGTTGCCGTATTACGTCTTCTTTGTTGGAACGAGGGCGGATCGACAGGGTAGGGGGTTGGGGAGGGAGTTGTTGGGGGAAGTGACGGAGAGGGCGGGGAGGGAGGGGAGGAGCGTGTGGTTGGAGGCTACGACGGCGGATAGTAGGCGGTTGTTTTTGAGGATGGGGTTTGTGGATGTGGAGGAGGTGGTTATGGGGAGGGGGAAGGTTGGGCCGGGGGGGTATGAGCAGATTGGTGGGCCGGGGGTGAGGTTGTGGTGTATGGTTTGGAGGAAGGGGGATGTGGTGGTGAATATTCGGGATGTGGAGGATGAGGAGGAGGAGGAGGGGGATGATTAGGGCGTTGGTTAGAGAGGGGTAATGGGTTTAAAGGGTTCGGAAAGGGTGGTTGTGGGTTTCGGGAGAGATGTGGGGATGGGAATTCGGAATTCGGAACGGCTTGGGGGTTTCGGGCGTGTCTTGGGTCTTTGTGGCGGACGGGTCGGCGGTGCCCTTGAACCAATCTTTTGTTGGCAAGTTCGGCTTACTCTGTTCTTCTATTTTCGACACCTGGATGGGGTGTGGGAATGTGTTTTACGATAGTTGATTGGAGTTTTGTCAGCCTTTCTTCTTTTCTATTTGATACCACTAAGCTGTCAATGCTACGGCATTTTTTTATTCTATTATATAGCCAATGAAGCTATTAATTGTTTTATGGAAATATCTCTAGGACTCAATTTATATAGCCAATGAATATATCATTTATTTTATGGAGGTATTTCTTGGAATTAATAGATTATGTGTCTTCATCATCTGGGAACATCTGGAATGACACCCGTCTATAACACTTTTCATCTATCCCGAAGAATATAGCCCACCCGCCTCAAACCACACACCTATCCCGCCGCCTCCCGCCATGTAAGCCTCATTTCCACAATACCAGGGCAAGACAATCCAAACCACCTCAATCGATATTCCAGCCTCAACGCCACCATCCTGCACCGCCATCACACTGCATCACCATCGCCATCGCGTCTAAGACAGGCACTCACTCACTCAGCTCAGCCGCAGACATGAGAAGCCATTTACCATCACCGTGTCAACTGATTAAAAAAACAGATAAACACAACAATCCACCACGTCTCACCAGCCTCTCCCCTCTCTCTCTCTGTTTATACGCTGCCAAATACATACCAAGCTTCGCCAACGAATTCACCCACACCCACACCCATGAAGCTGGAAACTGACAACTGACAGAATAACAAACACCCACTTACTACCCACCTAACCCATCAGTATGGGTGTCACTTCCCCCCACACTACACAGACCGGTCTTCCCCACCACACACGACCATTTCTCGAAGTCGAAGGATGAGCATGTGGGGGAGGGAGACGAGTCGCGTTTGTACCACCACCACCACCGCCGGCGTCAACCCCCCTCCCACAAAGATTGTGGAGAGGGAAGAAGAAGAACAGACGCACAGCACGCACGAAGGTGGAGGACGACGCAGTATGTGCGAACAAAATACAACAGTGCAGTACAGTACAGTTACTGGGTGTAGTCCCCTCCCTGACCCCCAACCTGCACGACCACCCCATCTCGGACGGACCTGCGTGCATGCATACCTACGTTCGTGCGTGGTTTACCTTGCATGCATGTCTAGCGCGTCTTCTCTGCACCACTCGGGGCACGTCGTTGATGTTCCCTCATCACTCGGGCCTGTGACGGGCCGACATGCGCACCGATGGCGTGCCGCCACCAGCGAACCGATAGGGGAAGAGGGAGGAGGTACGGAAGGATGATGGTTTGTAGGGCCTCGCTCTGTGACACGGCGAGGCGATGGGAGACGCGCGGATTGGGCGTGGAATCGGCGTGCGCGCGGGCGTGGTCGGTGAGACATCCGTGCTGTGTGGGAGGGAGTGGATTGTGGGACGGATGTGTGCCGGCGGCAGGCGTGTCGGTGCTGTGCTGTGCTGTGGACAGCGGCGGGGATGGAGCTTGATCGGGACGGGGCGGAGGGTGGGAAGGGGGTTAGTGAGGTGATGTGATGTGAGTTTGGGTTAGTGAGATGGTGGTTGGTGGATGTGGGTGTGGGAGTGGGAGTGTTGCTGGGTGGGAAAGAGTGGGAATAGTGGGTGGGGATACAGCCGTGGGTGGGAATAGTGTGTGGGAATAGTGGGAGTGGGATTATGGATGATCTACAGTTGGTGTAGCTCTTGTGCTAGTCCCCACAGTGTTCCGAACTGGTCTGGTTTGTTCTGCTCTATCGGTTTTGCTCTGTTGCGTGGAGTCATTTTGATCGAGTCCAGTTCAGTCGAGTACACTTTGGTCGAGTACTCTTCACTTCAGCCTGTCATCCTCTGTCTACCCATCCCTCACATCCTCTCTAACAAAGCAAGGGTTCCCGTTCGTCTGTCACCCCCATCCATCCTCTCATCACATTTTTCTTCACCCACCCCCCTACCCCCCACCCCCCTACCCCCCACCACATGCACTTCACCCTGTGGCTGAACGCCTCTTTTCGTCCCCTAACTTCCGGTTTCGTGGGCGGGGGGAGATAGGAGGGAGTCTGCCGGTGTGGGTTGGACCGTTGGCGTGGAGAAGGGAATTTCCCCTTTCTTGGCGGGGGATGGGTGGTGTGGCCAATGGAGGGAGGGAGAGGGAGAGGGATAAGGGGGGAAGTGTGATGGGAGGGATGGGAGGTATGGGAAGTATGAAATGAGGCGTTGGGGGTATAGGTGGGTTGGTAGGGGAGGGAAGGGGAGGGAAGGGGATCTGTTGATCTGGTGAAGCTCAGCCAGAGAGGTGTACTCTGTACTGGCCTGTGGGATGATGCCATGTGAAGCCGAGTCAGACGCGATCAGTGGGATCGCTGAGGATATAATGGTTAACGACGACGTTATTAATCTATCTGGTTATTAATGGGTTAATTAGGATCGTATCGTGCCTGATGTGATGGAGGGTCTATCCCGTGCGTAAATAGTATTGTGGTTAGCAACCATGTCCATGCATTACGAGGAGCTACGAGGGTATAGAGGCTGTTATTGAGGGAGTGGGGATTTGTTTGTGTGCCGACATGGAGGCTTTCTGCAGGTTGATAGTGCTGGAAAAGTATCTTGTGGTATGATTTAGTATGAGAGAGTACTTTGGACAAGGGGGGGTAGGGGGGGAGGGGGATCCAGGGGGGACCTTTCCCTACTCTAACTTTTGGTAGGGGTCCCAATGTGAATTTAGTGCCCGTCCTTGTACCCAACAGGGAGAGGAGATGAAGGCATCTCCCTTTCTTCATCTTTTGTGTCTATTGTTCGTTGGTTTCTTCAACAAAGGAATTGTTGCCTTGCATATACTGTATAATACAGTGCAGTATAGATCAGTATAGACTGCGATAACAACCAACAACCTCGACAGCGACAGCGACAGCAACAGCGACGGCGACCTTCCCCAGCTTCATCCCCAGGCTGTCAGCACACTACCTCTACTTTCTACCCGTCCGCCAACCTTTACCCGTCAAAGGGCCCGCCGCCGCCGTTCGTGCCGTGCCTGAGCCGTGCCTGCGTTTCTCGCTACCAAGCCTGTCCTTGTTGTCTCCCTTGGTGTCTCTTCAGTCTCTCCTTGGTGTGTTCCACCACTGCAACATCGGAGAATACCAGAGACACTACGACTCGCCCGCCGAGTCAGCGATCGATACACTGTGGCACCACACACAGATACACGATCCACGATACACAAACACGTCCACGGTGGAAAAAATATATATAAAATTCAAAATACAAACAAAAACGACTTCAAGAACGCGACAATTCATGCCAATCTACAGCTGAATCTACAGCGTCTCACTCCACAGCCACGGATCTACACACGAAACAAAGCATCAATCGTCAAAATCAACCCCCAAGAACGACCACCCGAACTATACAACTCTACACCAATACAATCAGTCAACGATCACTCAAAGACCCCATTGATCGCTGCCTCTCCTTCCTCTTTTCCTCCTCCTCCAAGCCCCCCAAATCACCCCCAAAACTCCCTCCAAACCTTCCCCCAATCAACCCCCAATACTCCATCCTGGAACCCATCCTGCACGCTACTACTGCCACCGGCCTACACTCGACCAGTCGCACGCACGGGCGTTGCATGCACGTCCACCGTCTGCACGGATCCAGCCAACCAACTAAGTAAGGTACTGTCCACTACCCTACCACTAACAGCCACGCTACCACCACACTTGCGACCAAAACCTACGAGAGACCGACGAGGGAGGAGGGAGAGAGTCGCATGGGGCTATCCGGCAATACCTGAACGAACTCCTTTCTCAGGGACCAACCGCCGCCTTATCCATTCCTCACCCGTCTCCTCCGCCTTCCCCCCCCACGACAAAAACACAACACGATTGCGACTCGACGGAAGGGAAGATAGACGACACTCTGCGATTCTTTAGCAGAGACTTCATTTCTGAGGAGATACTGCGAGTTTAGTGCGAGAATTGGGCCTCCATTTTCACCGGGCCGTATCGCATATCCACGTGCATTAACGAGGTAGGTTGAGCGCCCTCTGCTATTTTTGATCCCCCCCCCCCGGATTGCGGATTCACCGTGGTCAAGAGGATTCGCGCACCTTATTCACAGTGAATTTCATGCGATCTTCCCGTTTGCTGTCATACTTGCCGCACTTGGCGAAAAAACCACGGACCCGGCGCTGACCGCATTGCGAAGAACAGTTACAGGACGCCGATCTAGGCCTTAAGATCCCCCTTTATACGCGTTTCGCGAGGTTCGACGCGGGACTTGCCCGGATTGACTCCAACGACGAGCACGCTCGAAAACTGCGACTCGAAAGCCTCGCACGGAAACCCGACTCGAGCGGCTGGCGGGCTGGGCTCTGCATAACCTAGCACCAAACCCGTCGCCCGGAACGAACATATACCACACACATCTCTCCGGCTGAAGTGAGCCGAATCCAAACATACACAATGGCGGCATCCATACCACGACCTTCGCGGCCGTCCTACGGGCCCCCGACATCCGCCCTACCGGCAATCCCAACAACGAAGACGAGAAAGAGCACTGGTGCCATACCCACATTCGCTGACTCGAACGACCTTACAATACCTCTCCCCAAGACCGGACTCCGATCGCCGTCAGGCGGCCCGCCCGAGACAGGTCTCACCTTGCCAAAGACACTGCCAAAACTGAGGACTCTCCCCGCCGGCACGAATTCGCAGGGCAAAACGATACGGAAGACGATCAGCATTAATTCCTTCCCACAGCCGCCGCGGAGCACGCGCACATCGAGTCTACCACCGAGCCCACTCTCTGCAGGCGCAGGAGCGGCGTCGAACCGAGACTCGACAGAGAGCAGCCCTCTGACACCACTCGGCGCAAAGCCGCTGCGGCGGAAACCGAAGACTTCGCTTGGACCTGGCACGCAACTGGCTTATGCGGGCGGTTCCTCGCCCAGTCTACTCAACGGCAGCGGAACTACAAAATCTATATCGAGCGGGCCAGGCGCAAGAGGATCAGATGGCCTTCTCAGCCTCCCTTCACCGCCACAGAGCAGGAGCTCTTCGGCGCAGGACACGGAGTCCACGGCGAGTACGTATGAAGACGGCCTGGATGCCGGGAGGGGCAGGCAGACCTCAGCGGAGCTGGCTAATGGCGACTCGAAGTCGACAGAGGGGAAGGGGAATGTCATCGTGAGCGTACGTGTGCGCCCGGATGCTGGTGGCGATGCGCCGGGCGCAAGCAAGACTGATGGGGAGTGGATGGTGGATGGGAGGCGCTCGCTCGTTGCCTACAAGGGGCCAGCGGGTGGTGACCATTATTATGGTGAGACTACTACATTGAGAATCTACGGACTATGCTAATATCATACAGATAATGTATTTGCGACACACGACACGAATTCCCGCGTCTACGACGGCTCGGCCAAGCGATTAGTACGACGAGTTATGGAGGGATACCATGGAACGGTCTTCGCATATGGAATGACGGGTACAGGAAAGACATTCTCGATGCAGGGCACGGCGACAAACCCTGGTGTCATTCCTCTCGCCATCACCGACATATTCTCCTACATTCGCGAAACCCCTTCACGCGAGTTCCTCCTACGCGTCAGCTACCTCGAAATCTACAATGAGAAGATCCACGATCTGCTCAATCCACCGCCAGCGAACGCTCTTGGCGCAAATGCACCCGCCCAGGAGGAAATCAAGCTCCGCGAGGACGCAAAGCGAGGCGTTTACGCCAGTCCCCTCAAGGAGGAGATCGTGCAGAGCCCGACACAACTTCTTCGTGTTATTGCCCGTGGTGACCACGCCAGACGGACATCGAGCACGCAGTTCAACGCCCGCAGTTCCCGCAGTCACGCCGTCGTGCAGATCGTCGTCGAGAGTCGCGAGCGACTTCCCGGCAACGGTGCTATGTCGGATAACAAGCGCTCTGGGCTCGTCCCCGGTGGTGTCAGAGTCTCAACTCTGAGTCTCATCGATCTTGCTGGTTCGGAACGTGCAGCTGAGACCAAGGAACGCCGCGAGGAAGGATCGCATATCAACAAGAGTCTTCTCACTCTCGGAACGGTCATCGCGAGGCTGTCAGGTGATAAGGATAAGGAGGGCAAGCCGATGGACAAGAACGGCAAGCATCTTCCTTATCGTGACAGCAAGCTCACCCGCCTGTTGCAGGGCGCACTCTCGGGTGACTCCCTCGTCAGCATCCTCTGCACCATCCAGATCGGCTCTGTTGGGTCCGCAGCGGCGGCGAACACGCACACCGGCGAGACACTGAATACGCTCAAGTTCGCATCTCGCGCAAAGAACAATATCGTCTCGCACGCCAAAAAGGCTGAGGAAGCTCTCGGCGCCGGCGGCGACGGCGGCGCCCGCGTGCTCCTCGAGCGATACCGTCTCGAGATTCAAGACCTACGCGGCCAACTCGATGGACAAGCCAGGTCCAAAGACGACGAAGAAGAGAGCAAGCGCGAGAAGGAAGCCGAGCTCCGCCACGAAGAGCAGATGCTCGAAATGCAACTCGCGCGCACAGCACTCAAAGAGCGCATCGAGCACCTCAACCGGCTGATCATCTCGAGTAAATCCACAGGTGTGAATTCCGGGTCCTTCTCCTCGATGGGGAATCATCCCCGCTTATCGACCATGACGTCCAACACCAACCTCGCGTCGGCGCGCTCGTCGTATGCCGCTTCGCTCGCGGCGGATTCGAGGAAGTCCCTTGAACGCTCGCCGAGTATGGCGAGTCAGTCTACGCTGGGGCAGCTGCCGGCGTCGGATAAGGGGGGGACGGGGTCGAGTACCCCGCACCACCATGATGGGCATGATGATGAGGATAGTATGGGGGAGTATGGTGATGGGACGGCGTCGCTTGCTGCGCAGAATAGGGCGTTGCTGGCTGATGTGGCGGATAAGAACCGCTACATCTCCACCCTCGAGAAGCGACTCCTGCAAGCTCGACGATCCAGCCATTCCCGCGCGAGTATCGGCTTCAACGGCGGCAAGAGCGGTGCAGCTGCTGCGGCGGTGGCGGGGGGCGAGGACACCGGCGTCGCTGCGCTGTTGAGGGATAAGGATGCTGAGATCTTGGATCTGAGAGCTAGGCTTGATGATAAAGATCATATGCTCACCGCGCTCCGCTCTGCAGCTCGATCACGCGATGCAGCAGAGCGAAGCGGCGAGACTACAGGACGTACGAGCGTGTTGACGGCGGAGAATCTCGCTAGTGCTGCTGCGGCGCTGGGTAGGGGAGAGGTTGGGCTTGGTCTGGGGATGGGGATGGGGTCAGCGGGGAACCATGTCAGTATTGCCTCAGCGCCTACTGGTGCTCCCCTCCGGACGGGGGCGGTGACGGCGCCTGCTACCCCAGCGGCGGGGGCGGTGGTGGCAGACCCGATGGCGGCGTCGATGCCGACGAGTCCGGTGCTGACGAGTCCGACGAGGGGGAAGGGGAAGAGGAAGAGTGTGGATGAGATGAGTAGGATGCTGGATGAGATGATTCAGGATCGGGTTGAGAGGGGGGAGATTGTTAAGGGGGTTAGGGGGAGTGTGAGGCTTCCTGGGGTTGGGGGCGAGAGGAAGGAGGATGGGGGTGTTGCTGTTGTTGCTTGAGCGGGTCTGTCTTGAAGGAGCTTGGTTCACGGGGCACGGGTTTTGAGAATTCGATGAGCGTCGTGTGTGGGGATTTTTGTATTTGTTATGGGTGTGTTTTGTGTGGTTTCTCCCTTTCTTTTCTTTATACCCCCCCGTTTCTTTCGCTTCATTGTCCACACCCTTCTTTTTTTTCACACACTCGTTGGGGGTTTGTTAGATATATTTTGTTTCGATTTGGGATAACTCGACGGACGAGGAAATTTACAAGGAAAGGAAAGACTGGAAAGACGGGCACGGAAGAAAGTGTGGATGGTGGCGGCGACGCCTGTGGATGGGATAGTACGAGATGAAATAGGATATGGAAGAAAGGAAGGAAAGAAGGGAAGGGGAGCGCGGCGTTAAGGGATCAGGAGTCCGGAAGGAACCTGCAGCGATCGGCTGGTGGGTGGCGTATATGTATGAGTATGTCGTACCATGAGCGATGAGAAAGACAGTCTGTAGTCGGTAATATGGGGGCGAATACCCAAATTCAAATACCAAGATTCACCAAATTAGCTACTTTCGTATACTGTGTGTTCAGCCTAGACTCCTTTGCCTGGGACGTGAGTAGCTTGTACTTTCTCTATCCCCGCCCGCCCTGTCACCACTTTCTCTATGGTTCATTATACTCGCGCCGCCCAAGAGAGAGTAGAGAGGAGCTGTATATAACAACAGTGATTCCGGCAACTACAATTTAATCAGAGGCAGGCGGTCACTCACAGCTACGATCAGCAAGCTAGCTAGCTAGCTACTAATATAGGGAACTGAAGAGATAAGCTCTGTCAGTCTAAACATTTCATATTTATCCCCAGCCAAGCCAGCCCGTCCCTCTTTCAACCCTCAGGACAGCACCAGTTTGCGTATCCCTCTCCTGCTCCTGCCCCACCCCCCACCAAGCGTACTCGCCCAATCTAAACACCAGCACTAACTAAACCACTTCCTTCCCTACTATCCTACTATGCTATCTCAATACGTCCGACCATTCAAGAACTGATATCTTCCCCTTTTAGGAACATATACTTCTCCATCCCCGCCGGGCCCGCCATCACTCTATCTCTATGGCTCATCGTATGCGTATTCCCCTCTAACCCAGCCGGTCCGGCAAACACGCTGAATTGTCCCCCACACTCCCGGCTGCTATGTGGGTTATGGGCGGGAGGGCGACGATGGGAGAGGGAGTGAGGCCGGTGATACGGGAGCGGGGGAGGCGGCGACCGAGTTGGGATTGTTCGGGTGTGCCCCAGGAGAAGACGCGGCCTGTTGTGGCGAGGGCGAGGATGTGGTTGTTTCCTGCGGCGAGAGAGATGATGGGGGGGAGGGAGGGGATGGGGAGGGGAGTGCGCTGGCATCTGTTTGAGGGGTTTGGGGATTTGGCGGTGGCGGCGGTGAAGCCGCGGATGCCGTCGTTGGCCTGGGGGGTGTTGGTTTAGGGGGTTAGAAAGGGGAGGGGAGGGGGACGTACGCGGAAGGTGCCCCAGCCGTAGACGGCGCCGGTGCTTGTTAATGCGAAACTCGCACTGTCGAGCGCGACGACCTGGACAAACTCCCCAGAGACGTTGCCGAATGCATCGCGTGCTATAGCAGTCGGCGTGCTCTCCTTGGGATTCAGATCCCTCTCATCCTCGGAATCTTCCCCATCGGACCCCTCATTAACATCCCTCGTCGGCGCCTCCCATGTCGTGTCCCGCCCGAGCGCGCCATCATCGTTAACTCCCCAAGTCAGGATCTTCTGATCATGCGTGAGAGCTACGCAGTGCATCCCCCCCGCGGCGATCTGGACGATTCCGACGGTAGCGGCGGGGAGGAGGGGGTTAAGGCGGGGCCGGGTGACGGAGGTGGGTTTGTTGCCGTTGATGGGGGTGGGGTCGAGTCCGAGCTCGCCGGACTCGCCGTCGCCGAAGACGTAGATGTGGAGTTTTGTTGTTGGGGGGGTGTTGAGGGGGGTGGGTTTGAGTTTTTTGGTGGGTTGGGAGTGTGAGCGGGGGATGGGACGTCTCTTTTTTGGTGTGGGGTTCGAGGCCGTGGGTTTTGGAGCTTTGGAGATGTTAGTATTCGCGCGAGCATTTGGATTACAAGATGCGTTGTAAATATTAGTATATACCTGAATCTGCGTCCTTCTCGACCGGCGCCTTTGGCGGTGGCAGTCTTCTCGTGGATTTCGTCCTAGCCATTTCTGATATACGACCAGGACGCGACGTGACCGTGACGGGGTGCTATAATTGACGATTCTCAAAGGGCATCTCAGTAACTGCGTAAAATATATAGCGCTCGAGAGATTGAGATAAATTAGTTGAAGCTATGAAGAAGACAATGGCGCGAGTAAAGTCGAGTATCTCCCTTTGTTCATCAATTTCCACTTGGCGCGCGTCTGCCTGATCGACGACAGCCTGGTCGACCTCTGCCTGTTGGACGACTGCTTTGTTGGACGTGAGATTACAAGTCCAACCGCTGTAAAGCAACTGCGTCCATGCCTTAAAATGGTCTGTCGAGCTTGGGTTGAAACGTTGCTTGCCCAATTAGCCTCTCAATTGCGTTATTCCGCATCATGCAGTTCGTCGCATTGATCTGAGGTTGCAGGACAAAACAAAGAAACGGCCGGCTTCTCGACCAGCAAAAACAAAAAATGGTGGCGCCTTGCGCTACGACTGAACCATCCAACAAGGATACCTATCTATCCCATTTTTAGAGAGTTCTTCACAATGGCCCAGGTGGAGTTCCTTCTGCAGCACTAGAGAACAAGGAAGAACAACGGCGACTCCATGAACCGCGGACAAAAAGAAAAAGATTCATCGTGGCAAGCAATTAGCATCTCCACATGCTGGCGACGGGTTGTTTACTTATACAACTCGTGTCCATAGAAACGCCTTATCTGGGTCGTCAGAAATATAATTCAGTCAGCCATTAGCTCTCTAAATCCAAAAATGCGCATGCCACATCTGACAGTCGCCTGTTTCAAGCTCTGCTATATTACTCCTAACTTTGTCGGTTTTAAGGCGACTCAACCCGAAAACCAACAATTTTTAGTTCGTCTAATAGATCATTAGCTACATTATAAAACTCTTCCGAATTTATATACAAATCTATTATACTTATTTTAGTTCTTTAGAACAGTAAGTAGGTCACTGTTCCGAGCAAACTAACTTATACTCTAAAATAAGAGATCGAAATTCTAGAATTACAAACACCATCAAGCCAGAATCTCTACCTTCCAAGAATCACCCGCATCAGCATCATTTCCACCTCTCTTTAACTCAACTTCAATAAGCCAGCATGCCTCTGAAAGTTCTGTACGCCTCGCTTCAACCTCGCGTCCATCAACATTGACCTTTAATCCAGCCGAACTGACTACAAACGCCACAACACCTTCGTATAGTATGTCCACCGTCAACCTCCCCTCTCCATAAATAACGTGTTCCGCAGCAGCTAGGCCAGAATATTTATCAAGCAAGCTTAGAAATGCGATCTTCGGGCCGTTTTTTGACAATGTGTGATTAGGAACAATTCGAAGAACCTCATGGGCCTCAGGTTGGAGGGCTAATGTTGCAACAAGACTAGACTCAAAACTCTCTTTCGACTTATTACTGTCGTTAATGTCGCAGGATAGAGAGACTGGGACACATTGGCGTGCGTTGGCAAACCACACCATATATTCGCCCCCACTCTTGGGTGATAGCTCAAGCGCCTGTCTGATATCTGTCTCGGAAATTATATCAAGACTACAGTCCTTAATACAGCCATGGCTCCAGGCTACGATCACAGCGGAGTGCAGAAGCGGAAAGCAAGTTGATGCTTTTATCGTGGGGCGGGTCTCACATTCCGCGTTTTTGCCGGTCTCCCACAGTCGATTGGCAAGAGGACGAAGAGGATGCTTCGCTCGAATGGTCTTCATTGCGCCCGACTTGGACACACCGACCAGTCTATTGATGACTTCGAGGTTATGCTTTCCTAGGTGGTCGGAGAGGATGATGGGACCGGGGAAGAATGCCCGCAATACAGCATGATACTCGGGCCACTGCTTGCCTGTCATGAACATGTCTGCATCAAGTATGAGACACGTATTTGAGAGGACAAGAGAGTTGTAGACGTTGTACAAAATGTGTTGCGCATGTGTGTACGTAGGTAGACCAAAGTCATTCGTGTTGCGGAACATGATGCGTTGGCCTTGAGTGGCGAGTCCGGTTGCTATGTCCCCAACGAACATGCGCTCAGAGTGAGACATGCAATGGATGACTTTCCCGGGACCAAAGACTTCATTTGCTGCTGCGAACATGCCGTTCCACATGGCGTGCGCCGCTTCTGCACCATGTCGTCCTTCGAGAAGGGAAATCGAAGCTTGGTTGTCGACCTTTACGAATGTAATGCCGGCTGTGGCGCAGGTTCTGAAATAGTCCTTCCAGAAGTCGAACGCTCGTGAGGGATGTGGGAGATACCATTCTCGATTGGGGCTATAGCGTTGGGCGACTATCTGAGCGACGGCAGCACTTGAACCATTCTGGATCTTTGGGACTCGGGAGGCGCTTATTCTGTAAGGGCTCATATCATACTTTGGTACTAATGGAGACGACGGTACTGTGCCGTTCCAGTATCCTTGTATGCTGTAGCAATAATTAGTATCGGTATAGAAGAATATACCAAGAGCTAGTGTGTAAGGGAAGCCAACTTACGACATCCATACGCCAACATCCTTTACGGTCGGTAGTTTCTTTTTGATGTGACAAACTGTTTCTTTTAAAGAACCTCCCAGGCCCTCGTAGGCACCGAAGCCCCAAAGTCCTTGATTATCCGGACCATCGCTTCCATTGTGTCGAATATCTTGCCAGCCATCATCGATAATGAAGGTGCCGATCGGAAGTTTGTCGTCTGCTATTGATGCGACTAGGTCTTTCATGTTCTGTTTTGTCGGAAGCACAAATTCTCCAAGTGATGACCTGAGTATACCTTAGTGATTATGAACTGCTGAAGTAGAGAAACACCTTACCATGTGCAGAACCCAAGGGCATCAAAGGGGCTGTTATTATTCTCTGTCGTGTCGATCTTTTTGACTGCAGCTCCCATCACCTCTTTTATTGCTAGAGATGTATCTCCAGTCGTACTCAGGTAAGAAATCACTTCTCCAGAAGCCCTGCAGGTATCGCCATTCGCTCGTCGAGCCCTAATATATGCCCCAGGTTGCTCTCCTTGCCGTGCAGCAGAGATGTGCAGTAAGACGCCATCAGAAGAAACTGGGACAATAAAGAGTACGGTTGAATTGCAGTCTATCTTCCTTAGTAACAGAGCCTGTGTCTGATAGTTGGAAGGCAGTTGAGAAAGGCGCATGAATTGTGGCTCAACCCATGTAGGCCTATTTATATTAGTAAATGTGAAGAATCCTTGAATTGACAGTTAACTACCTTGACCGAATCCAAAGCCAGCCTTCCCATTCATCAAGATCTAACCATGGCAGCCAGCTCGATGACTCAACTTCCACCTCGGATAGTCGGACTTCAGTTTTGAAAGGGCACGAAACTTGGCTTTCCTGAGTCTGGGAGTGTATGGAAATAGAACCATGGTATTCTTTTTTTCCATCTTGTATTGTGGTGTACTCGAGCTTTCGTGAAGATGATGTGATTGGTATCGAGACGTGAAGGGTAGTAAGAGATACACCTCCCCAATTACCCACCGCCGGCCTTACAGCAGATCTAAAGGAATATGACTCTTTGGTTTGAAGGTCTTCGGCAGCAAAGATAATATCATTTTGAATTTCCGCTCTAATGGTGACATAGACTTGATAGAAAGCTGCGTTCGGAGTTGTGACGACGGTTTGTCCAGGGGCGGGACTGAACTTCATCTTTGTGACCAACAGCTGGAAATGGATGTCAGGTTTAGAATAATTATTTCCTCATTGTGGCGTGTTCTATGCTAATATACCCCCGTTTCTCGGAATTGCTCTTCCTCTTGCCCTCTTGCCTCCATGATGTGGGCTAGGGGCAAATCACGCATCAACGCCAGCGGAATTGGCGGGATTGACATGCGGACATCTTTTTATACGTCCCTGGAGCATCTCTTGTCCACTCATCGAGCTTTAGCAACATTTCTTAGCTTGAGGCTTTTGAACCCCGCAATGGTCTTGGACGTGTGATGGCAATTCCAGCAATCCCGTCAATTCCGCCAATTGGGGCGGGACATTGCCAAGACAACACCGAGCCAATACCCCGCCAATGTCCCGCCGAATTGGCCAGTCAGAGCAATCCCGCCGCGATCCCCTCCCCAATTCCGCCTGGCACCAATCATGTCGCCCTCTGCAAATCCAATATTTGTTTCCAGTCTGAAAATTGTAGCCGTCTTCTTGCTTTTTTTACGAACGTCTTAACTTCAGTCCCCCTCTACCAACCCGTTAGTTAACTTCAGGGGCATACAGGCAACGTCGAGATTTGCGCCTAGTTCATGTACCCCGCAGTGTTGAGAACCCCACGGGGGGATCACCGACAGCCACCCCAGTATTAAAGACCAGGACATTTCCCTCCCTCCTTAGATTTTTATATCATCAACTTCTTTCATATTCTAAGATTCTGTTACCGTCCTCATTTTGAACATACTATTTCGCACAACAGTGCCTCAAAAATGGCGTCAACGGACGCCAACCAGAAGGAATCGCTGGCGGTCCAGGATTCTAATGTCTCCCATATCGAACGAGGCCTTGAAGAGAAGCTTCAAGGTGCCATCCTCACTGAATATGCCCAAACCGGTATTACTTCTGAACATAAGATGGGTCTCAGAGAAGCGCTCAAAAATTATCCATGGGCTATGTTTTGGTGTCTCATGGTTTCCATGTGCGTCATCATGGAGGGCTATGATACAATTTTGATGGGAAACTTTTATGCGTACCCGTAAGTTTCTAATCTAGAACACAATTCTTCAGCACTTTAATGACAGTTGATAGCGCTTTTGCACTAAAGTATGGGCAGTACGTCCCGGAAACCGGAAACTACCAATTGACTGCAGCGTGGCAGTCTGGGCTGGGTAATTCCAGCGGCGTCGGAGCATTTTTTGGTGCCCTCATTAACGGCTATCTTGTCGATATCTTGGGGATGAAGCGCCTAATTCTGATCTCACTTGTAGTATTGTCTGCATTTATCTCGATCACCGTTTTTGCAAATAATGTCACTACGCTTTGCGTAGGACAGATTCTATGTGGACTACCGTGGGGAGTCTTTGCGACAACAGCACCAGCATATGCTTCGGAGATTCTTCCACTGCCTCTTCGTGTCTACATGACATCTTATACTAATATGTAAGCTTATTTGACCCTTTTAACAACGTTATACTAATATGTTACAGGTGCTTCATCATCGGTCAATTGATTGCTGCTGGTGTTCTTTCTTCCTTTTCATCTCAGAAAACTTGGGAGTGGGCATTTCGAATTCCTTTCGCAGTTCAATGGGCATGGCCTGTGATACTCTTCCCAATCCTGCTCTTTGCTCCTGAATCCCCATGGCATTTGGTATGTTATTACGTTGCCGTCTTGTATCTCTCTTCCAATGACTAACGTCGATTATTAGGTTCGGAAAGGCCGACTCGAAGAGGCTGAGAAAATACTTCGACGACTTCAGAGCAAGTCCTGTTTGGCCGATCCAAAGGAGGCACTTGCTATTATTATACACACCGACAACCTTGAGAAGGAAATCACGGCAGGCACATCATACTTTGATTGCTTTAGAGGCGCAGAGAGACGTCGCACAGAGATTGCTTGTATGTGCTTTGCAGGCCAAATATTTTCGGGTACCCTCTTTGCGTACAACTCAACATACTTCTTCCAACAAATTGGCCTCAATACCGTTGCGACATATAAGGTAACATTGATTGCCACCTTTCTCTCTTCTGACCGCGGTTAACACTCAAACAGATGAACGTCGGAGGTACCGGCATGGCATTGTTTGCGACCCTCTTAAATTGGTTCTTCTTAATGCCACACTTTGGTCGTAGAAAGATCTACATGACTGGAATGGGCGCTCTCACGATAATCCTATTCATCATCGGCTTCCTTCAAATACGTGCAACTGGCACCGGGCCACTTCTTAATGCACAGGCTGCCTTCACGCTTCTATGGACATTCACTTTTCAGTTGTCGATAGGACAACTGGGTTGGGCACTCCCGGCTGAAATTGGATCTACCCGCTTGCGGCAAAAGACTATCGTGCTTGCCCGTAACGCGTACTATCTCTCGGCAGTAGTCTCACGCACGCTGGAAAATTACTTCCTCAATCCGCGGGCGTGGAATCTGCGTGGATACACTGGATTTGTTTGGGGTGGAACCGCTCTGCTTACCTTAATCTGGGCCTTCTTTCGTCTTCCGGAGACTAAGGATAGGACATTTGATGAACTCGACATTCTGTTTGCTAAGAAGATTCCGGCAAGGAAATTCGCCAAAACTGATGTTAACACGTTTAATGAGGATGAGCCTATTACAGCGGCTGCCATCATTGCATGAGACATAGTTGCCACCAACGAGAGCAACTGAAGATCAAGGAAACATGTATGCTAAGAATGCCCTTCTTAGGTAGGGCCATAAAAATGTTAAGCTTTTCATAAAGTAATATAAACAACAATGAGCAGAAAATAGAGTATTTATAGACATTATAGCCGAAGTGAACCAATTTAATGCGCCTTTTAAAGGGACGAATAGTGAGATGATGTCGAAGAATGTACGCTAGAGACAACAGAGTTTAGTACCCGTGCGTGCTAAGCGAAAAAAGTCGATAGCTCCTCGTCTGAAATGCGGGGAGCTCAATTATCTCACTCGCTCACTCACCTCTCTGTAAATCATAACGCAATAAGTTTAACTTCTCCTACACACTCGGAGTGATCCAAATGTCTTAAGCTTCTTAGACATTAGCCGAACTCTGCGTGTTCCATTTTACCGCAAACGATGGTCACAATTGAGCTATGAGGCAGCCTTCAGCCTGTTTGACCTGCCGGTAGGTAGTCTGGTTGGTATAAATATTTCGTGCTTACAATTCACAGAATACGCAGGCGAAGGTGCAGATTTTCAAATGGTCCTAATTCCTCTTGTGAATATTGCGCATCGAAACGGCTGAAATGTACAGGATTTCAGCCAACCTCGGCACCATCTACGGGTGCTTCAATTCGCTCACTAGATGAGGCCTCGGGCGGAGCACATAGCGGTAATGGCGAAATTGTGCAATCAAAATCCGCAGTAGGACTTCCACCGCTGGAAGTATGCTCGGAACTTGTATCTTTGTATTTCGACTATATTCATGACCAGTTTCATTCTCTCTTCCATCGTCCAAGCTTAGAGACAGACCTTGCGAATGGCAAGGTGCCACTAGTAATACTTTATGCCATTATAGGATTGGCCGCAAGGTATGCTATCTTTAGCCTTATTCCTCTTCTGTGCATCAGCCCTCGCAATTAAAGACTAACTACAGTTTGAGGTTCTCAACACATGTACTATTTTCAGAGATAGATCCGAGAATCAGAAGCAAAGTGTACGCTGAAGAGAGTGATCGCCTCCTCAAAGTGGGCGAAATCTCTTTAATAACCATTCAGGCGAGTGTCCTATTAGGTACGATTAGTAATGCCGAAGGCCAGGCAGACAGTGGATCTATATATTATGCTATTGCAGTTCGAATTGCTGCTATCATGGACTTAGCAAATAGGCCTGCTACATGTTGGGTGGAAAAGGAGGTTAATATTCGAGGTATGATCTTATAAGATTTACAGATACTAAAGCGTCAGCTCATACTAAATTTTATTCCATAGTATGGTGGACACTGTACATGACTGATACTTGGTCGTCATACGGTCTCCGACTTCCAAAACAAATGCATCGCATTAACAGTCTCCCCCTTCCAGCCGACGACGAAGCCTTCCTCCAGGCTAGATGCGGCAATGAAATTGCTCCCAATCTCGATACAGAACTAGAAAGTTCACTACTTAGCCAAATGGTCAAACTCCACTTCATCCTCATAGAAGTCAACGATTTCAACTCCTACACCGTCACAAGCCAGATAACGGAAGCAGAGACCGTCACAATGGTCACAAAACTATCACAAAAGCTCGATGACTGGCATACATCTCTTCCTCCCTGTATGCGCGACACGCCGGAGAACCTAAGTCGCTATGCGGCCCAGGGTTTCGGCCGCATGTTCGTCGCCGTCTATCTCGGTTACTACAACTATGGTCAACTCCTCTTCTATCAATTCCTCAACTCTGATCACTACAGCCCATACGTGCAATCCCAACTCTACGCGGCAAAGTGCGAAAGCTACGCCACTCGACTCTGTGAGATCGTGTATGCAGCAAACGCGATCCCTGAGTGCGAGGTGCACTACATGATGGCAGGGCATGTGCTGGCAATTGCGTCAACCGTGCAGATCCATACGCTGCTGTTTGCCGATAACGAGGAAAAGATCAAAGCCGCGAAGTACAGATTGGAGCGAAACTTTGAGATTCTGATGAGGCTAAAGAGGTTTTGGCCGACGTTGGATATTTCGTTTGCTAGGTTCCAGGAGTTTCATAGGGTGTGTCGGGAGTCGATGGAGACGAGCTTTAGGATGGACAGGTGGATGCTTACTTTCTTGTTGGAATTTGGGAAGCCTTTAAACAAGTAGGGTATATCTAAAAGGGGAATTTAAAGGCTTTAAGAAGACGCCTATAGAGCATTGTGGACTATACCGCAATGTTGACTGAAAAACATTCTCTTTATATACCACTTAAAGCCTACGAGACAAGAAACGTCCGGCGCCGCAGTATCCATGCAAACACCACCTTCTCCATTTCGCTCTCCGACACACCCACCATCACGCCTTTCACTCTTACTCTCATCCGCACCACCCTCACCCACCCCTACACCCCTTTGCCGAATCACAACACAAGCCCTACACCCACCAACCTCACACCTCTTCACCTCCCCCCTCTCCACCACCTTAATCCTCATCTGCAACGCCCTCGACATCCTCATCTCCCTGGTCCCATTCGCAGCCGCGAACGCAGCGAGTAGCGTAGCCTCCTCCATTAACGGCGCGATGGGCTGGTCGACTCTAAACACCTCACTGCCGAGGCGGGTGTGCGCTAGCAGGACCTAGGAGCTGCTAGTGCTGGCGGTGCCTGCGGTGGTGTTGGTAGCGCTAGAGACGGAGGGGGCGGGGGTGTCGACTAGAATGCTGTGTGCACGTGCGAGGGTTTGGTTACGGACGTCAGGGTCGATGAGGAGGGCGGCGATGACGGTGTAGGAGGTAGGGATTTCGTCGGTTAGGTAGTCGGAGAGAGTGGCGGGGGTAAAAGTTGCGCCAAGCCACGTCAGCCACACGTCGTCGGCCCCCTGCCGCGCCACGAATGCCCCGCCACGGTGGTAAGGCCGTACGGTTGTGCTGCTCTGTCCGGCTTACGGATGGGTGATGGGCTGAGCCGCAGTGGTACGTACGTACGTATGCTAAGGGGAAGGAGATGCTGCGGATTTGTGGTCGGAGGGGGGAGGGGGATATTGTATAAGTATGGATGGGTTTCCGGTGTGGTGGAAGGGATTATAATCACGATCAGACTTTCATCTATCACACGCAGCCATCCGAACGCATTTATCACTTCATCCACCACCAATCCACCTACAATCTACCAAACCAACCTCATCCCCAACTACAGCAATGGGTCTCCTGACGAAAGCTGCTGTTATCGGCGCCGGGATCTACGCAGTAAAGCACCTCAAGTATGTTGCCCCTCTCCCCACTACCTGTCAACCCACTAACCCCCCACAGAGAGAAGAAGGACAACCAAAAAGCCGGCGCACAGTACGAGCAGCAACAGCAACAGGGTCAGGGGCAGTTCGCGCCGCAGGGACACCAACAACAGCAGTACCAGCAGGGTCATGGACAACAATACCAGCAGAACCAGCAGCAGCAGTATGCTCCGCATGGGGAGAAGGGGGGCCCGCCGTCGTATGTCCAGCATAATGGGGGTTATGGAGCGGAGAAGATGGGGGGGAAGTGAGCTAATAGAGTAGATGGGTGTTTTTGGGTAAATGGTTGATTTGATCAGTGTGTTGGTTGGGGGGGGGGGTTGGATTATATATGGTGTTCTAGGCGTGTGGATTATATGGGATGAACAGATGAATATGACATACCTGTGGTTGTCCAACACGCATGCCCTGTACAGCATGGATTCTCAACTGCCTGTGCTTAACCAACCTTGCAACGAACCTTGATACCTGCCACGATGAAGGAAGTCTAGCCAGCAACGCGCATATCGCGAGATGCACATATTAGCCGCCGAAGTATCACAGCCCAAACTCCAGCTTACGTGCGTATGCACCGCCGTCCCGTCCCATACTACACCTCCAATCCCGTGACGCCACGGCTTCAAAGATCAGCTCAGCCCATCCACAACGCCCACTCTATTTCCATCTGTAACGCGCCAAGTTCACCCACGTCTACCGCCTTACCAAACAACTAGGGCCAAGCGCTCTTTACCGCCGCATTTTCTGCACAGACAGACGTTGTTTGTTGGCGGTCGGTTAGTCATAGACGGGCCATTCGTGGAGTGTTTCTTGTTTGGTTGCTTCGCGCTTGGTGGGAGAGAGAAACGCGTTGATGCGAGGTTGACAACGCGGGTTGGGCTATTTCGAGTGATCGCCCCACACCCCTGTGGAGTACGTCAGCCCAGCCACGACCGGGAAGACGGGCGCTTACCACTACCAACGTCGCTGCCCCTACGTAAATTGTTGGCCCCTGATCCAGCTACCCCTGGATAAAATAGGTGGAGTGGACGGCAAGAGGATGAGATCCTACAGGCTACAAGTCAGAATCTCACGACGCGACAGGGCAGTAATAGACTACAAGATGCTAAAGTAGGAGTAGATCTTAGTGATCTTAGTGTACTAGCCTACTTTATTTCCCGGACCTTGCCAGTCACAGCCGGAATCGCGCGCCTTCCATCCCATCCCTTGTATATCTTATCCGCATATGATAAAACATAGCCGGGGAAGGTGCTCCAATGCTGGGGGGGATCAGCATATTTTGTCAGCCAAGTCTTTTTCATTTCGTTTGTATACTGTGATGTGCAATTTGTTTGTTACATCTTCTCTCAACACTGCACTGCCTCCTTCTTCTCCGCATGCGGATGCATCTTCCCTTCCCGTGGGTGGTGGCACAGCGCGGTGTGGGATGAATGGCAGTGGATCAGGGGCATTCCTTCCTTTCCCCCCAGCCGTCCTTGCATCGGCATTCCGTGCATCATTCCTTCCATTTATACTTAGAAATACACCTAATATTGGAGACCTTGCAGTGAGAACACACGCTGACTGACTGGTGTATTCATGCTGTAACACCTGTATAAGTAGTTGGCCCCACGTATCTTTGTCTTGCCTTGTCTCTCCCCGTCGCCTACCCGCATCCACATCCACATCCACGTCCAACATCACATCCCACATAACTCCCTCTGTATTTCTTCAACCTCACTCTGCTTTCATTCACACCACCACTTCCCACATTCCTGCCCGCCCCGAGATTGGATACCTGTAATATCAATCTATTACCCCGTCGGCCAGTTCATCTACCAGGTACGTTAGTTTGCCCGACTCTGACGCTGTGAGACAGCTGTATCACGCAATCTCGTTCGTTTACACTGCACAACTTCACCTCGAAATTACTTGTCTACGAGGATTCCTCCCTTGCTTCCTCAGCTACATTTCACTTCCCTCTTCTGGCTCTCACAGCCACTTTCCCTCCTCCTTAAAGAGCTCAGAACTTCCTCGTTCCTTGACATTTCAAACACACACGGACTTACACACCTTCCTCTAGAACAGCCTCTATCACTCACCAACACAACCTCACCAACCGCCACCATGCGTTCCACACTCATGCTCGCTGTCGCATCCGCCCTTGTGGCCACCACCGTAAGACACCTCAACCCGTACCCTCCCCAATTGACCCCCAGCTAACCACCCCCCAGGTTGCCTCCGACGCCCCCAAGGTAACCGGCAACCCAACCGACGTGACCTACAAAGCCCAGATCGCCGATGACAACAAGAACGGCGTCTCAGGCTTCGTCGAGATCGCTGCTGGCCCCCAGGGCAACGGCGCAGACATCAAGTACCAATTCAACCTCCCAGCGGAGGGCGGACCTTTCAGTACGTCTCTTCACTTAATCCCCCTTTCCCCGCCCCCCTTTCCACCCCCAGACCAACTAACACGCTCCCAGCCTTCCACATCCACGAAAACCCCGTCAACGCAACCGGCCTCTGCGCCTCCACCGGCGCGCACCTCGACCCCTACAACGCGGGCGAGAAGCCCGCCTGCGACACCACCAACCTCGCCGCCTGCCAAGTCGGCGACCTCTCCGGCAAGATCGGGGACAAGCTGCCCAGCGGCGGCAACACGGGAGAACTCGATGACGCCTTCACCAGTCTCGTTGTCGGCGCCCCGGCGTTTATTGGGAATAGAAGTATTGTTGTGCATGCTTCTGATAAGACGAGGATTGCGTGCGCGAACTTTGAGTTGGTGAACTCGAACGGCGGAGGCGCTGGATCTGGGGGTGGGAGTGCGAGCCCTACTGGTGGTGCTGGGGGTGGTGGGTCGGCTACGAATGGAACTGCTACGCGCCCGAGTGTTACGCCGACGGCTACGCATACTGGTGCTGCTGCCGTGGTGTCGGGTAGTGTCTTGGGATTCTTGGGGGTTTTGGCTGTGGGGGCTGCGCTTTTGTAAGGGGGTGATTGACGGTAATTGGCTGACTGGCTTTGTATCATTTTATAGAGGCAGGAAGGGGTGAAGGGGGGTTTATTCTTGTGTGTGATTGATTTGGGGGTGGGTTTATATCTGCGGATTGTGGGTTGGGGGGCGGACTTAATAAGTGTAAGGGGGCGTATGAAAAAGGGTTGATAGATGGGGGTGAGGATTGCTGATGTGATTATTGGGAGAGTAGGAATTACTTCTGATATGATTTGAGAGTTATTGGGGGATGTGAGGGAGCTTGTGTATGTTATGTGACATGCAGGAGTGTGTGAGGAGTAAGAAGTTGGGCAGTGGTATTTATGAAATGCAGTAGAGATATGATGATGAATACACCGCAGCCGCAGGAAGCCCCTCGCGAGAGAAGTGATGTGCTAAGTAAGGAAAAAGAAAGGGCTGCGCCACGTCACTGCTTGGTGGTGTCTGATGGTTTGTTTGTAAAGGACAGGACAGAAAATGGACGTTGAAATAGCTTTTTTTTGGCTCCTGGTATATCATAGATATCTATGCCCCCGACATATCTGCAATGCGCCCGTCTCGCAGATTGCACCCCCCCATCGCAGAGCGACTAGCCAACAACGTCGGTGCTCCATCGGTGTAGAAACGCATCAATGTGCACCTACGCATGGCAATGCATCGTCGTCACCGTCTTCCCGTATGATTTTTGTTCGTAGTCGTAGAGGGTCTGTAGATGGCAGGTCCCGACGATCTTCTACCCCACTCCCCCTTTACTCATTCTTCCAGTCTCATGTATCCTCCTCTCCTCTCCTCACCTCACTTCCACATAGTACCGCCCAACAGCAGGTCTCGAAATCAGTCGGCGGAGATGTACATCACTAAACCCCGTCAGCTGAGTCCTTACACGCACACACACACTGGCCCCTCTGCACTCCCATATCCCACGTGCATCACACACACCCTCTCTCAGAGAGCATAGAAACGCAAGAGCCGCGAACTAAGAAGCGAACTCACCATTGTTCCCGCGGATAAACGCGTCGCCGTAGCTGCGCCGCCTCGCGCCATCAACGTGCTCGGTGCAGTTCTCGAGGGCGATGTTCATGTATCCGTCGACGGACTGGAGGGAGCCTTTGGGGGGGGTGTCAGTTTCATGGTAGGTAGAATAGAGGGGGAACGGTGAGGGTGGTGTGGGTAGGGTCGCGATAGGAGGATGGGGGGTGGGCTATGGGCTCGGGAACCCGGATGGTGGGAGATGAGAGGGAAGATGGGGATTGATATAACGCAGTACACGCACCTTTATACACGACTCCAGAGTTCAACTTGACAGTAACAGCGCTGTTGATGATCTCGCCCAAGAACCCGCTTGGGTCCTTTCCCTCCCCCTGCTGTGGTGCGCCTCCATTCTCCATCTCTGCTCGTTCTATCGTCTGCGTTCGTGTTATTGGTATGAGCTTCGTTGATATCGTCGTTCAATTGCTAGCAGGAGTCGGTGAGTTGCTGCTATGTTGGCGGTACAGAAGAAAGATCGAACGTCGTCGTCGCATCACTCCGACACTCCTCTGGCGGGGCGAGCTTTCTTAGCGTCGGCTGTTGGCGCAACGCACTGACCGATGCGATCTGCGGCAAGGCTGGCCGCCAACGCCAACCAACAGGCAGGTACCTCTCCACGATATTCCACCAGCGCCCAGGAGCAACGAGCAGGAGGGACGCACAGAGCCGCGGGAATTTATTATACGGACGTACTGCGCGGGTATTTGCATTGCTTTAGGGAATATACTGCGCTTCTATAGTACTAACGGACATACCAAACCAAGGCCCACGCAGCCACAATGTCGACACCCGACCCCGCCTCCTCCCCCCTCGCATCCCCCACCAGCCCCGCGCCAGCACCCGCACCAGCGGCGCGGAAATCGCTGTTCAAGAACCGAAACAGGGGGGGTGCAGCGGCGGCGACGACGACGGATGCGATTGGCTTTTTCTCGCGGGCGAAGGATGTTTTTGCGGAGAATGTGGAGGTGGAGCGGAGGGAGCGGGAGAGGGAGAAAGAAAGGGAAAGGGAGAAGGAATTACAGCGGCAGATGGAAGAGGAGCGGGTGAGGGAACTGGAAAGGGCGAGGAGGGAGAAGAGGGTGAGGGGGGTTGGGAAGGTGGAGAGTGAGGGGGAGGAGGGGGATAGTGAGAATGAGAGGAGGAGGAAGAGGAGCCGGAGGTATGTGGATTCCTACATTGTTCGTCCAAGGCCCGATCTAATAATAACAGTGAGGACAGAAGCAATACACCAGCCGGAGAATCCGGGTACGGCGATGAAGAAGAATCAAGATCGATAGAGAGAGAGGGCAGCACACACTCCACCTACGGCAACTCCGTCGCATCACCAGGCCCAAGTCAACGAACCACACGAAGCCAAGCACACATAATCTCCCTCAGCTCCGACGACGAAGACGACAAACCTGCCCCCTCCCCCCGCCCTGCCTACCACTCCGCCTTCTCCTCCCCGCCACCCAAACCTCACTCTACAAACCACGCACCAATCGCCATCCCCTCCTCCCCCCCCGCCAACCCCCCCTCCGACGACGACGAACTCTACGCCGACCTCATCGCCGCCGCGCGGCGCCAACCAGCCACCACAGCTACCGCCCCCTCCAACGCCCCCGACCCAACCCTCACGATCCTCATCACTTCCCCCCTCCCGAACACCACCCCGCTCCTGATCCGGCGCCGTCTCTCCCAGCGTCTAAAAGACGTGCGTCTAGCGTGGTGCATGAGGCAGCCTCCGCACGCCGGCGCGGCTGGAGCGAGTATTTTCCTTACGTACCGCGGGTTGAGGGTGTGGGATACGAGTACGTGCGGGAGTATGGGGGTGAAGATTAGTCGTGCGGGTGGAGTGCTAGATGATGGCGGAGGAGCGGAGGGAGGAGATGTGCATCTTGAGGCTTGGACGAGAGAAGCGTTTGAGGCGTATAAGGCTGCTGAAGAGACCAAGGCGCGGAATGCGCATCTTGGTCTCGAGAATGAGGATCATGCTGTCAGTGGAGGCCCAGCGGCTGAGGCGGCGCCATCGCAGCCGCAGCCACAGGAGGAGAAGTTGCGGATTATCCTGCGGGCGAAGGATATGCCGGAGGTGAAGTTGAGGGTCAAGGCTACGACGAAGATAGCGGATCTCGTGGCTGCGTTTCGGGCGCAGAGGGAGGCGGAGGTGGGGGTGAGGAGCGTGGAGTTGTGGTTTGATGGGGATAGGATGGAGGAGGATGATTGTGTGGGGGATGCGGATTTGGAGGATTTGAGTGGGGTGGATGTTGTAGTTAGGTAGTGGGTGGGGAAGGGGGAGTTGAGTTGGGTTTGGGTGCTGGGCGTTTGATACCAAGATGATGACTAGGAAGGAAAGAGCGGCCATGGAAGGAACGCTGAGTAATGGGAAAGCAAAAATTTAACAAGGGAAAGAACGATCATCTAGTTTTGTTTACCTCCCTACGTTCCTTCCTAGGATGGGAAACAGATATATGTATTATGGTAACTCAACCCTAGCCAGAGAAAGGCCACCAATATTGATTGTGTGAACCTAATCTCACAACTACCTCACTCAGTCCACCACATCTTAACGCAACAAGAACAGTTTTTATAAAGTACATCAGCATCCATTATTAAGGTACTATAAGGTAATTTACCCTCTGGCCTTCCATCAGCTTATCCATTTGTATGTCATCCCCATCCGCAACATATGCCCATCTCACTAAAGAGTCCACTTCTACCCATATAAAACACAAAACAAAAAAGATCCCCTCAAAGAGATCATAGTTTTCCAGCGCACATCCCACCACCTCCCACCAAAGTATAAAAAACAAGAAGAACGCCCACGCAATGCTCCCCTACCATTCATTCTCTCTGCAAACACCTACATACTCAACAGCTCAGATTTAACTAGTAAATCTAGCCATCTCCCCCACCTCCTCAACAAGAACCCCCTTCTTCTCCCTCTTCATCCGCCAAATACTCTTCTTCTTCTCCTTTTGCCTCTTCATCTCCTCCCACGCGTCTTCCTCGTCCTCATCTCCACCATCCACGGGGCGCACCGTGACATTTGGCCCCTTGCCACCCACAGCAAGGACGCTCATCCGCGGGACGCCGTTCGCGTTCTCCACTGGCATGTGGCTGACGGGTCTGTATCGATCCGGCATACCGACGTTACTCCTCTCGCTCGGCGCAATAGAGGCTGCGTACGGAGCACCCCTCGGGTCGAGCATAGTCATCGGGCGTTGCGTACCGGCGACGCTGCGTGGTCCAGCTGGGAACGCACCACCGAATCCAAGGCTACTACCCATCGTGCTCGTGCGGCCCATACCACCAAGCTGCGGCGCACCTTGTGCCGGCATACCCTGTGGGGGCATCATCATACCCTGCGGCATCATGCCCGGCACCATCTGGACCCCCGGAGGTGCCTGCATAGGCGGCGCGGCCCCAGCCATCATCTGGAAGAACTGGAATTGCATCTCCATGCTCTGCTGCAGCTGAGCCTGCATAGCCGCGATCTGCGCCTGCATCGCGACGGGGTCTTGCGACATCGCACCTGGGGTGCGCGCGCCGCCCGAGTAGCCTAGTCCCATACCAGCTGGCATGGCTGGGTATTCGCCAGCAGGATTAGGGCTTCCGCGTCTCATGGCGCGCGAGCGCTCTTCTGAGGCGATAACGCCTACCAGTCCACCCGGCTGCGCGCGCGGGCCGCCGCCAGTACCACCGTACTGCGAGCCGCTGCCTAGGGCGAGGGACTCGCGGTTGGTCGAGTTAACGAGGCCAGCGCCGAAGTACGGGTCTTGCGGGAGGCGACGGGCGAAAGCAGGGAGGGCGCTGCCGCGCTCACCACCGCCGCCAGTGACGGAGCGGGGAGGTGGGGGGTACGCGCCGCTCATCTGGCTGGCGGCGCGGAGGTTGGGGTTTGAGGCCATGCCGCCGAGTTGGCCTGGGGCGCGGCTGCGGTTGGGGAAGCCGTGGGCGGCGAGGATGGCGAGGGGGATATCTTCGTCCTCCTCTTCGTCGGCGGCGGGGTTGTCGGCGTAGAGCTGGAGGTTAGGTGTGCTTTGGGAGGTGACGGCGGAGGGGCGGGCGCCGGGGTTGGCTGTCTCGCCGGTAATTTTCATCATTTGTTGGCGGTAAACGGTCATGTGTGCCTCTTGCTTGCGGCGCTGCTTGGCCTGCTCCTTGCGGCGCTCCTCTTCATCGTCACCCTCGTCCTCGTATGTGTCGTCTGCGGCATCGTCGTCATCGTCGGCTTTGGCGTCAGGGAACTTTCCCTGGCTGTACCGCTTCTGGCGCTCCTGCTCTTGGCGGTAGCGCTCGAACTGTGCCGTCGTCATAACCTTGTTCTTTGGCGCAGAGGACTGGGGTGTGCTCGGCTTCTCGCCCCATTGAAGGGCGAGGTTGGCGGAGGCGGCAGTCTGTTGGTCGAAGAGGCCATCTTCTTGGGGCTCCATGGCCGGGTAGCGAGCACGGGGGGTGGTGTTATTCGAGCTCGCTGCTGTGGGTTTTGGGGTGTTGGCAACGTTATACGCAGCTACTGCGGATGGGTTGATCCAGCTATCCCTCGCCCTGGGTGTTTCATCCACATTAAGCTGCCTCATCGCATTAATGGACTCCCTCATTAACTTTGCGTCCTCATCCTCTCCATCCCCAATGGCCATCAGCGATTGCCGCCTCACAGCACTGCTCCTCCTTAATCCTACACCTGGTCTGCTTGTGTTATTACTGCCATTCGTGTCATGCTCCGGTACAGGCGGCGGTGTCGCTGATGGTGATGGCCCGGGGCTCGTGCTAAACATGAGCCTCTGCTTCTCTGCCGACTTTTGTTGTCCCCATGGATATGATGATGTATCCCCTGTCAGGGACCGCTCGTTGCTCACATTCCCGAGCGGTTTCCTCGAAACACCAGATTGTCTCGCTGTCGATGTAGATCCCTCCTGTGTCATCGTTAGCCATGCTCCAATTGTCCAGTGTGTGAATGTAAACTTACCGCCGGGCTCACCGACTGCGTCCGCCTATTCTCAGCATCCAGCACCGCGCTCTTGCGGTTCCCAGTTCCCATAAACATGGCTGCGAAGTCACCACCGAGACTAAGCCTATTATCCAGCTTCAGTGAAGCGTTCGCGCTCGAGTAATCACTCCTCGCGCTGTCGGTCAAAGTGCTTGAGCGGGTTGTATCATCCTTTGCCGGCGTGGGCGGTTTCGAGAGGTCCTCCTGGGTGGTGCTTGACGGTGTCGAGCCCGAGGACTTCCGTCCGAAGGAAAAGGCTTTGCCCGTCGATATCAGGGAGAACTTTGATGTGCCCTTCGGTACGGCGGGGAGGGGCGCGTTGTTGTTCTTCCCGTTGGCGGTGGTGTCTTTCGGGTCGGAAGACGCGGATGAGACAGCACTACGCCTCGAGGAATTGTCAGCCGTTGAAACGGTGTTTGAATTAGAGGTCCCGCTGCCGCTTCACAGTTGTCAGCCGCTGACTGGCAGGAGGCGTTTGTGGGTAGGTTGAGGATTGGAAAGGGGAGAATGGAAATAAAGATGATGGGTGGCTGTGCCGCAGGATTTATTTACACCCCTGGAAAATGGATGAGGCTACCCCCGTAGCCAATGCCAAGGTGGGCCTGTCCCCGTATACCCAAAAATAAAAATAAAAATAGCAAAACACATATAGGAGCCGTGGGGACTTGAACATACCGGTTGCTGAACCCTGAGAATAAATTATCATCCCTCTCTGGATCGGTGCTGGGCCTGCCACTGACGTTGCCGCTGCCACCGTTTAGCCTCGGCTTGCCGCCATCGAAGTTAGCGGTGTTGGCACGGTCAAAGACCCTGAAGGTCTGCTGGTTCGGCGGGACGTCGGCGAGAGGCTCATCGAGGACATTGGCGGCCGACTTGCGCCGAGCGAAGGCCTTGGGGAGCTTCGGCATGGGGGTGGTGGGTGGTCGTGGTGGGAAGGGCAGCTAAGCTGCGCTGGGCATGAAGCGAGGTTGGCTGTACGGGAGATATGAGTATGTTTATGTGCTGGGTATGCAGTGTAGAGAAGGAATATGTAAATCTGAGTGTCGCAGTAGATCGGGACGGCGGAGATGTCGTGTTTTTGTGCGACGATTCTTTGATGTGCTGTGCTGTGCTTGTGTGAAGCGCAGTATATCCAAAACCTACACCCGAAGAGATCGGAAGCGTGTGAAGGTTGAAGGTCGTATAGGATGGATATGAGGGCCCGCTAGAAAAGACTGCTAGACGCTGAGACGTGTATAAAGTTCGTAAATGATCGTGTAGAAGGTCGAGAGAGATTCGTGTTGTGTAGAGACAGTTGGATTAGGTGGCAGGAGAGTTCTGTTTTGTTGCCTTTTCTTTTCGGAGATGGAAGGGGAAAGAGATTGGTCGTATGCAGGAAGACTTGTAATATGGACAAGGAAGAAAGCAGAGTAGCAAGGTAACGAGAGTATTAGGTCGTAAAGAAGCAGGAGTTTAACGAAAGAGAGCAAGCAGTACAGGCAAGCAGATTATCGCTGGGGCTGGGAGAAGAGTGGAGGTGGAGGTGAAGTTTCCGGTAGTGTTGCTGTCGGTGGTCGGCGGTGATGGGGGTTTTTTTTTGGGAGGTGGAGTGAGTGAGGTGGAGGAGGAGGTTGGTTGAAGGTTTTTGGTTGCTTGGGGGTCAGTCAGAGAGAGTAAGAGCGTGCCTGTCGTCGTGGGTTGGGATTATTGATTATTTTGCATGAGGTATGGTCAAAAGTACAGTCTGGGCATGTATAGTACATGGAATATAGTATAAATTAGTGGTTGACAGGAAGTCACAATTGTGATGGGGAAGGATAGTCGCGCATCCCTACCAAACAGTCCAACACTATAGGTAAGATAGGTAAGTAAGTACTATACAAATGCAATACAGTACAGTTACAGTAACAGACAGTACACTATTTCACTTCCTCTACCGCCGCCTGACTCTACTCTACTGTTCCTGGTGTGCCAAGTAAAGGGGAAAAGACGGACGGGGAAGGGAATAAGGAACGGGGAGGCGAAAAAGAGAACGGTTATGGACAAAAATATACAAATCCAGACATCATACATACATACGGCTGCAGTTTTCCCCTTATTCCCTGATTCCACTGCTGTCTAAGACGAGATCTGAGATGTTTACAGTGAGCAAGTCCCCTGAAATACCAGCAAATGAACCAGCCTCGCAAATAATCAGGGGCCTGATCGCCATATCTTCGCCGTCACCATCTCAGACCCGTCTGAGACCGTAACTGAGACCGTTGCTGTTGCTGGGCTCATTTGCTAAAGCCGGCCGTCTTTAGTCACCTAAACCGTCAGCAGTTAGCTGTCACTGCCGCCGGGGAGCTGGAGAGCTGGTAGAGAGCTGTCAACCAGACTTGAGGAATGTTGGGTGTCTGAGCTGACCACGACTCATGGGTGGTAATATGTATATATATACACTCATATATATATACTCATACCACGCCGCAGTCATACCACAATCATACCACAGTCATGCGCACACTCATACATAGCATACCTTCCCTCGTACACTCAACTCGTACAGCTCACTCATACTGTACGATGCCCTGTAGCGTGCACGAACAGTATCGTGTACAGAACTGTACAGTACATTCGCGCACACCATCCACCCAAACACCACCACAAAGCCCACGGCCATAACCTCCATAACCTCCATAGTAATAACCCAGTCATCCCCTCCATCCCCTGAAAAGCTGAACAATCCCCCACCCCTCCCAGCACCCCGTCATAGCGCCTCCCTCCCCCCCATAGCGTCCCAATAGCCCCAAACTCTCACGCCACTCTTCCCCCACCCCCCCTAGCGCGCCACTCTTTCATCCCTCGCCGATTACAATAGCGCCGCCCCCCCAGCGCCCGGACGAACCACACCCAGCCACACCAGCGCCCACGTTCTCGTCTCCCACAGCGCCGCTCGGTGGTTCCTGGGGCTAGCCGACCCCTGACGTACTTGTATCGGTCGCGTAGGGTACGGAGATAGCAGCGACGGCGTACGTATAGCGTAGCGTCTGTTTGAACTGGAAGTCCGGCGCGGATAAGTCGATCGGTAGGCGCTAAGCCAGTGCGGAGCTTGTCGCGAGGAGCTAGGGGGGACGTGGGTTGTTTGGTAACGGGGGCTTCTCCGGCGGTGCTTGCTGTGCTGTACCCTTCTGTCGCGACCTGGGCCATCAGTCCGTCTCGTCTGCGACGTCCATCTCCCCAGCGCCGCCCCCTTCACATGCCACCGATCGCCGACGCTTGTACATCATTCTCCATCATTTTCCATTGTACATCCGTGGATACCATCCAACGTCAGCGCCCATCCCCCCCCCATCCATCGCAATCTCCACCTAAGACAAGACATATTTTCCCATTTTCCCTCCCTACCAGTGCCGCGTGCGTGTCTGCATGCAGGTTCTGTTCCCGCGCGGAGCTGTTTTGCCTGTTCTGTTCTGTTCTGCTCTACTCTGTTCGGTTAGGGTAGTAGTAGGTGTTGTTGGTGCTGTGCCGCATCCGGCGAGTCCGGCGCGGGCGGAGAATTTGGGAGGAGCGGGGCGAGGCGGGGCGGGTGTCTAGATGGGGAGGGAGGGGGATCTAGAATGGACTGGCTAGCTGTAGGGGGAAGAGGGATTGGAGGAGGATGGATTAAGAAATGAAAGAATGATGAGTTTTTTTTCTTGGGGGGACGTGCGGTATGTGCGTAGATTTGAGAGCGGGATGAAATGTGATGCGGCGATATGATGGGGTTTGTGGTGATGGGTGAATTTGGAGGGGATGGGAATTGGGTACGTACCGGCTTTGGTGGACGGTGCGAGGTTAGGGTATATGTAAGCTTTATGCCCCCTTTTCGGTTCATCCACCCCCTCTATTGTAGAGTTGGATGCTAGTTACTCGGAAATACACTGTGGGTATGGTATATAAATATCGAGTTCCATATGATTATATGGTAATTTATGTACTACATATATATTTCTGCCCGTGAAATCCGCAGGGCGAGACGTCCCCTGAGATGGGAGAAATAGGAGAAACAATAAAGAGTACAGAAAGATGAAGCCTCCTATCTCCTTCAGTCCATCAACTGCTCGAGTAAAATCCCCAAGCAATCATGCTCCCAATACTCGCTCCATGTCTGCTCCATCAATTTTCCCAAGGAATGTTCCATCCTCAATCCCACCTCCCCCTCCTCATAACAACCCCCTAATCACCAATCTTCATCTCCTCCGCCCTCCCCTTCGCAAAATCATCCTTCCACGTCTCCCACAACCGCACCAACTCATCACAATACCTCTCATGCAACTCCTCCACCTCCTCCACACTCGGCATCCTATTCTGCGTCACCGGAATCGGCCTCCCCACTACCACATTTACCGCGCGCCTGTATGGCACCAGCCCAACATCATAATTAAACACCCCCCTCGCATGAAACAAAGGGAGCGTCCAACCTAAGGTGCGCTTGAGCAAGTCCTGGCCTCGTCTGATCCAGGGGCGGTTTTCGACGCTGAATTGGTCGTACAGTTCGTTCTCCCCAAATCCGAGGACGGGGACGAGATCAGCGCCGGTGCGGAGAGCCATCTTGACGAACCCATACCGCCTCCTCAGCACCAGCCTCAGCGTTCCCGGTCTCGCATCAAGCGACTCCCTCGCGCCACCAACAACGATAGTAATCGCCCTCCCCATCCCCTCCCCATTCACGCCCCCCTTACTAAGTAAATTCTCACAACTCTGTCTGCTCACGCTCGCGAGCCCCAGAGCAAGGATATACTCCCTATAAAACGGGATGCGGAAATTACTATCCAGCGTAAGGAGCGAATTCGTAATCCCCGGAAACAACTGCGCAAACCCCAACGCCTCCGTCGCGAACGCTGCGAACGCGCCATGGCTGATAATCCCATGCGGATGATACCCAAAGATATACTTCCTCGTCGGGCTCAGCTCCACCGTGCGATGCAAGCGTGCAGGAAAATACCCCGCGAAAAGGGACCACAACTTACTCCCCCTCAACCGCGGCGACCGCATGCTCAGCTCCCCGCTATAACCAGCCTTGGAAAACATGACGTACACCATATACGGCACAATCAGCGGCCACAGCAGCGGAATCGCGCAGGCGAACAAAAACGTCCCTATCAGCAAAGCAATACACAGCGTATGCGCTAAGACCATAGCAGTCTGCAGCCGTCTCTGTAAGGGGATATTAAGCGGCGCGAACCGAATCTTCGACACGTGCCAGTTCTTCCCCGCTTCGCGCCCGGAGGTGAGCGTGCGTGTGCGTCTTGGGTTTGGGTCGTCGGCGGGCGCGGGGGAGGAAGAGCGAGAGAGGGGTTTGATGGAGACGAGGTGCTCGGTGGAGTGGGAGGGGGAGCGGGTGGAGGGGTAGTTGGTGAAGATGTCCGAGTCTTCGAATTCGGTGTCTTCGTAGAGCTCGGCGCTGTGGGTGTGTTGGTGGGAGGGGGGGCGGCGGGTTGAGGGTTTGGAGCGGCGGGGGTGGGTGGTGGGTTTGGGGGGTTGGAGGAGCTGGAGAGGGGGGTTAGTTGGTGGATTGTGAGGGTGAGGATGGGGGATGGAACTTACTGCTGCAGCGTAGCTTTTGCCTCCGTCGTCGTTGTTTGCTTGCTCTCTCCGTCCCTTTCTGTCGCCATTCCTCTCGTCGGCGCGTCCCTTCTTATCCCCATTCGTAGCAGTGCCCTTCTTCCCTCGATTCGTCTCCCCAGTACTCTTCTTCTGTCTATTTGTCGCAGTACTCTCCCCCTCGTCCGCCCCCTCCTTAGCCCCCTCAATCACAACCTCCGCGAAACTCTTCGGCAGCACCGTCTCCCCCTCCTCTCCATGTCCATTCACCCCCTCTTCCCGCCCATTCACCTCCCCCTCCCCCTCCACAACCGCATCCTCAAACCCCTTCACCGGCTCCTCCCTCTCCTCCCTCACCTCCGGCTCCGCAACACTCGGTATCCCATTCTCCACCGCCATCGTCGTCATCAGCTCTGTGCGTTTATCTCGTCCCTCTCTTCTCTTCGGCGGCAGTTTCGTGCGCGATTCCGGCGTAGGAGGAGAAGCAGTCGTGTACTCGGTAGGAGCTCTCGGTTCGTACGGCGCACCGCCAAGTTCCCCCGTCAGGCCGACGAAGTAATCCGTCCAGTCCAGATTGTCCTTTTCCTCGTCCCCTGGTGTGGTTTTGTTGTTCCGCCTGTGTATTGCGATCTTCCTTTCCTATCCTGTCTTCCTATCGTCTGCGTCTTTCCTATCCTATCCTTTCCTATCCGTCGTCGTCCAGCTTCACTTGCAAGTTCAGCTCGCAAAAAAATGTCCGTTGTGTCTCACAAGCCAAAGCTACCACCAAACCCCGTCGTCGATAACCTTGACCTTGTTCCCTCAGCACTACTACGTCGATCCTGCCAAGGTGCAGCTGGGCTTGGTGGTGGAGCTGGGAGCTCGGCTGCGCACGAGCTATGACGTGTGCGCTTCGCCGGGCAGGGCTGGGTCTGTCTGGTCGGAGAGCGGAGGCGCGGAGGGCGGGGGCGCTAAGGTCACGGGTGTGGGTGGTAGGTTGTGGGTTCGGGAGGCTGGGGATCCGAGATGCATATATGTTCGGAGATAGATACGGGTGCGGAAGGACGGAGACGGAAGGAAGGGAAGGGAGGAAGGAAAGGACGGATGGGGATCGGATGGAGATAATACAATAATACAATAGGTGTTAGATGGGGGTGCTGTGTGCAGGTTGGGAAGAATGGATGTATGATATGTATAGTAGGTATTTTTTTGTAACTCGTGGTTTGGGTATGTACTGTACATACTGGGGCCTAGCGCATATGAGGCGGGACATTTCTCACATGTGCTTTTCTTCAGATCTTACGACGACATCATCGTCTACGACCATCTATATAACCGTTCACGGTATTCGCAGCCACAGATGCATTGCAAACTTCAAAACAATATCTTTCCATTCATAACCACCATCACCACCACCACATAATCCCTCAATCAGAACATTTCAACCCCACCTCCCCCCCCCCAAATCCCAACCAACCCGCTCGCTCATATCATTAACAAACAAAACAAGTGAAAAAAACAAATCTATAAGAACACCCTCTCCCCCCTCCCCCCTTCCCCTCCCAAAATAAAAAGCAAAAGCGAGATAAGTTCTAAAAAGGTGTTAAAATTTCGTCATCAAAACTCGCCGTGGCAAAGATGTTCTTTCCCCCGCACCGCACCGCATCTCTCCTTCTTCCTGTTCCCCCGTTCCTGTCCCGGCCAGTTTCGTCCACTCCAATTTAAAAACATAAACAGATAATCCCCATCCCCATCCCCATCCTTTGATCTTAACCCCCACCCCCGGCCCCTTTCAAAAAACCCCAGCCAGAAACGCCATCATAGATCTCCCCCCTTCCCCCTTCTCGCTCACCCCGTCCTATTCAACCCCGGCCTCCCCGCCCCCCTCAACCCCTCCACCTCCTCCACCAACTTCCTAATCCTCTCCTCCTGCCGCCTCTCCACCCCCTCCATCCCCACCACGCGCTCCGTGAGCCGATCAACCTTTTCTTCAAGAGACTGTATATACGTCCACACCCCGCGTTCAGAGGAGAAGAGGTTGTTACTCGCGTCCGGACCTCCTTGCTGCTGCTGTTGCTGCATTCCTGGCTGTCCACGGAATCCCGCAGTAGAGGAGGAGGTAGAAGTGGATGTGCCGTTGGCGCCCGCTTGGCTAGGAACCATAAACCTCGCCTCCGGCGGCGCCAACCCACTAAGCGCAGGTAATTTCGGTCCCTGTCCCCCCGTCGATCCCATCCTCTCCCCCTGCTGTTGTCTGCGTCCAAAATCCCTCTGCTGGACCTGCGTAGCAAGACTAGGTGAGCGCTGGCGGTTCAACGACGATCCGGCGATAGATGCCGGGTCATGGCCGAGTTGGAGGGAGGACATAGCGCCTGGGCTGATTGGTTTCGGGGATTCGGTCATGGGTGTTTGTGCGAAGAGCATGGGGTTGTTATTGTTGCCGTTATTATTGGTCCCGGCGACACTCCCAGTGCTAGGCGCAGTAGACATAGTCGTATGTGAACTCACACCCCCCATTGAACTCTGCACCGTCGACCCCGCCGTACTACCACTCCCATGTTCCCCCTGCGCCAGGTGATGAAAAGACGTCGGTCCCGACTGCCCCCGTCGCGGTCCAGGAGGCGGATAAGTATTCGGCGCGTTCCTCATGAGTGGCGCATACGGATCCTGCCCTCCCCCACCACCACCGCCACCGCTGCCATCAACATGCTGCGCCTTAATACTCGGTAAACTATACCTCCTCTCCTCCTCCCCCTCATCCACATCCCCCTCCACGGGCTCCGCATACAGCACCCCCTCCATCCCTCCATCCTCTCCCATATGCGAGTCGTCATACTCCTCATCGCCGCCAAAACTGCCCATACTCGCCCTGCGACCCGCACACCCCCCCTGCCCCTTCGCGTGCCGCGCCAGCGCGTCGCCGCGCGCGAACTTGCGATCGCACTTGGGGCAGATATGGGGTCGTTCGCCGGTATGAAGTTTGCTGTGCCGCTTAAGATCGTGTAGTCGGCGGAAGCGCATCTGGCACGTGTTACAGACGTACGGCTTCTCCTGGCTGTGCGTGAGGAGGTGGGATTTGAGGTTATGGTGGCGCGTGAACTCCGTGTCGCAGTACGGGCATTTATGTTTCTTATGTGAGGGCGAGCGCGGGTTTAGACCGGACATTGGGAGGGAGAGGCCGCGCATGGGGTCGCGCAGGCCTTCGGGGCGCGCGAGTGCGTTGCCGGGGAATGTGAATGCGCGTGCTGACGGCTTATCGCTCTGCGGCTCGCCGCCACCATTCGCGCCATTATCCCGATGCTCCCCTCCTTCTCCCGGATTATTCATCATATTCGACGGACTCGTAATCCCCGTCGTGCTCGCCGTAGCCGTCTGCGCCGTGCTTGCCATGCTCCCGAGACTCGTCACGCTCGCAGGGCTGTTCTGTGATTTATCCTCAAAGTGCAGCGGGCTCGGGATCGAGATCGCATTCGCCGCTACCTCCATCCCTTCGCTCATCGTCGTCGTCGCTGCTGGCGCGTCCTGGCGCCCGCCTGATCCGGAGATGAGCGCTGATATAACTTTATGGCCTGGGTTCTCTCCAGGCGCTTTCTTCGCCGCCTCCGATCGTCGGAGGCGCTCGCGCTCGTCGTCGATGGCCGCCGCACCAGGCGAGGCTCGCGGCGACACGCTCGTGCCGAAGCGTGGCGACTTGGCGAGTGGAGAGGCGGTGAGGCCTGCGTCGGCGATGGCGCCGACAGTGGCGGAATTGGGCGATGAGTCGATGCGGCTGCGCTTCAATGGGCGCGCGGTCGATTGGTCGGGAGTGGGGGGTGTGCTGGCCGCGAGCAGCGGTGGCGGCTGCGGCGGCGCGGAGTCGGGGATGTTGTTGTTCCTCATGAGCGCTGTTGGGGCCGTGGTAGAAGCGGATCCTGGGTCGGAGGACTCCATGAGAGCCAATGCTGCGGGTGGGTGTGGTTGGATGGGTGTAGGTCGCGCTTCTTGAGGGGCATCCGAACTAGGTAGATGGGCTCAACGCTTCATTGTCTGGCTCCCCTGGTGGAGAGCTCGGGGTTGCCAATTGCGAGACGAGGCAGGCGCGGCGTGGGTGGTGGTACAGGTTGGCGCAACGGTGCGGATGTCGTTTCTAGTTCCGGCCGATGGGGTTGCTGGTGAGGGTTTGTTTGGGGAATGTGTGTATGTGTCGGTTTTTGTTTTGTTTGGGGTCGTGATGGGGGAGTGCGTGTGTGTATTCGTTGCAAGCCTGCTTGGTGAACGAACGGGGTCAGCTGCGGTCAGGTTAATGGGCCTGTCTGACCGAGGACCGGGACGGCACATACCACTTTGTTGGAGCAGGCCGATATAGTGTAATCAGTATAGGGACTGGTGCCAATGCAATGCAATACCCTCCGCCACAGATGGATAATAAGGGGATAAGTATAAAAGTAGTAGGAGTAGTATCAGAGTTGAGACAAAGGTAGTCAGTGGGTGTGTGTGTGTAAGTGGATGAGTTTGAGAGGGAAGGACGAGGACAAGATCGGATGAGTCTTGGGAGTGACAGGGCAAGCTTTGGAGATGAGATTGGCAAGGCAGGCAAGGCGAGGCAAGGCAAGGCCAGCTGAAAAGGCGCCGGGGTGTGTGGTGTATGGGTGTATGTATGGCTGGTGTATGTCTCTGTGTGTCTCTAGGTAGGTCCTCTAGGCTTGATTCCTGGGAAGAGGCGCAATATTGTGTAGCGACAGTACAGGCCCGTATCAAGAGTATGAGTACAGTACAAGTTTGATTGGGGATTGTAGTAATTGTGTAATTGTACAGGATAGAGTACAATTGTCAAGATTGAGGAGAGGAGAGTTGAAGTTGAGATTCGATTGAGTTGAGTAGAGCAGAGTAGAGTAGTGAGTGAGTGAGGCCTGTTTCCCTTTCGTCGCTGCGCCACACATGGGGCACTAGCGCGTTTTCGAGGAAGAAGGGCGGTAGGCGGTAGGAAGGGCGAGAAGGCTGCCATTCCGGTTTATACGGTACTATGTTCAACTAGTGGGATTAGAAGTACTGTTGCATATAGTTTACAGTGCAGAGGTACATATGCTGATGCTAGTCCGACATGATTTGCGGTGCGTGGAGCAAGAGGGAGGAAGTAAGTGGTGCTATGTAATGTACCAGTACTTTAAGGGTATAGTATGGTTATAGTATAGTAATTTTTATCCACAGTCAGCTCTACAGTCGTCAGAGATGGCTTCACTAACGTCCAGGGTAGAGGGGCAAAGATAATAGCTAGTATGGCTTCTTAGGTGAAGAAGTACGGGGTATCACAGTATCACATGGATATTCTAGTGTCTAGTGTACTAACAGCATTACAAGACAGTTGCTCTCCTATAGTCCTATAGCACAGTATGAGGTTCTACAATCCACAACCACCTCTAATACTCTACTACCAGCCATACTCGCATACTCCCATCCAGACCTCCCCTAAAGTACTAGTACATCCTCACCACGATCCCTTCGCGCCTTGGAAACAGGGTATTAACATCCATCCATCCTTATCCGCCATATCCAAGTCTGCATATCGGTCTGGACACTCACCGTACCTGGCCATGTACACTATCACCCATTTAAGCAGAAAAGATACATAACGCCCATCTACGCAGTACAGACAGTACAGACAGTACAGACAGGGCTATTAATAATCCTCAGCTCCCGCGGTCTGCCTCGCTCCAGCCACGGCACTATAGAGAGTACTACTGTAATCAACTCTATCGTATCACAGTAGCAGTATAGAAGAAGGCTGAAAGGCTAAACTTCCTCTAGTATCCATACAACACATACTCTAGCATCCATCTATCCATCCCCCTCTTAAACCAAGAAGCCATGGATAGATTAAAAGAACGGCTTGTAATATATTACTAACCCTCCCATAATCAGCCTCACTCCCTATCTACACCGACCTCTCCCCCTAACCCCTCCCTCGCACTGCCACACCGGTCGGTCCCCTATCATCCCTCACCTCCTCACCACCTCAACCCGTCCCTCACCTCACAGCCAGCCAGTCCTTCTCACCTCCACCTCCACCTCCACTCCACGCACATACTTATACCCCTAAAAATAGATAGCCGCACCACCACCACACCCACACCGCCACCGCCTCACCCGCCCCCCCCTCCCCATTCAGCTCCCCTACCTCCATCTCGCATCCCCTTTCGGCCATCAACGCGCAGGGCAGGGTTGTGCGGGGTCTCGAAGGGGTTAGTTTATGGTTTCGGGGAGACAGCACGGTGCTTTTCGTAGGGTAGGCTAGGGTGGCCGAGCGTTATTGGTGCGGTGTGTGGAGGAGGAGGGGAGTGAGCCACAATTGAGGATCGGGGATTGGGGATAGTTAGTTGGTTGGCGGAGGTGGAGCTGGAGGTGGAGGCATGATTGGAGTTGGGGAAGTCGGGTTGTGGGACGATCGGGGCGGCGCTGGGAGGTAGGGAGGCCGAGAGGAGAGGAGGTAAGTGATTGAGTGAGGAGATGAGGTAAGGGAGGGAGTTAGTTAGATAGGACTGGGTAGGGTAGAGCAAGGTAGGTAAAAGAAGATAGAGACACTAGAACACTAGAACACTAGAGTTGGTAGGCTAGAGAAGAGCTGGCTGGCTGGTTGTAAATTGTATTTGTGTGGTATATATGTGTATGTGTATGTATAGTGTATGGTTGATGATGACTAAGATAAGATAATCTACTTTGATATTGTATGTAATTATGCATGTACATGGAAACTCCTATACTGCTGACGACGTTCACGGGGGTGCTCAGCCACGGTGCTGGGGAAGGGTCGGTCGGGGTGCGTTGGGATGGGATGTTTGGTAGGGGTGTGCTGGGCTTGGCGGTTGGGGGTTATTCAGCCTCGATGTAGGGCCGAGGTGTGGGGAGTTGAAGATGAGATGGGATGACATGAGGGAGTGTAGTTATGGAGAGGTGAGATCAGATGGTATTGTGGGAGTTGAAGATGTGATGTTGTGAGCCTAGTAGATGAGAGAGGGTCTGCTTGATGTAAGGTAGGCTGGACTAGTAAAGAAGGGTTGTGGGATGCAGGCTGTGTTTGATGCTGAGCAGGGTGTACTGATGGTACAGAGGGGTTGTGATGGTGGTTGTGAGGTTGACTCTGTTTGATACTGAAGGAGGAGGGTTGAGATCTGTGGTGAAGATGGTGAAGATGGTCAGGGGAGCAGAGAAGATATCTGTGGTGATGATGGTGTGGTGAGGGAACAGACGAGAGATCCGTGCTAGTGGAGTCTGTGTGAGGTTGACTCTGTTTGATACTAAAGAAGGAGGGTTGAGGTCTGCGGTGAGGATAGTGAGGGGAGCAAAGGAGGGTCTGTGGCCATGGAGTCTGAGTCTGATGCAAGGAAAGCAGGACTCTCATCAGTCTAGCAGCCTCAGTCACGGACACAAGCCATCTCTGATGCCATGCAGAGGAAGATCAGTCTGCAAGGAGTCTTCAAGGACAGCACATCTCCTTGCTGCCAACCAGGCTCATACCAGCACACACACACACATCCCAGCAATCACCTCCCTTCCAACCAAGCATCCATCACAACCCTCAAACCTTCCCAGTTGAAAAAACACCCTACCTACTCATATAACCCTAACCCCCCTCCCTACACTCCCCGTCTCAAAAACCTCCACCATCCCCGCCCCCACACACTCCCTCACCACCCACCCAAACTCCACCCCCCAAAACACCCTCCACCACCTCGTCCTCCCCCTCGCCACCCCAAACTCCCCCCTATCCCTCCTGGCCTCACTCCCCCTCCCCGCACCCTCCACACCCCCCTCCCACCTCTCCCTCAACCCTTCCTCCGTCATCTCTCTAAACCTCGTTTTCCCCAGCACACCCACGAGATGCGTCCGCGCTGAAGTCAGGAGTTTGAGATAAGCACCCACGTTCGGGACGGAGACGCTGTAATCACCCATCCCCCCTGCTGAGGAGCCGGCGCGGCCGCCACTACCGCCAGCGGCGTGGACGACGCCCTCGTTGCCGACTTTCCCGACGCCTCCGCGCGCGGCGGAGGCGATGCTGGTTAGACTCGCTAGGGTCCCTCGCGCCCCTTGTCCAGGGGCCGAGAAGACATCAGCAGCTGTCCATGTCGGTGTCGCGGCTGTAATAAAACCAGCTTGCATGAGCTGCCTCGCTGCGTCTTGTGACAAGCTCGATCTCGGTAGTTTGAGCGCCGTCGGCTGCTCTCGGAGTAACTTGATATAAGCCGCTTTGACGGCGTCGTCGAGGGTGGTGGAGGAGTTGATTAGCCCCTCCAGGTCGCGCGTTAAAATCAGCAACTCCCCCGCGCCTCCACGCCCAGGGATGACGAGTTTCCGTATCGTCCCTTTCGCAGTCAACTCCGCGATCTCGCGCGCCACAGCGGTAGGCGCGTGCAGTAGCGCTTGCACATGCGACACCGTCGCTACCGGCGGTAGTGCGCGGCGGAAATTCAGGATCTCAGCAGTGCGAGTAGAGCTTAGCCCCGAGCGCGTGGGCGGGATAGGTGTGAATGTATGCGTAGTGATATGGAGGATTGCTTGCGGGACGTCGCGGAGTGTGAGGTCTGTGAGGAGGGTGTGGATTAGGCCCGCGTCTGGGAGGCGGGCTGTAGGATCGGAGGAGGAGGAGGAGGGGGTGTCGTCGTCGGAGTAGTCATCTTGGGATTGCTGTTTGGAAGAGCTCCCTGCGCGCGCGATGGGTTTGCGACGGGGGAGGGAGGAGAAGGCGCAGGAGGGGCGGCGGGCGCTGGCGGGGTTGGATTTCTTGATGCGGCTTGAGTGCGCGGCGGTGGTTTGGAAGGACATTGTGCAGTGGTGGCGTGGTGGTTCACGGGGGATAAAGGAATGTGATGTGAAGCAACGCAGCTTCGGGTATCATGGGTGAGAATGAAAGAAATGTAATCCGCGACGGAAGAAGAAGAATGTTATGCGGACGCAATGAGTCGTGGTTGTGATGATTCTCCAAGGCTGTCGTGCGCAGCCACTCAGGTGCTCGTATGCATCAGAAGTGGCGGGATGTTCGGCGGGTGGGTAAACTTTAATCCAGCCTGGTGCCTGCCACTTCATGCCGAGCCAATAATGTGGGGCGAATGTTGAGGTGAATGAAGAGGTGAATGTTGACTCAAAGACCGCCGCTACTGTCCAATAACACTCACATAAAGAGAAGCCAATTGATTATTTTCCTATAAATCTGTGCCATAAGTCGAACAAAAACCACAGAACAGTTCACAATGGCGCCAACTATCATTTTAATCCGTCATGCACAGGCTGAGCATAGTACGTATCAACCATCACCCCGCGCCAGAGATGGAAACAATATACTAACCTCCCTCAGATGCTACCAATAAGTCCCCCCCAACACCGCAAACCCCCCTCATTGCTCTCCAAACCTAACACTCCCTACAGGACTATTCCATCCCGGATCCCGCCCTCACCGTCCTCGGCGCTGGTCTCCAATGCGACGCCCTCCGCGCAGCCCTCAAGGAGCTCCCCCTAGAAATTGACCTCATCGTCTCGAGCCCCATGCGGCGCACCCTGCAGACTACCACTAACGCTCTCGGCTGGCGCATGGCAGAAGGCTGCCCCGCAATCGCCCTCGCTGAGTTCCAAGAGAACTCCGCGAAGCCATGCGATACGGGCTCTGACGCCGCGGCCATGGCGGCGGAGTGGCCGGCGTTCGATTGGAGCGAGGTTGACCCTGTGTTCCCTGCCAAGACGGGGCTTTATGAGTTTTCGAAGGATGGGCTGACGCGGAGAGGGGTGGAGGCGCGGAAGTGGTTGAGGGGGCGGAAGGAGAAGGTCATTGCTGTGGTGTCGCACGCGGGGTTTCTGAGGGTGGGTGTTAGCTATTGCCAATATGCCAATGCGGATTTTAGGGTCTTTGAGTTTGCGGAGGGGGAGGAGGAGGTCGGGGGGAGGCTGGTGGAGTGGGAGTTGACGGAGGAGAGAGCGGGTGGGTTGGGGAAGAGCGAGAAGGGTGTTTTTGGGTGGGAGACGCAGCATTTTCCGGAGGAGAAGGTGGAGGAAGGGGTTCCGGCTGAGGATGCGCAGGGCGCGAGCGCGGTGAAAGTTGCTTCGTGAGGGTGAGGAGAGGGGTTTGGTTTGAGGTGGCATTTTGGGAAGCGAGGTGTTGGCACGTTTTGGTGCGACGTGAGATTTGGAGAGGCGGCACGTTTTGGTATGGTATGGCATTTGGAAAGCATGCTGTCAATATGCGTTCTTGCGTTAGTTTTGGAGGCGGATAGATTTCCTTTTGGGGAATATTCGTTTCTTGCATTAAATTAGAGGTCTGATAGACTTTTTTTTAGATAATATGTATATTTTATATTTTGTCTTATTTTAAATGCTCGGAGAATATTTCCCGAATTTACAGAAGTATATTTTATGTTTTTCCTTGTTTTAAATGCTCCGAGAATATTCCATGAATTTACACTTCTTTAAATTAGGATAAGGGCATTAATAAATATTTTTAGATTTTGAATAACTGACTTTAGTTGTGTTTAGATTTAATAGAAACTGGGCGAGTTAACGATAAGGTAGAGAGGGAATAGTTTTAAACTTCAACACAATCACTTTGAAACAGAGAATGATTGATTTTTGCTCTTTGCCATACATATTTGACGCTCCTGTGAACGTCTTTGAACTGAATAAAGGCGCTAGGCGCTATAGCCTACTTGATATAATTTACGAAAGACATTTTCCAAGTTCTTCTATCCCCAAAGAGTCAATAAAACCGCGTTTAGCTGGAAGAGGTCCGCCTATCACGGCGCAAGAGTCAAAATCGACTAAGATTGCATTCTCGCTCTGTATTGTTGGGAACATGACATTGGATGCTTTGACGTCGTTATGGGCCAGATTGAAGCAGTGAAGATGGGCAATGGCTGCGCTGATCTGATTAACGACAAGTGCCTTGTTTATTAACAAACCTCTTGCCTTCCTTTCTTCAGCAGTCTCAGCATAGCGCTGAAAGCAAAGGCTGCAATTCGGCCCTCTTGCACATAACATCCAAGATACCTAGCAACGTTTGGATGGGAGTTCTGCATCAAAATCTCGCATACGCGAGCCTCTTGAAGGATCAAATGAGCAAGAGCGGGAGTGCTGTCGTATGCAGTAAGACGGGGTTTCTTGATATAGATGTCAGGATTGGTAGGGTCGTCGCAGACGGTAAGACCCCCCTCAAGAAGTGGCCAAATGTGCCCCCGGAGAATCTTTTGGGGGTTGAGGGCATTGATGCTTTCGGTGTCGAGTTTAGGTCGGCGCTCTTTAGACTGACAAAAGAAGTAATCTCCGCCGTCTTTAAAAACGATTTGTGTATAAAGATGTTCTGCTGGGTCTGTATCAAAACTCCACTGCTGAGCTGATCTCGCTACCTCCATGTTGTATGGGGATCTACGATAAAGTTCGTTGACAGACGGCTTTCGAGTTTTGGAAATTAGCTTTAAGGACCCACTTGTCGTGTTTTATAGAACAGGTATGTTTGTAAGTTGGAGCCTTTTCGCTGATTGATGGTCGAGAATTTTACTGTGATGTCGATATGCTACTAGACCAAACAGAACTCTATGTCATTTCCTGCGATGTAGAGCCTCTCTAGCACGTGTTTGCTTCTGTCCTCAGCCTGCAGCGATGATTGAAGGTATTGCGCGTTTAGAATGAATGGTGTTTCGAGTCGTAGTTATTTGAGGTTGCCGTCTAGACTCGTATTGAGTTCCGCAGATTGGGGAACCCCGGTGCATGTTTCCTAATGTTGTCCTGCAGCTAATGTCATGGTGCAGCTGCCTGCAGTATCCCAACTGAAGGCTCAGCGCCAATGTATTTTCCTCAGTACCCCTCCCCAGCCTCGTTTCGTTTCTTGATTCTTGAACTTCATCTTTCTCTCAACTCTTTGTCCCTGGTCGAATCGAATTGTCTGAGACAGTTTGCGACCATCTTCGTGAGCGCGAGCTTCTCCATATGGGGTGCAGCATCACCTAGCAGGGGTACATAGGGTGTTGCAGCGAGCGATTATCCGCAGCCCTTCAGCTACAATTTTCTACTTGCAGAGCAGCATATTAGCTGAGGCGAATCCTTGGACAGCATATAGGACTTTTCATAGCATCTAGGGCTGCTTGGCAGCTTGATATCATGGTGCGCCTATCTACTAACACGCAAGAGGGTACACCGCCGACTGATAAACGCAATGACAGACATCGAGCAGGCGTTTCTCCCACCTTGGTGCAGAAATAGTTGAAGAGGGGCACAATCCGACCATAGAGTAGTTATTCTAACCCGACATTATGGCCGTTTCTAACTTCTATTAGCATTGTTTTCGTTCACGGGCTCATGGGGAATCCTCGAACGACATGGACAGGCATTTCACCACCACCGAGTGCCGAAAGCGAACATAAAAGGTCGTTATGGCAGAAAATAACTCAAAAGAAATCACCGACGACGTGGGAATCACAACCCCAGCCGGTCTTTTGGCCGAAGGAATTCTTGCCGCGAGATGTGCCGCACGCTAGAATCATCACGTACGGCTACGACGCGAAGGTGGTGGAATTGTTCCAGTCTGTCTCCCAAAACAGTCTCTATGCTATTTCTCGGGACATTTTGAACGATTTGCAGATTTCTAGGGAAGATTCAGCAGAGGTAGATCTATATGAGATGGTTGACCCGAGATAATGCCCTAACATATGTCCAGACCTCTCGACCCATTCTCTGGATCGCGCACTCTCTCGGTGGGATAGTAGTTAAAGATGAAAGTATCATTTTAAGCTAATGGTTCATATCACTAATACTTCAATAGGCTCTGAGCCAGTCTCACGCTCTTCAGCAGAAGCAGCCTCATCTGTTTGGTATTTACTCTTCGACTATTGGAATCATTTATCTCGGGACACCTCATAGAGGAAGTGGAGGGGCAACTCTCGGCCTCGTTGCAGCATCAGCTGCAAGCTGTTTCCTTCAAAGTCCAAATAAACACCTCCTGCGAAGCCTCGAATCTAGTTCGGCTGAGTTAGAACGGATTTCGGATGTATTCTCCCTCCTCCCTAAAAAGGTCGACAAAACGATCCAAGAGTACTCCTTTCAGGAGGATAGAGGGATGGCCTCTGCCCTTCCTCTCATTGGTGGTAAGGTAGGTTCTTATTTCAATCTATCTTTGAATCGTAGCGAGTTATTGACTAAACTTAGGTGGTACCGGACAGCTCCTCGAGACTCGACGATGGGGTAGGCAGTACTAGCAACATTGCTGCTAATCATCGAGATATGTGTAAATTTGTATCATCAACGAGTCGAGATTACCTACGAGTTATCAGTGTCATCAAAAGGTTCTCCAAGTCTACAGTGTCAGACTCTAGTAGTTTAGCAGCAGATATTGCACCAGGTATATCTTCGATCTAATTATATGTGAGAAAGTGCTTTGCTTTCACGCCCAATATAGAATATAGAGGGCAAAAGCTGACTATCAACAGCACTTAGTCAACCCAATATACAACCCGAGGGCCAATACATCAGAGCATCGAGTCGTGACTCCCATAGAAGGAGAGAATCCCTTCAGTTCCAAAGAAGGAGCGCTAGTAGCTTCAATGCTAGCGACGATGGCATTTCTATAACTTCGGTTGGTATAAACGAGGCCCAAAGCTCATCGTTGATGATCCCACGCCATCGAACCTCTACATCCTCGCATAAGCAAGAAAAGCACTTCTTTGAGTTGCCGCTTCTAGACAATCCTCATTTTACCGGCAGAGAGCAGCATTTGCAGCAGCTGCAAAGTGTATTTCCTATTGAAGACCAGGCTGCTAATAATCCTCCCCGGCGGCAAAGAAGCTCTAAAGATCTTCGACGTGCAATTCTTATGGGGCTGGGTGGATGTGGAAAGACGGAAATTGCTTTGAAATATGCCAGACTCCACCGAAACGATTACACAGCTGTAATCTGGGTTGATGGCACAAGCCCTAAGACATTGGCCTCCTCATTTAATCGCATATCATCCATATTCCCTCGCGCACTGAAAGGCGAGCTCCAACAAAGAAGTAATTTCCAATTCAGCCCTCGAAATTCTACTACCGACTTGCCTGCAACACTCCATGGGGGCAAATTGTTCGACATAACGAAGTGGCTTAGGGATTCTCATGATTATTCTTGGCTTGTGATCATCGACAATATGGACGACCCAGACATGATAGATGTGGTAGAGCAGCTCATTGCCAATTGGCACCATGGCCATGTTATTATAACAAGCCGCAATCGAGAAGCCAGTCGCTTAGGCACAGCGATACAGGTCACCGAGATGGAACTATCTGAGGCCACTGAGCTTTTGCTACTTAGTATTCGGCAGACATGTCAAGATGAGACTACGAAAGAGCTAGCAAATAAACTCGCCACTAGACTTGGGAACCTCCCTTTGGCTATCGATCAAGCTGCTGCATATATTAATTACCAGCAGATGTCAATGGACGAGTATTTACTCCTGCTAGATGAGGAGCAAGCCTATCTTCTGGGGCATTCTTCCCGAAACAGATATCACAAGACGACGCAGCTAGAAGATGGCCAATACGACACAGTTCTGACGACTTGGGAGATTTCTTTCCGGCATATTAGGAAGACGCATCTACACGCATCGCTGCTGCTGCAACTTTTTGCCTTTATGAACCCGGAGGAAATCTCTGAGGTCATCTTTTCAGATATGGCAAAGAGAAGCCCATGGGATACATATGGGCTAAATGGCGAGCTTATTTCTATGGACCCCGCAGACTATGGTCTAGACGTAGAGCTCATGGAAGTGTTGATGTCTCACATTAAGCTTCGCGAGGCTATTGGACGTCTCCTCTCATTCTCGCTCATACGGCGCAAGGCCCAAACTAAAACACTATCTATACATCCGGTAAGTCTTTCAGAATCCTTCTACGTTGAACTATTTAAATTGACTTTAAACTATAGCTAGTGCACTTTGGGCATCGTGGAGAATGGAGAGTGAAGAAAAATCGGCGTGGATCGCGAGAACGGCTGCCATTTTGAATATGACAATACCAGTTAAAAAGCGGACGCCACCTCTCGAGTATGTGAAAGAAGACGAAGCGGACATCCGGATTCTACCACACATTCAGATCATTTTTGAGTTCGCTAAGGATTTATATCCTCCTACAATCGGTTGTCCTATCCAACCGATCACAAGCCTAGAATTTCTATTTGCCTACGCATCTTATTATACGCCTCATCCAACTTCACACGAAATGTTTGACTTGGCAATATACCTTGCTCAATACACCCAAAGTCTCTTTTTAGAATTGTTGGTAACATGTTGGGGAGCGGCCGCTAGTTTCTGCAGAGCACCGCCGTGCTGTTCCAAGTCTAAAAGGCCGATACCCCTCATTTTAGACAGCATGCCTGAAGACAGTGAGGCATCCGAGAATTGGTTACTCGACAACCAGAGCTCAGCTTTAAACGCCCTGTATCTGCGTCTTGCGTTCCTTGTTGAACAAGTTAGGTATGAAGTGGGAAAAGGGAATAGAGACTATCGAGAGCTTCAACATTGGATTATACAGCATGATTTGACTAAAGCGTCAAGAAAGAACACCAGGAGAGTTTTGCTGTGCTGGCGTCCTACATCGTCATTGATGGGCGACTTAGAAGAACAAGCATGCATGCTACAGGATTTTTCTAACATCGCGTTCGGGATTACCCAGGTTGAGCTCCAATCGTTGGAGAAAACGGAGGCGAGACTGGTGCAGTGTTTTAATGCTTTCCGTAGCTTCAGCTCTCTCCACGAGCCAATATTCGCCGGGCTAGGCATATTAAGCCTTACGCCAGGTTGCCCATTCGACAGCTCGCTGGAAGCCATTTATCGGATGTTGACATTATCATCTAAGGCGGATATCCTCCGGGTATGGGAACCGATAGCTAAAGCTGTATCTGGGATTTCTATACGAGCCTACAACGACCGCGAGAAGTTGGACGTCGTAAAGCTATTTAATCATTTCAAAACACGCGAAGATAGCGAGAAGTCAAAGCTTCGAGGCAAGGGGGAGTTCGTAACAGATATTTCCGACTCTAAATGGGCCCGATTTTGTGAATTCTACCGCAAGTTTGACACCACACAAGGGGCTCTCGAGGGCGTCGCTAGAAGGGAAATATTGTATTTCCTACGCAATCCTAGCAACAGAGATGAATCTTTGGACGAAATGTCTAAGCTTCTGTCAGCATCGTTAGATTATGCGGAGTGAACCTCGATGGTGGCATGGGAAATATTAGTTATGATTGACTTGTTAAATAGATTGAGGCGATTTATAGCAGGCATTATAGAGGCCCGAAGACTAGTTCTAGAAAACCTCGTTGAAACTTATTAGGGAGCTTGTAAGATAGTATAATTTTTGAAGCCTAAATTTTATTATTTTACTTCCTCCTATTGTGATATCCTCTACTTTAGACTAAATTATTAGGGAATTTACAAATTAATAATATTTGGAAGCCTAATGTTTATTATTATACTTCCTCCTGCTGCTATGGCCCCCACTTAGATTAAACCTGTAATTATTGCAACTATCAAAACCCCTATTTGTTAGAACGGTTATGTAGTTGTCAGTCACTCTTCGACCCCACCATACAAATATAATAGATATATGGTCTTTCTGGGCAGCCGTACTCACCACGTGCCTCCACTAGAGTGGTTCCGAGCTACACCACCAAACTATACGAACTAGGCAGGAACTTATAATTGGAACACCCATGCGCGCGAGTCAACCCGACCAAATCCCATTTTGCGACAATTCGCGTTCTACTGTTCTACTATTCTACTACACGAAACGAACAGTTCGTGCTTGAAGCTTTTCTTTTCTGATTTCATATGCAGTACGACTTAACTACCACCTCATCGCATCTGATATCTGATCTCCAGATCTCCAATTAATATACGGCCTATAATTGTTACTAGGTCCGTGTGCTATTAACAGCCACACTACCTCCACTGCTACTTGCACACTATCTGCCTCGTCAAGGCGTTGTTGCTTCAGCTCCCATACAGTATCGGGGTAAGCGCGCATTTCCTAATCCCCTTCCCCCACAACGCGCCCTTCCACCACCCAAACGACCGCCACGACCGCCACGATCAAGACCCTAAACCACTCCTCAAAGGGCTCTGCACAGCGAACCGACTCAGAACTCGCATTTGAGTCTCATCGTCGACTCTATATCGATCTAGCGGGCCCTGAACTGACCCTGTGGCATAGTTAAACCTAGGTTTCACGTCGGCGCCCGTGTGAGATTGCGCGACTTCAGCTGTCCGTTATCGAGACGAACTTTTGCGACCGCCACAACTCCCACTTCAGTAATCTCTCGGCTCTATCGTGCGAGATAATATCACTTTGGGCTCTTACAACTGTTCGAACTCTATTGCGCAACAGTGAGGAGGTCATAATAATATATTCTTACACGACAGGCTTGCCCCGACGCTCGAGTCTCCTGTTGCTACGAAATTACGGGGTTACCTGACTTGTGGGCATTTACCCCCCCGCCTATGCGACCATTCCCACCGTCTCGACACACGACAGTTCGAATACACGGCAGAAAGGAACAACAAACATTAAGAGGCAAAGAAGCTTATACTCTGCATACATACTATAAACGCAATTAGCGCCGGGAGTTATTCTGGGTGCGCTTTTTTGCTGTTCGCCTCAGCATCCGTTGCACAGCCTCCGAGGCTGAGCTCCCCTGTACCTGAGAGGCTGAGGTGCCGCCCGCGTCAACGACACACGCCAACTGCTACGTCAGATATAGCGACAGTAGCATAAATACATTTAGCATCATGGATCACCAAGGGACTTCCCCGACTGGGGAGCACCCGAACCATTTAAAGCAGGAGTCGTCGCCGCAGCCAAGTAGCTATCAAGACGATATCAACCCCGCCAACCTCGGGCTCGGTATCAACAACGGCAATCTTCAGGAACAATATTCTAGCGGACAATTTTCGCAGGGCCAGACTTTACCAGTATTCGAGACGAACGTCGAACAGAACCAGCAATTCTCGCAGGGGAACATTGGAGAACCTCTTTACGCGTTGAGCCAAAACCAGAACGCCCAGCCAGAATTCCAGCAACAGTTCGACGGCAACCAGCAGTACCAGAACCAGGAATTCAACTACAGCAACAACTTCCTCGGAGTAAACAACTATAACGGCGGAGACTTCTCGCTCTATCCGAATCCTCAGACCCAGAACGAGATCTACGATCCCTCGTTATATTTAAACGACTCGCCTCAGCCATCTGTCAACCCGGCGGATCTAATTGGCGATATATCCTCACCCCCACATCACACACCAACACCGCCCCAGATGCTCACAGCAGAGCTTCCGCAGACGTCGTCTGCTCAGCATTCGCCATCATTCAACCAGCACCAATTCCCGCGGTCGCCTGGACACTCGAGAACAGCCTCGTTGCAGCCGGAGAGCGCCCAGTTCCCGAATGCCCAGCTCCCGACAGACTGGGGCATGATCCCACAGCAATTCAAGACTCATCGGAAGACTCCCTCGGAATACTCTGATGTCTCTGCATCTTCGGTAGCGCCATCGCCTAATTTGGGACTCCATGATAGCTTTGACACAACGGACCAGCGCCATTCTCCGCTAGTTCACCCACAGGACCAAGGTATCTACCAGGACCTTGGAGCGATGGGAAACTTCTCGATATCGGATCCTCATCATGGGACTAGCCCTTTGAATGGCAGGAGCCCGGCTCATTCGCCCCAACCGTCACCACGACTCGATCCGCAGCAGATGGGCCAGATGAACCAGCAGAGCCCGTTCATGTTGAGTATGAACATGCCGAATAATGGATACATCCAACAGCCTACCCTGGATATGTATGGTCAACAGCAATTCAAGCAGGAGAATTTTGGGGAGATGGGCCAGGAACAGCAGGGCCAGGGACCACAGATGCCGCCCCCTGATATCAATATCGAGTTTGCGCCGGCGTCGAGGCAGAACAGCTTCCCGGTGAAGGCACCGTTAGATCAAGATGCCCTGACCCCACCGCAACGAGGTAAGACGCCTTATATCAGCGAATATGAACCTTGATACTAACATCAACAGGACGGCGACCTAGAGCTAGCTCCGATATTACCGGTACTGGGCTCTCGCAGTTTTCACGCCAAGGAACACCGAGCAACCTCGGCCCTGGTTCAGATCGTGGATCGTCTCCACCAGGTCGATCACTGTCTCCTCTAGATAGGGCCGGTGCATCCACCCCAGGCCACCGACGCCGGCAGTCCACATCCGCAATTCCCAACCAGCGCGACTATATTCTCGGCCTCGCAGACCCCGAATATCAAGCCGCATCCGGCAGCGCAGAAAACGGCAACCCGAAGCGCGTCCAGAAGCACCCCGCCACCTTCCAGTGCACCCTCTGCCCCAAGCGCTTCACCCGCGCTTACAACCTGCGCTCCCATCTCAGAACCCACACCGACGAGCGACCCTTCGTCTGCACCGTCTGCAGCAAAGCCTTCGCGCGCCAACACGACCGAAAGCGGCACGAAGGGCTACACTCTGGCGAGAAGAAGTTCGTCTGCAAAGGCGAGCTAAAGCAAGGCGGACAATGGGGCTGCGGCCGACGCTTCGCCCGCGCCGACGCCCTCGGTCGGCATTTCCGCTCTGAAGCGGGCAGGATCTGCATCAAGCCGCTGCTGGACGAGGAGCACATCGAGCGGCAGCGGCTGTGGCACGAGCAGCACATGGCGCAGAATATGCAGCAGCAGCAACCGCTGCCGCCGCAGAGTATGGACGCGAACGGGTTCCCCATGGACGCGAGCGGGAACTACACGCTCCCTGCTGCGCTGCTGGCGCAGTACCCCGCGCTCGCGGGACTGAGCTGGGCGGATCTGCCGCAGGGAGACGCGATGGAGGATGATGTTAGTGGGAGGAGCAGCTTTGATGCGAGTGGGAGTGAGTATTATGATGAGGGGGATGAGGGGGGGTATGTGAGTGGGCCGGGGACGGGGTTTACGCAGGGGCAGATGCCGGATGGGTATCGCGTTGATTATGCGAGTGATTATGGCGGCGGTGGTGGGAGGTGAGGAGGAGGGGTGCGAAGAGGCGGGTGAGAAAGGGGTGAGAAGGGGGGTTTAGCACGTGAGCAGAGCAGCATGATGGGGTGGTTTGGCTTGGTTTACATTCTTTTTTCATGGCTTGGCTTGGGAGGGGGGAATGATAGAAGGGGATGGGATGGGGATCACTACTATGGATGAAATACGGCGTCTTTTATTTTTTCGACATCGACATACGGACGGGGCATTATGTAACGGCCTATCGGTGGGGTCATGTCCATTTGAATTGGGTTTATTTATTCTTCTCGACGCTTCTATTTTTTTTTTCTCTCTTGGGATCTAGTCGCTATATTCCCGCGATGTTTTCTTGGTTGTCACGATACCCTTCGATCGGATTAGACTAGCTGCAGCTTCTTACTTATTACAGTAGTATTAGTCGGTTATGGAATACTCTTTTTTTTGGTTAATGCGCATATGTGGATTTTTTGTTATGTGGATTTGTATGCGGATTTGTTATGTGGACAGGCCCGATTAGGCGCTGATTTAGATGGAGATTTGATGAGGTGGATGCGGCGGTGCGTCATTGTTTTCTGTGTGTGTGTTGTGTTGTGTTGTGTGTGTGGAGATCCGTGGCGGCATGGAGTGCGGGAGGGAGAGGTTGGTCATGTGACTGGGGATAGCCTTACCACACTGGTACTGTCAATTACTACTATACTTGTTGTATGTATGTGTGTACCTACGTAGTAAAACCCCCCCAAGGTGGACAAATATATCCCACCACCACCATCATCCCACCATCCCACTATACCTTCATAGCCCTCTCCCTCTCTCCCTCTCCAATTCCCAAAATCCCATATACAAGAAACCCATCTCAAACGCCCATCCCTCCATCCCAGCCTTACCACCTCATACATCCATTCCACCCTACCTACCTCTTCCTTCCTCCCCCTTCCACCCCTCTACTCTATCGCGCCGTAGCGTCCACGCACCTGCAGGACGACTATCATGCACGCCCTTGGCACCCACGACACTCGCCAATCCCCCCGCGCCGGTTGGCCGACACACACAGTATCCCACCACACACCCAGCGCGCGCACCCCCACACACGAGCCACCACGGGCACACTTTGCTGAGGCTGGCGAGTCATAGGCGCCGCTGGGCGATGGGCGTGAGTGGAAAGGGGGGGGGGTTTGGTAATTGGGTGTTCATACATGTGGTAGAGTGGGTGTTGTGTGCCAAGGGGGGTGGGAAGTACAGTGGTGAGTGTGAGTCGTGTGTCTAACCGGATTGTGCTGCTGGAGGGGGGAGGTGGCCTGATGGTGGGGGGTGGTGCTGTGGGATAGGGTTAGGATGGGTTTGGGTGTGCTGTGTTGTGAGCCGATGGGGATGGTAGATGTGGACAAGGAGGGAAGGAAGGAAGCTGGCTGGTCGGTCTGATACAGGGCAGGGAAGGTTAGGAGTACAGTATGTGCTGCGTGCGTGTGCTGTATGGACGACGACGATGCCAAATCACACTCTCGAGCCAGCGCAAGAGTCAGCCTGGTCAGCACCATTCCACAGCCAGATCCAGCTGGAATGCCCCTCCAATACCCGCATAGGGACGGCGCGTTTCTGTCCCTTCCTCCCCTTCGCCGCCGAATCTCGGGAAGCACCAGAGGCGATCAAGAGGTACTTCCTTTACCTGCTCCCTTTACTGGACATACACTACTGTACTGGACGCACAGTAGTGCCCACGCATCCCTCTAGCGGCCACACAGCTCCATGCATCGTGCTGTCATAGCCTGTCAGCATACCCGGAGCGAGCCCTGTCGAGCTTGTGTGTGGTGTGTGGCGTGTGTGTGTGGGAGACGGCGGCACATGCATTGGCTCGCGCATACAACCTCAAACAGTCGCTCTGTCGCTCTGTCGGGATGGATGGGGATGGATAGACATGCTGCGTTTGGCGTGGCTGGCTGCTCTGCTCTAGCTGGTACACAACCCATGCGGTCGTGCGACACTGTGCAGATTTTTCCCTCCTCGTCCTCTTCCCGCTACGCTACGCTGTGCTGTGCTGTGCTATATATTTGCGGCGTGTTGTTTTGTTTCTCGGGATATCCACAAAAAAAAACACTAAAGTTTCCCCCTCTAGTGACGGTTACGGTGACGACGATACCCGCCATTGTTTACTTTTCTCTCCCTCTACGCGCCCGCTCCCCTCACCAAAACTCCACTCACTTTGCCTGGCACGGACTTCGATGCAAGGGGTGGGATAAGGGCACACAACCACACTCCTCCGAACCGACTGATACACAACAACTAATCTGGCTTCGCGCCTGAAAAGATTTCGGAAATCAGAAACACCCAGCGCCCGCACTGCGGCCCCCAGTGTCAATCCGGCAGGAACTGACAGGGAACCGGGGGAACCTCCTCCACTATTTCCTCCACCTCCCTCCACCTCCCTCCACTTGGGTTGTCCTTGGGTGTCCGCTACTCGACGGCTTTTTTGTCTACGAAAGGTTGTATTGGTCTACCTTGGCTATACAACTCCACGATACCGATACCTTACATACTCCCCAGCCTCTTTTTTTTTTGCCGTCTCCACCCAATAACCGCCCGGCATTTGGGTGCTTTTGTTGTTGTGAGGTCCCAGAAGGAGAAGAAGAGAGACACTTGACTGACATGCTTTGTACATTTTTACTGTAAGTAGTACAACTGACATAGTACGCTGATATAGTACGAGTACAACATTCCCGAACGAAAAGTACGGAGTACAAACCTGCCAAAATTCCTCCCTTGTGACCCCGTCGCTCAAATACTCTAAGAAGCAAGCTGGTGTCTGGTGTCGCGCGGCTGCTTCTTTATCCCGACTACATTCGTCCCTCGTCCTTCTTTTACCTCTCGTCATCGCATACCCAAGGAATCGAACGGTACCATCTGTATAGTCGGATCGAGTATACTCCTCCGGCGACCCCCCACGAATCTCTCTCCACCCGCCATCTAAAAAAAAAGCGTCGCAGGCGTCCCACGATCACTCCTCGCTCGCGCACCTTCCGCCACATAGCTTCGATGAGTCTGACACCTCTCTGCCATCTCACGACCTCGAATACACATAATGGCTGCGGCCGAGGTTTCTCAGTCCTTCGGAAGTCATCCAAGGAGCGACCTTGGACATACAAGGGAGCCCTGGACGATTGGGTGGGATGAGGACGACACACGTATCCGGCTCCAGCACATTGCGCTGGCATGGGTTGCGTCGCGCCGCTCTCACGATGCCTACTACCACGGCCCGCCTATGCCTGGTGCACCACGATGGGTATGCGCTTGCCTGAACCCTCTTTTTCTAAAAAAAAAACTTTAATTATTTCCCTTGGTGTTTGTTGTGCTGCCAATTTTTTTTCATGTGTTGTCACGGCTGTCTCGTGCAGTAGCGGGATGAGCCGCAGCCCAGCAAGCAGCATGGGCAGGACAGGGCGGTGTGGACCGAGAACGGGCTGATCTAACGACGCATACAGGAGAATACGGTGGCTCTTGGGCTACGTAGCCAACAGCCTAAAGCAGTAACCTTGAGGCCATTGCGGCTTTTCGTCACATCGCTCCCGAAGCGCCATATTGCTTCCCCCGCCGACGACGACGATAGTAGTTGCGACCTCGACGCACCCCTCACCGACCCCTCCGACTCCTCCGACGCCCTCGCTACGGAGAACTACAACCGCGACGCAGCCGCACACTTCGATACCCCGCTCCCACCCCGCAAACCGCCGACTGAGCGGATCTTCGCCGACCCCGCCATGGCTCCCGCGGCTGTTGACTGGACATCCCAGGACGGCTTCAAGACGACTGCTAAGAAGAAGGCAAAGCAGGCTGCGAAGGCGGCTGCGCAGTCGAAATGGGGAGATGACGATGAGGAGAAGAAGAAAGAGGAGGGAGAAGGGGATGCTGGTGGTGATGGTGGTGCGGGCGGTGGAGATGCAGGCGACGCTGGCGACGCTGGATCTGGGGATAAGAAAGGTAGCGATGATGGCGATAAGAAGGAAGACGCTCCTGAAGAAGGCGACTGGGGAGGATTTGCACCTGCGAAGTCGAAGAAGAAGGGCAAGAAGGGCAAGGCTGCAGACCCGGAACCGGAACCTGAACCAGCGAAAGCCTCGGCGTTCGATGCTTTCCAAGAGATAAAACTGGATGATGGGGGTACGTTAGACCTCAGCTTCGATAAACCCGCGGCTACGACAGGGTCAGGTTTTGGCTCGTGGGGGAGTAGCTGGAATACGGGTACGAAGGGGGCGGCTACGACGGGGAGCGGATGGGATTTCTCAGCTACGGATGGGGCGGCGGCTACCGAGGAGAAGAAAGAGGAGGAGGGCGGGGATAATCCGTGGAGTCTGAATCGCGGCAAGCCGACGACGACTAAGAAGAAGAAGGGAGCCTTCAGCTTCGGCTTCGACGAGGAGGAGACCAAGGAGCCGGAACCCGAGCCGCCGAAGGAGGAGAAGAAGGAGGAGGACGATGGGTTCAGCGGCTTCGTGTCTAAGAAGGATAAGAAGAAGGGGAAGAAGGGCGCTGTATTCGCCTTCGAAGATCCCCCCGCCGAAGAGCCCGTCGTCGTCCCGGAACCGGAGGCGGCGCCGCCTCCTGCGGAGGACGACTGGGGCGCGAGCAGCTGGGGCGCGGCTACGACGAAGAAGAAGAAGGGGAAGAAGGGCGCTATTGCTGAAGTCATCCCCGAGCCAGTCGTGGAGGAGCCGCCCAAGGAGGAGCCTAAGGAGGAACCAGTCGTAGAAGATACGTGGGGCGCTGTCGGGAAGAAGAAGAAGAAGGGGAAGAATGTTATTGAGGAGATCCCCAAGGAGCCTGAACCCGAACCGGAGCCCGTGAAGGAGGAGGAGTCGTCGTGGGGTGGTGGCTGGGGCGCGGTGGGGAAGAAGGATAAGAAGAAGGGCAAGGGCGTGGTGGAAGAGAAGGAGCCGACGCCTGAGCCGGTACCGGAACCTGAGCCGGAGAAGGTGGAGGATGATTCTTGGGGTGGTGGGTGGGGCGCGGCTACGACCAAGAAGGATAAGAAGAAGGGGAAGAAGGGCGCGGTTGTCGAGGAAGTTATCCCCGAACCGGAACCGGAACCTGTTCCTGAGCCGGAGCCGGAGAAGGTTGAGGACGACTCGTGGGGCGGTGGTTGGGGCGCGGCTACGAGTAAGAAGGATAAGAAGAAGGGTAAGAAGGGTGCGGTTGTCGAGGAAGTCAAGCCTGAGCCCGAACCTGAACCTGTTCCTGAACCTGAGCCGGAGAAGGTAGAGGATGACTCTTGGGGTGGTGGCTGGGGCGCCGCTACGACCAAGAAGGATAAGAAGAAGAAGAAGGGCGCTATTGAGGAAGTCATCCCTGAACCTGAACCTATACCCGAACCCGAGCCAGAGAAGGTCGTCGAAGAAGACGCCTTCGCGTCGTGGGCACCAGCTGCGACTAAGAAGAAGGGAAAGAAGGGTAGCAAGGTTGTCGAAGAGGTCAAAGAGGTCGTCAAGGAACCTACGCCCGAACCAGAGAAGGAGGAAGAGGCTTCTGGCTGGGGTGGGGGATGGGGTACGACTACGACTAAGAAGGGCAAGAAGGATAAGGCTAAAGAGCCGGAACCTGAGCCTATAGTTGAGCCTGATCCAATCTCCAAGGCCTTCGAACCCGCGGGCGACGATGACTGGATGAGCTTCGGCAAGAAGGACAAGAAGGGTAGCAAGACATCCAAGGCCCTAGTTGAAGTTAAGGTCGAAGAGCCGGCGCCACCTCCACCACCCGCCGCCCCCGAAGTCGGCGATATAGCTGCGGAAGACGATTTCGGCGGCTGGGGCGCTGCTTCGAGTAAGAAGAAGAAGGGGAAGAAGGGCGCTGCTGCACCTATTGTCGAGGAGGAGCCGATCAAACCCGATGTCGTCGAAGAGCCAAAGACAGATGACATCTGGGGTAGTGTCGGTGCCGGCAAGAAGGACAAGAAGAAGAAGGGTAGCAAGAGCGCTGCTGTCGAAGTTGTAGAGGTTGTTGAGGAGGTCGTCCCTGAAGCTGACCTTATCGACCTTGACTTCGGGACTAAGGATAAGGAGCCCGAGGATGACTCTTGGGGCGGTGGCTGGGGGGCTGCTATAAGCAAGAAGGATAAGAAGAAGAAGGGTGGTCTTGATGCGCCGCCGCCCGCGCCTACGCCCCCTTCGATGGATCTTACCGAGCCTGAGCCTGAGGCTGACGATGGCTGGGGCGCCTTCGGCTCCTCGAAGAAGAAGGAGGAGCCTAAGAAGGAGGAGCCTGCTAAGCCAGCTAAGAAACTCTCCAAGTCTGAGCAGAAGAAGGCTGACAAGGAGGCTGCGAAAGCGAAGGAGAAGGCGGAGCAGGATGAGCGCGATGCTGCTGCTGAGGCTGAGCGGGTAGCTGCTGAGGAGGCGGAGAAGGCAGAGGCTGATGCTGCCGCTGCCGCTGCTGAGGCTGAAGCCAAGGCCAAGGAGGAAGAGGAGGCTGCTGCTGCCGCTGCTGAGAAGGCCGCCGCTGCCAAGAAGCCGAAGCTTACCAAGAAGCAGCAGGAGAAGGCGGATAAGGAGGCTGCTGCTGCTAAGAAGAAGGCGGAGAAGGAGGCGGAGAAGGAAGCAAAGGCCGCGGCGGATGCTGCTGCAGAGGCAGAGGCGGAGGCTAAGCGGATTGAAGAGGAGGAGGCGGCTGCGCAGGCGGCGAAGGAAGCGGAGGAGCAGGCGGCGAAGGATAAGGAGATCCAGGACGCGCTTGATGCGAAGAAGGCCAAGGAGGATGCGAAGAAGGCGAAGGAGGACGAGAAAAAGGCTAAAGAGGAGGAGAAAAAGGCTAAAGAGGAAGCCAAGCTCGCCGCCAAGAAGGGTGGAAAGTCGAAGACCAAGAAAGTCGTAGAACCGGAACCGGAACCAGAGCCAGAAGTTGTAGAAGACGTAGTTGACGACGAGGCGGCCGAGGCGCTAGAGAAGGAGCTCGCGGCCGAGACTACGGCAGGGGCCTTTAGCTTCTGGGGTGCTAGCAAGAAGACTAGCAAGGGTACTGAGGCTGCCAAAAAGGAGTCGGCTAAGGACGTCGCAATTACGGGTGCTGACAAAGCAGGGATTCTGGAAGGTGCCACCTTGAGAGACAGCAGCGCCGCGACGGGCAAGCTGGCATCATCTTCATCAATGAAAGCATCGGCGCTGAGCAAGAAACCAGTAGGCGGAAAGATTGCTGATAGGTTACGCGCGTTTGAGACGGCCGAGGTTGCGCCGCCGCCGCCGCCACCGGAGGAGGAGCCTGCGCCCCCGCCAAAGGATGATAAGAAGAAGTCCAAGTCATCGCGTAAGAAGGACGAGATTATCGAGGTCGAAGATTCTCCGAAGAAAGCTGTACCTGGGAGCTTCCCTGTAGATATCATCGACGACGAAATCGTGGAGATTATTGATATGGCACCCCCGAAGAAAGAGAAGAAATCAAAGAAGTCCAGTAAAGCGCCTGTAGAGGTCGTACCGCCGCCTCCACCCCCTCCTCCACCACCACCGCCGCCTGCGCAGGAACCTACACCACCGCCCGAGCCGAAGGAAGCAAAACCCGCGAAGAAGGAGCGCGCAAAGGTTGTGCGCGGTGAAAGCGGGTCGTGGGGTACGTGGGGTGCAGCAACTAAGAAGGACGAGAAGAAGTCGAGCAAATCGAAGGAGGTGAAGCTCGAGGATTCACCGCCCGCCGAGAAGAAGAAGCGATCATCGGAAGCGAAGGCGTCTAAGTCAAGGAAGACGGAGGATAGAGGCTCTGGGACAGAGAAGTCCTCTGATAAGGAAAAGTCTTTGAAGACGCCGAAGCCGAAGTCGAAGGGCCTGTCGAGCATGTTCGCTTCTACTCCACCTATCTCGAGGTCCATGTCTACTCGCGATAAGAGGTCGAGCAGCGGCGCGCGCACGAGTTCGCGTCGCCAGTCGCTGGATACTGGGATGATGTCGCCGCCGCCAGAGATGTCGTCTAAGGCGGCGAGGATGCTTGGGGTTACACCTGGCAACTCGAGGAGCAAGTCGGATCGGAAGAGCAAGTCACGAGGTATGTCACAACCTGATGATTCACTTGATGCCAGTACTAACTATTATAAAGAAGTAGAGGACGACGACATCGTGATGGTCGATAAAGCCAGCGACGAATCCGGCGGTCGCAAAAGAAAATCAAAGGTACCTAGACAACCCGATGAGGAAGCCGCTCCTCCACCGCCGCCCTTCGTTCCGATGGCTCCCGGAAGCGATGACCTACCTCATAGGCCCAGGCACAAGAGAAGATCCATGACTGACCGATCCAATAAGCAGGCTGTTGATGACGATATAGTCATGGTGGATGCGAACGGCCCCGCCGACGACCGCGAGGGCCGCAGCAGAGGACTCAAGCGCTCCGAATCCTCGGCGAGGAAATCCGGCTTCGGCGGCATGTTTGGCGGGTTCCTGGGGAAGTCGACGAGCGCCAAGCCGGAAAGCAGACGACGCAGCTCGGTCCGTCCAGATGAGGGCGGCGGCGAGTCACGACGACGCGATAGCCATAAGACGCGCTCGACCGACGACGCCGACGTCATCAGCGCAGATAACCCCGTGATGAGCGGCGGCGCGTCGGAAGAAGACCACGAAGCGCGACGAGCTGCGCGACGAGCAAGGCGCGCTGAGCGCGAAGCCCAAGAGCGCGCAGCTGACGAGGCGAGGCGGGCTAAAGATGAAGAGCGCCGCGAGCGTCGCCGCAAGGCTGATGAGGCTGATGAAGCGCGTAGGCAGGAGGAGCGCGAGGCGAGACGCGCGGCGAGACGCGAGCAGAGAGCTGCGGAGGAGAGGGGTGGTGAGCGCGCTGAGCGACACCGTCTGAGGAGGGAGGAGCGCGCGACGTCGGAGAGGTATAATAATGATACTGATGTGCCTCACGCGAAGCGATCGGAACGCCGTAGGTCGACTATGGATGGGGTTCCTACCGATGATGAGGAGCGCCGGCGTAGGCACGCTGAACGACGCGCCGCGAAGGAGGGCGGGGCGACGCCGAAGCTGAGTCGTCGCGCTACCGAACCACCGGATGCGTACTTCGAGCCGCGCAGCGGGGAGAAGTCCCGCCATGCTACGGATGACGAGAGGCGCCCGCACAAGAGCTCGCGACGCAAGGGGGAGAAGAAGCCAGGCTGGCCGCACTCCGGGACCGATAGCTGGGTGAAGGAGCACAGCGACGCGCCGCCGCCTCCTGAGGACGAGGAGCCCGACCACGATGAGAAGGTCGATGATCCCATCTCTGACGAGGTGGAGCGCAAGAAGACGCGTCGCTCGAGCCGGTACGATGACCTTACCCCTGAAGAAGCGGAGGCGAAGCGCCGGCGTAGGGAGACTAGGCGTGCAGAGCGCGCGGAGAGGGAGAAGGGACGGAGTCAGCCTAGTAGTGCGGGGGATGAGAGGAGGTACGGCCCTGATCCGAGGGGGGGGAGGAGCGAGAGGGAGAGGGAGAGGCCGAGGGAGGTTAGTGGGGGGAGTTGGTGGAAGAAGATTACGCAGGCTGTGTGAGGGGGGGGAGTCACCGGATGGCTTCGGGGGGATTATGACGTCTTTGTGAGAGGTCGTTTAATGGCATTTTATTGCGGCTGGAAGGGGTTGGTTTGATGAGGAGCAACTGGGTTTGGGGGAACTTTTTTAGATACCTTGTGAGCGTTTTTTTTGAGCGGTTTGGAGCTTTTGGGATGTTTGGAAGGGGGGATTGGGGGGACATGATATTATGAGTGGGTGTTGGGGGGGGGAGGGTTGATTCCCATTTATTCGTGGATGGATGGGGGAGATGACATATGTGTGTCTTGTAATGTATTGAACACTGCAAAGCAAATCAAAGCATCTAAACTATCATATTTTGTAATCTGAGATGCTGCTGATGTGAAGTTGTTGGTGTGAATCTGCCGCTGGGGATGTGAGAACGTGCCTCGTCTGTTTGTGGCGCGTAGCACGAAGGGTGGTGATTCTCGGCGTTTCTCCTGCATGCCTTTGAATAGCTTCGGACGAAGGTATATCCGCTGCCCGAATCCAAAGCGGCTCGGCCGGCTCGGCACGGTACGGCTTGTGGGTTTCCTCTCCGTACGGAGGTGGAGATCCGGGGTCAGGAGGGAAACAGTTCTCAACTGTTTTGTGAGAACCCGTATGGTGTATATTATATGAGCACGCTTTGTGGGAGGTACTGTTTGTTAGAGTAGGGATCCTTATCGTAGCGGTGACGATAAGGAATTCACTTTCGTGGTTGTTGTTCTTCTTTGGCTTGGTGAGGTTGTAACTTTTCTCACCTTACAACTGCAACTTGTCACAAAATCAGAACTACATTTGCACAACATCCAAGCAAAGATGCCTAATGATTATAATTATAATCCTGATGACTGGACCCGGGAAGAGGTTAGAAGTTCATTTATCATACTCTCAATATACTCGTTCTAACATGTTTTAGAAAATGGCAATGTGGAACATCTTCTGTAGCCTCGTTTTCGACGCCACCGGCGGTGCTAACATGGAATGTCAGCTTGCCCAACCTAAACAACTCATACTTTTGTACTAACTGGGCAGACTTATATCCTGGTTGGGGGAATTACACATTGTCCGATCTCCTCGATGCTACTGATCAGTTGTACTCCGTAACTCATCCAGACGTATGTATCCGGACACTGTGTAGACATTGCTTGCCATATCTGGTTCTAACAATACACAGGAGTATCTACGCCTCGAAGATCTTTCGATTCAAATCGTTTTAGCCAGGAGACGACCTGTTCAACTGCAGCTGGAAGAAGAGGGTGCAGAGGCCGCTCCGGTTCAGAATCCTGAACCTGAGGTGGAGACTGGTGTGGCGGAGACTGGCGACGAGACCGGTATCCTGGCACGTCTTTATAGATCTCTATGGTGGATATTCAGTGGCTTTGTATGATAGGAGCAGAAGGCCGAATCAGAGACGCCCGCTGATGAAGAGGAAGCCACGGGTCCTGAGATGAAGGAGAATGAGAATCAGTCTGTTGAATCTTCGAATTCCCAGGAATGAGCTTGCGTGTGATAGAGACCGAGTGTAGCATCTCCCAGAAAGCATCTACAGGTTAAATCAGGCTTGCGCATTCTCAAAACTGGCAGCCACAGAAAATCATCTATTGTGAAGTGTAGAATATAAAGTCAAAGTGAATCATAGGCGCCGTCAACATCCGTCACCTCCCACGCTCCTCGCCGCCTTTGTTCAGTCTGGCTAAGAATACCAACTCCTCCTCAGCACGAAACCCCCAACCACGCCTTATCAACCTTGGCAAATGTGAGCGTATTGCTCACACCCTCATAAAAGATCCCAAACGTATCATTACCAAGCGCAGTGATAGTCGAGTAGCTCATCGCACCAGCTTGGAACACACGGCCAGCGGACCAGGTCGTCCCATCATCGCACGAATATCGGGCTGTCCCTTGAACCCTGCTGGTCTGGCTATTTGCATTGGTGAAGAGCAAGATCTTTGCATTTGCCGAGCCTTCAGCAGCATCGGGGTACATTCTCGTGATAGCGCCGTTGTTCGCTGGGTCTGGCAACTGCGTTTCGCTCTTCGGAACAGTGTACGTGATGCCGCCATCAGTCGATATGGAGACCTTGCGGTAACCGCTGCCGTCGCTTGGCCTGGAGTTCAGCATGACGTTGCCGTTGGACAGCTCGACGACTTTGTTCTCATCCATACCAACCCCCACAGGCGACCCCATGTGCCATGTGCTGCCGCCGTCATCACTGTAGACGCTGTAGGCTTGGTATATAACGTTACCACTGGGCTGGACGACACGTCCGACAAATTGCTGGATGAGACGTCCGGCGTGGGCACCGTACCGGAGCTGAATCCCTTCCCCTGATGCAGCGAACTGGCCGACCACTCCGCCAACATTGGCTACACCATTGACCGTCTGGCCCACGGGCTTGACCGCCGTGGTAATAAGACTCGAAGCCGCCGGTGGCAAGCTGAGTTGATTCGTGGGGTCCGTAGACCAGCTCACACCTCCATCAGTCGAAACCGACACCTCCGAGCTAATTACATTTAGATTCGCATCGTCATTTCCGATCACGCTGCTTCCAAACCCCACATTCTTAGAGAAGACGTGGAAGTTGAATATCTTCCCAGTGTCTTGGTCGACGACGTAGCTTGGGTCGCTGAAGCCGTACTTCTGCACGCCCGTGGACCCAGCCTGGCCTTGCGCAATATAGGTTGGCGCGCCCCATGTGTCGCCGCCGTCTGTGCTGCGGCGTTGGAGGATGGAATTTGGGGATGGGGAATCACCTCCATCAGGTCGTCCGTCGTAGGCAGCGAGGACGACGCCGTTGCCTAGATTTGCGAGGGCTACGATGCGGTAGTATGGGGCTGGGCCGACTCCATTGGTGGCTAGAACTTGCTGGCTGAAGAGTTCTCTTGAGTGGAGTGTGGATGGCGCTGGTGCAGCTTGGACGGGAGTGAGGATGCTTGGTAGTGCACACAAGCTGAGGACGCTGACAGCGTACTGGAGCGTGCTTTGTGACGCGTAAATCATTTTGGAAAGGAGTTTCTTGGAGGAACAATGCAGTGGAGATGGAAACCGGGGAACAGATTGTAGAAAGTTGAAAACAATAATGATGCCCAAAAAATTATGGGAAAAGGCATCTGAAGCCCAGACACATATACTTTCCTGAACTACCCACTTACCCCGCAAAATCCAGCATCATGACTGCCGGTAAACTGGCTTGATGGAATGAGATCCACCGATAATGGCACATGAGGCAATTGCGTATTGTTGTAAGTTGGAATGAGAAGTATAAATTACCTAATTAGGCAAGCAAGACGCAATCCCCGCCAATACACGGGAGAGTCCGTCGTCGGCCTTGGTCACTTCGTATATTACACCTGCTCAGATGCCTAGCCAGCCCATGTGGGTCAACATATTGTCGATAAACTTAGTTAAGATAACTAGAGGCCAATAAAATGTAATGTTACATTGATTAGCATCTCTCAGAAGTGATAGACAAACGAGCCTAACGATAGCTTCTGCATATCGCGGGGAAGCAATCCAATAATGCGGGGAAAAACGCTACGACACTAGCCCACCCAAGTTAGCTAGCACTATCTGGCGTCTGAGAGATCGTCAATCAAGAGACAGATAAGGAGATAGATGTTCCTTGCATGTGGAACTTCCGTATTAGGCTCTCCCGAATGGGGAATTCGACACGAGCGAGCCACGCGTTCGGATTTTGGAAAGTTGGTCACGGAGCCATGGCGGGGCGATACGGCGGTTGACTCTGATAAAGAGGAGTCCGGACGAAAGGCATTTATTCGCTGTACAGTGAGATAGGCTTGATTGGGAAATATTCACATCAACCGGTTTCTGAAGACCCCTAGTTGCGATGACAGAAATTCCCCTTTCTGGCAATCCCCTATCGTACACTGCGTTCTCTCTTTCCTTGGCAGGGGGACAAGCATTTATCCTTTGTTGCACGTTTTCCCGTGAGTCTCCTCCCTCGTGTACTGATTGGCCAAGCTTATGGCTCTCTCAAGGAATGGCCCCTGTGCCGCCAACTTTATTTTGAGGCATATTATGCGTATTCTGACTCTCAGTATCCGGGCCCTATGATTTTCTCATCTCCCCTGTCAGTGACAACACAATGCCCACGTCATAAATCCTGGAACCAAGGATGCTCGAGAGCTTCCCTCGCAGTAATTCTTCTCGCGGGATCCAGACTGGTCATCTTCGTGACGATGTCTCTAAACCCTTCGTCGACTTCCACCCACATAGAGAATGGCTTCCTTGGATTAGTAGTTGTAAATTCTGGAGTGACATCCAGAACAAGGTCGCGCCACGAATCAACTGAGTCGTCGAGGTGGTCTATGAGGCCGACCAAACCAGGACCATCTCCAAAGTTGGAGACAGGCGCTTGACTACAAGCCTTTCTTCATCCGCTCGACTTAATCCTTCGCTGTCGATGCGGAAAATAATTTTCCGTAGCATTGTGTAGATGCACTATAACAAGGTCAGGTACTCTGTATCCAATGAAGGGTACACAGACTCACAACAAGCCCGAAGGAAAATACATCGGTGGGGAGATTGATACGGGCTGCAGCATGAGACTCAGGGCTGCGCCACATGGGATTGCCCAATTTGGCTCCGCGGAAATTTAAGCCAGGTGGAATGACGGATCCCATCTCGAGGTCGCCAACCTGGACCCGTTGTACCTCGATGGCGCCATTAGGGCTTTCTTCATAATTCACAACTATGTTGTCAGGTTTGATATCTTGAAAAGGGACGAACTGTCAGCGCTGATAACGGTCGAATAGTGGCTACAGCGGAATTTAACTCACCGCCGTGTAAGATATTCCGTTCATGCAAATCTGCAATTCCAGCTAATGTGTCCCGCAGTATTCTCTTCCTTGATGCGTCAGAAAGGTTGTCTTTCTCAGCTAGTTTTAGAAGATGGGTAGTGCAGTAATTATAGACGAACAAAAGGTGTTCGGGAACAGTGTCGATAACGACTCGAAGATTAGGGCAGCCTCGAAGCGGAGCTTGAAGGTCTAACTGGTACTCAAACTCGGTAGAAAAGATGTTCTTGATGGCATATTTCTTTTGATCTTCAGCACTATTGCCCACAAAAAAATTAGCCCAAATAATTAGAATATTTTTAGGGTGTTCGCACGTAGCTAGATAAACACAAGCCAGTACGGGGTCAGTCCTGTGCTGTAGCATTCCATCAATCCGGTACTGCATCCCGGATTGACCAATCAGCTTTGTGCCCAACCCAAGAGGCTCAGATCCGATACCAGACAGCTTGGGTTTTGGTGTCGTATTAGATTTAATCCTTGGCATCTGAGGCATTGGAAGCATTGGAAGACACCTTCCGGATTGGCGGTACTGTTGACAGGGCAGACCAGACTTGGTGATTAGGAACATGAATAACACAAAACCGCGGGAAACGAAGTGGATTGGAGAATTTTGAAAAAGAGCGGAAACCGTGTTGGTGGGAGATCATGGCGTTCGAAAGCAGAAAGATGGAACAGGGAGAATTGGTTAAGGTGTTGGCATTACTTGCTCTCTATCCAGCTTAAAATTTACAACTTGAAGATTCAAATGTTGCACCGACACTATGTGAGAATTCTGTTCGAGTTCCGAGTGACTCGGTGAACTATGTCGCGTAATATGTTGCCTGGTATGCTCAGCGTTGAAGTTCAAGCAAGAGCGCCAACCTTGGAAAAGTTCAGGGTCAGGGGCATAAGCCTGCATAGATGACATAGATTACCCGATTAGGTTTTATAAAGAGTGGGTATTGCATAACGTACCCGTTTACGGCGGGGATACTTCCCCATATTATTACTTAGCATGACTGTCATCCATTTAGTGTGTGGCGGCGGACGCCCTGGTTATCATAACATGTCCGCCACAGGCACAGGTAATATGCAGCTCCGCCCCCTCCTACTCCTGGCCACGGCCTCTATCACCTCAGCTGCCGCAATCAAGCCAGTAGTAGAGCGTGATGTTGCCGTCCCGCCAGTCTCGTCGGGCGCACCTGCGTTGCGAACAGATGCAAGTGCGCAGCAGGCACTATTCCAGGCACCATTCTAGGCATATATTGTGCACGATGCGCGTCTGGGATTCCGGACAGTGGATAGGCGGGGGATATGGCTGGATGTGGCAGAGTATGCGCATTGGTGGTTTGTACTGATGAAATGGTTTAGACATATTGCATATATATGAAATAAAAACCAAAGCCATACTATCATTATGGGCTTCAGTATGGTAGCTGGAATCCTTCTATTGAATGAACGCAATCACCCCAACTCCATACCATTGCACCAAGTCCCCTATCAACCCGTCGCCCATCGTCTATCAGCTTTGCCTTCTCAGCCCCCAAAACCAGTACGGATGAGAAAATCGACTTCACCAGAGTTGCACAAGTAACGGTTACAAATACCCATCCATCCGTATTGAGGTATAGGCCATGCCGTGGGTTCCCTACACCTGCCTGGCCCTACACCTGCCTGGTGTTTCTCGGCCATTCCCATTCCCACCCAATTGGAAAGCCTCCCATCCACAAGTTCAGAGCATGCTCACCATATGTATTTGCCTCCGTCTTCTCCTCCCTCGGGATACACGTATACCTCACACTTCCCCCATCCATCAACATCTCCTCCACCTGCAACGCCCGTTTAATCAAGTCCTGGTTGTCAACCTCGCGTCCATCAGTTCCAATCCACCCGTTGTAGATCCACCTGTCGGCCCAATCAGTGAGGCTCTTGACGGCATACAGCGATCCGGAATAGATGTTCAGATCCACCGCACGCTTGTCGTAGAGGCGGCCATCATCCACAATCGCCTTTTCGAGCGCCAGCACGATGGCCATGAGATCTGCGCGCTGGCGGGTAGGGGTGGGCTGGGCGGGAACGATTCGGGTCCAAGCCTTGTGGCTGCCGGACTCGTGTGTGAAGACGGCGGTGGAGACGGCGACAGGATACTGTCCATCGATGTTGCGGTAGCTGCCGTGGACGTAGACTTTCATTTTATCAACCATTGTTATGGTGGGTAAATGGATGCGAAGAGAATGGCTTGGGGAGCTGGGGTTTGTTTTCTTTCAATGGTGGTATGGGACGAATGCCAATTTATATTTGGTAGAACGATTGAATATTTGTTTAAAGCTTTAAAGACATAATCATACGGTCCTCCGTTGGCCTCATCTTCATCATACGAGCAGCATTGGCCGACACCTTGAGTTAGCGCCGCTTCATGACCCTATTTTGGGCCGAACTTGTAATAGCAAGTGCCACTTGACTGGAAAGCAGGAAACATATGGCAGGCACGACGACTGGCCGTTCCTGCCATATGTAATCCAATGTGTAAATAGCTTCATGTTCTTTGCAATCTATCTGAGTGTTGAAGTCTGGATGTTCCTGGATGTAGCTTCAAAATATGGTAGCCTCAGCGCACCCCTGTTGTCACAGTCAACAATTGGATCAAGACGTCAAAACCCCCTAAAAATACTAACAACTCGAAGACTTTACGAGACCACTGTAATTAACAAAGTCTGTGGGTTTAAGGATACTTTAGTTTTCTAGAATACATACCTGGGTAGTCAAATCTAGCAAAGTCAACTTCCCAATATATTCCAAGGCGGGCGCTCCGCCAAACTCCCAATACTATTTTGCGCCCTCCCGATACCAAGGCCTTGGCCAAATCCTTCGTCGCTCGTATTCCAATCGGACTAAATGTACACAGCAAATATATATCCATCGAGGTGTCCATCGAGATGTCACTAAGATAAGGTGTAGATCTCCCCGCATGCTGAACCCGCACTCCAATTTACGTCCCGCCTCGGACAGATGACTTCCACTACCCCCACCTCCGTCTCCACGCAAGACAGCGCTACCTCCACACCAAGCCCCACTGCCACAAAGATTCTAGCACTCACAACTCCCGACGTACAGAGACCTGACTGTGCCTCCTTTTGAGATCTGACGACTTTCTCGTCGCTGTTCTCAGGCGTCTCTAAGAACATCACTGTCCTGGTGTCTGACGCGGCTAACGAGTGCTTTGCATCCTGTCAACCACCAGGATGGGAAAGTATCGTCCCCGCAAGCCGCTCCTTCTTTAGTCCGGCTGTTAGCCCAAGTGGATGGACCTACTATTACATGGCGTCTATGGTATCCCTCGCCGACAACGAAAAAGACAAAACCATGTCAACAGCATATTGATGCGCTAGGTATGTTTGTACGCAACTCTTCATTCGTTTCACAACCCCCTCTAATATATTCCCCCGCCCTCTCGTTACATTCCAGAGACATAACCAACTCGCAGCACGGTGGTTATTTGTTGAGGAGAGATCTCACAGACTTCCCCATCGCAACTATAACACCACTATGCTATCGCGAGGCATCAATTATATTCACGCTATCAAACGGCACCAGGTCAACTCGCCTTTTTACCCAGGGCGCCCACGCGCACCAAGCGTGGCATATCTCATGGGAAGCATCTGATACGAGCACGCTAACGCCGCCTCTACCCGAATTGACATCCAACAAGCACATACCGACGCGGAAGCCAGGAGAAATTATTGAAAAGGGCATGTATGACCAAGGTTACGCTGAACGTTACAGATACTATGAGCTAGGTCCGCTGATTTATTTCCTTGAGATAGGCTTGCCCTTGATCTTTGTGACGCTGCTGGCTTGATTGCATGGTGTTGTATAAGTAATAGGCGATCAAAGAGAAGGTACCGGGTAAAGTCACAAGCGGTGAGTTCGCCCGAACTTACCGGTGTCACCAAGGAATGATGGGAACGGAAAGGACTACACCTGTCGGTATGAATGCATATACGTTGATTATCGTGTTGGATCGCTTTAAGAAATCATGGGCTCGGTTCTTTCAGGGTGGCTTGGAGAACAAATGCATCTAACTTTTATAACAACAGGGGTTTACGAAGGAGCTAATACCAGGGATAATAAAGAGGCTAAAAAATATATTAGCACTAATTTTAAAGAAAGGGCCAGACTAGTGGTTGCGAATTAAGAATAAAGTTTGAAAACATGATGTGACAACAGCAAGATACTATATGCAGCTTATGAGACTTTGGCAGCCAAGCGGAATATACCATACCAATCATGACGGGCAAATAAAAATTATTAAGCCCAAAATGAGATACAATACACAAGCACAGAATTGTAGAGTATATTCAAGCGGGTAACCGCGCCATTCCCAGCTTTCAACTGAGAGACACAGACCCTGTCGGGGCGATCCGCAACGGGGCCACCCGCCCCTAGCAATCGCTAGCGTGTTGTTTATTTCGAGAACGAAACGTCTCGCGCCTACACTACTATCCGCAAACTAGCAATGGCGTTGTATATGTACGGATATCAATTGGTGTGATGCAGAAAAGCAGTTATTTTTGTAGAACCTTGTGTTTTTGTGGGCCCCGTGGGAGAGTCGCACCAAAGCCGTCAGTTAATTTTTGGTTCCATCAATCGAGGAAGAGCAGCGTGGCGGATTGCCAGACAAAGCAGGTGGATATCAACGACAATACCCACCCGTTTTATAACTACACGTCTGGGAGATGGCTGTAAGTTCACAATATTTAACATATATCAATCGATTGTGGATGTGGAGCGTACACTGTTCGCAGTACAATTTCCTGCGAGTGGGAGCCTGTACTTCACGGATTTCTTAGGCGCACATGAGAAGAATGTGGATATTCCACATGAAGCTGGCGTTACATCTAAGACCAAGTTCTGCGTAGGACCGTCGACTGAGTATCTATGGCGGTATCAAAACCGACATAAGCTTGCCGTAAATCATGGGCCTTGTAGGTACTTATACCCGCGCTGCTTCACCTTAGCTGACCAAGGAAATTATAGGGCAGAGTAGTATGGAACTGTTGACAGCAATCGGCGAGAGAGAGACCAAGTGGCTCCAGAAATTCGGCGAAAAAAGATACCCGCGCGAGCCACTCTATAAGGAATTTTACGGACACCAATTGGTAGATCCACAAGTCCAAATAAAATACCTAGCCGATTATCTGAAGGTCGCTCCTCACCTCGTTCCTGATGGAGAAGAGCTGAATGCCCCAACCATCCGCCACCCCGATCTTTCGCCAAGCAATATCTTCATCTCGGAAACCGGCAACATCACTGGCATCATCGATTGGCAACACACTGCTGTCCTTCCAATTTTCGTCCAAGCTAAGATCCCGAAACACTTTCAGAACTACGGCGACGATGACTCTGAGAACTTTCGGCGTCCGAAGCTTGCAGAGGGTGTTGATGCCATGTCCGAGAGTGATAGGGAAGTAGAGATGAAACTCTACCGCCGACGACAAGTCCATTACTTCTATCTTGGCTACACAAGCAGTCGTAACAAGCCGCACTTTCATGCCATGGGAAAGCACAACCTCGTTCTAAGAAACCAACTTTACGACATCGCTGCTCGACCATGGGAGGGTGATAACACCTCGCTACAGGCACAACTAATCAGAACTCTAGAACATTGGCCCGAAATAAGAGCTGGTGGGGAAGCCCCACCGATTCAGTATTCCGAGGCTGAAAGTCGAGAGTGCCTTGAAAGAGACGCAAAGCAGAAGAATGCAGATGAGCAGATGCAGCAGGTTCGCGAAGCTATAGGTGTTGACATCGAGGGTTGGGTTCCGAACGACGAGTTTGAAAGCGCTAAAGCGAGAGCCGAGGCGATAAAGAGTGAGATGGCGCAAGCGGCCGATTCAGAAAAGGAAAGAAGAGAGTTTGAGGAACTATGGCCATTTCAGGATCACGAAGAAATGGATTGAATATTCGACATGGTAGGATGAAATTACTGCCGGTTGATTAATTCGAAAACAGCGTGTTATGGGACCGTCGGGATATTTATTTCCAAGTTAGGTTTTGGCAAGGAAGCTATAATACTCGTCAAGAAGCAGATGCAGGTCAAACTTAGTAAATATGGTAGGAGTAATAAACGATTGTATTTAGACTATACTACTCCCACTTCAAACTTATTTTATGATACGAAAGCGACAGTGATGATTTCCCCAACTTCGGCTCTAAAATACTTCGTCATCGGCCATATGTTATGAGGCCTTCCTCCCATTTAATTACACCTAGACACGTAATCAAACTTGATCCAGCATTTTCCTAGTAAAATGTATCATCAGTACATGACAAGAACAATTGGCTGCTAAACATACCATTGGTGCGTCGCTTAAAGGCATAGCCGCATGCCAGACAGTTGTTGGTGCTCCGGATTGTATGATATGCCTCCTCGAATTCTTTATATGTGGCACGGCAACCATGTCCTTCAAGGAAAAACCCGCATTTACCAGAACACACGCCGCCCGCACCACTTAGTTGTTGCACGTTAGTTTGGCACTGGGTTAAAGCCAGACGCAAGTGGGAATTAGAAGAGATAAACATACTTGCCGTCTGTAGTATAAACCGAGTCCGGGTCTACTTTGAAGTAGGCCTCTTTGCACTCGTCTCTGAATCCTTGTTTGTTGCTACAATATGCGGAGCCGGCACACATATTTACACGACCACCTGGAAGCATAGGAATGTCTGGATGTCCAACAGTTGCCGTGGTGGTGTTAACTCCGTTGAAGAGATTAACAGTATGGGTAACTGCATTTATTGGGGAGACCGGAGCACTTTACGTAAGTGCTCCTGTTGCGGAGGCTAGGATAGCCGACAGGGTGAAAGAGGAGAGTTGCATGGTTGTGGGAATTGGAGAGTAATATTCAGATGTGAATTCAGGTAATTAATTGCGCTGGATGGCAAATTTCAATTGAAAGTCTTTTATAATGGCGGATGGTCCTCTGGGCTGATGAACGAGATACCGGTGGGGGAGACATAGTCTTCTTATACTTTCGCTCCCGTTAGCAATTACATCCACTGAAATCATCTTAGCTGTCCCAATCTAAATTCACGGGTTTGCATTTAGTTCAATACTTCTCTCATTAATGATGGAACCTCGATATTGAAGTCGGTATCTCTCTACCTTGCTTATGGCCTACTCCTTGCTTGTCGAGGAGACATCTGTACTGTTGTCTCAGAAGCTTAGTGATGCTGACAACTCGCGCTATTATATTGATATTACTACTCAAGCTATAACTCGGCTAATAATTAACTACTGAAACAATAAAGAGCTTCGGAATGAGCTCCCGCCGGTACGTAGTACAGGTTTTATGGTTGACAGTTGTGTGTGCCAAGTGCCAGGGGGAGGCCAGGGGGGGTAACCTTCCTTTCCTTGCTGACGCCGTTGGGGAGATAAGCCAGCAATACTTTACTCCTGGTAACCGGATAGTCAAACCAGGTAAGGTAGTAAAACGAACCCGAAAACTACTGTGCTTGCTTGTGATACCCGTATCCAAAGATGTATGATCTTTTGTCTTAAACTATGACGAGAAAACACTTTATAAATGTATCGACTAACAAACCCCTTGCCTACATTCCCAATTCCTACGTCTCTTTCTCTTCCTTCGGTTATGTTGATTCCCACACAGGCTAGCTTGCTTCTTGAGCACTCTGACTTCTCGGACACGTTTGTTTCTCAAACATATCTCGGTTTCTGTTTCTCACCCTTCGTGCTTGCTTGTCAGACATTGTAATAACCACGGATTAATTCTTACATGCTGGTGTACTACCGTGCGTCCTTGCATAAATTCATGCTGTCATTATCCCTTGCCTGCCTCACACCCGCGCGTTAGAGCCAACCCCAGTAGTTATTACATTCCTTGCTTTATAGTCTCGGTGATATTTTCTTACCTCTCTCTAGTAGCGTCACTGGCTGCCGCAAGGACTTCAATCGTACGCCTTTGCCTATGGAGATACAGCTACGCCCTCATACTGTAACATGCTCGGCGGTATTCTATTCTATATTGCCCTCAACGGTAGTTACACTATGAGACAAAAACGTAGAAAGCCTACTATTATTCTGTCCTTACCTAATTGTGCCACCATATCCTGGCGCCATAGACTTGACGCGTATACCCCCTTGCGACACGCTAGCAAAGTCAAGATAGTTATAAGATGTATGATTATAGACACCCCGAGAATTTACACAAACATAGTCTTGTCTAATAACCAAATAACTATTTCTCGCTCCTTGCAGTTCAAGATGAAAAACTTTGCTATCGTTATTGCAATTTTTGGCTTGATTGCTGGATATGTCAACGCAGCTGTTGTCACCACAGGCCAAGTTCTTGAAACAAGGGGTGAACAAATGACCGACACATCTATCTTCAAGAGTGGCGGCCCACGTCTTGTACAAGAGAGAGATTATAAGGCCCAAATGCTGGAAGAAATAAAGGGCAAACCAGTTAAAAGGTAGGCTTTCAATGTTGTTATATGAGACAACAGAGCTAATTGTTCTGTAGTTAAGATCTGGCACCTAGAAAAAATCTAGTGGAGAAACCTTATCGGGAAATGGTAGGGCTTATTGGGAAGCTTGTAAGTAACAGATTGGATGGTAAATCTGAAACTAGTGCTAACTACAAATATAGATAACATGCGTATATAAGTTAAATCAACGGTATCTAAGTGGGATATCGAGCAAGCCCGGCACGGTTGGTGTCACGATCTGGCTCACTAATAGACAGGATGATATATGATAGCTATAGTTGAGGAAAGTGAGAACTGGCGACGTGGACGGAATTAAGATGATCAGCCCGAGCATCACGCCACTCACTACTTTATCTAAAAATTGTGGACCTGGTTCCTGGCCGCGTGGCACACTGCAGAGTACGTACTACGCCGATCATCTAGGAGCTTTGAATACCGCGACCCCTTGCCTTCAAGTTGGATAGACGGGTGCAAGGTCTGTGCACCTTCAAAGAAGCTGCAGTACCCCGCAATGCAAACTTAGGTAACTTGCAGTATGAGTCACCATTGTTACATTACCTTTCAGTCTATCTCCATGTCATTTTCCGCCCACAAGAGCCTCTCACCTCACTGACCCCTCCTACCTCCCCCCCCTCCCTTCTCTGTTTATTGCTACTTCCTCCCTTCTCCATTTCCTGATTATCTTTACTTTAAACCACTCATTTCTCGTTAAAACGTTCTTGGATTGCAAGGATTAAGTCCCGGAGAAGATTCAGTGGACATCTGGTAAGGGATAACCATCCTATGGACCTCTGTGAGGGATAATCGGGACCAGCCGTCTGCTGAGTCGAAAGTCGGCCAAGATGAGCTTACGGAGCCTAAAGCAGCCAAGTCGGGGCCTTTTAAGCAGAAACTCCGCAAGCTAAAAAAGCGACTAAATATTAAATAAGCCTTAAGGGCATTAAGGCAAAGGCTTCTTTCCCACGGCTTCATTATTGATTTACATTTACTAATGTGATTAGAAAATAGTTTGGAAAAGTTAGTATAATTTGAACTGAATAACCATGTCATATAGGAGAGCATTCCAAACGTTGCAACATGCAATCATATTTTCTGATTGGTCTGTAAATAAATTACAGTCATTGTGCTTTGTGGATCTAGGGATCATCAGACGCAGACCAGATGATTTCGAGATGCACTACACGTAATGAACTGTTGACTATCTACTCCCTGTAGCGTATGACGAGACATTGCAAAGACCTTCGATCCTGAGGAGTCTAATACGATGGCTCCCCCGCCAAAAGAGACGCAGATGCGTGCATATTTAGAGACCAAACTGTTCAAGATTCACCGTAGGGTGTCTCTTCTTGCAATGCCGCCTGAAATCATCCTTCCTAGAGACTGCTTTACCAAATTTGCGACAACCCACGACAGTGCAGACCCATTGCGCCGGGCCATGTATGGTTTTGACATGACGCTTCAAGCCGTTTTTGTCAGCAAAACTCTGGTTGCATTCATTACAACGGTGGCGAGAGGAGCCACCGTCTTGAGAACCTGCTCTTGTCTTGGCCAGGGTTGAGTCGTAGGGCTGTTGCTGGATTTCTGGTGTTGTTTCGACGAAAATTGGGTCGTAGGACGACCGCTGCTGGGTCTCATCCCAAGGGTGGGAAGAATCCGGTATAGGAGAGTAAGGGCAGTTATCAACGTCAATGACGTTGTGACCCGGGAGATTGTCTTGCTGAGCGCTGAAAGGGAATCTTAATCCTGAATGGACGCTGTCGGCACTCTCGTTCTCAGATAACGACGAGAAAGGAGCGAGTGGTGAGGAATTTTCGCATACACTACAAGAGCCGCACGCGTTGTAGTTCACACACTCGTTACAGCAGGAATACTCGAAGTTGTCTGACGAGGGTGCTGAGGGATCGTAGCTGTCCGGATCGGAAAAGTAGACGTGTTGACTTGAAGCTCTGCAAACACGCTGCTCGTTGCTTGACAGGGGTCAGGCGGTGCGGGCCTCCTGCTTAGTGCACGGGAGACCCGGCTGTTGTTGTTTCAAAGAAGGGGTTGAGATTTGTGCAGTCCTGGGCTACTTCACAAAGTAGCTATGCCCAGGACTGTTGATGAGCGAAGAACCGTATGAGGTCGAGGCGAGGGACTTTGCTTCAGAAAGGTCTTGCTTGGAGCGACGACCACCCACTTTATAATCACATTTATCATCACAACCACTTTCCCAGGTTGATTCAACTCGATTTTCTGCGGAGATACTAGGCTGCCTACTTCTTGCATATGTGATGGGGTTACGCCCGATGCGGTGACCAATCCCTACCATAAGCTGCTGCCGCGTGGGGCACAGTGCGATATCAGCCTCAGAACTGACCAATGGGTTAGATGAAGCGCATGATATTTTGTCTCACAAAACCCAACTGCAGAATAAGACCATATTTAATCGCAGCCTGATTAATCGCCTTGCCTGGAGTCTTGTTAACGCAGCCTCAAAACCGACCAAGAACATTTCATCACAGCCTAACAAATCGCCATGCGTGGAGCCTTGTTAACGCTGCCTCAAAATTGACCAACCACAAAAAAGAAAATTTCCCTTGCAGCCTAACAAAGCGCCTTGCCACCAAGTTAATGTATATGCAGCCTCAAAAACAGCCAACTGGGAAGAAGGGCATATGTATGTCTCACAACGAGCCAACGACAGACAATATTTGGGTATTAGATATCTTGTGCCCTGACCAATCTTGATCACTTCCAATTTTCTGGAACCTATTGCTCTCATCTACGAGCATGCTACGCAAACGCGCATGTGGGATACCAAAAATGTTCTTTTGGATATGGGCAGCCTCAAAAAGAGCCAACTGCAAGCCGTGCTCCTTATCATCGCCCAGACACAGCCGGCGCACCGCTGCTGGTTTGTCGTCTCTTATCGAAACTTGCAGGATCAAGAATAGCTTCTATGATTATAAAGGGGACGAGTCGTCCTTGATGCATTCAAGAATTTCTACAAACTTCTTCTATTCAACCACTGGTCTCTTGAATAAGTCAATACAACCGCTGATCCTCCTCTTGAAAACACACGACTTCATCAAATCGATCACTCTTGCTGTAGGTTCGCAAAATGACCGTCAGCCGGGAGGTTACCACTTTGTCAGACCCCACGTTGCTTGAAAAGGTCGACAAGCTCCGTGACTTGAACATTGGCCAACATGTACCTCTCCCTCAGGTAAGATCAGAAGGCCGGTATTAACTATGGTTTCCCATAAGCTCACGCGGAAAATAGCTTGTTGTAGCCGGAGATCAAAGCTCTGGCAAATCCTCCTTACTGGAAAGCCTTACCGGAATTCCGTTTCCGAAAGACCAAACCCTCTGCACTCGTCATGCAACGCAGATTACATCTCGACGCAGTATCAATGACCGTGTCGATATACGCATTATTCCTGGCCCACACGCGTCAGAAGAGCATAGGAAGGAGGTCGAGGGATTCCAGATGCACATGCCTTCGGGTTTGAAATTTCGGGAGCAGTTCGAGGAAATCTTGAAGAAGGTTAGTGAGACTTGATTATCTGGAGCCGATTTACATAGCTTAATGAAAGACCAGGCCAATGAAAAAATGGGTTTGCGGACTGACGTATCAACCGGGAAAGGCGCTGTGTTTAGCGAAGATGTTCTCAAGATCGAGTTGCAGGGACCACACGAGGACTATCTCACCATCATTGATGTCCCAGGGATATTCCGTACCACTACGCAGGGGACCACCAAAGATGACATGGTCATTGTGAGAGACCTGGTCAAGAAGTATATCAAAGACGATCGCACCGTTATTTTAGCAGTGCTGCCTAGTAATGTCGACATTGCCACGCAAGAGATCTTAGAGCTTGCGGAAGATTACGACAAGAATGGTGAGCGTACCCTCGGTGTGCTCACCAAACCCGACTTGGTACTTGAACAGAGTGCTCAAGCTGCCGTCTGTGACCTTGTCAAGGGCAAAAAACGACCACTTACTCTTGGCTACTTCGTCGTCCGCAATCGTGGAGCAAGTGGCAGCTCAAAGGAGCAGCCAGAGCTTGATCAGATTTTCCGACAACAACCATGGATCGACCTTCCACAGGATCGGGTAGGCATTCCAGCCCTCAGAGAGCAACTCATGTCCCTCTTAGTCGAGATTACCCGACGCGAGTTTCCCAAATTGCTCCAGGATGTCAGCAATCAAATCAAAGATTGCAAGAGGGAACTACAGAGTCTTGGGCCGCCTCGCCAGGATGAGCGCGAGCAACGTGTTTACCTCAGTCGCATTGCCGAAATTTTTCAGGATCGGGCTAGGGCAGCTTTGGCTGCGGATTATAACGCAGATCCGGTTTTTGACAAAGACGAGCTCCGTCTCATCACCCACGTAGTAAACATCACCGGTGTTTTCAGTGCTGATTTTCAACTGGGCGCCCATTCACGACACTTCGAGAAATCGTCTGTAGCATCTGATACCGATGAAGATTCCGATCTTGAAGAGCCCCCCCGAGTTGAGTCGATGATAGACAACCTGCGAGTGCTCCTCGAAAAGGCAAGAGTCGACGATGTTGCGCTGGGGGAGCGTGCCGAACTTGATGGCATTATTGTCCCTCTCCCACCGCACAAGATACCAATGCCGCGTGAAGATTTTTCGGCATGGATCAATAACGTTTACTTGAAATCAAGAGGCTTAGATCTTGGCACCTTCAACGCAAACTTTGTTGCTACGGCTTTTGCAGAGCAATCACGCAAATGGGGCGACATGACTAAGATCTATATGAGCCGGGTTATCATCACCCTTCATCGCTTCATCGCCGCTGCACTTCGTTCCATATGCTCAGAGGAGCAAACCCGTAGTCATTTATGGTCCGCAATCCTCGAGAGCCTTGTGGAACGCTACAAGACGGCAATGGCCCAAGCGAGCCTATTGATCGAAGTTGAACAGCGCAAGAAGCCGTACACGCTCAACAAACAGTTTGCTGAGGCTCTCTCCAAGGCTCGAGGCTATCGAGTCACCGAGCTCCTACGTCCTAAGGCTAGAAAGGACATCAAGCAGTACGGAGATACTCAGTATATGGTCAATTTGAACGACATCGCCAAAGTTGCCGAAGGCAAAAGCAACGTGGAGCAGTTGCAGGAAGAGATTCATGACATTCTTCAAGCTTACTACAGCCTGGCACTTGACCGATACATTGACAATATCTTCCAGCTCGCCGTTGACTACTGCCTGTTGCATGGCCCTTCTAGTCCCTTGAAAGTGTTCACTCAGGACTGGGTTATCAACTTAGAAGCTGAGCAGCTTGAACGGATCGCCGGAGAGACTAAGTCTTCCAAGAAGTGCCGCACGAAACTTGCAAAGAAGATTGTAGATTTGACTGACGCCTTGAAGATCCTCAAGACCTAAGTGGCAATCACTCTCGTTGATTCCAACAAGTCAGCGCAGACGTCTCGTTTAACTTCTGGTTCAGGAATCGAGCACAGCCCCACGTTATATATCCTGTCGCAATTCCTGTCGCAATTCCTGTCGCAATTAACGTCGAAATTCTGCATAGCTTAGATTCTAAAAGAGCTCTTAACCTCGTGCTGGCCATATCCATGAGTCCTTTTCAGCTTGAAAGTGCAGTTCAACCTGAAACACTTGGGCGGGCGGCTGGGACAGTATATGAACCAATTAAATCAAATCAAATGACCAAGTAAGACTAAGCTCTTCGATGCTGCCAGTATTTGTTCTTCTAGACTCTAAACTCTTGTAGAGCAGTGAGCCTGGGATAGGTGTTGGAGGACGTAAACACGTCGCAATATTTAGATGTTTTTGTCCCCCGTAGGTAGGAACGGTACCCACGTCCACTAGCGCCAAGAGACATCCCTTGACAATTGATCAACAAGTCGACATTGCTGTGGAAGAGCCGTTTTATTCAGGGGATGTTGATTTAACTGTTAAACCACAGGGCCATTGAAGGAGAACCCCTTTACGGAGACACATGCATAAACTCGTATCAGTTGAATACAACCGGCGACATGCCTACATCTGTAAACCACAGTAATTTTTCGGTACACCCAAGGAATGGGATGGACAGGTAACTATCAAGACACGAGGACAGCTAATCCGAGGGATCCACTATTGCGAGCAGCATGGGTTTAGTACAAACAATATCATAGCACCTTTGAACCACAAATAGTACTGCAAAGAGCAGCTGGTGAAGTTTGTATTAATTGCATTGAAATAAAAGGGTGCCTTTAGTATAGTAGGTGCCTTTTAAATAAGATGCCTTTAATAAGAAGGCTGCCTTCTATATAGCAGGTGCCTTTTGAAGAAGGTGCCTTAGATAAGATGGGTGCCTTTAATGTAGCAGGTGCCTTTTGAGGAGGGTGCCTACAAAAAGCCTGGTACCTTTTAGGAAAGGTGCCTGCGAAAATGCAGGTACCTGCCTTTTTTAAGGGTACCTTTCTAAAAAGGTACCTTTTTTATCGCAGGCACCCTTTGATATTTGAGCACTAAAGAAAGCAGGTGGAGAGACAGCATTGAGCAAGTGAGTACGTGAGCACGTGAGCACGTGAGCACGTGAGCACATACGCAGGTTATAAATTATTGCACGACGCTGGGCTTTTCAATTTCACTTTCATCGGCCTTGATTGAATGATCAAACCTGGCCCCTGTGTTTTTGGAGGGCCCATGTTTGAGGGTGGCCAGCCACAGGCTGCCCCGGCGCCCCAGCCCCATCACCCCATCACCCCACCACCCATGCACCACGTTTGATGATTCGATTAACCTTTGTACCGGCCGGCAACACCCACTGAGTGAACCCATCACCACCCAATTCAGAACGCTTTGGCTTCTCACCTTCTACTCGTTGCAGAGCTGTCACTATACTACAGTTCAGACACAGCTGTCGTTCGAACGACCTTCGACACTTGCTATGGCGGATGAAGCATCTAACCAGCGCCACAAGCGATGTCATGCCGATGAGAGCGCCGACCAGTTGGCTAGTTCACGGTGTCAGGGAGTGCATACGAGGAACAGGCATAAGCAGGACCAAAAAATGAGCCTGAAGAAGGTCGCTTCACGCCACGATTGTTGAGCGTGGTACTTGCGTCAGTAGCCGCGGTGTACCAAATCGACCTCTTACCAGAATCCTTCCTGTCAACGGCCAGCAAGCAAACATTGGGGAACTCTAAATCGGGACCAGTTAGGAATGCAGAATGATATCGTGGATCACTTTAGCTGCACTGGGTCTCGAACTTCAAAGTGGCTTGGTCAGATGTCTGACGAATCCCTAGAGACGCTCTCGCAAAATAAAGTAGCTAACTCGTCTACCTCTTACGAATTGGGCAGCTTACAAGCAACCAGACAAGCTAAATGTAGGGTTTTGAAGCGTGGACCGGGGATTATATCCTAACGAAGTGCTTTGTATTGAAGAGCAGAAACTGACTGTACTGACTATCAATTAACGATTGGCATTCAATACAACCAATTTCTCATTGCCAACCTATGTTCGAACTTCCTTTGAATTTCTCTGACTGTGGCCTCCTCGCCTAGTATTATGCAGCTCCTACTTTGCATTCTCCATCACCTCTTTGAAATAATCGCTCCTTTCCTCTTACGCCTCCTTTCCGCGCACTATCAATGGAGAGAACTCAGGCAGTCCGGTACCATGATGAATGCACCTTTCATTTGTGCGAAGTTCGTGATCAGTCTCTAGCGGGAAGCTTCCGGGTACGGCATTGTCGTTTTTAATCAGTCGTGCTGTTTCCCAGGCTATGACTCGTGGAAAGAGAATGATGATTTGAGGATGGGTCCTAGAGATTACGTCAAGATTCTTTTCATTGTGGCCTAGCGGGTCAAAATTCTAGGACCGCCATTCTTCCCGATGTTCTGGTTCCAACAACGGAGTCACTGTGATTTTTAACTTGCCGCTTTGAGTATTGTTCTAAACGTCGATGGCTGAATTGGCAAGCGTGCGGAGATCTTTTTGCAGACTCTCGTTCTGAGATGGACTGACTAAGGGAGACAGGACAGACAAGACTCTGGAAATGACATGATCGGCTCTGACTGATTGAGTTATATGAGGGTAATCCGGGGCATGAGGCGACATTAGGTTAACAGGTAACGTTTCGAGAGCTCGCATCGTCAATGCTGTCCAGACTTTTGCTACGCGCCCGTCAGGATTGTACTTAAGTAATTCATCCGATAGCTTAACGAGGAGGCTATTGAATTCTAGGTGTAAGAGTGTGAACTCTAAGCGAAGTGGTTTCTAGACGTATTCACATATCGCATTAGAGATGATGCGTTAAGCATGAGCGGTGCGGAGGTCCTGTGAATCATCGCTATCATCGATTGGGACGGAGCTAAAAGAGGGGTCTTCTGCGACCAATTTCTCATGCACTATTTCGAGGTCCTGATATGCAGTAAGAGAACAAAGTAGATGAAGGGCGTTCACCTTTCCGTCTATGTCGTGGAAGTATTTAAGAGATATTCTTTCAATCGATCCTTGAATCTCCCAAAATCTCTTCTCACTGCCTTCTGTTAGTGGGGTATTCTTTTGTTAGGTGAGGTAAGGGATCAAATGCATACAAATACTCCTTTGGTTTAGAATTCAGTCCGAAGTCCTCTTTTATTAGTTTTAGCTCCATCTTTAGCTCTCCCATGTCGTTCTTAACTAACCTATTGCCCTTTTTAATATGTCGCACTGCTCAATAGTTTGCTGTAGCGTCTCAGACTGGACCTTAGCGCTTCTCTTTTCCTCCTCCATTGTCCGTAGGAGCTGCTGCTTCTCAGTCTCTAGAGCGGTCAGCCTCCTGTCATTTATGACTCTTTCCCCAGCAAATCCATCTTCTATCTCCTTCTTGCGCTTATCGCAACTTTGGACAACCTCTTTTGTAAGCTCATTATACTCATTTTCTAATTTCAGCCTTTCTTCTGCCATAATCGCAGCGACTCTCTTCTCCTGTTTCAACCTCTCTTAGTCCAGCTCTTTTTCCCTCTTATCTAGCTATTTTTCTCTCCCAAGAATGTTAGCATCCCTTTTCATATTCCTTATGGTCAAGGTAGTAATAGTATTATCCTGTTTCTCTATCTCGATGTCCTTCTCCCTACATTCTTTTTCTAGCACAGTAAGCGTATTCATCATTTCATCCATCTTCGCAAGCTCATCCCTGTGAGATGCAAACTTGACTTGCAGGTCTTTAATTGCACAGTTGGTGGCCTTACTTAATTACTTAGATAGCTAGTAGTATTCTACCCTCTTTATTAGAGTATTAGGCTTATATTAGTAATAGCATAGTTAACTATAGTTAAGTTTACATATTCTAGTGTTTTCGTGCCTTACTTGCTTATGTGCCTTACTTGCTTATGTGCCTTACTTGCTTATGTGCCTTACTCACTTATGAAATACGTTAGTAAATTATATATAAAGTGGCTTAAAGTAAAAAGATAGAAATACAGTGTTGCCCGAGTACTACTCTGAATACTCGAGTACTGCCAAGCCCTTGGCAAAGAGGGGTAATATAGATTGTAGAATAGATAATTGAAGCTTCTCCTTGAGCGTTCTGTATTACTTCCTGTAATGAGTGACTCTTCGCTGTCGCTGGTGCCGGCTGAGTATCAGTCTAATGCTTTAGAGCTGCCGCCCCTTATTCCAATGCCCCTTATTTCGATGCCGCATATGCCTCTAAGAGTTCAATTACCTGATTCTACATTAATACTCTTTTCCAAAAGACTATTCTACTGTACTTTATTAGATATAGTACCTGCTAGAATCTAATACCAATGCCTTCAAACCAATTGTGGATATACGCCGAGCTAGCCCCTAAAGAACCCAACGACGAGCAATCTATGGAAGCATCTTTAGAAGCAGCACCCATTGGTGCATGTAGAATACAATACAATATCTTCAATTCGAAGCTCATTAACACCCTCTACTTCTACTTCTGCTTTCTTCCAGCCCTGCTAAGCACCTAGTAATGCACTAAGTTCGTCGAAATATAGAGAGCTTGTTCTCTCTTTTATAGTATCAAATAACCTACCATTACGCCTTATTAAAAGCCAATCCTTCCGGCAATTAGTTCACTATCTAAATCCTACAGTCTTAACAGTTAGTAGAACTACAATTAGACGGGATCTATATCGACTATTCTGCTATCATAAAGCACGGCTTTAAGTAGAATTACAACAGCATATTACAAGCGGTGGACGACTAGCAATAACGACAGATACTTAGTCTGCTTAGAACTATTCTGAGTATGCAGCAGTTATAGTACACTAGATTAATGATAATTGGCAAATGAGAAATACCATACTTGACGTTATACACCTATAAGAGCCAATCCACTCTAGCGAATACCTTGCTGAACAGTTGATAAATGTGACAGACGATTACAGTATTACGCCTGCAATCTTTACTATTATAAGAGATAACGCCTCTACGAATACAACTATGCTATTAGAATACGAGAAGCTAGCTTCGGTACAACCTGTTACTCTAAAACAACCATAGGCTTTTACAGCAAAAGTAGGAGACGTACGCTGTATTAGGCATATTATCAATATTGCTGTTTAAGCTGCTTTAGCCTCTTTAAAAGCAACACTAGATGAAGGCCTAGAGGCATATCGTCTTGAGATTAGGGCAGCACGAATACCACTTACTTCTAAAAATGATATCGTCACTGTTCTTACTAAGCTCCGGCGTCATATATATGTGTTTCGGAACCGCTGCAGATGGAAAGACGCCTTAAAGAATCAGTGTAAAGCTGCGAGTATTAAAGTCCGTCGGTTAACTCTTAATATGCTAGTCCGATGGAGCTTAACTTATCATATAATTAATATAGCTTTAAAGCTTTAGGTTCCAATTACAGCTTTATGCGCATCATAGCAACTTGATATTAGTATGAGAGATATTGCTTTAACAGCAGTAGACTAGGCTACGCTACATGACTTGTTAAAGCTATTCTATATCTTCGTCCGCCTAACTAAGAAGTTATAGGGCTCTTCTTATCCATCTCTCAACTACGCTGTTCCGCAGTATATGAGGATAATTAAGAAGCTTAAAGATATGAGAAGTAAGCTACTAGAACGAAGCCTAATTACTACTGCTACTTCAATTGCGTTAAAGAAGCTTAATGATTACTATACTCTAGCTATAAATCAGCAACAGAGCCACTCTACAATTGCTACGATCTGTGATCCTCAGTATAACTTTAACGTCTTTAATATTATATGGAAAGATAGCACGCACTTAACTAAGAAGAATAGGGCAAAAGCATAGTGGCAGGACTGCTTCTATCGATATTTAGGCTGCGAGTCTGATATTCGAGTAGTAGACGTTATGAATAGTATTGAAGCTGAGGATCTAGATATAGAGCAAGCTATAAATATCGATATCGACTCAGAAGATGAGCTATACGTATCACAAAGCCGCTACAATATTGAGCTAGAATGGAAGCAATGGATGAAGGAGCCGACAGTTGGTAGGGATACAGATATTCTTAAGTATTAGTAGAGTAAGCAATACTAATATCCATTAATTGCTTCTATTACAAAGGATTACCTAGCTATTCCAGCTACCTTAGCAGACTCAGAACGAGTATTTAGTGTCGGTGGTGATATTATCACAAAGAAACGGAACCGATTATCGCCTTCTACACTTAGATATCTACTTTGCTTACGGAATTGGGGTGTTTTATCACAAGGCGACGACGAAGACAGCGGCGACGATGCAGATAATGAGAGTTAGAATAGTAATATACAGTTTTATATCAATATCTATTTTAAGCTCGAGTACTACTCGAGGTATTCGAGTACCGGTACTCGAATACCGGTATTCGAGCTTCAATTTTCAGTACTCTACTCGAGGATGCTCGAGTAGTACTCGGAGCGGTATTCGGGCAACACTGTAGAAATATAGTAGAATTTATCTAATAAATATATATATAAGCTTCCTTAAATGCTATATTAGCACCCCTAAAAATTTAACAGATGACATATATATACAATGCTACTTATACTAGAAGTATTTAAATTTTGTATAGCTATAAAGTTGTTAATTACTTTAAAGAATGTAAATAGTAGCCTATATTAAAAGACATATAAAATGAAAACGTTGCGATTTTAGTTAATTTACTAGAGGAGTATTTACACTGCAGTGTTTTAGATTGATATGCAGCTTTCCTTACTTCTTAGCCAGCAACTTTGCAACACGTCATAATTATACTCCAAGGACTGTTGACAGCTGCATTGCGTTTCGCACAAAGCCTGTGAGCATTCACACTGTGGCATTTTAGATTGGTAGGTAGCTCCCCTTGCTTCTTAGCTAATACACGCCAGAATTTACACGCCAGCGACTATTGGCAGCTGCGTGGAATTGTCTACAAAGCCTTCGAGACAGAATTTACACTGCAGTGTTTCAGATTAGCAGGCAACTATATGATCTCCTTACTTCTCAGTTACACGTCAGAGTTTAATAAGCTAAACTCAGTTTACACTCTAATAATGATTGACTGTCGTATTACGCCATATTCTCCGTGCATTATGCACCCCTAGTTAACATTTCCTTTTAGTAAGCTGGTTGAGTATAACACGTATTAAAATATGTATAAGTAAAGAAGTCCCCCATAGAAAGAATCTAAAACAATTTAACTTCGACATCAGGTTAATTATCTTTGGTTTCCTCTACATTTCAATATGAAAGACTTTGCTATCTTATTTGCCATTCTAGGCTTCTGCATTCAACATGCCAGTGCAGCTGTTATTCGGGCTCCAGCACATACCAGTAGCATTGAACTTACATCCAACTCTTTTCCGATCAAGAAAAGCGCGACACATATCTTCGATGAAAGCGATTATTTAACCCCAACAGAAGGACACACAGAGGACGAATCTTTGTAAGTATACTTCCAGCACTTCTTATAAATTCCGGGGCTAATAGAACTATAGTTCAGACCTTGCACTAAGAGCCGATGTGGAACCAAATAAATCACACACAGAACCATTGTCAAAACAATTACTAGCCGTAGTACGCCTCACTTAGTAAAGCCTATGAATTATATGTTGGACTATTTTACTAACTATTAAATTGTAGGTCAAGTGTATGTTCGAGGCCCTCCCAGGACTGACGTTTATCTCTGAGAGGGAGGTGGCCCAAAGCTCGGTAGTACAAGACCCCACCGGTTATTATAGAGTGTGCTAGCTAATGTTCTGGGTGCTCTAGAGCATTGAGAGTCTGTCTTCAAACACTCAAAATAATTGATTGGATAACAGAAAACCATATACGAACATACTTCAGATATTGGTACGGTTTGGATAAATTTCCAGCCGATGAATTGGCTAAAAAAGCGGGTATATACCCGCTGTTGCCGAAGCCGAAGCTGAAGTGAGAAACCACAACTCCACTGCATGCGTGTAGCCCATTTGGTAGTGCGGGGGTTGATTACTTTATACCAGTATTCATATCCTAGGTGCTTTTTTGCCGCTGGCTTAGAGCCAGAGTGAAATGCCTACATGTTAGCAAATCACAGTCTTTACAGCCGAATGATACATTACTGTCACTGCGAAATGTTTGGAAAAATGTATTTCTCCATGAAAGCAATTCATATGTATGTCCATGTATTCTTTTATACGATTCATACAGTACAGGGCATATGAGAGTAATTTGGGTGCCGCAAGTCAGAGTACAGACCCAAGCCCATATATCCCCACACCATCCCCACAAACATCCCCACACGATTGCCATGTCCCACAATCCCAATCGCCAATCCCCTGAACGGATGACGCTGGCACCATGGCGTCCACGCGTCACATAAGTTAGGACTGTACCCTGCAACTACTTTCCTCATGTTTTCGCACATGACTTTATGCCAGGTAGAAAGCATCTTGCTGAAAGAGGGATGCTATGCGCTATTTGGATTTTCTGTAATTATTAATGCGCATTTGTGGTAGAACCGTTTTCGCCATTGGTACCATTTTTGAATCACCCTCATAGGAATTCCACTGGCAGACAGTGAAAATAGACTGCAAAACGAGGGTCTGTGAAGATAAAACTAAGCTCGTTTCTATCGCTACAGTGTGGGAACTTAATTTGATATGGATAAACCTCGCTTTTATCGGCCAAACTGCCGGGAACAAGCTTTGTGGAGACATGACATGCTACTAGCTTTCTATGGCTAATCCATAAGGACTGGGTTATATGAGGCCTAAGAACAAATTATATAAATATATGACATCGCTTCCCATTTCACAATTCACTCTCAACTGCATCACTGACGACGCAGCGCCGTTATCCTTTTCCCCAGCCAACATGGCGTACGCATCTTGGGTTATCACTTTAGCGGCATCCGTTGCCATCGCCCGAGCCACTACCATCGCTGAAGTCTGTACCCCATCTTACGTCCAGTCCTCGCTGGTCTTTGGCAGCCTTATCAATGGAATAGTAATTGACTCGTCATCGGTTACTGCCAATATAGTCACAGATGCCTCGGTCAACGGCGACAACAATTTCCCCGATGCTGTGTTCGACTACTGCAATGTCACCTTTGCATACTCTCACAATGGAGCAGACGACCAGGTGCATGTGTGGTACTGGCTCCCAACTCCAGATACCTTCAAGAACCGATACCTATCCACTGGTGGTGGTGGCTATGCTATAAACTCGGGTACCGGCTCTTTGCCAGGAGGTGTCACGTATGGTGCTGTTGCCGGTGCTACTGATGGCGGCTTCGGAAGTTTCAGTACGTCTTTTGATCAAGTTTGGCCTCTTGAGAATGGTACGGCCAACTGGGATGCGTTATATATGTTTGGTTATGAAGCCATCCACGAGCTGAGTGTGATTGGGAAAGAGTTTACGAAGCAATTTTTTAGTATGGGCGACACAAAGCTTTATTCATATTACCAAGGCTGCTCCGAAGGAGGTCGGGATGGATGGAGCCAAATCCAGCGGTTTGGCGATGAATGGGACGGCGCCATTACAGGAGCCCCAGCATTCCGCTTCGCCCATCAGCAAATTCAACATCTCTGGTCTAATGTCGTCGAGCAAAATCTCGACTACTACCCTCCATCATGCGAACTGGACAAGATTATCAATGAGACCATCGCAGCATGCGACCCAATGGATGGTAAGACAGATGGTGTAGTAGCTCGGACTGATCTCTGCAAATTACATTTTGACCTGAGCTCGATTATCGGCAAACCTTACTCTTGCGCCGCAGCACCAGCTTCCCGATTTTCACCAGCCACTCCGGCGCAAAATGGTACCGTTACGGGCAAAGGAGTGGCTGTTGCCAAAGGAATCACCGATGGTGTGAAAGACACTCAAGGGCGCCAAGTTTATCTTTCCTACCAGCCTTCCGCTACCTTTGCTGACGCCCAAACGCAATATAACTCCGAAACCAATTCATGGGAGTTAAGTATAAGTAACTTTGCAGCCGAGTTTGTGTTACGGTTCGTGGATATGGTGGATAGCTCCACTTTCGCCAACATTGACGGTGTCACCGGCGATACGCTCAGGGACTGGATACTCGAAAGTTGGCATAAATACGACGACTCTCTCCAGACAACTTGGCCTGATCTGACACCGTTCCATACTGCAGGTGGCAAGGTCCTCCATTTCCACGGTGAATCCGATAACAGCATTCCGGCCGCTTCGTCAGTACGATACCACGAATCCGTCCGCAAGATCATGTACCCAGATTTGAGCTTCAAAGATGGCAATACGGCGCTAAACGAGTGGTATCGCCTCTTCCTCGTCCCCGGTGCGGCACATTGCAGTCCTAACCCCACTCAGCCCAATGGGCCGTTCCCTCAGACTAATCTTGAGGTTCTCATTGACTGGGTCGAGAATGGTGTTGCACCTGCCACGCTCAATGCAACTGTGCTCCAAGGCGATCACATAGGTGAGAACCAGCAGATCTGTCTCTGGCCATTGAGACCACGCTGGTCTCAAAATGGAAAGAAGATGGAATGCGAGTTTGATCAGGCTTCCATTGATACTTGGCTGTATGAATTTGATGCTTTTAAGCTGCCGGTATACTGAGAAGGCCAAGTTCAAGTTTTAGGTCGGCATGACGTCGGTTTGCGGTATTTGAAGACCACATCGGCCTTATTAAGATATTGTACATTCTAGCAGAGAGTTTTAACTATACTTGTGGCGATTGATCCTCTATTTGACTTGCTAACGCCATGGGAGATTTCCTCCAGCCTGACCAAAAGCCGTAATAGATACCATTTAAACCTATCCATGCACCATGGGAGATGTCCTTACCCCCTCCAAACGCCGTGAGATATTTCCTTTCCTCCAAAAACTCCAATAATATAATATCTGATCTCATCGTTTCAACACGCTGCTGATTCCGTCCGCAAACAAAAATTTGGCATACCAACAATGAAACCAAGAGATACACTCTGCCCAAGAAGGAACATTTTTGCTAGGGTTGCACCTGAAATGCTCCAGCCTCACCTCCACTTCGCCGTCTTCTAGCATATCCGCATCGCTAGCAGTCCCGGCAACATTTAAGCTGCCCAATTCGCTATCCTTCTCCGATTCCAGGCCCCTGTGAAGTGAGAATCTATGGCATCCCGCAAAATAGCCCCTGTCTGACCCAAACCCAAAATCAAGGTAGCTAGGAAGCGGGTCAGAGGGGGCCAATTTGAGATGCGAGTCGACAAGTTGAAATGCCCCAAATAAAATGTCTCCTACAGGCATAAAGGACATAGCGGGGATATTGTGATGGTTCCACTCTATTCTCTCTGTCGGGAGACTCTTGAAGCCTATACTACTGTGAGCGGACAACTCCATACAAACGAGATCCACGTGCTAGTAACTTACCGGAATATCCGGTTGGTATTGTCTTCCACCCGCCCAACTTCATGTAGAGCCGCTCAATAGCAAACACTTTCCCGCCGAAAAACCCGCGCGTAAACAAGGCCAAGACAGCTTCGTCGCTCAGGCCCGAGATAGATGATGCTGGTAAGCGCACTGATACTTGGTCGGTGACAATGACATGGTTCCGGGGATTTATGAGCTTGAATGTCGAAGATGTGAGAAGCTCCTGCGTCACGGGGTATGTGAAAACAAGGCTCCGGAGGATGGAGAGGAATGATGGGTTTGCTGATGCCTGACGAAGACCCAGTATTGGAGGCATGATGTGATGTTATGAGATATTAGAAGTAATTATTATGATTATGGGATAAAACAAAGAATTAAAAAAGAAAAGATGACGATGGAGAGTATGAGTCGAAAGTAAGCGGCAGAGAACGGGTTGCTTGGAATTCCGGATACCGATATCCGCCGATATTTTAGATATCCACCTTTATTGCAGGGTTCCAAGGGACGGCCCGCACTGCACTCGCCGATCTAAACTGGTCTTTAGATCTCGATACAAACTATTTATCTTTTGACGAAGCTATAATAGCTAAAATTATCGTAGCAGAAATTCGAGAATATTGGTATTTCTACAATGTGCTAAAGCTCCAGAGTAATCGTATAACATGAACAATATATGGTATACAAATTCTATCCGCTCACGGCCACAAGCAACTCGCATACTCTGGATACTGCTTCGGATACCCGTAAACCTCACTTAGCTCATCATTTAACAGATGCGGCCCCTTCAAATGATCCTTCTGCTGCGCAAACAGATGTCTGACCAGCGCCACATTCCATGCAAAACTCGAGTGTCCCACGCCCGCAAACCGAGATGCGCCCAGCATAACCAAGAAATCTACCATCCCTTGTTGATCCCACGACAGCGCCTCTAGTTGCGCCACATCCTCAGCTCCGAGGACACCAATCTTCGTCGAAACGGTAATGTTCTTCTCGGCCGCCTCTTGCGCGAACTTTGCGACTTCCTCCTAGTCACCCGACGCGATGTACACGCGCTTCAGCCCCGATGCGAGGGTCCCCTTTAAATAGAACTTGGCCTGCGTCTCGTAGCGGCTGTAGACCCAGTCTTCTGCGGGCCAGCCGAGCTGGGCATCATGCTCGGTGCGGAGGTGCGCGCCGAAGAAGAAGTCGGGGAGAATTGGTTGGGAGAGATTGGGAGAGTAGGACGCATTGGCCGCGAGAGCGAGGAGAGTTTTAGTGGCGAGGATGCGGGTGTCCGCGCGGAATTTGAGGAGTTTGCCAAAGGCAAGGGCAAAGTTTGCGCCGTTGCTACAGATGGGGTAGGTGAGGTATGATCGCTGAAGATTAACGATCACGGTTCCCTCTGGTGTAGACTCGACGTGCTGGCCGAGCCAGGCTTCAAAAGATTCCCGCCACTTCTCTGGGCGGCCAGTCCCGTTGACGGGACCTTTTCCTCCAGCGACTCTGGGAGCAGTGCAATTTGGTCATGGAATAGCTTGCCCTTCAGCTCCTCTATCCAGTCATATACCTTCTTCCCAGGGCAAGAGATGCGCAGCGACTCGCGGAAGTGCGCAGGGTCGAGCATGTAGCCCATGTCTGTCTTGACACTCGTGCGGATCTCGGCACTGTCAGCATCATTGCGCAGGACGATGGCAGGCTCAACGAGAGCGGCACCGGCGGAAATGGCAAAGCGCACGCAATTCAAAATGGAATTGCGGATGTTGCCAATGCCGCCAACACTCTCGGAGCACGTGAATACTAGGGCTGGATTCCACTCGGTGTCAGCGCATATGCTGCGGATGGCCTCGGAATCGGCGACGTGGGAGTACAGGACAATGCTGACGCTGATGGCAAGGAAGATGGCAATGCGGACGGCGGCGGGTAGCCGGATCATGGCTGTAGCATTCTCGGAACGAGTAAATGGCAATATATGTTAAGTATCTCAAACGCGTACCATCATCCTCATATCTCCCTATCTTCCCTTGTAAGACGCGACTAAGCTTTGGGGCGTTTGACAATGCCACCTTGGATGTTCGCCAAGAGAATTCCCAATCAACAGGCCAGGCTCAGGCAGGGATTAAGGCGGAGCCGGATAAACCACTACTGCGCTGCTATTTATACTTTTTCATATTGCCTTCAAATCAGCATGGCAGATAAGCATGACGTGGGGATACAATATTTAGAGAAGGTTATATCTAAATCTCATTGCTGCACATATAAAGAATAAGTAGATAAGCTTATAAGTCTCCGCCCCCTAGGAATACGACCCATTAGAACGCTAAAGCAATAAGTGTAATCACGTGATATTTTAGCTTAGTCATCAGGCGACGACATCGATCTATCTCCGTCCTCGAGCTCCGAGCTACAGCTCCATCAATACCCCAGCTTCTAACCACGACTCTCAATATCCAGCGACACTTCACCGCTTCAAACAAGGGAGCTGCATATTCCTATAACATACCAAGAGCCAATCCCTCATAACACCCCCCACCGTCGCCAATATGAAGCCCGTCGTCAGCATCATGCATGCCTGGTCATGGTATGCCCTCCCTACCCATCAGCCCCCACCTTCTTACTATCAAACCGCAACTACCCGCGCGCGCGATTTGAACACAAAGCTAACGGTATGAACCAGCATCGTCATCTCCGTCTTCGCCATTGTGATCCTCTCCGTCCTCGGCGCGCTGTTCAACGCAAACCACCACAGCCTGATGGATAGCAACGACGATCCAGAGGATGGGACCGTGGTGGCAGGGACGGCATTTGCGGCTGTGGGTGTTTATGGGGTAGGTGCTCTTTTCTTTCTCTGTATGTGGTGTGGCGTGGGGTTGGTGTCCTTGGCCGGCGATGGGTATACGGGGCTGCCTGGAGAGCTGGGGGATGGGTGGAGATGTTTGTGGAAGATGGGGAGAATGGGAATTGAATTAGGTGTGCAGAAGGCTAACGCGTCATGCAGTTCTTCCTTGTTTTCTGCGGCCTTCAAGCATGGCTGCACGCGCGTGAGTCGAGGCGTGGGGCCATCGCTTTATAGATACCGCCGATATGGGAATCCACAGCCTCCAGAGCCGTGGCCGACCTATCGACTAATCGAGCAGCCGATATTCGAGGTTTAGGATAGGAGAGATGAGATGGAATTGAGCTAGACCACTTCGAATAGTGGCCGACTAGCGAAGCGTGATACCGAAGAAGAGAATCGAGGATAGGAGGGGGCGAGGGATAGGCGAGCATTCAGCGCTCTCCCCACAGCAGGAGCGCGGCGTTTCAGGGGTTCGACACATGGGATTGCTATTTTTCTCTTACGGTATAGATATTTGCGCACTTGATGGGACCGGGAGGGTGGAAGATAGAAAGCATCTAGGAAGCGAGGTGTTGAGACAGAGGGAGAAGGCGAGGATTGGGAGTAGGAACTCGGGATTGGAGTTGTACGAATAGTTGTACGGAGCCAGCCACCATATGGGAATACAGGAATATATTCTCTGGACCACACATCTCACTGCCGTTAGTGACTGCCGCATCCTTTTCCTCTAAAGTGGACTGAGAGCTAGAGGCAGATGGGAGAATCGGGGCGCTATTAGGGCGCGCTTACTCTCTTGCCCGCGTCTCATGCCGTAGATGCATGAATTATCATGGATCACATTGATCGCCCCGAGCGCCCCGCCTTGAGACCGCGCGCGTCTTAATACTGTAACCGCATCCATCGCGTCACCTACCCCTCTTTCTAGCGTCTAGAGTGTCTGCGCCTTTTGCCGCAACGAGATCGCTCGCGTCACTCGTCACTTATCACTGCATATAGAGTGGGTGGCGTCGGCCATAAGTATACTGCAACCACATCCTTCGGTCGTCTGGTACGTTTATGCGTATGAATTACGCCACTTATTGCTCACCCCCTCCTCTTATATAGAGCACTCGCATCTCGATTCCAGTTGCGCATGCCATGGATGCAGTGAACCCCCACGTCTTTGGCACCGCTTCTGTGGCAGCCTCTGTCTGGCCACGGGGGAGGGTGTGAAAAGCAGTATAGCGCATGCATGTTGCGTAGTATGTAGTGGTAGAAATGAAGGGAGAGAAGGGGGAGGGGAGGAGAAAAAAAACACGTCGTGTTTCGTAGTCGATCCGGAGATGTGAAGGCGGAAGGTGGAGCATGTCATGTCTCGGGGAGCAGATAGGGAGGGCGCACCTTACCAACATCGTGACGACGATCACCAAGCTCTACACCTGTCACCCCTCTTCAAATCGCGTAGGCGGTTCTCGCCCGCTGTCATCACCAACTTCGGCCTCAAATGCTGACTCGCAGGCTAGACTCACTTCTGTAGCATGCTCAAAAGAGGAAGGGGCGAACGGCGTATACAACTCGCTCCTTCCTCCGTTTGCACTTTCCCTCATTTGCAAACCCTCCCTCGTTTGTTCTTTCCATTTTGGAACTTCCCTTCCTCGGCACTTTCCATCTTTCAGTTCTCCACTCATTCACTCTCACACCCTCCTCTCCTCGTTAACTCACGTGGTCGACTGTGGCGGTGCCTACCTGGAGTAATCTCGCCAGGACTTCTTCGCAGTGTCTAGGGAACTGTGTACGTACTGTACTCCGTAACTATTGATAGTGAGACTTTAGTGCATAGACGTATCATATCGTTGAAGATTCACCGGAGACACCTCCGGTCCAATGTGATTTAGTGGGATGGAAATTAGTGTAAATGCCATGGCGTTGCGGCTCCCCTTTCCCATTCGAATTTCGCCATCACTTGATTTCGGTGGTTGACTTTTTTTTCGGAGGAAGGGTCCGCTCGGCGGGTTTTTACCGGCAAGTGGGAAAAGAGGACATGACGGGTTTTTAGTCCGGATTGTTCATGAAAAGGGTCGTCATGATCGTGATTACTGATTGCTTACTGATGTGCACTGTGAATTGCCGGTGGCTCTGTGCCTATATCCAAATCTTCAGAGTCAGCATTGTAGTGTAATCAATCGGTGCTTTGTGTGTGCCATGCGACTCCGATCAGATAAGTGAGTGTGTGCGGAGACATCCCCGACACCCACGAAATCCACAAATAAACTTGGACACCAGGTCCACAACGTCCTCTCTTCGCCCACGCCACAGGATCTACAGTGGCGAGACCGCGACGGCATTGGGTATTTAGCTGAATTTGGTATTTAGCTGTATATTTTACAGCTTACCATGGTTCTTACACTAGTAGGTGTGGCGAATATGTCTTCCAAGGCAGCCTTGGCCATCTTGGAAAAGAACATCAGCCACTGAACAATCACCGTTGTTTAGTACAGAATCTGCGACGGGAAGGCCGTTTTCACGTGCTAGCCGTGGTGAGAGTGACAGATGACAATGATTAACAAATGACAGTGACATTGACAAGTTATTGTTGGGAGAAAAGGCCCACGCATACCTTGGTAACGCGTCCAAGATCTTGAAGGGGGTACTTTTCGTTCGTCGTCGCTCTCCCAACATCCAGCCGCCTCGTCATCGAAGATCCCACTCACCGCGCCGGCTCAGCTTTACCGGCCGCGTTGGTACTCTGCCGCACAGTCGAGACGAAACACACCGACCTGACTTGATCCATCGATGCAGCACACGACTCAGCTCACCGATCGTAACCAACCTCATAAACACCGTAGACGCGGAGATGGCAGGATGCCCGGAATCCTCTATACGCAGTCGCATGGTCACATCGTCCCATCGCATCGTCTCATATCGTCCCATCCATCGTTCCATCGCATCGTCCCATCCATCGTCCCAGAGTTGCAGTAGCTACGCCGTCTCAACGGTGCCCTGGAGGGCTGAAAGATGCGTTGTGCCGCACTCAATTCACTCTGGCTGATGTGCCGTAGATCATTGGTGGATCTAGATGGATGATGGAAGTTGTGGGCGATTTTTTGGTGAGTGGTAGTGGGTAGTGGGTGGTGGTAAGTGGTTGTGGCTGCATTCACACTGCATTCATAATGACAGGGTCCAGTTAATGGTGTTCAGCTGGCGATGGGTGTCAGTGCCTCTATCCTCGTTGTCGTGGAGTACTTACTGCATAGGATATGCATAGAATGGAAGAGCCAGCCACCCTCTGTGCACTGTGTGTACTGTGTACAGAGCGGACCAGTACCACCTGAACTATGACACTAAACTCCCCCTTATCCACCCCCCTTACCCCCCTTTAGAGTACCACCCCCCTCCCCCACCGTAAAAATTCAGATTGACCAAGGAACATTCGCAGTGTACGGGTGGAGTCAGGGCCTGTCGGTAATCTGAACTTTCCCATCTCAATCTCGGGTCAGCAATTTGGCAATCCCATCATTTGGTGAACCCCCCATATATGGGCCCCCATCATTTCTGCTCATCCCTGGAATCAACGCCACAGTGCCATTGTGTGTGCTTTATGTCTTGTACACGGTGTCCGGTCCCCCCCCACCATCTTCTCCCCCTCGGAGACACATCCTTCTTCGTTGTGGTTTGCTGTGTGTGTGTATGTCTGTCTGCCTGTGTCTGTGATCACTCCGTAAAAAGGAACATTAGATATCGAATACCTACTGTACCCATACAATATATTATGTATCTCTCTAATCCATTTATGTGTCTGGAACATACTGCATAGCCGTCACAGGCATCACAACCCCCCCCCCCCCCTTCCTTCCCCCTTACTTCCCCCACCACCACCTAGCATTCAGGCTCCATTCCCCGCAAACACCTTGCTATGTCTGTTATGCTGTATTCGTTATGCTGTATTAGTATGCATGTTGTACGGGCTGCACTGTACAACACACGCATGTACTGTACTGTAACTCGTCTGTACACATGCAGCCAATGCAGGTAATATTATACGGCCAGTCCCTGCCGTGCCTGCCCACATGGCCCCGCTGATCTGTGGGCGGAAGGAAAGTGAATTCGAGAGGCAACAAAGACAATGAAGGCCATGAGGTGATTAATAGATCTTTCCCTATACAGAACTTATTTCAGTACCTGGGGTGTTTCTTCCTTGCTATTATTCCTTAACTTATACTCCGTACTTGGCTATAAAAAAAATTAGTATCTGTCCTGTCCTATATGGGAAATGCACACGCGGCCGCAGCCAGCAAACGGAACTTGGGGGTTGTTTGCCTCTTGTGTGTTGTCTCGAACGCTCTAGTATTCGCCGCCGTCATAGCTCTTGAGGCGCCTCATTTTCTCTCACTTTTACGTCCCGGTACTTCCTTTCTGGGCCCCGTTTTATAGCTTCTCACACCCTCTTATACCACTAACGACGACAACCTTGGATCTTTTAGCTTTCTACTAATTTTCAGAGGGGTTTGTTTGCCTACCCGGCCCCGCTTTCCCACTCGCACCTGCCTTCCTGCCCTGCCCTACCCTGTCTTGCCTATCTATCCTCCATTTTCTCCAATGCCGGCCACCACTTAGCCATCATCATCATCGCACCTTCTGGCCCAACGGCGGCGCTTAATACCCTTCCAACTCCACTTCTTCTCATCCCCCATCCGGAGCCTAAGCCTGAGCTTACAAACAACAACCAACTTCAACTCCAACTCTCCAAACTCTCCAACAATCCCATTTCCCATATCCACCCCCCCAACCAACCTTCTCCCACTCCTAACCCCCTCCCCTCCCCCCACCCCGACGATCCCCATGCTTCATCTACGGCGCTTCTCCCTATCCGCCCATCACACGCGTGCCTGATCTCACATACGAGCTCCGCCACCAGCCACACACAACAAACGTACCCAGCTGTACCTATCTCACCTCACCTTGGCCAGCTCCTCCCCCCCTCCCACTCTACAAGAACAAACAAGCCCCGGCAAAGCACGACCCGCTCCCCGCGCGAGAGCGACAAAAACTAGAAGAATCTCAGTAGTCACGACTGGTCAACTTCTCAAAGTTCGCCAGCGTGGCCCCCAAACCGCCAACTCCACACAGCAGATGAAAGCTATCCTTTCTTGTCTCTTGTCTCCCTAGCCCCCCGCCCTGAAGATCTCCTCTCTTTCTCCCGTCACATATGTGGCGTACCTTTCATGTTTCTGTCCAAGTTTAACAGCCTCAAACCTGTCACCCGCCACACCTACATCAACCCACGTCCCCCCTTCCAACTATTCGCAGCGTCTTCCCCTTCTCCTTCCCCACTCGCCTTCCGCTCTGGACTGTTGGATATCCCCTACCGCCAGAACCCCTCAGCACATACCCCTTTCGCCCACACTACTCACCGTTTCACATCATCTGAGCCATGGTATAGAATAGTCCCAACTTTGTGAGACGCATGCCCTACTTCGTGCTCGCTTCCGCTCCCTCACCACCACACCAGCGACGGAGTGACACCAAGCAACCGCCCTACGCCGAAATTCCATATCCGCTATATCAACTAAAAGCGGGATGTCGGACCTCCCTGAGCACTTGCGAGACCAGTATAGTTCCCAACCCCAAGATGACGACTCGCAGTACCACACTCAGCAGAGTTACTACCAGGCCCAGGTCGGGATGAACTACCCGCCATCAGCGCAGCAGCAACCGACCATGAATCAGTCCCAAGGCAGCGGCGGTCGACACACGGCGCTCAACATGGGAGCGCTTGCCGGAGCACTGCCGGACCCCAACTACGGCCAAGCCTTCCCCCAGCAGTCGCCACAACGATACCAGACGCTCCCTCCAAACGCAGCCATATCGTACCAGCTGCAGCAGCCGTTTGCGCAGGCCCCCACGGGACAACCGTCGCGAAACCAGCAAGGAAATTCACAGTACCCCTCGCAGTTCCAGCAACAGCAGTTTCAGGGAATGTACCTCCAGGGCCCTGGGGGGCACATCCAACCCGTCCAGGGCGGCCTGCCGATGAACCAGCAGCAGTATCCGGGGCAGGGCTTCGCGCAGCAGCAACAGCGGCCACAGGGCATCCAGCAGCAACAAAACCCCCAGTTCTACTACCAGCAGGCGGCACTATATTCGGGGCAGACACAGATGTTTCAGGGGGGCGTATTTCCGCAGCAACACGGCTCTAATCAGTCGAGCCGTCGGCCAAGCGAGCAGCTGAGCGTCGGTGCTAGCTCTGATATTGGACGGGCTAGTAGTACAGGTGAGCCAACTTTCCACCCATTCCCTCTATCCCCTTTGGCCACGAGAGCAAAAACATAACAAGCCCCAGGTTCTAGTGCCGGAATACCCACCACGATCCGCGGCCCCCCACGCAAACCCAAGCAATCCGGCCACGCGCTATGGGTCGGCAACCTTCCTCCCGGCGCGAGCGTCGTGGACCTCAAGGATCATTTCGCGCAGGACGCGACGGAGGACATCCTGAGCGTTTTCTTAATCTCTAAGAGTAGCTGCGCGTTCGTAAATTACAAGACAGAGGAAGCGTGTGCGGCTGCCATGGCCCGGTTTCACGATTCGAGACTTAAAGGGGTAAGGCTCGTATGCAGACTCCGAAGGAGCGCGGCGAGTGTACCAGGGGGGGTGCCAACTGGACCGGCGGCTTTGGTAGGAACGGGTGCAAGGGTGGAGGTGGACTCTGGGGCCGGGGGTGCTGGCGGGGAGGCAGACGGGGATGTGAATGGGGAGGAGGATGAGGGTGGGGATGGTATGCCGACTGTTGACGAAGGGGCGGGTGCGCCGGCGAAGGATAAGTATTTCATCGTTAAGAGCTTGACGGTCGAGGACCTGGAGATGAGCGTGCGCAATGGTGTCTGGGCTACACAATCCCATAATGAAGCAGCCTTGGACAAGGCATATAAGGTGCGTCACCTCTTTCTCCTAGCGCATATCACTGCCACTCCTGATTTTACGCCCCCTAGACCCTGCACCCGAAATCCGGGGCGCGAGCTAACCACAACCCCTATCCAGACAGCCGACGCGGTCTACCTCATTTTTTCGGCTAATAAATCAGGCGAGTATTATGGCTACGCCCGCATGACATCCCCCATAAACCAAGATCCCGCGGCTAAAATCTCCTTCGCTCCCCCACCGACCTCTGCCGCCGCCCCTGTTACGGAACCAGGGGCGGCAGGGGCGGCAGGCGGGACGGCGCTTAATGACCCTGACCAACCCACCGCAACAATCACGCCTGCTTCTGCTACTGCGCCACGGGGACGTATCATCGATGACTCTGCGCGCGGGACTATCTTCTGGGAAGCTGACGGCGCGGCTGCCACTGCTGACGGGGACTCTGGTGGCAACAGTAATGGGGACGGGGGTAGTGGGAGCGGGGACGAGGAGTCCCCCTCCCCTCCCCTGGCTGGTTCAGGTGCGGGAGGGGCAGCATGGGGCAAACCCTTTAGCGTTGAATGGGAGTCGACGCGGCGGGTACCGTTCTTTCGGACTCGGGGTCTAAAGAACGCGTGGAACGCCGGGAGGGAGGTGAAGATCGCGCGGGATGGGACGGAGATTGAGACGAGGGTTGGGCGGAGACTTATTGGGTTGTTTGGGGGGGTTTCAGGTCCGGGTGGAAGGGAGGGGGGCGGAGATGAGAGGTAGAGAGGAGCGGGAAGGGGCTGCGCATAAGTGCGGTTGTGAGGGGAGCATGGCATACTAGCCATTGCGTGATGTGCACTTATCTGCTTGCCTCCTGCCTGCCCTCCTACCTACTTGCCCGCCTATTTGCTTGCCTGTCTGTCCCCTGAGTTCGCTCAGGGGCCACCTCCATAGGGCCAGGCTTGATCCCGTATATATGGAGCTAGCTGGCCAGCAACCAACCCGGCTTGCAAGTCGAGAATCTAGGAAGTCATATAGGAGTCATGTAGGTGCTCTACATGCTTGTGTGTGTTTATGCATATGAGCTCCAAGTGTTTTTAGTCTTTCTAGCCCCCCGTGTGTTTGTGTGTAATGTTTTTGCTGATGGTATCGAAGCTTGCTGGTGTTATATGGCGTTGATGGATGGTAGGGAGGTTGGTTGGTGGTGTCTGCTGTCGATGACAAGGACGCGAGTTGATGCCGCCAGTCGATGCTTCCGGTTGATGCTGGATGCTGTTGATGGTAGGGAGGCAGGTTGATGCTGATGGTGCCTGTCGGTTGATTCTGCATTCTATTGATGCTAAGGAGTAGGCAATGCTGTCTACTGTTGACTTTGCCTGCTGTTTATGACGCTTCTGTCAATGCTGCTTCTGTCGATGATGCTGTTGTTGATGTTGCTTCTGTTGATACTGCTGCTATCGGTTCAGTTGCTATTGATGCTGCTTCTGTCGATGCTGCTTCTATTGATGTTGCTTCTATTGATGATGATGCTACTGCCCTACTACTGTGGATGATGCTGTGCTGGCGTCGGTGCTGCTGCTGTCGATGCTGCTGCTGTTGATGACTTTGCTATCAATGCATCTTGCGTTAATTCTACTGCTGTCAATGCTGCTTGTGTTGATTCTACTCCTGTTGATGCTGTTGGTATTGATGCTACTTCTGTTGGTATCGCTGCTGTCGATGCTGCCCCTGTTGGTATTCAGCCTCCGATTCTGCTGATATCGATGCTGCTTCTGTTAATGTTGCTTCTGCTGATGCTGCTTCTACTAAGCTGCCTGTTGTTGCTACTAGGGAGGCGCTTGATACCGAGGCTGGTATTGACGCGAACGGTCGGTCATATTGCGATACGAGAGGAGTTGATTCGTGAGTTTACGTTCGTACGAATGTGGATTCGCGAGTAGTTAGGATCGTGGGCCGGTTTTTTGTTACTGGTGAGCCTGGGAGCTTGTTCAGTTCGTGGAAAGTTCTCCGTGGCGACTTGATGGATTAGTGAGTTGGTGGGTAAGAAAGCTCGGTTATAGGAGGTGCTGGGTGAGCCATCCCGCCCGCGACAGATGGAAGATGATATTCGAACACAGCGCGAGATGGAAGGCAAGTCCATCTTTAGGACAAGAAGCGGACTGATTACCCCTCACGAGCACAACCACTTGGAACCCAGGGACATACTCACGGTATGGCGGGAGGACGGGAGGACGGATAGGTCCGAACGAGTCAGGGGGCGACAGGGCGGCGAGGGTTACTACCACATTCAGGCGCCTTTCTACCCGATCCCAGTCCGTCTATTTGCTCGCGGCTATCCTTGGCGCAAGTCATTGCGCAGATGTTGGTTTTGATAGAGCGCGCCGTACACGCGCGCATACGGGAGTGGAGGAAGGGAGGGGTCTCACGGTGGATGTGGCGGCCAGTGGCGGCAGTTGAGGGCTGTATACGGCGCCCGTGGATGATGTACATACGGTGCCCAGGGCGCGGAGGGATACCAGGAGCCGGGTATGTGATGGTGGCGGCCGGGAGAGCACGAAGGATTGCGCTATTGGAGACTTGTCAAACGACAAAGGGGCTTCTAAAACAGGAGCTGGGCATGAAGCATACAAGTACGTAAGGGAGGCGTCCATACAAAAGGGGAGACGCGGATGATAAAGGGGACGACCATACGGTGTTTGTGCTACAGTATGACCTCCATATGAAAATCAATATTCGAGTCTCACTCTTTAGGTGGGCTTAACAGTACCGAAATACAGCTATACAGCCAAATTTGGATACAAGGATGTCCTCCGGGCGGCATATGTCAGTCACCCCTACTCAGAGCGCATCCTTATTACAAGGTCCGGTCTTTAAGAAAAAAATAACAGGGACCAACAATTTCATAAATCCATATATTCGGGACATCCAGGATAACCCCGCACGGAGAAATCCTTATTTTCAAGTTTAACGGTTTAACTGCAACGTTGCCTCTATTATTAATTGCTGAGATTCAACTCCTAGTGATATTCTTACATGGAGGTTCCACTATATTGAGTGGGGAGTGGCGTGTTTTGTGCAGTAGAGGGAAAAGAGCCTTGACCCAACCAAGGGGACGGACGCTAGTAGGTGATAAATGCTAGACTTGTTACATTTCACGATAAAACTAAATGATATAAAATAGATGCTTCTAATGGCTTTAATATAAGCTAAATGGCTATACTTTTAGACATAAAAAGGTAGTGATTTTGTTGATGGCTAATGGGAAAGAGCATGGTCTTGAAAAAGGGGATGGACGCTAGCAGCTTGTAGGTGCTAGACTTGTTACATTTCACGATAAAACTGAAACATATAAAATAGATGCTTCTAAGGGCTTTAATATGAGTCGAATGGCTATAATTCTAGTCGCAAAAAAGTTGTTGTTTTGTTGATGGCTGATGGATCAATTATTATGGGGGTCAAATGAGACATTTTTGAAAACCATCCAAGTGTCCACCGGAGCCATAATGGCGATTACATTAAAATTTGCACTATCTATATATTTCGTTCCTCCACACTCTACCACCCGCCACTAATATGGGATTCCGTTCGTCATCAGCTGGAACTGATCGTACACGCCCGTACTATAACTATTATGACTCCTCCGCACCAGCCCCCGCACGAATACCGCGGCATCGCGCTCGCTTTTCTCCAGCACGAACCGCTCGCGGAAGTGCTTAATGCTCTCCGGCTTGAAGCACGGCAGCCCGCTATCGAGCATTAGTCGCACGATGCGGCATAGAGCGTCTACGTGACGCCGCGCGGCTAAGAAGGCCTTGACGCACAACTCCTCGAACCAGCGATAACTCTGCGTGCTTGACGAGCCGCCCATAACGGCCACCATCTCGGCCGTGAGCTTGAACGGTGCACGCTCGAAGCGCACGCCGCCGGGCGCGATGTCGAAGCAGAACCCGAAGTCGATGTGGATGAGATGGCCGGCGTCGTCGAGCATGATGTTGCCGTTGTGCCGGTCCTTGAACTGCAGCAGGAAGGCAATGATGCTGTACGCGGCGAGGGACTTGACGAAGTTGCTGCGCGCGGCCTGGAAGCGTACGCTGTCCGGTGTGCCGTACTTGCTGACGAAGTAGTCGTAGAGGCCGTTGACGGCTTCGCGCCCGAGCATATCGCGGGACACCGAGTTGGGGAGCACCTCGATGATACCGCATCCGGGAGCGGTGGCAGTGACGCGGTAGGGAAAGACGTATACATCGAGTCCGACATTGCTGAAGATGCCGCGGAAGGCAGCGATCATTTGCAGCGCGAGCACGTCTTGCCGGCAGTCGTCGCCAACCTTGAAGATCACGGACTGCCACACCTCGATGCTGTTCTCGGGAACGCGCTTGCGCGGATCGGCTGCCTCAAGCATATCTTCCGTCTCCTCCATCTCAGCGGCGACGTCTTTTTTGACGCGGAAGGTAGCCATGTACGGTGCCTTTGCGTGACTCTGTAGCGGCTTGCCAGACTTTCGGTCGATGCCGATAACAACGCCGTCGGGGTTAATGGGGAGGTAGACGCCGACGTCGACCTTAATTTTACGTAGCTCTTCTTCGATCTTCTGCTTCTTCTCGGGCTTCGGCCTCTTAATGTACGGCTTCAGCTTACCTGAGATGCTCGTTACCTCGTCGAAGAATGTGAATTCGCGCTCGTAGAAATCTCTATCTGCTACAGTGAAGCAGCTTATCATACGGGCCATCACATGGTCGAGTGTTGGTTTGATGCCATCAGGCTTGGGAAAATTAGCGTTTGTATCCTCTTTTGATGGAAGTCAACTTACAATTTGTGAGTCCTCATCCTTGTAACTGTTCGCCTTCATGTTCCATATAATCTGATGGGCAAACAATTGCGAGAACTGTGCAGTCTCCACAATGTATCTTTCCACGTAACCCAGCGTATCATAGCGCAGTGATTGCACAATCTGAGGCACATAGAAGAATGCCACCTCAACGCTATGGCTTTCTAGGGCACGCATAGCATATTGAATGATGAATGGGTTGTCGCTAAACGAAGGCAAAAAGTACGTGACTGCTGTGATAGGATTTACTGGGGTCCAAAACAATAGATACTATAAACTGTTAGTAATTCTCTAGGCAATTAGAAGAAAGTACGCACCTTAAGCTGCCACTTCAAATCGCTCTGAAACTCGCGACCCATAAGAATATTCAAGCCCTCGGGGTCATTAATCCCTCTTAGCGGATCGGCGAGCAACAGATTACGCACATCTGCCTGCACTCTCGCAGAGTGAAACCTTGTGGCCAAGCTAATTGCCAGAGAAGGGCTGACAAACCAAGCCGTATTTACAAGATGTACAAGGGTAGCCTCTGAAGGTTCGGCGTGATGTGAAGCTTTCCCCTCAGCAAACGGATCGAGCCAGACTCGAAGCCTGGATTGCTCGTTCTCTAGAAGGGCGAAAAGTAGCTCTTCCTTGTCCTGGAGACGCTTGAGAGTGGAGGAATTCTTGGCTCCTATGTGTCTCACGCTGTCAAGGCCGGCAGCAACATCGGACAGTAACTTGGCTTCTGCCTTAAGCTGCAAGCGGTTCCCGCCAAAAGTAAAGCAGGGCGCGAAGGAGAACCAGCTAAGTGCGGCAGATAACATCTGGTTCTTGAGGCGGTACTGACCGGCTGCAGTTAATACAGTGCCATGTCTCAGGACTTTCAGACTGAGCATGACGATGTTAAATCGCAGCTCTCTTGACAACGGGTGTCCTGTAGAATGCATCAACCCATTAAGAGTGGCTTGCAGCAGCCTAACAAATGTCTTTTGGGTGTGTGGGCTGCATAGACGGGTGGCGTTGAAGTGACTGGCGAGGAATTGGAGCAGGCGGGAATGGGGAGCCAGGAGATTCTGGGCATGCTGCTGCTTCTTGTGCAGTGTATCCCTATCACTAGGGGCGTATTCTTTCCTGATAAAGAATGGGTCAGGGTGCCTAAAAATGTCAGCGCGCTCTCATATTACATAGCAACTCATTTTCTTACTTGAACTCATCATTGAAAACACCTTTCTTCATATGAATCGTATTCTCCCATTGTTGGGCGATTTCCATGATAATTCTCGACTCCATCCTTGGGTTTTCGTTGATCACTCCCTGCCATAACGATATACCAAGTTTAATTGATTGCTTACTGAAGTGAGCAAAAGGAATTCCAACAAGGTGCTTGACAACAGCAGCTTCATCGCCCTTGGCGCGGCATAGGAATGCCGCCGCGCGTCTGAGCATATCCCGTAGCTCGGAGATTGGGATGAACTTCCCTTTCTGCATTCGTGCGTCCAAGAAGTTGAGCACCGTGAGAGCATCAGCGTGTTCCGTGCCGA